GTCAAAGCAACAGGGATGTAGAGTCCCACCATGTAGTCGGAGGGGGAGAATTTGTGTGGTCCCTCCTAGACATGTGGGTGACCCACAAAAGTTTGGAAAGAAAAAAAAAAAAGAAAGAAGAAAAAAAAAAAAAAAAACAACACGTTTTATTTATTTTCAAAGCGTTGGCACCAAACCATTTGAATGCGTTGCATGCCATTTGGACAAAGGGTGCACGTGCATTGGTTAATCACGGCACTCTCCCTTCTCAACCTTCTCTATAAATAAGGAAAGGACCTTCTTAAACAACGACAGAAAAAACACAAAACAAAAAGAAAAAACGAAGTATAATTTTTAGGAAAAAGGGTTCTAAAATGGGAAAAGAGAATAAATAGTTGAGGAAATATTATTTTTGGGTGTTTTTGTGCAAACCACTTTGTGTTCCGCACTAATTTTCTGTATCCTCTTTTGTACCTACTATTTTTTAGTAGAAAGAGATTATTCGAGTTTTTTCCCCGTGGACGTAGCCCATAACAGTTGACAGGGGTGGACCACGTAATTCTCGGTGTCTTATTTTTCTGGCATTTACATATTATTTAATTTGATCGTAACTATATTTTTATTTCTGGTGGATTCGATCGTCAATATTTAATATTTAATTATTGGAGGTATATGTGGTAATAGTAATTTTATTTTACTTTTATCACTGGTAATTTTTTCTGCGGGCCCCACTCGGGATAAGTTATAATCCCAACAACTGGTATCAGAGCCCAGGTTTGGAGCGGAGCGGAGCGAACTGCGCAGTGTGAGAAAATTTCGGTGTGTTGTTGTAACAACAGGACCAAGACCCGAAGAAGATCTGCAAGTGGTGCCTTGTGTCGAAAGTCTTCCCGACAAGAGGAGGTCGAGCGGCGTGTCCCGCAAAGTTGTAGCGGCGGTACAAGATGGTGGGCAGATTATCCCTGGAGGGGAGGTCACGATTTGTGTGGTCCTTGGTTGGAGGGGAGCCCAAGTCCCACCATCGAAAAATGTGAGAAGATGAAAACCAAATATAATGTTCGAAACCACCCATTAGTATGAGCCTTTTGGGAGGTTGGGGCCCCAAAACAGAAAGTATGAGGCCTTTTGGGAGGTGCCCAAAACAAATCCGTGAGGGCTTGGCCCAAAGCGGACAATATCATACTAATTCGGGATTGGATGGTACGCGCAGTCCCAACAATTTTAAGAATATATTCCCTCATATTTTCAGAAATATTTTTTCTAAAATTTTCAAAGTAATTTAAACAAATCCATCCATGAATAGGAAAAAAGAGCTTATATATTTCATCAACTGGACTAATTCTATTGACTATCTTTTCATATAATGTCTGGTGAGTCGTAAAAGAGTGTAACGTACTGTAATCAAAAGCTTTTTTAATCTAATGTTTGTACTAAAAATATTTTTAACTATCTAATATTACGTTTTAGTACGATTCATCCAATATAATCTCTTGGGCTGTAATTGATAAACCATATTATAATATAATAATAATTAAATTGTATAAATTTATTAACAATACTAAAAGGAAGCTTGTGTGATAAAATATTATCTGGTTGGTTTTCTCAATAATATAAATAATGAAAAAATTATGAATTTAAGGTCTCTCGATGACAAAAATTTTTATCAATTGAATAAATTAAGGGAGAGTATTGGTGTAGCCCATCATATGACTTTGTTCATTATTAAATAAGTAAATAGATAAAATGTTGCAACGTAACTATTATTATTATATTACATTACCAGCTACCAATCATAGATTAGAATTTTGGAGGTAGCAGACCTTTGTGCAGCAAAATATTATTTTACTTTTGCTATTGGACATAGTTTAGATGCTACGGTCCCCCTTTTGTTCCTTGTTTAAGCGAGTAATAAGGAGAAATAGTCACTAAAATTATAAAAAAAATAATGAGAATATATATGTTAGGCTGCATCCTTCCAAATCTAAGATTTATTGTTCCTTCTTAAGGGAAAAAAAAAAAAAAAAGATTTGTGCCATTATTTTTTGATAAAAAAACAAAATAGAACGACTAATTTTGTTCTTGAATCACTAATTAATTAATTAATGAATAACCTAATTAAGTTAATTGATTATTTATATATATATAAATAAATCATTCTCTCAAAAAACGTCAAAAGAAAATTATGAAGACTGTAAGTATGCAATTAGTTATGGACTTTTAGAGGTCCCCAAACCTATCATTTCATGGCTCTTCTAAATTCCGTGATCCTAATCATTATTTTTTGCTGATAAATGACTCTGCAACCACTCTCTATATTTTAATTACTAACAGACGCTGTCGGGCTTCCCATTTCTATCTCTTTAATGACTAATATTATTTAATTTTAATAAATATTTTTTGTATTGGACCAAAGAAAAAGGGAAGAAGAAGAACGAAAGGTTGCTCTCGTGGTTGTTGCTGGTGAGTATAATCAAATCGAAAATCGATTTTATTGCTTTATTACTTCTCCAAGCTTAACAACCGCAACTTATGACTAATTCATAAATTTTTTTTTCTCTTTTCTGGGGAAGAATTAATGAATTTCTCCTACGTTATATGTTGAATTATCAAATAATATATTCATTCTAACAGAGATTTTTTCCCACGTGAAGCTCCTTTAATGAAAGATGACGTTTCTCACATAATTATAATAAATCTCTTCTTGAATTAATTGATAGACACAGACTGGATTTAGAACAAGAAAGCTGAATGCAAGTTAAATTATTTAATGGTAGCCCTCTCCTCCTTTACCTTTTATTTATTCGTTTTCTTATTTTTGCAAGTATTTTTACACTTTTTTTTTATTTCGTATTAGTCATTTATTTACAATAATATTTATCATTTTATAAATTTTTAAAAGTAAATATTATTATCATAAATATTCTTTTATATAACAATAAAATAAAATTAAATATTAAAAGATAAATATCTTTTTATTTTTAAAAATAATTTCATCTTTTTATTTAAAAATAGTTTATTTTTATTGGGTTATATAAAGTATATAAAACTAAATTTAATTGTTGAGTGTCGACATAATTGTCTTCAATAACTTTCTTAATGAATAAAATATTTTTAAAAAAAATCTAAAATACTAATTGGTAATAGCATAATACAATTACTCTGTTATTTTAATACCATTTTAATTATAATTAATGGCTTATAAGATTGATGTTATATAAAGACGAGCTTACATGTGAAATGAAAGGGATTTGTTTGTTTTCTGAAAAAGTGATTAAATGGGAGTCATCAATAGACGAATTATTTGCATGTAAAGGATCGAATTAAAGATCACCACTTCATTTCATACTAATTAAACATGTCTATATTTACTTTCTCTTTCGTTTTGTTATTTAATGTAATGTAATCTATTGAAGATAATTTGTTATGTCAATCAGATTATGAGCAGTGAGAGACTAATATGTAATTTGAATTTAACAATATTAGTTAAGTCTTGTTTGGAATAGCATTTAAAACTAAAGTTTAATTTTTTTTTTTTTTATTGTATTAGTATAATTTGCATTGCAGTTTTTATTTTTATGAGTAATTGACAATAAAATACGAAAAAAAGCAGTGGAATTTGTAATAAATAGTTCTGGTTAGTACTTATAAAACTTTCTCCTTTCTGATTTCATTACTGAAAAACATACAAAAATTCTATAATTAAATTACAATAACTATTTTTTTTTTTTTTTTACAAAAAAAAGGAGATAGAAGTCGACTTTAATAATCACTGCAGTAAATTTTAACTTAGGCTTGGAAAAGTCCGGCCCATTAGATATTACAATAGAATGTTTAGGTTTTCAGGCCCAGTTAACTTCACGACGCAACGAAAGTGGAGGTTACAGGAGGAATTAGGAACAGTGTGGGCAGGTCAGGTCTTCCTCGTATAGGTAATACTAATAGGCTTCTTATCACCATCAAAATCGTAGAATGGCCTTTTGTCTGAAAGTTAAACCCATCAAAGCAATTCTTCTGCTTAGTTCGAAGTAGAGATCGGATCGAGCATTGTTTTCGAGAAAGCCCAACGGAAACAATTAAATGGATCCAAGGTCCAATTAAATGGAGATCGCTTACTGACCACAAGTCCACAACACAGTGTTGGCTTTATACAAGTGAGAAGAACCGCAGTTCAAGTTGCTATGTAGACAGATCTAAAGTGCGTAATAGAGGAGAGAAAACGTGTCATTGTGGAGTAAAAGAAAACTATTGCAAGGAAGGGTTTGAACTTTGAACCAAACCTAGAGTAAATTACTGGCTATTATTTTTTTCTTTTTGGTCAGTTTGAAGATAACAGTGGAGGGTTTTTAATTTCTTTGAAGTTTCAAATGGAAGCACAAACTGAACTCTATACAAGTGCAGCTTGTTGGCTTTGAATTGTCCTTAGACAGGTGCTCTGGTTTTCACAATTCTGAAATTAAATAATCAAAACTTAATCCAATGTAGAATAACCCCACTCAATTATTTTTTTTATTGGATTTAGAATTTCATTCGAGTAAAATAACATCCTAAATCAAGCTGAATCAAAAAAAAAATTAGAAGGGTTGTTCTTGAGAATTAAATCACAGTACTGCTATTATACTACTTGAAAATGCTGTTCAATAATGAATAAACATTTATATTTGTTTGATTTGCGTCATTAAGGAATCCAAACCAGCTTTGACCAGTCTTGCCATGACATTTGTTTAATAAGCTAATCTACGCATTTGTTTATTTCTCTCTTTTTCTTTTCTAATTTTTTAATTATTTAAAAAAAATTAATGGATTTACTAGTTATATGCAAATGCAACCGGTAGGCAAGTAGTATTATCTTTTCAAGTGTTAACCAAAGAACGTGGTGGCTGAGTTAATGCTTCAATACTTGAGTGGTCCATGAAGCACCTGGTCGATGCTCTGTCCCCACTCCATGGTCGTAGTTGATAACTTAGATATGGTGGTACCGATAGCACTTAGCATGTGACTCCATGCGAGGTGAGCCTTTATTTTTAATAAAAAGTGAGAATCACAACACAAAGAAAGGCGAAATGAAAAAGAAATAAGCTTTTGTTTCGTCCCGTTAAAAGCTGTTTTTGATGGCTGTGCACTCTCTAACCCAACTTCCTGCCTTGCTCGTGGGCATGGCTTTCCGAGTTTCAACGTTCTTCGCGATACCACTCTGTTTCTCTCCTTCACGTTCTCTCTCTGTTACTGTACTGTTTTTCTTTCTTAATTTATTAAATCCAAAACAATTTTTGAGGTAGTAGCTCTCTGACATGCACTACCCACCACCACCTCCATCACTATCCTCCAGGCCACAGAATATAAAATAAATTAAACTTTTAGGCTTTTTAGCCATTTAAGATTAGGATTAAGAATTATGATTCATATTAGCTGTGCATTTCCATGTTACATTCCATTAATTAATCAAATCTCCTCTGTCTCACAACCTGTCACAGTTGAACAAGTGGGGGGCTCTTCTTCATCCATATTTAGTCTTTATTTACCTCACATTTTCTGGCTTCTTCTGATGTTTTTGTTTTTCTAGTGGTGTCGCTGTAAGTGTAAATGCAGCTTCGTTTAAGTACATTATCATTTTTTGATGGGGAAGAAAGGAGGTAGCTCTTGGTTGACTGCTGTGAAAAGGGCTTTTAGATCTCCTACTAAAGAGATTGACAAAAGGGTTAGCAGAAGAAGGGAGGACCATGACCAAGAAGAAGATGAAGAAAAGGTTTTTGGCCTCTCGATTTCTTTTCGTTTTATTTTATTTTTTTTTTGGGATCTATTTTTCACTCTATGTTAATTCCCTGTTTCTTTTTCCCCTCAGAAGAGAGAGAAGAGAAGATGGATATTTAGGAAACCGACGAATCAAGAAGCGGTGACTCCACCCAAGACAGCAACTGATAAGGCTTACAGTAGTGGTGGTAGCGCGGCACCGACAGACCATGTGTCGACGGCGGCAGCTGAGCACAAACATGCCATTGCAGTAGCCATTGCCCAGGCACCGGCACAAGTTGCTCGGCTCACTAGGTCTTCTTATCATGCCAGAGAAAACTATGCTGCCATTGTTATTCAAACCGCTTTCAGGGGATATCTAGTAAGCAGATTTGTCATTTGGTTTTGATTAAAAGATTTAATTGTTCAACAGGCATAAAAGTCAATACCTGTGATACTGGATTTTTAATTTCTAGAATTGGAATTATTACAAACAACTATTGTTACTTATGAGAAGAAATGGATGTGTGTGTGATCTGTGGTTGAAGGCAAGAAGAGCACTTCGTGCACTTAAAGGACTTGTAAAGTTGCAAGCTTTAGTAAGAGGACATAATGTAAGAAAGCAAGCTAAGATGACCTTGCGATGCATGCAAGCCCTAGTTCGAGTACAGGCTCGAGTGCTAGATCAACGCGTAAGGCTTTCACATGAAGGCAGCAGGAAATCCACATTTAGCGACACCAATAGCGTAATTGAGTCACGATATCTTCAAGATATTTCAGATAGAAAATCAATGGTAACTAATTCATTTTTCTTGAACATTTTATGTGTTTTAGTAGAAAGAGAAGATAAGAAACGCTAACAAGGGAATATTTTCTTGGCATTTTCTGGTTTTGTACTTCTGAAAAGTTTATAAATATTCTCATGTATAGTTCAATTTGACAGTCAAGAGAAGGAAGTAGCATTGCAGATGATTGGGATGAAAGACCGCATACAATTGAGGAAGTTAAGGCAATGTTGCAACACAGGAAAGAGGCTGCAATGAAGCGTGAAAAGACCTTATCTCATGCTTTCTCTCAACAGGTTCATTTCTTACACGCACTCTGTTTTTTTTTTTTTTTTCTTTGATTTTATCATTTTTATTGCTGAATTGATTCAATTTTTGTACAACGCATTTAAAAGATATGGACGACTCGTAGAAGCCCATCAATAGGAACTGAAGATGAGCTCCAAGAAAGACCGCAATGGCTTGACCGCTGGACACCTGCAAAACCATGGGATAGCAGCAGAGCAAGAGCTTCAACAGATCAAAGAGAACCCATTAAAACTGTAGAAATTGACACTTCACAGCCTTACTCATATTTAGCGACAAATTTTAGAAGAACCAACCACCCCCAATATAACCAACACCACCACCACCACCAACCAAGGCCTAATTCTCCTCTTCACAGAGCCCATCAAACAGCAACTCTCCACCTCCACTCTCCCATTACACCTTCTCCATCAAAAACCAGGCCTGTGCAAGTCAGGTCAGCGAGCCCGCGTTGTGGAAGAGAAGATAGAAGCTATAATCCCTCCCAAACGCCAAGCCTAAGATCTAATTACTACTACACTGGCAATTTGCATCAACATGGAAGAAATGGAGCAAGTGGTAGTAATGCTGGTAATTCAAATTTGCCTAATTACATGGCTGCAACAGAGTCTGCTAAGGCTAGAGTTAGATCCCAAAGTGCACCAAGGCAAAGGCCATCAACTCCAGAAAGAGACAGAGTTGGGTCAGCAAAAAAACGGCTTTCTTTTCCTGCTCCAGATCCATATAGCGCAGGGATTGGCTATGGCGGTGGTTTTGGTCATGGGTTAAGGAGTCCAAGTTTTAAGAGTGTTAGTGCCGTACAATTTGGTGGTTTAGAACAACAGTCTAACTATTCTTGCTGTACGGAAAGTCTTGGAGGTGAGGTTTCACCTTCTTCAACCAGTGACCTTAGGAGGTGGTTGAGGTGATATAATAACTCCACAATGTGATTCATGAAATTTTAATTTTTCTCAATTTAATTCGTGACTGTGACTTTACAAATGGTTGTTAGTTTGTAACGTTGAAACAGAGTATTCATTAATTGTGCTTCCTTTTTCTTTTACCATATTGTTCTCAATATATTCATTTGAACTTGTAATCTTTCTTATTGGAAATTAAAGCTAAAGTTATCTTTTATTTTTCTTTGATTATTTCGATTCTGAATGAAATTTTGAAATGAGTTCAGTAAGAGTAACTTTTGTGTCTGTTATTGGTATAAAGGTCATGGCAAACAATTACAAGCCAAGATATGCATCATTTTAGGAATAGAAATATCATAGATGGACCCAATAAAGAAAGCATATGATTGGTTCAGAATCAGAGATATCTCTATGCTTATCCTGTGCTTAATAGTGGAATCTGGGTACACATGCTTTTGTGACTTGATCCATTTATGAGGTATCTTTACTAGCCTTTTCCCATGTTTGTAAACAAAAGCTACAGAGAATCAGAGATCATGTGCAGCGTTGTTCATAGAAGTCTTATCGTCACTGAAATTGATAGTGATGATGGAATTGATGCTGACTCATATCGTTCCTCTTTCTACATTCAATTAGTGTGGTTGTCCTAAAAGCATCCCTTGGCTCTTGCTATTATAAATATTTCCATTTTCCAAGAAGATGATGATACACAGGATTTGGAGAATCTGTGATTGTAATGATGCTCTATAACAGCAATCCGACAAATTGAGAATCGGAGAGGGCTAATGCTTGGACAAAATAAGTTTTTAAGTTTTACGTCCATTTATAATATGGTAAAATACTTTTCAATTTGACTAAACTACAGTTATCGTGCTCGATAGACATTTTTTCCATAAAATGGACCTGAGCCCATCCGCCTTCTAGGTTGACGTGGCATTCGTTTTGATGGTTCAACCTTTTGAAGCCCAATCTTAACAAAGAAAGCCCAATCCAATTGTGCAAGGTCAATGAATATCCCCGTTCCAAATCCATGGACCGTTTCACACGAAATGGACTTTAACCCATTATGCAGTCTCCGTGATGTGGCAATGGCATTGCTCTAGCAGTGCCGTGATTAAGTTGACTTTTCTACACGGCGGTTCATCGACAAAAGCTGTTCAACCTGATCGTGGACCTCAGTGCTAGTGATTACTGATTAGTGACGGCACATGAATCATGATCACGCAAGTCAAACTTGATGCGTACTTTGGTATGACTTGTGAAGAAGATAGCAACTTGAAGAAGTGGAGGTGTTCTTCCATTCTTTATCATCTCAATTTTGAAAAATAAAAGAATAGAAAAAAGAAAAAAAATGTGGAATTAGAACCAGAATTGAATTAGCGACAACTATTTTTCTTCGTCCTCGAAGGAAACCTCTCCCTATCCTCACGCTGAGTTATAAATATGAAAATATGAAATTTGAAACATGTGTAATTAAAATAAATAAGAAATTATTTTTTATTTTTTATTAAAAATAACAATTTGGCTATATTATTAAATCTAAAAATTACAATAAATTAGGATTTTTTCATTCTCAAATATATAATATGAAAATAAAATATGTAATTGAAAATTATATTTTATTAATTTAATTTTTATACAATGTTCCGGAATTTTTTAGTAAGTAACAAAAATTATGTTATTAAATTATAACTACTATATTTACTTTAAAAATTAGAATTTAATGTATGCAACATTAATTAGTTAACTGATGAATTTTTTTTTTCAATTTTTTCTGAATGCATATGATGATTTAAAAAAATGATGAAAATACTAGTATATTTGTAATTACATCATTAATAACAATTGAGATAAAATTGCAAATGCTTATACTATTTGAAGTATTCTTGTTAGGATACAGGCAATAAAATTACGAAAATAATTACAGCAGCGGAAAAATAAAAATAGGACACACAAAAATTTACGTGGTTCACCCTCAACTGTTTTAGGGCTACGTCCACGGGACAAACTCCGAATAATTCTTTCACTTTGGTTCACCCCTCAACATGTTTTAAGGGCGACGTCCACGGACAAACTCCGAATAATTCTTTCACTGTTAAAAAATAGTAGGTACACAGAGAGTAATATAAAATAGTGACGCATCAAAGCGGTTTCCCAAAAATTTAGGGCTACGTCCACGGGACAAACTCCGAATAATTCTTTCACTGTTAAAAATAGTAGGTACACAGAGAGTAATATAAAAATAGTGACGCACAAAGCGTTTCCCAAAAACACCCCATAATAATTTCCTCACTATTTTTCTCTTATTAATTTTAGAAAACCCTTCCTAAAACTATATCTATCTCTCTCTACATTTTTTTCTCTTTCTGCTGTGTGTTGTGTATTGAGCCTTGGCTCATATCCTCTATTTATAGGAGAGAATTCGAGAGAGCCGTGCATCTATTTTGTCAAAATTCCATACAAATTTTTCTTTCCTTTTTTTTTTGAGCACGTGGGTGGGCACGCCACACCACTAACAAATATGTGGGTTCCACTTAAGTGGACACCACCACAACAGTATTCTGATATATCATAACCAATTTCGTGTTGGTGATGAATTAATTGACTGCACCCACTAAGAAAATAAAAATGAAATAGAAAAGATTTGTAACAGGCTGGATCCTTTATGTGGGATATAAATGGTTGGGGTACGTTAGTTACTTGCCATGAAGATACATTAATTATAGGCTAGATTTCTTTTTATTTTTGTAAGGGCTGGATTAAGCGACATGCAAGTTGATTTAATTAACTATATTATCTCATTTTGGTTGCCATGTGGCAATAAATATCAATGTTTGTAAAACTGGATATATTAGTTTTGTTGTGTAAAAATACAAAAATATGTTTGTATCATATAATCCTTTTTCTAAAAAATATGTTTGTAAAACTCTGACATTGTAGTACTTTTTTTTTTTTCCAATTGAAGTGAGTGTTTCTAGAAAATTTTCAAAAAATAAGCAACTGGATTAGCTCTACCCAACATCACGCTGCGTTTCACTAATCCCTTAGAAAGGAAGCGTATCATTTTTAACTTTCCAGAATAGCACCAAAGCAAGGAGAAGTTAAACCATTTTATAAACCACACTAATTAAAATTTAATCCTAACTTGTCGCATTAGTTACTTCCTCCGTTTTGCTTGCAGATAAGAGGATCTATTTCGGGGTTGGTGGCACTGGCACGATCTTAAAATGGAAATATTGCAGCTTTTAGTTGGTTTTTGCATTCTAAACACACAAGTAGAGTAGGTATTCGTATTTCAATGCAACAGGTAATTAGCTAAATATTAGAAAGAGCTCCTTAGTCTTCGCTTCTTCTTTAGATCTTTTGTGCGTGTAAATGTAATAAATTGCAAATTGCTGACCATAGAAAGCAGTTATGTAATCTCCTAATTTGACTGCCAAAGTAAGACATGAAATCTGGATATCACGTTTAAAACGACGTTGAAATTTTCTCAGCTTGCTTTCACACTGCAGGTATTGCATTAGTTTGGTAATTCCTTTTAAAAAATTAACCTAATATGGGTAAGATTTCATTTGGTAATTATATTTGTGCAAATTCATGACGAGGGTTCTTTACTGGTGCAGAGTTGTTGTCTATCCTTCGCTCCTAAAAATATGTAGTCTATCTTTAAGTCTATTTTTTTTAGCTTTAAGACGTAAATTCCACCGACTTGTTAATTTTTCAATTATATTATTTGGTCTTAAATTATGCAAATATCAGAAAACTATAGATTTATAAAAATAAATCAAACCATTCTTGACTACACTAAACTAATAAATAGTTCTCATAACTAGATTTAGATTTAGAGTCTCATCATGCTTAAATACAATGTTCATAAAAATTCCAGTAGAAATAAGGGGACAAGAAGCATGAATAACTAACTACTCATGGACTTCTCCTTTTACTATCTTTAAACTCCACGTCCAAGTCTTGCAATTCAGCTACTGTCCATCTCCTCTTATTGGCCCACTTACCTTATTCTCCTCTGTTGACAAGTGCTTGAATGGCTTGTCCTTAATTAGTGCTCCTTTTGTGCCTTAATCTTTGATTTTGTACCGCTGTGGATGAGAAAGAGATGGAAGAGTGCGTGTGTGACGCTTCTTTATTCTCTTGCTTTTCTTTTTATATTGCTTCATAGTGTTTGCAGCTTCTTCACTGACATATTCAAAGAAATAATTAAAAAAAAAAAAAATTTACAAAAGAGGATTGCAGGCAAAAATGCTACAATGCTGATGTCCGAAACGATGCTCCAAAGGGACTTTTCGTAGTCCTTTCGGAGGCTACGGAAAGCACTTGTTTTTGTGCTTCGATTGCATCTTACGATAGCCTTTTCTAATTGAATTCATCAAGCGTAGGAAAAACAAATTAAATCAAGCCCGACCTTTAGTCAAATTGCTAATTAGATAATCTAAATGCAACAAAAAAAATAGAAAATAAATATAAAATTACATGCATTTTTAATTGTTATCAGGAGTTGGAAGTAGGCAAAATATGGATGGCTCCCATTATGAATTTTAAAAAGAATATATTATTATTTTTTCAGACACAAAATAAGGAAAATCCTTACTCTATGTCCATAGCATCCAAGAAAGATGCACAGAAACTCGCCCTAGACCTAGAGAAAGAACTTTTAATCTACTGATCCAAACGTAATCCAATAACCTTGAAATTTGGTCCTTTTCCTTAACTGGAGATTTGGTCCATGATACAAAAATCTACAGGAAAACAGAACGTGAACCCCGTAATAAGTCATGCAAGTTAGAAGCAAGGAGGCTTCTGCAGGTATAATAGCTAGCTGGTAGAAAAATTTATAGTTAAGAAAATCTGGTGTACATATGCCATTGTCCAGATTATATAAAAATATAAACCACGTAAATTGTGTATCCAATATAATAAACTTGCATATATATTAATTTGTAATCCACACCTTTGTCTCCTTGCAATTGATGCATTTAGTAGGACAAAAAATTTACTCCTGGGATAACTTTTCGATCTGTTTTCATGATTTCATAAATGTAGTTCACCTAAAAATACAGTGGATTTTCACATTTGCTAACTGAAAACATGTTGTTTTACAGGAAAGTGGTTGATTGTCATAATTCATATAACGTAACTATAAAGCTAATTAAATCAAAGGAATTACTTAACTCGAGCGATTCAGATTATAATGGTTGTCCCCTTGCTGTGACGAGACAAATATAATTAAAAATGAAATCTATTGAGGAAGAGAAATAATTGAAAATGAAGACAAATTAAGGCCAAAAGAATATAATTAACCGTCCTGCACAAACTTTGCCACGAAGAAAAATCCATTACAGACATGGCCACTTCATAACCATATATTGTGTCTCCACCCACAGAAATTCTTTGGACACAGCAGTTGCTTTTTGTTGAAATGTTGCGTGGGAAAATGCGTTGGCTGTCACACAATAATAATGTTAAGCACTACCAAATAGTGCACTACCCATCAAAACACAAACAGACTACATATATAAAACAATATTATATAGGATATATATACTTCCATCGCATTGCACCACCTTCTCTTTGAATGTTTGCCACGTGTGAATATTATATAGGATATATTTACTTCCATTGCATTGCACCACCTTCTCTTAGTTTGAATGTTTGCCACGTGTGAATATTTAAGCTACTTCAATTCCCACATACCTCTAATGTATTGTATTTTAGCTCCCAAAGAAAGTAATCTCATTATTCATCCATGTGAAATGTTCATGGAGAATTACATGTATCATTGTCTCGTTAAGCAAAAATTTGATATTTCTTTACTATTGATTTATGAAAACAAATCCAAATTAAGGTATTATTCACCAAAGTTGCAATAAGTGAACAACCTTATTATAAGTTACAATAAGCTATCTTCACTTATTGCAACTTTGGAAAATGATACCTTAATTTAGGTTTGCGTTCATAAATTAATAGTAAAGAAGGATCAAATTTTTCTTTAATGAGAGAATGATACATGGAATCCGCCATAGACATCTCACATGAATGAATAATGAAATTATGAATGATAAATGAATGTAGAACTTTCAATGTTTATATAAATAGGATATAAATAAATAATTAATATTGCATTAAGAAATACTTTTGATTATATTATAATAGAAATTTTAAATTTTTTATCATAATATTTACAAATTTATTAGAAAGAAAGATAAATAATTATCTTTTTTTTTTTTTTTTTTTAATGAAGATTATGAATGAATAAATCGAATGTAGAAACTTTCAATGTGTTTATATATGTAAATAGGATATAAATAAATAATTAAAATATTCGCATTCAAAGAAATACTTTTTGCATTAATATTATAATAGAAATTTGTTTAAATTTGTTGTTATCATAAATATTTACAATTTATTAGAAAGAAAGATGAAATAATTATACTTTTTTTTTTTTTTTTTTGTGTAAATCATAGATTCCACGACTCATTGAGCTAGGGACCCTCTGGCGGCCTATCGCTCGAGAAATTAGTCTCAGTTAAGGTCCTCAAATAAATTTTTTTCTGTCTTTTTTAAAAATTTAATGATAAATGGATATTGGAAATGGAATTGTTCCTTCTGCAACTAGATTAGATCAATTCTTTAAATTCTAAATTTATTTTATAAGTATTGTCAGCTTTCTTGTTCAATTTGATTAATTTTAAAGATGTTTGGAACTTAATTATATGCCTTAATATAAAGTACAGAGGTATAATTAAATTAAACTATCCTTAGTGCCAACCAAATAGTGGCATGATCTTTTTTTTTTTTTTTTTGTGTAAATCATAGATTCCAGACTCATTACTAGGGACCGCCTAATCCGGCTCGAGAATTAGTCTCAGTTAAAGTCCCTCAAATAAATTTTTGTCTTTTAAAATTATGATAAATGAATTGGAAATGGAATTGTTCCTTCCTCAACTAGATTAATCAATTCTTAAAATTCTTAAATTATTTTATATATTTCTTTTCAATTTGATTAATTAAAGATGTTGGACTTATTATATGCTTAATATAAATACAAGTATAATTAAATTAAACTCCCACCAAATAGTGCACTACCCATCAAAACACAAACATACTACATATATATACTGCATACATATATAAAACAATACTATTATATAGGATATGCTTCCTTTGCATTGCAATACAAATGCTAGCTGCAAGAGTGGAGGTAGAGATACACAGTCACCATCTTCTCTTTGAAGGTTTGCCACGTGTGATAATTTAAGCCAGTTCAATTGCAACATGCCTCTAATGTATTGTATTTTTTCCACATTAAAAATAAGAAAAAAACAAAGGAACTAAATGCTTTTTTGGATTTAACTGTCTTCCTCTTTCCTCAATACTAATTTTCAAATAAAATATTACATATCACTCTCATTTTTGTATGCAGCCACTTATATATTCTTAATTACTTAGCCAATTACTTAACAGGGAAAGAATTACTTACAACTGGTATATAAATCCATCTCTGTGTCAAATCAATTATAAACAATATTTCAATTCAAATGAAACTATATCCGATTATATACTAAAAAAAAAAAAAAACAGTAACTTTTTTTAAAAAAAAATTTTTTGATTGGTTTGGTATATGAAACGTGTGAAACAAAAAATTTTCAACTTTTCATTGAATTAGTGATAGGTGAAGCCATTTAATCTGTCTAGAAAAGTATATTCCGACTTAACCCAAAGCTGTAAACAAATCTCTTCACGCTAGCTATTATAACTCGTACTACTACGACTATATATTATCCATATTTTGCAAGCCAAAGTCACACTGATCGATCATCATATTCCAATATGGGTAAAATATTCCGGCGAGTTCTCCGATCAACTTATTGTCTCTTCCTATTACTATTCGCCGTGAATTGTACTCCTCCAGAGGATCCGATCAAATGCGCTTCAAAAAACACAAATTGCACGATTACAAACTCTTACGGCACTTTCCCTGACAGAAGTATATGCAAGGCAGCAAACGTGGCGTATCCTACCACAGAAAAAGAACTAGTTTCAGTTGTAGCCAATGCAACAAAGGCCAAAACGAAGATGAAAGTAGCAACTCGCTATTCCCATAGCATTCCTAAGCTAGTTTGTCCAGAGGGTGAAAATGGGCTTCTCATAAGCACCAAATACCTGAATAAAGTGTTAGAAATTGATTTTGAATCCATGAAAATGACCGTAGAAAGTGGTGTTACCTTAAGACAGCTTATTGATGAAGCTGCTAAGGCTGGACTCGTATTGCCTTATTCGCCGTACTGGTGGGGATTGACGATCGGCGGATTACTGAGCACGGGTGCCCATGGAAGCACGCTGTGGAATAAAGGAAGTTCGGTTCATGATTATGTGGTGGCATTAACGATAGTGAGCCCAGGAAGTGCAGAAGATGGGTATGTTAATGTCAGGAGACTTGATGAAAGGAACAGTGAACTCAAGGCTGCCAGGGTCTCGCTTGGAGTTCTTGGAGTTATTTCGAAGGTACGTTATGTCTGGTCATTGTTGTGTCATGATTTTGTTTTGGATTTTGTATTTGGGCTCTTGTCGGTGGAATTTTATCATACATTCCTTATCGTTGACAAAACCGGCCGGTGTCAAGTAACCTTTCGTTAATTAATTAATTGGAATTGGGATTAGCGAATTGATTAGTCATACTCATGTATAGGTAAACAGTCTGCATTATTTCTCTCTCAGTTTCCTGTGTCTGTTTTTGCAGAGATTTCTTCGTTATAGGGAAGTTATCAAATCAAACAATCTTCATATAGCTGTTTTTATGGGTTTTAGCACATACAGAACTTTTTAAGGAATAGGGTCCTCTTACCTTCACCTTCTATATATATGTAAGTAATTATGACATTATTTTTTTTTTTTTTTGAAAGGAATTATGATATTATATTAAGCATTGAAAGTTGATTAATGAAAATGAAATTTTGCATATAGTTAATAGATTTAGGAATATATATATAGTTCAAAGGTTAAACATGTATTGCTCCCGTTAATTAATTACTTAAATTTATATGGAATATATTTTACATTTTCACATCAACCTTAAATGTATTTGATTCGTTTAGTTATTTTTTTTTCTAATATTATATATGTTACATTTAATTTTTGCTACGTAGATAATTAATCACTTTTTGTTTTTCTTTTTCGGAAAAATTTATATTGATTTTTATATGGTTTGCTGTGGTGTTTATGCTACTGGTTAGTATTAATTTAATTTGCCCAGAAGATTTTGGTCTTAAAAACAATTATTAAAAGAAAAAAGCTTATATTAAAAACCAATGAAATCTATATAATCATTCTCCACTTGTTTAAGAATAAAGGAAGGTTTCCACTCAAAAAAAAATAAAGGTAGAGTCTAATCCAATTAAGAGTTAAAACCTTAAACTTGAAAGTTTGGATTTAAATCATTAGATTAAAAGCCTCATTAAAAAACAAAACTCAAATAATTAGTCTTTTTACCTTGTTCTTGAGAAAAAAAAAAAAAAAGAAAGAAAAGAAAAGATCTTTGGAATCAACTGATTTGCAGATACAAACGTAGCCATTGTCTATAACTCAAATGCACCTTGATCTTTCTGGGTGCAGCCTTTCATCAACGTCCATCTTCCTCTCCATGCAGTACATTGCATATACTTAACAACTATTCCTCTTTGCTTTAAATCACATATTCCGAAAAACATATGATATAGGTATGACAATGGAGTACTAGATTCTGCGGCCTACAACTAAATTTGTTAAGAGTTGTCTGATTTTATGTTTCTCGAAAATTGTCTACGAAATGACATCATAAAAACATTATTGGATTAAATTTCACATGTGTACAGGTTACGTTTCAACTTGAACCCTTGTTCAAGCGATCCATCTCCTTTGTGGTGAAGAATGACTCGGACCTAGCAGATCAAGCGGCTAGCTTTGGCCGTCAACATGAGTTTGCAGATATAACATGGTATCCCAGTCAACATCAGGCAGTCTATCGAACCGATGATCGCGTTCCCATTAACACATCTGGCAATGGCAAATATGACTCCATTCCATTCCGCTCTGCACCGTCACTTGGTTTGGCTGTCATCAGAGCAACAGGTTTGTCCTTATACCGTAAAATCTTATAATTATTGAATTACTCTCTCTGATTTTGCTTTTCTAATTTTATATATATGTATATATATTAAAAATATTTTTCTTTTTTCCTTTTCTTCAGAGGAAAGTCAAGAATCTTTAGGTGATGCAGAGGGCAAGTGTATTAGTGCAAGGCTAGTCACAACCTCGCTTTTGACCTCAGCTTTTGGACTAACAAACAATGGTATCAATAATCAAACTACACATCTCAGCTAGCTACCAAAGTCAATATAATTGACCTTAATTAAAATGTGAATATATATATGTGACAAAGATTGCTGTACCAATTTTTTTCAGGTATTATTTTTACAGGATACCCTGTAATTGGGTTTCAAAACCGGATCCAATCATCAGGGACCTGCCTTGATAGTCTTGAAGATGCACTAATCACAGCTTGTCCGTGGGACCCGAGAGTTAAAGGTGAGTATTTTCTGCAAACGACATTCCGTATCAGCTTAACAGCTGTTAACTTTTTCATCCAAGACGTCCAAAAGCTAGTCAAGTTGGAGCCTAAAGGGTTATGTGTTTTAGAACAGTACAATGGTATTCTCATGCGCTATGTTAAAGCATCAACCGCCTATTTGGGCGAACAAGAAGATGCATTAGACTTTGATATCACATACTATAGAAGCAAAGACCCTTTGACTCCTCGGCTTTTCGAAGATATACTCGAAGAAATAGAGCAAATTGCGGTTTTTAAGTATGGAGGGTTGCCACACTGGGGAAAGAACCGGAACTTAGCATTTGAAGGAGTTATCAAGAAATACAAAAATGCTAAGGAGTTTTTGAAGATTAAGGATGAGTATGATCCAATGGGGCTATTTTCCAATGATTGGACAGACCGAGTTCTTGGGGTAAAAGATGGGGTGACCGTAGTGAAGGAAGGTTGTGCGTTGGAGGGATTGTGTATATGCTCAGAGGACATTCACTGTGCCCCTAGTAAAGGCTATTTTTGTAGACCTGGAAAAGTTGACAAGAATGCCAGGGTTTGTACACTTATCAGTAACGAAAAGAAAACAGTGTGATATCTGAAGGAGTTTATAAGCTAATTAATAGAAAGATAGAAAGAAAACAAAGTTACTTTTATTGTTTGTTTGTTTATTAGGAAAACTAGAAAAATTGGAATTCTATTTATTTGATTGGAAACGAAAAGCGTCAATTATTTTGATTTATTGAAAGAAGATATTATATGGATTTTGAATTGCATGTGTCGTTTCTTGATATACGACTATCCAAAACGAGTGGTTTTTTTTTGTTTGCGTATGATCCCTTTTTCCAGGGTTCAATGTCACATATTATGACCTCTCATTCACCAAATACCGACTCTGCCCTCCACGTGAGGAAGTTTGATGATGACTTTCGTCCTTGTCAAATTCATCGGTTTGGTTCAATGTCAATGCTTTTTCGTTCCCTGGGCCCAATAAAATTAAAAGTGAGAAAGGCGAAATTTGGACCACAGGCCCAAGCTCTATCCAATTTAGGCCCTAAGCCATTTCTTTCTTTCTTTTTTTTTTTTTTTTTTTTTTGTATGATTCCTTTTTCTCAGGGTTTAATTGTCACTTATTATAACTCTGCATCGTACCAAATAACCGACTCTGCCCTCCGACGTGAGGAAGTTTGAATGATTGACTTTTTCGTGCCTTGGTCAAATTACAATCGGTTTGGTTCATGTCAATGCTTTTTCGTTCCCCTGGGCCCCAATAGTAAAAATTTAAAAGTGAGAAAGGCGAAATTGGACCGGCCACAGGCCCAAGCTCTATTCCAATTTAAGGACCCTAAGCGCATTTCTTTCTCTTCTTTTTTTTTTTTTTTTTTTTTGTGCCCAATTTTTTTTTTTTTTTTTTTTTTTTTTGTGCCCATCAGGTCAACTTAACATTGTAATTTGAATTGTTGTGTGAAGAATAATTTGTCGAGTTTGAATGTATATATATACACATGTAGTATATTCTTTATATACTCGATTCAATGCAGATGGGTAGTAAGCTTAAATTAAACTTGGACCAAACTTCAACTTTTATATATAAAAAAAAAAACAATAATTAAACTTGATATATAACTGATCCAACGTGATAAAATCAATACAGCATACTATTATTTAACTTATTGAGTGAATTTTAGAAATTAAAGACAAAAATTCATCAAGGAAATAATAATTTATATATTCAATAACGAAAATTTATCTAATTACCAACCCCACCACAAAATCATCAATTTATCATTAACTATGTCATGTTAGTAACATGTAATGTCGATTGATTGTCTTTTGAATTTGAAGTAATTCGATTTACATGATTTTGAACATAACATAGTTAAAATTGTATAAAGGTTTTTTTTTTTTTTTTTTTTTTTTTGAGGAGATTATGTTAATTAAATTCAAAATATTTAAAGGTTTTTTTTTTTTTTTTTTTTTTTTTGTGTTAAGAGAGGAGATTATTGTTAATAAATTCAAATATTTAAGGTAATCTCCGATAGAATTCTTATAAATTTTATATCAATTAAATTGAATTTCTTTTGGCACTTTAGATATAACTTTTGTTAATCATTGATTCTCAAAAGAAAATAATGTTGTTAATTAGTGAGAGGAAAGTAGTTTAGGAAAAAGAATTATTAGAAGAAAAAAATTCTGTACTAAGCAGCTATAAGTGGAAAGATTTGAGATCGGACAAGCAAATTTTGGTGTGCCTAATGGGATTAGAGGGCGTTATAGACATTGCACAGGCAAAATAAGATAACGTGGGTGTCATGCAGCGATCTCCGATTCGTGAAGCATAGGCCATTTCGCGTGGGATTGAGGCTCTTTCCTAATTAGGTTGCTTTGTAAAGAAAGCCATCTTTGGGTTCGTCGGATAACAAATACACACACCCGCGGAAGGGAAGAAAAAACAGAAACAGAGGAAACAGAAACAAAGAAAACAAAAACACACTGTGACACCCGAAAGCAAATCTCAGTCCACAATCCAAAAATACAGTCACTGGTACGCCAAGTTTCAGTTATGATTCCTTTATTTTTGTTTGCCTTTTCTGTGCCCAAAAAGTTTGTGCCTTTACACACACTTATGCCCTATTTAGCTTGTTTTGAGCTCATTTTATTCGAATTTGCTCAATTTAAGAATTTGGTTCTAGGGTTTTTGGTTCCATAGCTTGATTCGATTTGTAGATTTATCTCTCTTCCGCAAAAGCTTTCAGATTGATTCATTCCCCATCTCGACTCGTGCTGATTTTGGCTTGCATTTATTGGGGGATTGGATGGGTTTCACTTAATGGGATATTTTCTAATTTATCCTCGTAAAAGTTTTAGAAATTTAGAGAGAGAAAGAGAGTTATTCAGAATGGAATATAAAATTTTAGCTCTGATCGGAAACTGTATTTTCAGAATATTACTTGGTTATTTGGGCTTTGCCTACTTTTTTCATGTCTAGCTATCTTCCCTTTCTGAAACCTGAAACGGAAATGCAGGAGAAATGTTGCGAAATTCATCTTGATTCAGCCAAATTGTATGTTGGTGCCAAAGCTATCTCATGGATTTTATTTTTCGAATTTGTATCCCTATTTGTCATAGGGATCAATGCAATGGAATTTTTTTTTTTCCCTCTTAATTTCACTTTCCTTAAACCTCCCTGGGTCCTCACCAGCCGATACCGGCAAGAGAAAAATTTGTTGGTCGGTCCTCAAAGTATGTTAAATTTGATATAGAAGTACTATTGCAAGTTTACGTAACTGCTACTCCTTTTAGCAGCTAAATTTTGTGGCTTGCCAGTTCATACCTCGCACATGAAGAGTTTAAAAACTCTGTGTTGTAGCTTCCTTAGGTTCCCTTTTGGTACCCTTCCATATCAATTATTGTGCATCTTGCACATCCTTACAGATTCCATGCATTTTCCATAATGGTTAATCAAGCTTGCAGTTAATTTGGGGGCAATGTAACTGCAGTTATTGGATGATTAGACCTGCGTCGTGAAACAGTCATGGCAGAGGGTGCAGAAGTTGAGGAACGGGTGGATCTTGAAGAAGACAATTACATGGAAGAAATGGAGGATGATGTTGAGGATCAACTAGATGATGATGGCGAAGATGATAATGGAGATGCAAATGTTGAAGAAAATGCTGAAGAGGACTATGAGGACTTAAAAACTGGGGGTAGTCAGAAAGATCAATCACCAGAAACGCATAGAAGCCATGTGGATTCAGAGCCGCTGGAAGATGAAGAAAAACCAACTGCTTCTGTCAATGAAGAGGAAAAAGAGAAGCATGCCCAACTTCTTGCCCTTCCTCCTCATGGTTCAGAAGTTTTCATTGGCGGGCTTCCAAAGGACGTGTCAGAAGATGATTTGAGGGATCTCTGTGAACCAATAGGCGAAATTTTTGAGGTCATAACTGTTTGGGTACTTGCGATAAATAGGGATTTATTTTTTGGTTGTCCATTCTTAATTAATTTATTTTAAATTATTTCTCAGATAAGGTTAATGAAAGATAAGGACACGGGTGAAAGTAAGGGATTTGCTTTTGTTGCCTTTAAATCAAAGGAGGCTGCTCAAAAAGCCATTGAGGAGCTACATAGTAAGGAGTTCAAGGTAATCAATACTTGACACAGCAAATTGCATCACTTGAATAATTGCATGTACTTTTATATTAAAAAAGAATTTGCATCATTGGTGCAGGGAAAAACCTTAAGATGTTCACTTTCTGAAACCAAGAACAGATTATTTATTGGTAATGTTCCAAAGAGTTGGACGGAGGATGAGTTTAGAAAAGTCATTGAGGAGGTTGGTCCTGGCGTGGAAATCATTGAGCTAATAAAGGTAAAAGTATGAATTAGAATAAGATTATCTTCATTAACAGTGTAGTAGCCACTTCCCTTGTTAAATGATATTCTATTCTGTTAATGACAGGATCCCCAAAATCCAGCCCGTAATCGTGGTTTTGCTTTTGTATTGTATTACAATAATGCATGTGCTGATTATTCGCGGCAGAAAATGTTAAATGCAAATTTTAAGCTGGATGGAAATACACCAACTATCAGCTGGGCTGATCCAAAGGGCACTCCCGATCATTCTGCTGCAGCTGCTCAGGTGAATTATTAATGCAATTTGATGAAGCTGAGGCTTCATAGACGACACTGTTGCTTCTTTATTCAGGAATCCTATGCCTAACCAAATGCACTGTCCAAGTATTTTGGGAGTCCTGATATCAATAAGTTGTAGAGTTTTCTCTTCTATCTTTGGTGCATTCTACATTTTGTCTCATAATTTTTCTAAATAAGAAACTGGAGGAAATGATGGCATTAATATGATAGAAATTCATGAAACATGTTAATGCAAGTGTATTCATAATACAGAAAGTACTTAACAACAATCTGAGAAGTTATTATCTTGTATTAACTTATTTATTTATTCTATAACTTTTGTTAAGCTCTATGTCTTTTTGGGCACATGGTTTGTGTATGTGTGACTTTGTTTTTTCTTTTTTTAAGAGAGAGAGAGGGGCATTGCGGGGAAGGGGATGGAGGTTTTTCAATGGAATTCTGAATTACTGATGAAGCATCTAAAAATTGTTTTTATGGCCTTAGGCCATATCCTGTGCCATATTATTTTGGCAGGAATCTCAACATCTAAATTTACTGAAGAATATTTTTAAATAATATTATTTTCATTATAACAAGAGTACAATTGACTTGATGTAATAGTTTTTGAGAAACACGTTGCCCCTAAACATTGCTTGGCTGCTTCTCATGTTTACTGAAAATGTTAACCTTTTTGTCTTTACACATATTGTTTTGGTGCCCAGGTTAAAGCGCTCTATGTGAAGAATATACCTGAGAACACTAGTACTGAGCAACTGAAGGAACTATTCCAGCGCCATGGGGAAGTGACGAAAGTCGTTATGCCACCTGGCAAAGCTGGAAAACGAGATTTTGGATTCATCCACTATGCTGAAAGGTCAAGTGCATTGAAGGCTGTCAAAGATAACGAGAAATATGAAATTGACGGTAATTTTCCAAGACATCTATGCAACTTTTGGATTTTATTGAATCAATTGAACTTCCAAAATAACCCTGTTGTCAGATATCTGAAATAATCTTTACTAGGAAAATATAGAACTTAAAATTATTGACTAAAAATCATGGACATGTCATTAGCTTTCATAATTCATGTTAAAGTTGAGTTCAAATATTTGGTTACTTGTGGTATAAATTGTATTTATTATTTTTTTATTCTTTTTAATCGAAGTTATATCTTACTTGCTCTGGATAGACTTGTTTCATTATCCCCTTCTCTTATGGTTATCTCAACTGTCCTGTTTCAACCCCAAGAAAAGGGGGAAAGGAGCAGTTTGATTGGCAAGGCATATAGTGGTAATTGGGTGTTCAAGCCTAACTGCTGCAGTGCCAAAATAAGCTTTGTTTTATCAGCGTTCTCTTGGATAATTTTATTGAAAAATGAAACAGTTTGTCAGAGGAATTTGATAGCATTGAACTTTTTAATGACAGGCCAATTGCTGGAGGTTGTCCTCGCCAAGCCTCAGACTGATAAAAAACCTGATGTGGTTTATCCTTATACTGCTGGGCTTCATCCGAACCATGTTGCACGTCCTGCGTATGGTGGGTTCACTGGAAGCCCATATGGCTCTGTAGGTGCTGGATTTGGTGTTGCTGCCAGTTTTCAACAGGTATTTCTTTGAAATTAAATAAATTTTTCATACATTTGGCCTGGTCCATTACGGACAAAATGCATCTTCTTGAACTTTCATGAATGAACAGCCTGTTATATATGGAAGAGGTCCAATGCCAGCAGGGATGCATATGGTGCCAATGGTTCTACCTGATGGTCAAATTGGCTATGTTCTGTAAGTTTCTCTATCACATTGCTTCATGTTTTTTGCCTTTTATTAGACATTTTCAACAATTGCCTTGATGTTCATTGGACAGTCAGCAGCCTGGAGTGCACATGCCACAACCTCGGCCTAGGAGAGTCGATCGGAGCAATGGTCCTAGTGGGCCTGGACGAGCCGGAAGTAGTGGAGATGATGGCAATCGTAGCAGAAGATACCGTCCTTATTAGTAGTTGAGCTGTAGAGATGTGTCATAGTTTTTTCTCAGGGAATCAAGAGACATGTAGTTGGACGACTTGTTGCTGGAAACAAAATAACAGATCACCACCATGCCCCTTTCTTCTCCAGTACCCCAAAACTCTAGAATTTTTAAAGGGGAAAAGTATGAAAAGAGGAAGAAAAAGGATGTTAGAATTAGGACAGAGGTGTCTTGTGACTTTTATGTGGTAGGAGACAATTGAAAGTCTCACTTTATGTAATTCTCACATATTGATGGTTTATTTATTGGCGTTATGCTATGTTTCTGAGCAGGAATTAAGAAGTAGCTATTGTTTTATTGATGTGCAAATATGATTTGGCATCCAAAGTGCTTGTCATTTCATGTACTATTATGTAATGGTTGATGTGGCTCTTGTTGCAGCACAAGGGAAGCACATAACAGAAAATTAAAACAGGTACATGGAAGGAAAAACAATCTGAAGACATTTTTGTTGTAGATCCCATTTGGTGAAACTGAAGCATAAGAAAGGAAGATTGGATTATGATTGTGTTGGAATTAGAATCTTGGCTTAAAGGGAGTCGCATAGTTCTGACAAGTGTCATTGTAACAGGACTAATTGTCAAATTAAAAGAACTGTTAAAAGATAATAAATGGACAGCAAATCATATGTAAAATCCACGCAACCAAACTAACCCCCTTAAAGAGTTAAAAGTAATGTCATTTTGTTTTTCTGCTAGCGTGAACAAAAGGAAAAACATTACTCAGTAACATAATTTATCTTATAATTTTATGTAGTTAACTTGGTAACTACAGATTACAAAGTACAACTTTGCAAGTTCCAGACTTTTGTGGGAAACAAGCAATATGGCAATGCTTAATCAATTCTATAGATAAGAAGAAGCCGAGAAGAAAGGATTTGAAAATGGAAAACAGCAAAAATTTATCATTTTTTTTTTAAATTCAGTTAATTTCACTAATTATTCAGTTAATTTCAACCTTCGCTCTCTTTTTTTTCGAAAATTAGGGCAACTAATGATTTTCTTAATCCTAAGTTCCAAAAAAAAAAAAAAAAAAGTTAATTTCACCCTTTCGCTCCCTCTTTTTTTCAAAATTAGGGCAAACTAATGATTTTCTTAATCCTAAAAAAAAAAAAAAAAAATGTTAATCCTCGTACAATTACCTTAAAAGGATACTTAAAAAAAAAAAGTGACGGAGGTGGCATGGAAATTGTACTAGAAAACAGGCAAAAGGATAATGAAATTCGGAAAAAACGTTGAACAATTAATTACACTATTTAAACAAAATTCTTCATTTGGTTTCAGAGAGTTCCTGAAGACGCTTATCCAACTCATCCAATTTAGCACTCCATTCGCTCTTTATACACAAAGGCCTGACATTGCTATCGTCCACATCATCCTCCTCCCTTTGGCCACCACCGCCGGCAGAGAGCAACCCCTTTGTTTTCCGATTCTTTTTAGTAGCGCCGCCGCTCGCTCTGTTTTTCTCAGCAGCCGCTCTCTGCATAGCCCATAGCACATCTAGTCCACTGAGCTGATTAGTTACTGCTCCACTTTGTTTTTGGTTTTTGGATTCTTGATTTTGTATCTGTTGGCGATCTTTTCTGGTCAGGGAAGAGCCGCGGTGGCGAGGGGGCTGAGAGGCGGCTGATACGGCGAGTGGTTTGTTGGGTTTGGGAATGAGAGGAAAGAATGGTCTTTGTGGTAGAGTTACAGCCCACATGTTTCGCTAGACGGTCTCAATGTGCTGTTGAGCCAATGTTATGCGGTTAGAAATTCTTAACCTCTTAAAATTCGTAACCCAAATTTAATAAAGCGTGTAACTGAAAGTAGTTTCCGTGAAATAAATTATTGTATTTCTCTATAAGGAGGACCAATGTAAAATACGATGAATTGGACAACTAAAAACTGAAAACCGAAAATGAATGTATTATTCTGAGCCACAATTATCAAACATCATCAACACATAATTTTTTCTCTTCCATCTCAATCTTTTCTTTTCCATCACAATTTTATTTGGGGACACCTCAAATCTGTTGTTGTCATCTTTTTGCCCATACAAACTTGTAGCGGAAATTACATAACTAAACTTATTATCATAACCATATTTAATCTTCACAATAATTATATAATTTTTCTCATCAGGTGAGAACATGGGTATTAATACAAAGAGCTTGATCATAGGTCCAGCTAAGACCCACATCCACGTTACAATTAAAGTCTTGTAATAAAATGACACTTAATTGTTTGAAATGAACAAGTTAACCCACGGGAACCTTGACCGGGTACCTGTGAATGGAGTCGGCCCATGGGTTACCCATTTCTTCACCCAAAGGAATGGCCCTGAGCGCTTTCCAAACCGCACTGTTGCACTTGAAACCCGACCCGAAAGCAATCTGCCAGATCCTATCCCCGCCCGAGACCCGACCCTTTGCCTCTGTATAAGCCAGTTCGTACCACAAGGAGCTACTGGAAGTATTACCAAACCTATGCAGAGTCATCCTTGATGGCTCCATGTGCCAATCAGTGAGCTGCAAATTTTTCTGCAACTCGTCCAAAACAGCCCTACCTCCTGCATGTATGCAGAAATGCTCGAACGCAAGCTTGAAATCAGGTATATACGGTTTCACTTTCGCTTTCAACACTTTCTTTCTAACAAGAGTAACGAAAAACATGAATTGCTCGCTTAAAGGCAGCACTAAAGGACCTAAAGTAGTGATGTTCGTTTTTAATGCGTCTCCAGCTACTGCCATTAATTCACGAGCTAATGACACCCCAACGGTTCCTTTATCATCTTCTCTTTGGTAAACGCATTGATAGTGTTTGTCATCAGCTCCTTTATGGGTTCGAACCGTATGGACCAGCTCATATTTGGAACGCCCTCTGTCTTTTGCCTTGTTCGACAGAAGAACAGCAGCTCCGCCCATGCGAAATATGCAGTTAGGTAATAACATTGACCTATCCTGCCCAAAATACCAGTTTAGTGTTATATTTTCTGTGCTCACCACAACTGCATAACTATTCGGGTTTGCTTTAAGAAGATCTTTAGCAAGATTGATAGAGATAAGTCCTGCACTGCATCCCATTCCGCCTAGATTGTAACTCTTAATATCCGTTCGAAGCTTGTAATGATTCACTATCATAGAGGAAAGAGAAGGGGTTGGATTAAACAGACTGCAGTTTACAATTAGAATGTCTATATCTTTTGGCTTAATTCCGGTTTTTCCAAAAAGCGAGTCCAGTGCTCCAAACATGACCGACTCGGCTTCGTTTCGGGCTTCCTCCATGCACAAATTCGGCGGTCTTGAGGTTATTCCTTTCGGGAAATACGTTTCGTCGCCGAGACCGGATCGTAGCGATATCCTTTTCTGAAATTGAATTGTTTCGGCCTCAAAGGAACCGCAATCTTCTGTCATTTTAATAAACGACTCCACCGACAACTTCCGTTCATCTTCCGGTTTGTAACATGCAAAGTCGAGGAGATAAACCGGTCTGGACCGCTTGCCCAAGTAGACTCCAAGAAGGACGAGTAACAGAGCAAAACCGACCAGTCTTGTGGCCACATCGATTTCATGGAGTTGAACGGATCGTTTGGTCCATAACTCATAAAGCAGGTCTAATTCAAGACCGGTGATTTGAACCAGCGTGGCTATGGATAAAGGGATAATTGTGAGAAACATGAGTATAGTAGCCGGGTTGCATGAATATCCATAGCCTAACCTAACGTACTTGAGCTTAACGGACTGTAGAAAATCAGGCAAACGTTGACGGATTTTGATTACGGCAGAGGAGTTGTCTTTAAAAGCCATCTCCGCCGTCAATCTCTCCTTATCCATATCAATACTATCCATTAGCTCTGTTTTTAATTGGTTTTGGTATGTCTGAGAAAATAAGAAGGATCTTGCTAACTTATAAAGAAAGGGTCTAAAGATTAGGCTGAGCTAAATCACCGTCCAGAGAATAACAAATGCCAAATTGATAGCAAGCCCTACACGCCTAATAACAGTTCATGTATGGTTGGTTGGTGAGATAGACAGGGAGTGACGGAGAGAGAGAATTGAACATCAAGAACGGGAAATTAGGACAATATAAAGGCTAGTATATTAACTGCAACAAAGCTGGAATGATAGTCTTGAATTTATGGAGAGTAGTTCCAAGAAAAGGTGGATAGCTCAACCACCATTGGAATAGAAGACCGGAACAATTTTTATTTTTCGTTTTTAATTTTGATGGAGATCAAACCGAATATACAGAAATTCTATAATCTAGTTTTGGTAACCTATAAATTAATTAATAAAAAAAAAAATTGTAGTGTTTGAAGGTGGTGGGGGCAATTGAGCATATTTGGCCATGTGAAAATATGAGGTTTCTTTCAAGTTTCAAGCAAGACTACAGATTATGAAGGTTTTTTTCTCTTTCTTTTTATTTATTTATTTGTTTATTATTGTGCTTATTATTTCAGAATTCATATACTTCTTGGCTTATGTTCCAATAAAGACAATGTTTCACAGTAATGGGGTCCACTGTTATTTATATGGACTATCTTTCTCCAACATATTTCTTACCCCGAACATATAAAATTGCCTCTCGACTTGAATTTTGGAAAATACCTACAAATGTTTCTTGAAGATTTTTATTTACAACAAAAGTTACAATTTTTTTTTTTTTTCTTTCTAAACGTTTAAACTGTCATCGAGATAAAACCTAAAATTTAGGGACAATTTTATGGATTAACCCTATTTCTTAGAAAGGCAGGCCTGATGGGAAATGTTAACAGAGATGAGGGTAGAATGGTCATTCGAGATAGCAAGTCATATAAGGCTGGTAGAATTTAGGTGACTAGCCATCGAGATATATAATAAATGAAACAGAGAGTCAAACAAGTAACCCGCTAACGTTATTACCGGAGGATTATACTTATTTAACTGTGCCGTTGAGCTCGTTTATAAATTAAATTAATAAAAATATAGATTTTTTAAATTTTTTTTCAGTATATAATCGAAAAATGTCTTTTTCAATAAGAACTTTTTTTTTTTATTAATTTGTTCTAGAAATCGGCACATAGATCTAATATAAGCTAAGTAAATTTGGTCATATCAATGTTATTACGAGAAGGTGCCAATTCTGGCTCTTTCTATCTTTGCCACGTTTGAATTTACTGGAACAGAATAAAATAAATAAAAATTGTCGAACGCATTGTCAGGTCACAATTTCCTTTGCTGTAATTTTTATGCCGTTTTGAAGGAGTGAGGATTCAGTTATAACGGAAGAAACATAATTTCGCAGTCATACTCGTATGCATATTATATATATAAATACTATGATTGTAAGTCTAAAAAAAAGCGTTAATTTGATTTACCCCATAACTATATCTTTCAAATTTTAATACCCATATATGATATATATCTTAAACCCATTTAATAAATACTAAAATTCTCCTTGAAAGGATTAAAATATATATATATATTACATAATATTCAATTTGATTGATGTACTAACATTTTTTTTAGTACTAAAAAAAGATTTAAATATAAATATATTGTCAGATTATACATGCACTTATCAGCTTAACATATTTATTTTCCTTTTCTAATTTTGAATTTTTTAATTATACCGTACATAATATGTCAAAAGAAAAAAGAAAAATAAACAAATATAGCCATTAATAGGCCACTAGCCATAATTTTGTAATTATCCAAAACTCCTAATTTAAAAGATACATTAAGGTTGATTAATGAATTTTAAAAGATAATTTAAAAGACTTATATATTTTAGTTATTCTTCTCTCTCCCACCGTTTATAGAAACATGGTCAATATTTTGTCTTTTTGATCTCTTTCCATTCCCAGCAAAGTTTAAAACACTCTAAGAACCCTCACAAAACAAAACACCAGGACAAATGCATGCGTCCGTCTACGGTCTACCTAATTTAATTGAAGTTAAAGTTCAGACAATGACTGTTGCTCTTTAAAGTTTAAACATATATACATCTTAAGAAAAAAAGTGTGTGTATATATATATATATATTCCAGAAACAGTAAAAGGACATGGGTAATTCATACTTGGCTAACTGCCTAGTCTTGGAAAACATCAACTACCTTGTTTCTTTGGCAAACTCGGCAGTTTCCAAACTCGCCAAATGGGTGTACAGAAAAAAGTGAAAGAGACTTAAATAAGTTAGACGTGATCATAGTTTCAGAACCTCTAATTTCGATTTTAAAATTGTTAATTCTGCTTATAAAAAATTAAAAATTTAAAATTAAATTGTTTTTAAAAGATTACGATTTAGAACTAGAACCGTTGATCATAGTTTAATACTGATTCAATTTCAATTGAGTTTCAATTTGAAATCCAACCTTGATCATCCCATCCCTTGGATAAGCTTGCATTGAAAGCCTAACTCCCAACAATTCATTCAATGGATTAGCAACTCTACCATCCTTCTTTATTTTTTTCTTTCCTTCCTCCAAATTTATAGAGGATTTATGACTGAAATAATATTATTTTAGAGATCATAAGAATATTATTATAAATTTCTCATAAATATTTGGATTTATTATAAAAAGAAAAACAAATCAATTGAACTTGGTTAAGTGTTAGAAATTATGATATGAATTACGAAAACGTTTCGACATAAATTGGGTGGACTTCCAAATAACTCAACTCGTAACTAGAAACTAACCTAATAAATAATAATGGCCAATGGATATCCATATATCAGAAACTCAGACCCACATATTAAAAGAAAAAATTATTACCGTTCAATAAAAGGACAGTACACGCGTAGATATGATGATTACGGACAACAGCAAACCGTGCAACTTGTCTTTTTTGTTCACCGACGAACGGTCTAGAGAGAAACAGAATTCTGAATTCTTGGTCGCTGGACAGTGGTCGCATTAAATTTAAAATCAAATTGATCAAAAGCACAAAAAGCATGCATGTATCATGGGGTGGTGAGGTTGAGTCTGTAACTCTTGATTTTCATTAGGGCAACCCAATCAATTTCAGAGATTGAGTTCAGACTGAATTGGTTCTCATTAAAATTGAATGAGATAGAAACTTTAAAGACCCAGAATCGCATTATCTTAATATTGTATCCAATTCAATTGAGAGATTCAATTCTTTTAATTTAGATTTGATTGAATTTGATCCAATTTGAAATTTTGAAAAATTTCATGTTAAAAAAACAAACAATTTATCTTATAATTAATAAGAACCAATTAATTTTCCTTGAATATTTTATGATCAATAAATTATTGACATAATGAAAAAAAAAAAAGAAAAATAGAAAAATTTTTAAGCTAGAAAACAAAGTTTCCATAATTGATAAATTCAAAATTAAAGTACCAGTTTAATTTTAAAATTCTTATTTAATAATACTTTAAATTCATGTAAGTTCACATTATTTTGGACTAGCTAGTATACATAGAATTTGTATGTAGCATATGTATAAACAATATATAAATTTACATATTTAATTACAATATCATGTAATATTTTTTAAAAATATTCATATATATTTGTGAGAGAGATATTGTATATATATGAATATCTAGATTCAGTTAGTTCGTGCAATTTACTGCAGTTCAATAAGTGTTCTGGTTTGATCATTACTGAAGATTCAGAACCGTTCAGTAATAAGAAATTATGTGCAATCAAATTTTCATTCAATGTTTAAAGTGTTCGGTTTTTGAAATTCTCATTCTTTTTTAATTCGGTTTTTTCATTTAATTCGGGATGACTGATAATCATCATGCACAGCCCTAATAAGGTGAGTTCAGCGGCTTCTTTCCTGAAGTTCTCCTTCGCTTGGAAAAATTTTTTTATTTCAAAATTTTTATTTTGATTGCTCTCTTTGTGCCTTGGAAAAAAAAAATATGAGAAAAAGAATTTCTAATTTAATTCGTAATTGATAAATGTTTTTACTAATGAGATGAAAGTTATAATATAAAATATAAATAATTCCAGTAATGAGATGATGTCAGAATAGCTGTGTGAAGAATGCAACACGAAATTTCTAACGAAGAGCACAAAAGCTAATAAACCTCTTCTATACTGCAGTATATTGTCAAATGAAGGATTCATTCAATTACATGAACAGTCGCCTATTGCAAAAACATGGTGGATTTGATTCAAGAAATCAATTGGAAAGAGGAGAAAATAAGTTGGGAGGCAGTGTTAGAGGAAGCAAAGCCCAAATACATACCCCTTCATTTCTTCCTTGTCACTCCAGTGCAGATCCCTTAAAAACACCGCACAAGCCGACACCTTGCTTTGCTGAAATTGCAGCCGCTTCCCAGATTTATAAATGCAATACAGCTTAAACTAAGAACCATTAATGGAATGGACTCAATGTGACAGTTTCTGTTATAACCTGCACGAGAACATTACAGTCAATTGAATGTGCTTCCTAATCTGTACAAGCCAGCCAGCATTAAATAATTGCGCCCCATAGAGAGAGAGAGAGAGAGAGAGAGAGAGAGAGAGAGAGAGAGAGAGAGATATTACCTCACTCCTTCTATGGTTCCTTCAGATTTCCAGACTATATCCTTTAACCCTGTTGAGAAATTTCTGTAGAACTGCCATATCATCAAAGAAAGGAGGAGCTCCAAATTAGTTCACTGCGTATTTTGACCAGTGGAAAATTAAAATTTCCTCCGTGTAATATGATCAAGGAAATGAATGATGGAAAAGTAGAAAAGAGAAAAGCTTTAGATAATTTGGTCAAAATGATGTTTTCATTCTTTTACTTGTAGCAGTCCAAGTAATTGAAAACTAGTTTGATTTGGGAATACAACTATTTCTTCATAAATTTTCTAAGCAGCAAAATACATCCAAAATGAAAACCTTCACATGCCTTGTGAAACTCTAGCGTATCACCGCCAATTTTCCGGAGCTCCACCATGTGCAAGGAGGGTGCTACCTCGAACACCTGAGGTCCAAAATCAATCAATTTATGAAGTAATGCAATATGGTGTCAAAAACTTGAAATGCACGAGCAGCAAACCATAGTATTATTCAATAGAAGAAACAACATATTAAAGGTTTATCAAGCCAACAGCAAAATAATTATGATTGGAGGGTTTTTTTTTTTTTTTTTTTTGGTTATTTTAAATAAACGGCGTCTACAATACGACCAAAATTCATATAGCTATAAGCTTAGAACAGAGATGCAGCTGCTGCTTACCCTATGATTTCTATAAAAATGTAATAACTCTCTTATGTTTTTATATACTAAGTAGATCGCATTTAATGCGAGATGGGCATTCGGTGCAATCGTTGAACCTAGATTTTTGTTTCTATGTTTATAACCTGCTTGATCACTAAGGAAATCAATTTAACAGTCCATGTATAAAGTTGTGCTTTTCCATTTCTTGGTACGAAAGGACTATTCTCCTAGCAAAATTAATTGCGTGTGTGCCTCCTCATTTTAGAGACTTGGATATGAGGAGAGAGTACGGAATATTTGTAGATAAGAGAATGAGTAGATAATGTTATGTAAGAGAAGAAAAAAGAAGCAAAATATTACATTTCTTTACTCTACTATATGTTTTCCTTCAGATTTCCAACTCATATCCTTTTTTATTATTATACACTTTTTTGTGTTTGAGAAATTTTCTGTTTTATATTATGCTTGCTCTCCATTTATCATCAAAAGAAAGGAGGAAGATCCAAATTTAGTTCACTGCGATTATTATTTGTACCAGTGTATGTGAAAATTAAAAATTTCCCTTTCTCTTCTGTTTTAATGATAAGTATGCAGTCAAGGAGAAGATGAATGATCGGAAAAGTGTAGAAAAGAGAAAAGCTTTAAAGATATTTTGGTTCAAAATTATAGTGATGTTTTCTATTCCTGTCTTTACTTTGTAGCAGTCTCATAGTTATTTATACACTTGAAAAAACTGAGTTTTATATTTTTTGGGTAAATACCAAATACCTACTTTTCTTTCATTTACATTAATATAATATTTTCTTACCAGATTTGTACCATTGCGCTACAATAATACATTCCACAAAAAATGGCCAGACTAAACTCTCATTTCTAACACTGGCCTTGTATGAAACCTCTAGCGTATTCACTCTGCCAATTTTCCGGGAGGCCTCCACCATGTGTCTAATGGAGGGTGCTACCTCACTGCTCAACTACCTTGATTCGGTTCCACCAAATTCTTCTCAGATCAATTTACTAGAAGAATTGCCCAATTATGTGTCAAAAACTTGGAAATTGCACGAGGCAAGCAAAAACCATAGTTATTATTCAATAGAAGAAACAGCCACCAATAAAAAAGGTTAAGCAAGCCAACTAGCAATAATTATTGATTGGGAGGGTTGTTTTGTTTTTTTTTTTTTGGTTAATTAGAAGGTGTGAGCATATAATGCCTTACAAATATACTTACAAATTCATAGAGTCTTACAATACTAGAAAAATCAATAGCCAAAAAACCCTATATAAAATCACCCACCATGGTGGCTAAATACGTCGGAATGCAAAAAAATTTTCACGAAAGATCACTCAGCACAATAAACCACCTTGGAGTTTAGAATTGTGTGCAACACAAACCATTTTCAATATAGCCTGCCTACAATAGAGGACCTCTTTTAATACTCTTCTTTCAAATGGTCATCATTGTGAGCGCATATGAAGAGTTGGAACAAAGAATCACCATAATCTTCAAACTTCCTACCGTGCATAATTTTAAGTCAATTTTGCAAATTTGCAATGCCACCAGAGCCCTAGCATTTGATTAATAAATTATACAAAATTTACCTAACAAATCCCTTCCTAAGATGAAACAGTAAAATATTAAGAGTTGCCCATAATTTCACAGTTAAAGAAAGTTGGGACACCAGATGGGGTTTTTTTTTTTTTTTTTTGGTTATAGAAGGGGAGCAAAGCTTAAAAACTACAAACAAATACAATTATGAAATAAATAGCCATATAACATTCAACATGAAAATCGAATGCAAAAAATTTTCGAAATCACTCGCACATATAAACCACTGGATAGACATGGGACAAAATTTCAAAAGGAATAAGCTCTTTTAAAATCTTCTTCAAATGGTATAGTGCGCATGAGAGTTATCCATATCAACCTACGGCTTCAAGTTATCCAATTTCAAATTTGCAATGCACAGAGCCATAGGCATGTATAATTATACAAAATACCTAACAAATTTATGAACAGTAAAATATAGTCCCATAATTTCACAGTAAAGAAAGTTGGACACCAGATATAGAATGACCCACCTTGTTGAAAATTAGAAAAGGAAATTTTGTAAGAAAAATCTCAGAAAGATAACATTTAAGCAATTGGATGCTTACTCCACAGCAAAACAAAGAGGTTCATCCCAATTTGGATGCAAGAAAAAGAAGACTAAGGTTATCCGAACTGAAAAAGACAGCAATTGCTTTTCTTTTTTCTAGAGTTCATATTTTTGTTTCTTATACAGTACATTATAATAACAGATAATAGCCCCAACAGGCCAACACACTTCAGTACCAAGCCAAAATGCATAAATGTCCGAACCTGTCAACACCAGGCACCAATTATTTTTTGCGGCTTTTTTTTCTCTAGGAACCAAAACTTTTCAGTTAGGAAAAATTTTTTCAATCCTAAAAGTTTATTTTACACCTCATTCTTAAGGAAATCAAAAGGATAATGCATCAATCTGCCAGGGGTTAAGCTAATTACCTCAGTGGCAACAGAGAGCTGACCCTTCCTCCCATTTTTATCACCTTTCAGCTTCATCTGCAGCAGTTTGAAATTAAAAAAACAAAACAAAAAATGAATTCTTCATTATAGAAGTGATTGATACCTTGTAGTTTCGCTTGTCAACATTAAAGCCCAGAGGCTTTGCAGCTTCCTCAATTTTAGACATAATTTCATTTGCAGGGCTATGGGAAGCAAAACGGGTTTCTCGCTTCACAAGACCCTAGAGTGCAGAGATCCAACACAGAGAGAGAGATAGAGAGATTAGCTATCAAGAACAGGTTTTACCTTGATAAAGATCCTATCCACACTGATAAAACAAGGTTGACAAATGATAACTAATTATTTATACGATCATTAGAAATCAATTCCTACACCTCCACAGACCCCTTGACATAAAATTTGCTAAACTGATAACAATGATGATAAAACAATGAAGTTATACATACCGCCTGCTTCTCAAACAAATTTTCGAGGCTAAAGCCCTGTGTTTTAGAAATAAGCTCAAAAGCATTCATTGACACAGGTTTCTCTTTCCTTTCTGTTACTAGAGGTCCCTGCAACATTATATAAAAAATTCAGCTGGTGCTTGTTCTCAATTGTCAGTTCTGTCTGGGCTACAAAGTCATGGATAGCACATACTAAACCAAATAAATCTGGGAATCAGACATTTTGCATGTTCCAATACAGAATTCCCTCCATGAAAGAACTAGCATAAATTAAATTTGGAAAAAGCATATTTTACATAATCATCTTGGCTAAAAGAAAACTAGAGTTGTGATTATATACCTTTGAGCCACTGAAAGCAGCATCAACATCATCAAGAGTCACACCCTCTTCCTGCTCAAACTGTGGAGGCTTGTAACCTTTCTTGAACCACTCATCTTCTAGGATCTCAGGAATGGTTATCCGCTGCAGAAAAATAAATCATCACTTCAATGAAATACATGTGCATTAAGAATACATCATACCGCGTAATCTTAATGCACTCATGATAACAAGAAACAGAACCAAAAGAATCATAACAGGAAAGTATTCAGGAACTCACTGTCATAGGATTCGGATCAAGAATGCGCTTTACCAGTTTCTTTGCACCAGAGGAGAACCAAGACGGACATGTGTAATCGGCACTGCAAATCTGAAATTATTTTTTGAAAAGCATTATTATGCATAACTAACTGCAAAAACATGGACAAAAGTCCTATTATTACTTACCTGTTTATACAACTCCCTAAGACTTGGCTCATCAAATGGTAAGTATCCAGCCATTAGCACGTACAAAATGACCCCACAAGACCAAACATCAGATGTTGCACCATCATAACCTTTGTCTTTGAGAACCTAGAAAGGATAATATCATATGCCACAAATGATACTTTTGTTGCAGCATTATAGAATCTTATCCCTTTTTTTTTATCAGCATTTAGAGAATCTCATCTATCAAGTGCTAGATTGGTACCTCAGGGGCAACATAATTTGGGGTTCCACATGTAGTGTGAAGCAGCCCATCCCCCTACATATTGGAAAAATTGTTAGTGTGGTCTGCCTTATTGAAAGCAATGTAGAGGTGATTAATCCTGTAATCATTCAATTGATAATTGCCATTTAACCTTGAGATATGTATGCAATAATATGAAATACTACTTAATTACCTGTACTTGTTGCGACATTATTGCACTCAATCCAAAATCTGAGACTTTAAGAATGCCATAAGAATCAAGAAGAAGGTTCTCAGGCTGCAAAATGCAGCAAAGCCTCTAATGTAACTTATGCCAATAATCAAATAAGAGGTATGTGTTTGTGTTTGTGTTTGTATTTGTGTGTTTAGACTTAGAGTTTAAACATAGGCATCAACTGGTGAATCAAGGAAAGAAAAATTACTAAACCTTCAAATCTCTATGGTATACTCCTCTACTATGACAGTAATCCACAGCGTTGATGAGCTGTTGAAAATATCTCCTGGCTTCATCCTCTTTAAGTCTCCCATGCTTTGCCTAAAAGATAAATATATGTTTCTTATGGTAAAAAGAATTTGAGAATTTGCACCTTAAAATACACAAACAACTCAAAGACATAGCTCAAACAACAAAATTTCTTACAATTTTGTCAAAGAGCTCGCCTCCATCAATAAACTCAAGAACAATATAAATCTTTGTTCTGCTTGCCATGACCTACGAATATAGAAGCCAGATATAGTGGGACAAATGAGTTGGAATTTCAAGCAAAGGCCCTTCAGATTCATCAAAGGCTCCTAAACGCAAGACACACCCTCCTCAAAACCAGACTTTCGAATTTGAGAAAAAAAAAAAACCATTTTCCTTTTTTACACCGCGCTTATAATTTCAATTGATCATATGTTAACCAGCCGCCTGACGATATCACAAGAAGTAAAACGATTATGCCATTTTAACGCCACGTGAATTCAATTTGTATCTAGAAAAGAAAATTTGTTTCTCCTGATAATCTCTTCGAAAACAGAATTAAAAGAATATGTACCTCATATATTTGAACAACGTTAGGATGTTTGATCAGTTTCATTGTCGATATTTCTCTTTTCAACTGCCAACAACAGAGAAATAATAAACAACGATAAGTCACGATTTTTAAATGCATATTGACTAAAATAGATGACAAGTTGACGTTATTAGACTAATAATAATATCAAACATTTAATTCCGAAATTTTAAGAAATCCTGATTTCAGCTATATTATATCTAGGCAAACCTGTTCGACCATCTTGTGACGGAGGACTTGCTCTTGGTCGAGTATTTTAATGGCAACGCTATCGCCGGTTTCGACATTTTTGGCGAACTTGACCTTGGCGAAGGTGCCTTCACCTACGGTCCGTCCCAACTCGTACTTCCCGACTCGCGTCCGCGTTGCAGGTACCTTCACGCTCATTCTCCCCTTGCCGTCAGATAAAAAATGCAAGACGGTGATCAATTAATACGGTTCCGATTTTTTACAGTAAATCAAATTCCTGTGTAACCGGTATATACGTGAATGCGCTATTGAATCTGGATAGATATGCAAGCTGAAGCTTTTGTTTCGAGTTGCAGGGGAGAGAGAGCAAGAAAGGGAGAGGAATTTTGCGGATTATGGTGTAGGAGAAAGAAGCGAGAAGGCCGTGGAGTCCACAGGATGCCCTGGGCCCCGCCGAGCTGTCAGGTTATCCACCCGATCGATAGACCCCTGTTTCCGTGTCTGCAAATTTTTGTCTCGATTTGTATTTAGCGCAATGTTAATTGTTGAAGGAATTCGCAGTGATACAGTAAAAATAAATAATAAAAAAAAACACTAATGTTTAATTAGGTGAATCAGTGGAAAAAATAATGACTATTATTATAAAAAAAATTACTAATTAAAAAGTTAACTACGTATGAGAATGCTAAACATTAAAAGTTAAATGTTAGATCGTTTAACATTTTATAAATCTCTAAACCTATTAAAAAAATTATATCATGAAAAATTACAGATAAAATAGAGTTTTGATTTTATCAAAATACTAAAAACTAACTAAAATTATTACTGAACAACAGCCTAATATCGAATGAATTAGACAATGCATATTTAGTTGTCGATATAATCAGCGTATTCATCAATTGCCAAATTATTTTTATTTAATGTGACAATGTGAGCGTATGTATATATACACTTAAACAAAATGAGAGACCATACCTACAAATTTGGAAATAAATAAATGATTCCTAATTCAACACATACAAAAGAGTTAATAAAAATTTTAAGAAACAAAAATAATGTAAAAATACTTTTTTGTTGATTAGAAATTAAGGAATTTCTTTATTTTTATTTTTTTGCTTTATATTCATATGGATATTACTGATAGTACTAATATTTCTTCTGTTTCCAAAAAAAAAAATCATTTTTATTTTTCTTTACAAATTATAGCCCTATATCTTATTTTAAAAGAAAATAAAACACTCTCATTTAATAAACATCTTTATTAATAAATACAATATTCTTACTATTAACCAAATATCGAAATAAATCAAGTAAAATGAAGTAGTCTATATTTTTATGAAAAAAAAAAAGAAAAAAGGAAATTTGGTAATATTATGAGAAAGATAATATTGGCAATGGATATTCATGATGCAGATGACGACGTGCCAGAAGTAGCAACCTCAATAATTGAGAACGTCCAAAAGATGTAAGAGTAAACTTGGAATATGCGAAATGGTTGACCTGGACTAACACTAGAGCCGTTTTTGTTTTACAATAAACAAATCCAAATACAATGTGCACGGCCAAGACGTTTACGCAGGTTTTTTCCCGTCTCACGTGTCATGGTTGAGCCTTGACCACACACGCTGTTACCACTGTTATTAGTAATTTATTCCCAATCCAACTGAAAAACATCTTTCAAAGTATGTATCTTTATCATGAAATGTCAGTCTTTTAGTATAATCCAAACCAATCAAGGGACACAGAAGAAGAAGAAGAAGGAGAAAAAGCCAATAATGGAGAAATAATAGAAGAGAAAAAGAATTTCCATTTTGCTGATGTTGATGGATGATGGACCCCTCAACAATGTATTGCCCTATTAGGTTGCTGAATTATTATACCCCTTGATTGATTAATCAGTCAATTAACTATATTCGAGGATTTTACAATTCATATTCTTTTCAAAGGCGCAAATCTTTCAAAAGACAATATTAAATGGGCCTGGACTCATGGTTCAGACTCTATTTTAACACGGACGGATAGCTAATTGCATGGCTCAATTCCAATCAGGCCCACCAAGGAGAGGCCCTTGTTGTTCAATGCATACTTTTCTTCTTCTTTTTTTTTTTTTTTTTTTTTAATTCAAGTCAATTAAACTTATATTCGAGGATTTACCAATTCATATTCTTTGCAAAGGGCGCAAATCTTTCAAAAAGATCAATATTAAATGGGCCTTGAAACTCATGGTTCAGACTCTAGTCTTTTGTATGGAGAGTTAGACTTACTGGACGGAGTAGCTAATTGCATGGCTCAATTCAATTGCAGGTCCCACAAAGGGAGAGGGCCTTTTGTGTCGAAGTTTGCCCATACTTTTCCTTCTTCTTTTTTTTTTTTTTTTTTTTTTATTTAACAAGATACGAGTGTTTGTTTAATTTTTTTAGAACCATTTATTTAATTATTAAATTAAAAAGAAAAAAGGTGAACCGCAACGAGCTTCAGAATCTTTATTTTTTTTTTTTGCGAAACAACTCAATAATGTCAAAGATAATTCCATATCTTATGTAAAATCATAATGATGATTATTCCCATTAAAAGAATACAGTTTTTTCAAATGAATATTTCTTTTTAGGGAAGAGAAAAAATGGTTTGCAGAATAACTCGGTCGGTAAATAAGTTTTTTTTATAATTAAAAAAATAAAAAAAAATTAATTATATTAGGGCTTTGCAATGATTAGATATTTCCCGTTGCTTTCAAGATTGTCAAGGCTAATTTGATTATTTTTTTTTTTTTTTTTTTTTATTAATTTGTTTAATTTTTTTAGAATTTATTTATTTAAATTAAAAAAAAAGGTGACGCAACGAGTTAGAATCTTTTTTTTTTTTTTTGGAACAACTCAATAATGTCAAAATATATCCATATCTTATGTGAATCATTAAGATGATTTTCCATTAAAAGAATAGTTTTCAAATGAATATTTCTTTAGGAAAGAGAAAAAGGTGCAGAATAACTCGCGTAAATGAGTTTTTTATAATTTAAAAAATAAAAAAATAATTATATAGGCTTTGCATGATTAATCCGTTGCACAAGATTGTCAAGCTATTGATTTTTTAGTTAAGTAATTATGAACTTCTTAATAATAAAAGGACGGGAATGAATAGCACTGGTAAAGAAAAATAATAAAAGAATAAAAATGACTAAAAATGAATTTGGAGAAAGAATTCCAAAGATTTAAGACTATATAGCATAATTTTTCTAGTCAAACCTAGGGGTTTAATAATAATAATAATAATAATAATAATAACAACATAAACCAAGAAGCTAATTTTATTAATTTTTTCTTTTATGCGGTGGGGCATTATACTTTCAGTCTTTGAAAGTTTTTTAATGATAAACCCATCAATTTCTTGCAAAGAAAAACAATCCACTTGTCAAGAAACAACCAGTATCAATCGGGAATTGCAAAACAAATGGAGACTGCCCTGGATATCTACATCAAGATCAAAGTATCAAACGCTAGTATGTAATGACATAAGACGTAATGTATGTTTTGACAATGAAAAAGACGTAATTGTATTCTTCCTTATACATATGTTTCCTTTAAAAATTAACAACTTTGATAAAAAGGCACGCCTAACGGTTAGCTAAATCAGTCTTTAACTTCCTTGGACGATTACTACACTCTCGCCATATATAACTCTTCATATGACCACAACAAATTAGCGTCTCCAATTCAAATTAGGGTAAGTGTATGTTATTTTAGTTCTTTCTTTCTTTCTCTCTGTTTCTTGATTCTGTATTAATTCTTGATATTCTGTAGGGGGTTATTAGATAGAAGGATTGATGGGAACGTACAGAGAAGATGAAGCGAAGAAGAAGACGGTGAAGGATTATGTAGCTTGTCTGTGGTCGTTTTTGGTCAGCCTGACGGGAGGTTTAATACTGGTTTATTGGGAGTATAAATGTCGCCTTACAAGTTGTCAGCTATGGATGGTGCCTTCGGGTCTAATTCTACTTGTTACTCCGGTGGTCATTTGGACGGCCCTTGTCTTTTCAGAAATTTGCAATCCTACAGATGCATCCGAGACGAATCAACCCGTTGTTTCAAAAGATGACTTGGTTAATGACACACAGAGATACTTGAAAGAAACTACTGAAGTGTAATTAACTAATCTTGGTTGCTGAGTATTTCTCATTGTTTTAGCTGTTATAGGAGGCAAATCCATCACGAGCACACTCTGATTCGGATTTTCTTGTATTGCTGCCGCTTAAATTGCTCATTTTATACAAATCGAACATCTTAAGCTCTGTCCTAATCCATTTAGCATAAAACAAATTTGTTAATTAGTATAGCACAGCAGGTTCTTGGATAAAACTCTGCCCTAGAGATCCTTATTTTCCTTGAAGCAGAAGAAAGATAAAAGAAAAAAATTGAAAATTGAATAAACAAAATAAGAAAGAATGTTGCCTTCCCCAGTTTGTATTTTTGTAATAGTTTATAATCATCCAGGTCTGTCCTAATCCAATGGTATGCAGATATGAGCGTTTACCTGCCGTCAGGGCTGGATGGCCATTTTCAATAAGCCAGGCTTGCAGAAAATGTGAATCTAAGTTGAGATTCAATTACGAGTGCCAAAAAAAAAATTAATAAAATAACATAAGAATCTGCACCTCTTTTTTTTTTCTTATTTTCGCAGCTAATCTTAAAAAGAAAAATATCCTTTATAAAGAAATAATACAAGTTGTGTTTGTATACATCTCTATCGACTGCTTAGCCTGGCGTTAATAGCTCTCATGCTTTGCGTGGCTGACCTGCATTCAAGCACGCTTTCCCCCACCAGTTCCCCTGTATCTATGGGGACAAAAAAAATACATTCGTGCAAATTTTGCAATGAAGTAATCAACCGATCAGTTACTGTCATATGGTAAGGCAAGAGTAAGTTTTCAACTATTTGGCTCCTGCTAGGATACCCACACTGAAGTCACATCCAATGTATAAAGACTTCTATGTCCAAAATTTCAAACACAGGGGAAAGTAAGGATATCGTTTAGACGAAATAGTGAAAGAATAAAGTAAGGATACATCGCAAGAAATTGCAACAACAGAAATGAAGGAAAGAGGTTTGTGCTAGCCTCAAGCCTCAACATCAGAGCGGGTTGGGAAATCTAGGCCATGCAGTGCAGGTATATTATCTAAATCTTCCTTAGAGAACAATGGAAGTAACCATAGTGTCTTCTTTGCACCAAATACCTACAATAAAATAAAAATGGTACCATAAGAACACAAGACCGTCAAAGTTCATCTGGAATCAAAAGTGGCTTCTATAAGCCAAAACATTTTGCTGACAATTAAACATATGCATATTACAAGACCTTTTTCAATTAAAGTTATACTAGCAGAAGATTAAAAAGCCAAAAAGGGCAATGAATATTAAAATTTTAAGTGCTTAACCAATTGGGATTTGCTATTTGGATGCCCATATGTTTGTTGACATGAAATGTAAACATTTCTCCTTTTTTTTTTAATCATTTTAATCCCTTAATGCATATCTAGTTACAAGAGAAGTACAAAGTCACGCTGATTTCAAATTATTCACTCATTGCGCAGAATTTTATTTGAAAAAAAAATATTTTAAAGCCTAGACATTTTAGAATGCCATTATCATTAATAAAGGTAGAAGAGGCTGCAATTTTTACCAACTCCTAACAATAAGTGCTACAGTCTGAAACTTGAGTTTATATTCTGCAGGAGCAGGATCGTCCCACTTCTGCATATTTTACTCTAATTCTTACAATCACAGATCCGTAACTCACATGTACAAGCACACCAGCCAGTATAAGCTCATACTCTTAGAAATTACAAATATTTTACTTGCACCAATTTTATTATTTGCAAAATAGCAAAGTATTTCATATCAGTATAATAATAATATAAAATGGAAAAGACTATGCATAATATATCCAGTGGGTATCACCTGTTCAAAATTATTCTTCCTGCCCATGTCATACTTCCACCCGACTGCTCCTTTCTTCTCATAAACCTGAAATGATGAATTTGAAAGGTTATTCACAGCAATCAGCTAACCAATATTCAAATTAAGGACACTTTGACACTTGCACAGGAATTAAAGTCAAATTAAACATGCATTTAACTGGAAACTACAATTAACTATCCCATGACAATCAATGCCTGTCTGCAACATAATTTAGCTTTTTTGTCTAAGTAACAGTCAGTTTCAGATACACTCCAAACAAGGAAGAAGTTAATCCAACTTCCACATGCTAACATGTCAGGAAGCACAACTAAAAATCATTTATTTTTTAACAAAAAAAAAAAAAAAAAAAAAGCTAACGTCAATTATCTCAGAATTAAGGACACTTTGACCACTTGCACAACCACAGGAGAATTGAAAGTCAAATTAAAACCATGCATCTTAAAGCTGGATAAACTACAATTAAACTTAATCCATGAACAATCAAAGTGGCCCTGTCTGCAAGACACGTAATTTAGCTTTTTTGTCCTGAAGGTAAACAGTCAGTTTTCACGATACACTCCAAGACAGAGGAAGAAGTTAATTCCAACTTCCACATGCAAGCAGCAGGAGCACAACTAAAAAATCATTTATTTTTTAACACAAAAAAAAAAAAAAAAAGGTAACAAACTAATATTTTTACCTCTACAAGATGTGGTGTTACTTACAGAAGAAGAAAGGCATGGCATAACTAGTGAAGGCAAAGAACGACTGAGGCAAAAGCCAAATTAAGAAACTTGGTAATCCAAGGTATACACATCTGTGAAGAAACAGAGGGAACTAATGAGAATATGGAAACAATACATGTAAAAGGGAAACTTATTAAACCCTGGGCAGATACTTTAACCAAAAGCGCAAAGGAAATAGAAACTGGGCCTAGTTTGCAGGGGAGAAAAAAAAAAAAAAAAAAAAAAAAAGGTAACAACTATTTATTTTTACCTCTACAGATGTGGTGTTACTTGACAGAAGAGAAGCATGCATAACTATGAAGCAAAGAAGACTGAGGGCAAAAGCCAAATTAAGAACTGCATCAAGGTATACAATCTGTAAGAAACAAGGGAACAATGAGAATATGGAAACAATACATGTAAAAGGAAATTATTAACCTGGGCAGATACTTTACCAAAAGCCAAAAATAGAACTGCTAGTTTGCCAGGGGAGTTTGAATGATTCTTGGCTTCATCAAAGAACTTCATAAAACTAGGCAATAATACTAGAGTGTCCATTGTTGTCTCCAGAAATGTATACAGCTTCAAGGAGAGCAGAAAACAAATGAAACCCAAGGAGCAAAGGAAGTCAGGGGAAAAAGAAAAGAATAAACAAACAAATTAAAACACCACCAGCCCCCAAAAGAAGGGGAAAAAACTCTAAATACTAGCAATGGAGGTGAGAAATGGAAGAATGTTTCCATGCATTTAAGCTTTAAACTTAAAAGTGTAAAGAAAATATGTCATTGACATTCAGCACCAGTTCGGTCAATTTGGCTTGTATTGCTTATGGCTAAATATTGAATTATCCCGGTATGATACACCCTCACTCACATAAATGCAGGATCCGCCTTTCTTAAATTCAGGTGGTTCCCATGTATTTGTGAGTGCAGGGTGCACTATTCATGAGTGCATCTGGTTCACTTAATAATTCCCTATTGCTTATATTTTGCCCCACCCCAGCTTTCAATTTACTGAAGTTTCCCCAGCCGTGGGAAATGACTACCAGACCGTCACTGTATACTTGGTTATATTTCTAAAAGTCAAAGGTCTTCACAACTTTTTCCCAAGGAGTACAATATCTTCTGTAAAAACTTGCAATAATATATGGTTTCTACGAAATTCAGAATATTGCCTTGGTTTAGTAGTAGCATCATCAAAACTTTCAGTATATAAGTGGAATTGAAGTTAGGTCCTTATATTTTTGGAGCCTCAAGATAAATCACACTAGATGATTATGCATATACTTCAATGACCAATCAGAAGCTATTTTCCTAGCATTAATTAGGATTCACATACTGAAAATTGAGTATCGTATCTAATTAAGATCCTAACTTCATACACAGTCTTCAACTAAACCATCAACTAGCCAGAAGCCTAGTCCCACTATAACCCATTCATCCTTGGGAATTGGTACAAAGATGCTAAAAAACTTGCAACCAAGTCTATGAGCTACCATATTTATCAGCTCAAATGATGTTAAAGGTAGCATGACTTTACTGGATACCTCCCAATTTTGCAAATATAGATTCTGTTGAGCTTCTCCAGCCTTTGACTGGATACTTGAAAAAAAAAAAAGAAAGAAAGAAAAGAAAAGAAAAGAAAATCCTATTTGTTGCATTATAACCATGAGTAATTATTTTAAACACTTAAAAGTGAAAAACAAGGAAGCATGAGTTTACCAAGAAAAGAAGGAAAAATTTGTAGTTTCGAGCTCCGACACAATTCACTACCCAAACACAATGATGATCCATCTTAAGAACACATCTTTGGCCTACAAAAGGTAACAAAAAGATTCGAAGAATTTCAACATTTATATAACATCACCTTAAACCAATTCCATGAGCAAGGTATGCTTCATTTTATGGGCAAACAATCAAGATCTTATCAATGTAAAAAAGGCTTATCATTTTGGTAAAATTGGAAACCTCTTTTTCCACCTTAAATTTACCTAGTTTGTAATTATACCTCAATGACAGCATGTTAAGAGCACCAACAGTGTCTGAGGGGGCTAAAGAGTAATGAATAGGATACGTATTCTGTAAACAATCTAAAGGCAGAATACAAACAGATAGACAGATAAATTTATGCTATAACAACAACACAACTCAAATGTTCAATATTCAATGAACTTCATAAAATCACTGCAGCCTGGAAGCTATTTCTCCTAGTTCCTAGCCACTTTTCTTGAAATAAGACAAAGAATATATGGCCATCATGATGATCAACTGAAACTGGTGTAGACAAGTAGTTAAAAAGAAATAACCAAAAAATCTATGTTCACAAAAGGGCAGCATTTTCAATTTTGCTAATCTCAATATACCATTACCGAGAAGAATTGAAACTATATTAGAATCTTCAAGAATCAAGACACCATCAAACTAAATAACACTACAGTAAAATCAAAAGATGCACTGTCAACTAATGATCAAAATCAGTCGGCAGTGGAAACAAAGATAAAGAAGTTTCCTTACAAACAGAGCAATGATGGCAACGCGGTGGCTTGCTATTCTGGCAGTGATTGCAAAACCCCACAACTGGTCTTCCATCCAACGCCTCAGATGCAGACCGTGTGGAACTCAAAGCCCCGGGCGCTCCATAATTCGACTCACTGATGGAACTTCCTCCCTCCAAATTCTCCTCCAACACCACTGGACTCCAGTTAACGGGTACAGAACCTGGGTCCTTAAACACTACCATAAAATAGCTCCACAGTAACAGTACGAGCTGCACTTTCATTTCAATCTTTTCTTAGCAAACAAAACCAAATTGAGAGAAAAAGATCCATTTCAAACTATGAGCTAAAAAAAATTACCAGAACATGGAACAGTACAACCATGAAGAAGGCCAAAACAGAGTGAGCACCGCCGCGAAGCAATTGGGGACCCCAAGTAACAATCACCACGGCGTAGTAGGAGACGGCGATTATTCCGGCGACTAGAAGAATCATCAAGTAGCCGAGAACTTTGAGGCCGGAACAAAATTTGAACACGTTTACGTCCATTACCCGATTAAAGCGGCGAAGTGTCCTGATTTCGGGGATGATTGGGACTCTTCTTCTGGTTCCCGGTGGGAATAGGCGTTTCCAGATGTCGGGAGCCAGGTTTGAAGGGAATTGACTGATCGGTTAAATTTGAGCAGGTAAATTTGGAGGTTGCGTCGGAGAAGGAAACTTTGGTATTCACTTACTACTCAAATAAGCTCTGCCGTCGTGCTGTACTTTAGTCTTTACAGTTCAAATCACAAGTCTCGAATCTCTGCTTCATGGATAAAATTTGAAGAACAAACAACCAAAACATAAAAATGAAAAAAAATAAAAAATAAAAACGAAACGAAAACAAAATCCTTAACGACGACGATGATGAATAAAATTTAGTAAAATTTTGAGTTTTTTTTTTTTACAGTGAAAAAATTTGAATTTTTTATTATATATAAATTTTGAATTTCGTAAATTCAAAGTGTAGCAAACTAATTAATTCCATTCGATTAATTTATTTTACCAATTTATGCACAATCAATGCACAAATTAATAAATTCTTCTTAAAAAAATTACACAAATTAATAAATATGAAAAAAATAAATGTAATACCTTGATTTATTAGTTCCAAAAATACTGAATTCAATTTAAATCAAATTACTAATATTTATAGTATAAGTTGATTATTGGGTATTTTTGAAGAAAAGTTATATGTTAAAACCGCGATAAAAAAGAAAAAGATAAAAATAATAGTTAAATCTATATAAAAAAATATATAATCGATTCTTAAATTATAATAAAATTAATATTTTGATCATCTTAATGTTCAAAATCTAATTATGAAATTCACAATATATGATTCTATTAACACTTGTCACAGTATTAATAGAAATATAGAATTATAAATTAAGAATATTGTTAGTTTTTAAAAAATAAAAATCCATCACATGATTTACATTTTTTTCAAAAAAGAAATAGAATTTAAATTGGTTTCGGAAACAAAAGGGCAATCTGAAAGAAACTCATTTATGACAAGGGCAAATTGGGCTTTAGACCAAAAAGATGAGACACTTAGAGCTTGACAAGTGGTATGTTATACCAAAAGAATTCATTAAAGATTCCTTGGCTAATTTTGGTGATATAAGATAAATAAAAAGGAGCAATGTTTTTTTCTTCCATTTTCTTCTTCCACCTCCTTCAATTTGTTTTTCCTTTCCCCTTTCCAAACCATTAAACCCTAGTTATCAAATGTCAAAAACTCTTCCTCTCATTTTTAATCTCCATTGTGAAATTTGTTTTCCGAATTCCAAGGAGCTAAAGACAAAGTTAAGAAGACAATAAATTATAAAAATCAAAAGATATGATCTTCTCTTTACATTTAAAAAAAGTTGTTTGGATTGCCGGTAAAACTTAATACACTGAGAGATGAGTGTTTTCCCTCTTTTGTTAGGTAATGCTCAAATCCTTACTCTATTTCAATTATGGTGTTAATAAATTACAGAAATTATATTTAAGTATTGAAAATAAGGGTTTAATTTGGTTATAATGGTTTTGATTTGGCGAGGTTTGAAGCTTGAAAACTCTGATTATGACATTGAGTATTGGATTAATTAGTCTTTATGTATAGATTACATGTATAGGATAATAATTAGGATTTATAAAAAATATGCATACCTTGGAAAGTTAAAAGGGGTGTAGAACAAGGGAAAATTTAATAATATTTATGGCCAAAATTAAATTGGCAATGTCATAAATATATTAGAAGGATGGAAATTAGGAAAAATAATTAATACAATTAAGTAAACTATCGGAATTTCGATTATGTTAATTAAGATTGTAAATGTGGAGTTTACATAACGACTAAATTAAATTTCCAGATATTTTGTTATTTCCCATCTTATCTAGATATTTTTGAAATGCTCCAGTTACTAGGAAGCATAACCAAAGGACGACATGCAGTGAAACATACTCCCTCTATATGTCTGTGTGTTAAAATGGTGAAATTGGCATGTATGATTGGATGTGGCTCATACTGTAGCATAAAATGTAGGGTGTAATTGTGTATCTGATGATGTTATGTGATTGCGGCTATGACATGGAATCATTTGGATATACAAATGATAGGATGAACCATATGATAAAAGGCTGATTGGACATACATAGAGATTGATACCTCTTTGTGAACATGTATATATAGAAATTATTAAATATGAAAATAATGAAGTCCTTCCACGAGGGCTTGATCTCCCTTGGTCAACTGCGGAAGATTGCGCTATAAAAACTGTGGTTCCATCAACTAATCTACATTAGATGTGATTATATGTTAATTGCTGCATGTGAATTGCGACATTCAAAAATATCAACATTATCTGCAACTAAAAGTTCATTACAAATTTTAAGAAATCATTACATTGTATTTAAGGTTATAAATATTTTTTATTATTATTCATTAAATTGAAGCACTCATTCATGTTTTATAATTTTTCTAAACATACAAATCCTTATTAGTTGATTTCATTTTGTATTAGATGCATTATTTTTAATTATATAAATATTAAATTCTACTATATTTGTAATATTGAAATAAGAATTAGTTAATTAGAACTTCGTAATTATATTCAAAATATTTTAATTGGTTATCAAACTACGTGCGGTCATGAGCCTTACATCGAGTCTATGTTGTTATATTGGGCCATAGATTTGATATGAGTTTAAAGAATTATCTAATGAATTACGAAGTCTTACGTTTATATAAGTTTTAACATTTTTAAAATATAAAGAAATGAATCGATCCGTGACAATAAATTGTAAAATGTCAATATTATTATTTATGTTGTAATGCAATAATTATCTTAAATTTCAAGTAATAAGATCATATTTCTTATTTCACTCACATCATCAAATGATCTCTTCAACATTAAAAAAAAAAAAAAAAAAAAAAATTATTGGGCCATTATGATTTTGATTATGAGTTTAAAGATATTATCTAAATGATTATTAACTGTAATATATCTTACGTTGTATATAAGTTTTAACATTTTTAAAAATACTTATAGAAAACACACTGAATCGATGCGCGGAGTACAAATAAATTGTAAAATGTCCAATATTATTTAATTTATGTTGTAATGCAAATAATTATTCGTTAAATTTCAAGTAATAAGATGCATATTTCTTATTTCAACCTGCACATCATCAAATGATCTCTCAACATTAAAGAAAAAAAAAAAAAAAAAAAAAAAAAAAAAAAACAAAATATAACATTTTCGTATGGAGTTTAACACATACCAGTCATGTACCTCATAATTTATTAAAAATAAAAATTTACTGGCTTAATGCCTAAATATTATTGTCAATGCATGGTCTATCAAAGTTTTGAATTCTTTTACCTAAATATTTTTAAGATAAAAATAGTGTGCGAGCAAAGAAAATTACGAATCTCTCAACATCTAATAGTGATTTGTTAGGTACGAACCGTCAAAGACGAACCGAACCGAACCGAACCGACTGACGTAGCTTCCGGCATACGAAAAATAGTTCAAAGTTATTGTCTTAAAAAGACAGACCAAATCTAATATCTCAATTGTTTGGTAAAAAGAATTTTTAAAAACACTTTTGCCTTTGTTTTAAAATTCCAGAAACCTCGTCGACGTTGAAGATCGTGTCCTGAATCCAGCACTCTCACTTACTGGTGCCTGCCTCTTCTTCATATCTCTATTTCCATATATTTATGTAATAATTATTTCATATATATAAATATTTCATATATATAATAATTATATATATATTTTATTTGGATTAGGGTTATCGATTTGGGGATTTTTTTTATATATATATTTTATTTGGATTAGGGTTATCGATTTGGGGATTTTTTTTTGGGTCGTTTGGGACTAGGTTTAGGGTTCTGAGCAAAGCAAGGAATACAAATATGCAACAACCGCCGCAGATGATCCCAGTGATGCCTTCCTATCCACCTACAAACATCACCACTGAGCAGATCCAGAAGGTATATTTTTTGCATCTATACACTCTGTTGTTGGTTATCAAGTGCATTAATGTGGGGATAATTGGGATTTTTGATTTGTGTGCTTTTTAATGATTGTTCCTGGGAGGAGCTAGGTAGCGTTAGAGTTGCTGTTGAAGGGGTTTATTTTGGGATGGGGTTGCATAGAGTATGCTATCAAACCCTAATTTTGCAGGCTAATAATTGTTTGAAGTGAGGAGTAAACATTAAAGGGACTAGTATACATGGATGGTTTGTTAATTTTTATCCAATTAAAAAAGATTCTGGCTGGAAAACTTTTTATACAGATAACATTTTATCATTTAATCACTTACTATTGTTAAGGTTGCCTGTCCTTGTTTTTAATTGGTAGACTTTTCACTATTCTATTCCGTTATTTACAGAATTTATGCATACAGTTACAGTAGTTCAATTCTTTTTCAGAAATGATGTAATTAAATTAGTAATAGCTTAATATTGCTTGTTTATTTAAATGTTGGTTTCCCTTTTAGATATTTTAATTTTTTGTTTTTTTTTTTTCCTTCTTTTACCTTTCAAAATGGTTTAGATAAATGGAAAATATGAAGGGACTCATCATATTGGGCTAAATTACAGCATATGAATATTTAGCTGCCGATCATGATTATATTTATACTGGAGGAACGTGCTTGTTCTACATCTGACTACCGTTCATGACATCCTGATAATTCATTCATGTATCCCTCATGTGGTAGATATCTCTACCTGCTGATTGGTTCAATAAATTTAAGGTTGCTGGAAGCATGATAGGATGTGATATGGCTTTGTACAATGAAATGATTTACCAAATCAACTTGGTGTTAAGAGTTAAGACCTGATAAATTAATATTACCTTTTGGTTATATGCTTTCTAAGCTATTTATGTTCTTTTCCCCCCCTTTCACTGGCATGTTCAGTTGTAGAGAAAGGCTCCTCATTTTTGAGATCAACAGCCTTCAAATAACTCTCGGTTATGGTGATTAGATTTCATTTCATCAACATGAGCTGTTACTTCTATATTCGTAGATAAAATCAGTATTTCATAAATATCTACATCCAACCAAATAGCTTTTATGTGGACAGAAGAGTCTAGCAGCCAACTTGGCTAGCAATATCCCACTCTGTCTTTGCATGGTCATTGCAAACGGTGCTACTGTTAATGGATGTGGAGGCTATGCTCAATGTAGTTTTAAACTAGAATCATTTTTGAGGTTAACTTAGCAGAAAATATTGGTGTTTGATTTGTCTTTTTTAATGCTTGCTGCAGTACCTTGATGAAAATAAAAAATTGATTTTGGCGATCTTGGACAATCAAAACCTTGGAAAACTTGCTGAATGTGCCCAGTAAGTGCCTTGTTCTCTGTAACTGCATATGCTTGTCCAAGACTGTCCCATCCATCCTTCTGTACAGGGTTATATTGCCTTTTATTGATTCTGTGTGTTGCAAGTTATAATGTTAGGTCTTAGTTCTGTGCATTTTAAATAATATCAAGGGTCTTCAGAGAATAATGGAAATTAGAGTGGATGACTCTACTCTTTACTCAGCACTGATTCGGAATAAGACCTGAAATCAGTTATTTGGAATCCCAAAAACACCACCAGCAGTTTTTGAGATCCAAAGCTTCACAGTTCTCTACACAATTAAAATTGGTACTTTGGAAGCTGAAAGACCCCATAAGCTTGTTGAATCTTGCCAACTTTTTCAAATTGGTAAATGCAATTTCCTGTATTAGATTATTGTTGCCCCTGAAAACCTGGAGTTATAGGACCCTTCTACCAATAATTTCAGTAACTGATCTTTTAATGACTTTGGCTCTGATTGCAAGTTTGATATTCGTAGTCGTAGTAAAAGATGCTTTACCTATGAAGCTGGCAGTCATCTCCTTGGTTTTTGTTGGAATATGTGAAGAGTTCCTCGATGGTTGCAGTTATAGATTCAAGATTATCCTTTCTATGTATGCACATGCACTCTTGCTGTTGTTTGAGTGTGTTTTCATGTCTGGTGTGTATTTGCATATCCGGCATTTGTGCAGTGTCCATATAAGATTTTGATGATCTAGGTATCAAGCTCAGCTGCAAAAGAATTTGATGTATTTAGCTGCAATTGCTGATGCACAACCACAGGCACCAACAATGCCAACCCAGGTGTGTGGTTGATCTTTTGGTGGTTCATAGGCTCTCACAATTCTTGCTTATGTATACTTACACTTTCAGATGGCCCCACATCCTGCAATGCAACAAGGAGCATATTACATGCAACATCCTCAGGCGGCAGCAGCGGCGGCAGCAATGGCTCAGCAGTCAGGTATTTTCCCTCCAAAGATGCCGTTGCAATTCAATAATCCTCATCAAATACAGGATCCTCAGCAGTTACATCAAGCAGTCATCCAAGGGCAAATGGGAATGAGACCCATGGGCCCCAATAATGGCATGCATCCCATGCATGCCGAGGCAACTCTTGGAAGCAGTGGCACTTCTGTAGCTGCAGGCTCTAATGATGTTCGAGGGGGAAGCAAACCGGATGCCCCTGAGGCTGGGGCATCAGGTGCTGATGGCCAAGGGAACATGGCTGCTGGGCACGGTGGTGGTGATGGTGCGGAGGATGCAAAGTGAATGGCCCCTCTGGAGTGGTCTACAGGGATAACTTTTCTGTTGATAGTAGGCATTGCAGAACTGTTATTGTTCTGTGATCTCTCAATAGATTGAGCAAAGAATTGGATGTTTCTCGTTTCCTTCTAGTTTTGACAGATTAGGTAGGTAAGTTGTAAGGGTCTTGGTATGCGAATGAATCAAAATTCCAACCAGATGCGAGACAAAGACAGCTGTAGATTGTAGAAGGAAGTGGTGGGATGGTACTATAATCGTATGTCAACTACAAATGCATGCATTGGTGTTTTACGAATTTTGGTCCAGAAATTTTCGTTGCCTATTTGTTGTTGTCAGTGTGTGGTGATTGCAGAGTTACAAGGCCACAATCGTTGTTTTAGCTGGTAAGAGATCTGCAAATCACACCAATGATGCCAGGGCATGCCACATCTCGCTAATTTCAACTAAATTTCTGGTCTTAACCCTTTGTTTGGACGGGTATATATATATTTTTTAAGAAAAATAACTATGAAAAATATTTTGGGAAATATATTTTCCCTTATTTGGGGGAGAGGATGAAAATATTGGAGAAAATAATATTTCACTTATTTTCTATTTGGACTCACGTGTTTTGAATTTCTCTATCGAAGGAAAGTAGAAATTTAACTTATTTTTATTAAATTATCCAAATATTCTCAAATTAATTAATAAATTTTGAACTCTTTATTAAATATTTCATCATTTAAGTGATGATATAATTGTCAATTTTTAATAATAATATTTATCTTTCAATAATATTTATTTTCCTTTAAAATTTTTTTCTTTTCAAATAAAAGAAAATAATTTTTTTTTATTTCATCATATTCAAATACAAGTATGGGAAATCACTATGAAAATTAAGCTGATAATTTTTCATCTTTTTCTTTATTATTTTCTTTCCTCCAATATACTTTTTCCTTTCTAAACAAAGGGTAAGAGTCAGACTTACAATATTTTTTTTTTTCGATTGTCATTTTTGCGATTTTTCTTTCTCTCATTCCAGAAGCCATCAGAAAAGATGATAAGGGAGAACCGGCAAAAAAAAAAAAAAAAAACATCAGAAAAGATGATAAGGGAGAACGCGGCAAAAAAAAAAAAAAAAAAAAAAAAAAAAAGGAGATTGGTTCGAAAAGGGAACAAAGGACAAAAGGAAAAAAGAAAACTAGAAGAACCTTAGGAAGATAAAAGAAGAGAAAGACAAGATAATGATACCGTTTTCCTAAATTAAAGCTTCCTTGGAAGAGTGGAACAGGGTAGGGTCAAACCAGAGGGATAAAGGAGATTGAACGAGTGATCGTAATCTTGAAGCATTTACTGCCCTTTTTGGTAGACCCAGAATTTTGGGTGAATTTAGAAGACAATCTGAGAATCAAAATCGGATCAAGCTTCATGAATTCTTGCGCAAGAAACTGTTAATTTCCAATTATAAATTTTGTTGATGATCCAAGACAATACACATTCCATGTGCCAGAATTCAAACCAGATCGTCAAATGAATTGTGAATCTAACATTCCATAATTGATACACAGAATTCTAATTTTTTACCTACAACGATTTGACAAGAATTTAAAAAAAAAAAAAAAAGAAAGAAAGATCTTTACGAAATAAAGAAAAAAAAAATTAAAAAGTTGATTAGAAGATTTGAACAAATCAGAAAATGATTTGATTTGATTTTAATTTTTTTTTTAATTTAAGTCCAAAGTCTATAATCAAAAACTAGAAACAGCTGTAAAAAAAAAAAAAAAAAAATTATAAAAAAAAAAAAAAAAAACATTATTTTATTTTATTTGGCCTTCAGACATTTCCCGGTCCTTTTCAATCCAAACTATCTGTCTAATAATCACGCAACCGGCTCCGGCTCAACCGCACGGTCCACGCCTCCACTGTGCATTTAAAACTAGATACATCCTCTGTTGTTTTCTTTTTAGACTATGTTACCTGTACTTGTCTTTGCTGGATTAATCAGCTTCATCATCTCTGCTTATTTCAACATAATTAAACGTTAACCAAAATCAAGAAAACCAAATGCAAAAACTGTTATCTTCTCTAACAACTGATCTTTAGCCTCTCTCTTTACTTTTTTAAACCGAGATACTACTATTCATATCAGACATGAAAGAAGAGCAGCTTTCTTACCGTCACCATCATGGGAACAAGAAAACAAAACTTTCCGCGTACGTTATCCTCTTCCTGCTAGCCTACGCCCTTGGTTACTTGTCATCGCTATCGTCCCGCTTACAGCCACCCACATCTCCTCAACCCGCCACCGGTATCTTTAACAGTCTCCCTTCCCAACTCGACAACTTTCGAGTCACGACTCACTGTTCTGACCCGCTTCCCTCTAGCCTCGTCCGTCAAACGATTCTTGACCGAATATATCACGCCACCTCGCCCTACGACAACTTTCCCCCTGCGCGCGTCACTGGGCTCCTCCGCGATAAACGGGTCAAGGGATGGGGATCATACGGTGCCGTTTTCGAACACCTTATCCAGAAAGTCAAACCTAAGGTGATTATCGAAGTGGGCACTTTTTTGGGCGCGTCGGCTCTCCACATGGCCAACTTGACCCGCCGGCTGGGGCTTGACGCACAGATTCTCTGCATCGACGATTTCCGTGGGTGGCCCGGATTTCGGGACCGGTTAAAATATGTTAATATGGTAAACGGTGACGTTTTACTGCTGTACCAGTTTATGCAAAACGTTATTTATTCGAATGCTACCAAATGGGTTTTACCCGTTCCGTTTTCAAGCGGGTCGGCTCTGGAGAAATTATGCGAGTGGGGCGTTTTTGGCGACTTGATTGAGATAGATGCGGGTCATGATTTTAACTCGGCTTGGGCGGATATAAACCGGGCTTATAGAATCTTGAGACCGGGTGGGGTAATATTTGGTCACGATTATTTTACCATGGCACATAACAGAGGTGTAAGGAGAGCAGTAAATTTGTTTGCTGAATTGAATGGGCTTAAAATACAAACGGATGGCCAACACTGGGTGATTGATTCTGCTCAACTTCCTTCTACTTAGTTCGGGTTTCAAAGAAAAGGAAAAACCACCACAACAGAAAGTCCTTTGTGTTAATTTTGTAAATTTATAGCAGTCGTGCATTAATATACTTTTTCCTACTTTTGGCATTTTACCTTTAGCGGGCCAATAAAATGTTGCTTTTCCTTTTAAACTAGGCTTATTGGTTCTCATAATCGTAATGCTTAGAGACTAATTATAAGATCACGTTAATATTTGAAGGTTGAAATAGTAAATTATCAAACATCATTCTCTTTAACGTTGTCCAACATCCTTTCATGGACACGCTACAGTAACGATTTTATTTCCCCTCCGTCTTGGGCTTAAGACTTTCTTTGGCCCATGAAGACTCGGTATACTCCTCAAGCTATATTTGCAATCTTAATGGGCTTCTAATTTGCAAGCGTAGTCCATGAAGTCTTAGTTCGGCCCATCATCTGGCCCAATTCTAAGCATCGTTAAACAAACCACATTACATTGGTCCAATTCGTCATTGGGGGGCAATTTAGGATATGACTCGAATATCTACTGTGGTCCCAAATACGCACGTGTAAAAGCTTGCATGACTGATTCAATTACTCGTGCTACTAAAAATGTGGAAAAATATGGAACGAGAGCCATTTCTCATGCCATAAACATGTGCTAAAAAAAACCTCAGATTCCGACCCCCCGTCCCAGAAGTTGTTTTTGTTGTCACTGTCGTGTCTTTTAGCCATGTGAAGGGACCAACGTCCAAGTCCCATGCATTCTTGAAACTAAAATTGCCACTTTATACATATGATTCCTTAAATTACAAAAAATAAATACAATTTCCTAGTAATTAAATTCCACGTCAACTCGTCAATTTGATATAATTTGGATAAACTAAGTGATCATATTTTAGGTAATTTTTTGTTAGTCACCGTATTTTTTTTTCCTTTTCTTTTAGCATTAACTAAATATAAATATCTCCTGTCCATTAGACTAAGATCAATTCTTGAATATTTTGTTACATTTATTTCATTTATAAGATTGAAGTCTTCCTCGCTTAAAGTAAGATAGTAAAGCCACTTATTTTTGGTGATTTGTTAGTCATGTTTTTATAATTTTTGGTTAGGCTGTTGGCAATTTATAATTTAAAAAAAAAAAAAAAAAACTCTTATATGAATTTTTGGTTAGGCTGTTGGTCAATTATAATTTTAAAAAAAAAAAAAAAAAAAAAAAAAAACTCTGATATGATTTTATTTGGCAGAAAGGAAAATAAAAAATAAAAAAAAATCCAAATACACGTCTTGTTTAGGATTGGCAGGAGAAGTGTTGTGAATGACCATATATGGACAGATACGCGTATGATGATGAGTATTTTCAGCAGAATTAAATGTACGTAGAGTGGTCCCTTGGTGAAGTCCACAACTGATGCGATGAGATACTAGACTGGCCTTTCGTATAATTTTCACTCTATCATTTCTTAATTAATTGGTGGAGAAAGTTTTATGAATTAATATATGCATGAAGCATGTATATGAATGGGAATATTTTTTTTTTAAAGAAAGAAAAAATTAATTATGAAATTTTTTTTTTATTTGGTAAGAAAATGAAAATATTGAATGGAATAATATGTCATTTTATTTTTTCAAATCCACACGTGAATCTCTAATTTAGAGAGAAAATAATATAAAAAAGTAGATATTTCATTTATTTTTATTAAATTACTCTACTCTAAAATATAATTTAATTCATTAAAAATTTTTATTAATCGAAATAATATTGAAGACTACACAACATAAGATAGCCTTCCCTTAAAATATTTAAAAGCACATTTCATTGTTTAAAAATAAATAAAGGTATTTTATTAACTTTCAATAATAACATTTTATTTCCTCTTAAAAAATAATTTATTTTCTTTCTTTTATTATATCTAAATATAAAAATGAAAAATATCAATAAAAATAAAATTGACATCTCTTGTCATTTTTCTCCTTTCTAAACAAAATATAAACTAATAAAAATAAGTTTTTTAAATGTGTACTTCTGATTATTATTTACTGAAAAAGGAAGAAATAGTAGTAATAATATTTTTTTTAAGAAAAAGGTTGAGGCAGTCAATCACATCCTTACTGCTGTAAATGTAATTTGGCTTTTGCTGACGTGTACAAAGAGACAGCGGTCCACAATCATATCCATCCATCTTTAAATGGAATAAATAAATAAAAGAAATTTGGTCCCCTCAAATACCCAAATTTTATTTCCATCACCCAGTTGTCGTCTTGCGCGGACGGTAGCGTTGCTATTTTGGCCGTTGCGAAGGTCGAAAACAACACTAAGCGAGTTGCCCTCGTTTTATTGGTTGTGAATTGGGATTTTAGCATATTTTAGTCACCACTTTAAATTAGTAAATAAATAACACGTGTTGAATTGAATTCTAGTGGTGGGGTGGGGACCAAGACTCCATCTTCCATCTTCCATCTTCCATCTTCCATCTTCCATCTTCCATATCTTCCATCTTCCATCTTCCATCTTCCATGTCTCCACTAGTCCACGAAACAAGAAACAACCATGGATATTTTAGGCCGAGTAAAATTATACTAGTCCCTTACAGGATCTCTCTATCCCTGAAATATGTGGAACATACACTGTATCCTTCCAATGCATGAATCACACCACATATATGCCCAAAAAATGAAATAAAAAAAATAAACGTGATTTAATATCATCCACAATTCATTGACTTTTACGAGTTTCACCCATTTAATTTTTTCTTTTCGAACAAAACAATTCTGATGCCACAAATATGGGAACATCAGAAAACAAAGTTAATTTATATTCCTTCAGTTTTCAGCATTTTTCTTTCTATCACAAAACACTTATCTATAGGACATACTAAATTAAATGTACAACAATATTCTACTAATATACAATAATTCTGAGTGGAAATTGAACAAGTTAAAAGGGGAAAAAAGAAAGACTGTGGAAGAAGAATGGAAATTGAACAAGTTAAAAGGGGAAAAAAGAAAGACTGTGGAAGAAGAAACAAAATTAAACAAACTATCCAACATATTATTAAGCATTAATTAACAACTTATTGTTCTAGCCTTCTAAGAAGTGCATTTTTCATTCCTTCTTCAGTTCTGAATCCATCAGGAACCCTAACCACCACATCTTGAAGCATGAGTTCATTGACAGTGGACATGCTCGCATGGTGCACTTGAAATTCAAGGTCGCGTAATGCAGTCAACAACTTAGCAGCTGGGTAATTAACGTTCTCAGATTGAACCCTGATCATCGCGTCATCACCTAATATCTTAACCTCAATATCAAGCGTAAAACCAGAAATAGGACTAGGCCTTGCTTGATCTACAGAAGTGATTGTGCTTTGATTATCTGTATTGTCAGTCACTTCTAATTTAACCCTTTTGGACTGATCTCTTTGTAGCTGTGAGTCCAATTCATCAATCTTAGCCTTTAATTCATTTATATAGCAAACAGCATCTGATAGCAGTGACGCTTTATCCATTCTGGATACGTTTGGGACAACCGCTCGCAAGGCGTAGAACCTGTGGTTTAGCTTCTCGCGCCGCTGCCTCTCCGCCTCTACATGGTTGAGAGGCGTCTCCCGGCCAAGACTCGGTTTTCTCCCTCTTTTCTTCGGAGTTCTTTTCTCTACCGTTGGAGCAACTAATGGACAGTCTGAGTCAGAATGCTCAGAGTCTATATAACACTGGCCTGGTTTATCAATATCTTTCTTTGCTTCATAATTAGTTTGTTGTGCTTTTTGTTCAAGACTTGCTTCTTGGTCTTGTGCTCCAGCAATTAAGCCTATATCAGCAAAAGAAATGTTCATGTCGAGTAACTGAATAGATGCTGAGTTTGTATTGGGATTTTTAGGCATCAGATCAACAAGATCTGACCCAAAAAGAGATTTTGCTTCTTGGACGAGACCCCAGTTTTCTCTAATGACATCACAAGAGCCCAATTCAAGAACCCCATTATACGTAGGAATGCAAACCAGAGTTTCAAGGCCATGCATTTGTGCCTCTTTAGCTCTTTCACAGTTGTAATATCTGAGTTCTTGAGCACCGGTTAACCAAACCAAAGAACCAGTACTAAGAACTTTACCAGGTATACCTTCTCCAGCAGAGAAAGATCGAGTGAGAGACATAACATAAAACCATTCAGCGTTGGTATCATCCATCATGGAACAATCGATGTCATTGTTATTGCCGAAGAGAGCATGGATTCCTTTCATGGCGATTTTTCTCTCACCAGAGTTTATAGCTGGAATGCGATTGTTGATAGTGGTTAGTTTTGGAGGTGTCTGTCTGCTGCTCTGGAAATGACCATCTCCCCACGCAAGGAAGATTCTGCCATTATCATCGTTTGATGTTTGCCAGAAAATAGCATAGGACCAACGGTCTGATTGGCCTTGCAGCAAGAATTGAAGCCTCTGTTGGAGACACAGTTGACTATTGTCTTGCGATAGAGAGATCAGTGAAGAAGACGAAGAGGGAGATATAATTAGGTCTTCCATGGATAACTGAGAGTAAAATGCAAGACGTGGAAGAGAATGAAAAGGTATTCGCAGATTTTCTTTTTCCCCTTAAAAAGAAAGGGAGAGAGACAGAAAAGAGGATTTGTCTTTATGGTGAGATGAACGGGATGATGACTATGGAGGACAAACACTGAAATAGTGTCCAGCAAGGGAAGCCTAGTCTTACTCTTATAATGTCTGATACTAAAATAAAATAAAAGGAAATTATTAAATGTAGCAACCATACTAAGCACAGTGTTTAGGGAAGAAAATACAAGGGCGCTGACTGAACCTAGACTGGATAAGTCTTATAAAAAAAATGGTTAAAGAATAATTATAATTTATAATGTAATTACATAATAAATAAATTAATATAAAAATAAATTATTCATTATATTTATATTAAAAATTAGAAACAAATAAAAAATAAGCATAAGTTGTTCTCGAAAAATAAATATCGACCTCTTATTATTTGAGTAAAATTGTAAGATTATCTGTGGACTGACAAATTATTTGTCGTCCCTTCCCTAGTGGCAACACGTAGCAGGGTCCAGATTAAATTAACCACGCGTTTACAGAGGAGAACTTTCTTTTTTCCGGTGCATGGAAAGGCAAACTTGCCAAAATCAAAGCAATCGGATTCTATGATAAGATGAAGAAACAGGAGGGCCTACACAACATATAAAATGTAATACTCTTGTTCTATAATTTTGTCATAATTTGAATTATAGATAGACTGATTAATTTTAGTTAATATAGGTAAATTATACTAATTTTTATTTTATTTCTTCTAAATATATTTTTATGTTAATATGTCATTGAAATTAAATAATTTATATTAAATTGTTCTTGAAATTGATTAAATAGTAATAAAATAATTGATTAAATAAATAAAGTTAATATTTTAATTTTATTTATATTAATATCTAATCAATGATAATATTTGAGACAAAAAAAAAATGATAATTATTATGAAAATGGGCGAGTATTGATCATTGCTACTCAATATAAAAAATATTAGAGAGTAAAAAAATATATTATAATATTTTTCAATAAAAAATTAATTTTTATTAATATGTTTTTGACATATCATTATTATTAAACTAATTAAAATATCTAATATAAAAGTAAATAAAGAGTATAAACTTAAATTTCTTCAATAAAAGTACAAATTTAATAGCTGTAATATTAAATTTCATATTTAAAAATATTGCAGTGCTTTTACGGAGACAATAATAGAGGAGCGGTGACGTAGTTTGGTGATGGTGGGGCCAAAGGTGTAAAATTGTAGTAGGGATGTCAGTAAGGGGTACCGCTAGCACGTTAACGGAAAGTGAGAGGGCCAGTGGTTATCGATTGGTGGTACGGAACAGCTTCCGTAGGGTCCATGTTCTTACCCGGTCTTGGATTTATTCATAACCAAATAAACCGCAAATGGGTTTTTAAAAATTATACTCAGTTTATGTATTTTGCGTTATTATATATTGTCAATCAGTTGTTTATGCAATCATTACATTATAATTTTAATTTCTTATTTTAATGCATGGAATGGCAGCATTGTCTTAATAAATGGATGGAGAAAAAAATAAAAACAGCATACATATTTTTTATATATTTATACAAGAAAATGGCGACAGCAATAGGTGTAGTGGTGTCTGATTAATTAGCTTTTTTTTTTTTTTATTTTCTTAGGGGAACCTAATTAATTAGCAACTTAATTAACATGTGCATTTTTTTAATTATTTAATTATTGCCTCTCTAGATGCCGGTCGAGGATCTTACGATAACTTACAATAAAAGGAATAATTTATATAGGATTAAAAACAGATTTGGTCCTCCGTATCTGCATAGCAGCATAGGCATAAATTTTTTTTTTTTTTTTTTTTTATTTTATTTTTATGCTCTCTCAAGGCTTGGCCTCACTAGTGTGATAGATTAGGATTTCCACATATTTCCTATTATTCTACTAGAATTTTAGATAGAGTTTTATAGGATGGGTAAGATTTTTTTTATAGGTTTTGATTGAATTTGATCGAATCACAATAATTTTATTATATATTAAATCAAAATTACTTTCAGGACCTAATTAAACAAATTAAAAGATTTTAAAGTCAAATGAAGAATTGAAAAACAATGAGAGACTGAAAAATAAAATGCGTTATCTTCTCCAAAATCATTATTTTCTTAGTTAAAAACTTATCGTCACCAACAGTAAAAGGCCTGCAATAGCCAACATCGTTGTCGGTCATTTCGCTCCTGTTAACCGCTATATTAAATGAGTTTGTTAGTGGGTACTCTATCCATTATTAGTTAAAAAATGCATTAAAAAAAGAGGTACTTTACAACATAAAGTAAAGTACCTTCAACGGGTTTTTGAAATCTTTAAGTTGGAGGATAGATTTGTGAATATTTTTTTTATTTATACATAAGACTCGTAAATTCAACGAAATTAATAATTTTATAAAATCTTTCCAAATCAGCAATTTTTTGAATACCATTAAATTTGTATAGATTTTTAAAAAGTAATGATTGAATATCCATCAAATTTTTATAGATTTTATAAGTTCTGAATTGAATACTGAAAATTTTAATAGACTCTAAAAAAACATAAATCAAATACCATTGAAATTTTAAAAGATTTTAAATCTAACAGACTCTTAATCCAATATACCTTCCTTAATATCTCTACTCCTTTTTCCAAAAAAAAAAAAAAAAAAAAAAAAAAAAAAAAAAAAAAAAAAAAAAAAAAACTTAAATCTTATTTTTTGGTATATTATATTATATAATATATTTTAAAAACTCATATTAAAAAAAATATATAGATGCTTTACAACATGCTTAAACCATTCTCATTTTTTTATCCTGTCCTATTGTAACCATTTCGTACTATAAAAATTTATATAGATGTGATATTTGAAACTTTTACAATTAAAATGTCCCTCTAAGAATAAATATAGACTAAGGACTCTTTTATTGTTGTGCTAGCAAGATATATTAATATATATAGTTTGTGAGTCATGTGTCATTTAATTGGTTTTTTCATTTTTTATAAAAGATGTGGAAAATGAGTGGTTTCTATGTCGAGTTATCTCCGTTATAAAAATTATTATCAATTTAGTAAATATTATTTAAAGAGAAGGATTATCCTTGCAAATATAACTTGCGATGTTATTATTCCTGTTTATTAGGCTTTATGAAGTAAAAAATTATATTAATTTTAATATATAGTGTGATCGTGGGTAATAAAATATGAAAAATAATTTTTTGGATAAAATAAAATTGGAATTTTACTACCATAAATAGCAATCCCGTGATACTTTTGAAACTTACAAATAAATGAATGATTATGAATGATAAGATGTTTAATTATTTCATAGAGGCTTTTTCTTTTTTCTTTTTTTTTTTTTTGTTTTGTTTTTTTAAAGAGATATACATTAAATTTCTGATAGAAAAAGCTGATAATATATTATTGTTATGCCGAGTATAATATAAATATAATTGTGATTGGAACCCACATCTTTCTTGCTTACTAATGCTTTTGGGTTTTTGTGGTTGAGAATTTTCTATTGAAATCCTAGTAATATTTTTCAAAAAAAGAAAATCAATTTGAATTATTTTTTCTACCAGTGAACGACATAATTTTTAAGCCTAAAAGGTTCGATCTTCTACTGCTTATCCAAAAACTCTATTGCAAATGGAAATTATTTGAGAGATAAAGATAGAAAGGAATAATGAAATTTAAACATTTCATGAATTTCTTATTTAGTGGAGAAAAATTTAAAAATTAGACAACAACCTATGTATCAACGAATTTTATAATAGCTTTGATTAATGATGAAATTAATTAATTAATTAATTTTGTTTTTTCAGCTAAACAATTTTACAATTCATAAATTTTATATTCTATCAACAAAGCTAGCACTAACTAAAAGTTTGGTTTTCCATTGCTATAATTACATTTTTGGGCAAAATTAGGAGCAATTTTGTTGGCCATGGAACAAAGTTAATTAAATAATTTTTGGGCAAAAAAATTAATGTGAGCTTTTCCAAAACCCTAATATTGACATGATAAATAATTAAATATTTATGGGATTAAAATTGAATAATATATTCTATTGTCGTATGATGGCGTAATCTATGACTTCAACAAACAGAAAATTTTGTGAAAAGATTATATTAAACGCAAGATATAACGTCAATCAAATCATTAATTATGTGAAAAGCAGCACATATAAGAAATAAGTCACTTTCATGGTTAAAATATACTAAAAAAAGGCTAAAAAAAGTAAAAGGATTAGTCATTTATTTGTATTATTGATATGACTAATCTTTGTTCGTACGAGCCAATATATTACCTGAACCTGAAAAAACCATTTGCAGAGACGTCTCAGCTCAGACAATACAATGCATTTACATATGGACTTTTTGTTACCCTCGCTTCATTAACAGTCCTCATATTAAAAAATTAATTAAATAAATAAATTATCTCGTGTTAAAATTATCAATTATAAAAGGAAAATTAATTCAATAACCACTTCGATTAGATTGGAATAAAAGTTTTTTGATTGCCTCGTAGCCGTAGGATTGTACAATCATTATAAATATTTTATAATAAGAATAATATAGTGGGAACCACTTAAAAAATGTATAGATCAACATCGACCTGCCATTCGTAGGTTGGCTTTTAATTTTAGGCAGCGGGACGAAATCTACTTTTTGGACCATCTTAACCCCCAAAAAGAAAAAATTGAGAGAAAAAAGTTTTAAAAAGTAAATAATAATAAAAGAAAAAAAAAAAGCTGATAAAAAAGAAGATATGATTTCAATTTTCAGTACACTTTTCAGTTGTTTTTAAGTAGGGATATATTAAATTCAAGCCCTTCATATTTAAGCATATTTGGAAGAATATTCAAATGGCCAAAATGTTAATAATTTAGAAATTATATGTATATATCATAATGCATAATAATTAATAAAATATTAATTTTGTTTTAAAAAATAAATTTTAATAGTTCATTTATTTTCTAAAAATAAAAGTTATGTGAAAACAAATGAAGTGCATCCATAAAAAAATGGCCTTTAAATTAATTAACGATATTTTTTTTAATTAGTAATTGATGATGCTAATTTGCTAAATTTTTATTTAAATAGATAATTATTTAATTAGATATTTATATCTAATATAAAAAATTACTTTTATAAAAACTGAAATGTAAATGATTTTGCATTCAAATCAACTCTGCTAAAAACAAAATCTTTTTGCTAATTCACACGACGTTTTTATTTATTTTGAAAACAAGGATAGAACAAGTGGGAGATTAACTAACCATTATCTGCTAATAATAATATTATTATTATCTACTAATCAACGTATAAAATTAGAAATGAAGAAAATCCCATGAGTAGCATGTGCTATTTATTTAAATTATTAATTTCTCTGTCATCTATTTTTAATAAATTCTGTCAAAGGACCAACCACTTTTATAGTAAACACTTATCAAAGATGTTAGGATGACAATCCTCAATCTTTTGCTGGATTTGGACAAAACCCAGTTGAATATAATAATAATAATAATAATGATAATAAAATGACTTGTATGCATCTTTGATATAATTCATGCTCTATGACTTCAATAAATAAATGAGACAATAGGTATATTAATAAATATATATATATATAACAAATGAGCAGCCACTTGTTTTTCATTGCTACCTCGTTTTATTATTTCCTTGGTTCTGTCATTTTTCCCAGCTTAAAACGGTAGCGTGTAAATTATGGTATTTGGCCTTTCTGAGTCATGAAGATTTTTTCCTTTTAAATAATTATTTCCTCATCAACCGAAGTAGCCAAAATTTCCCCTCTTGTTTAAGTAAAAAAATATTAATTATATTTATTTTTTAAAATTTAGAGGTTCACTTTTCAGTTTTTTTATTAAGATGTGTTATTTGATTTTATTATGACAATTTTTATTTTATGTTTGTTTTTTAAAAAGAGATTTATGTTAAAAAAGTACTTACAGCAAGCTGAGGTATGGTATCATAATGTCAATTAATACGCAACAAATTTAAAATTTATTTTCCAAATAATCTTCAGTTTAGTGCATATCCAGAAACATTTAATTAATAAATTTATTTTTTATTTCTACAAATAAAAAGTACACCATGCAAATATAAATTAAAATAAAACATGTATTTTTTTTTATAATCCGACTATAATTATTAACATACTACAAAGAAGCATACTTAAATATCAATTAAACTAACTTTAATTATTACCTTGGACTTGGAGATGAGTCATCCCCCACTTTCACTACACTGCTGCTTGAAAAAAAAACTCCTTTACTACATGTGCTTAATTTCCAGATGCTTAATCGGTTCTTAACTCTTTAATTATAAGTTTTTACTTTTAACCCAAGATCAAGTGAAATGTGATTCAAGGAAACTTTAAATAAAAACATAAATAAAACTAAATAAAAACTAATTAAAGTAATTAAAAATACTGAAATTCCTAATAAAAACTATGTTAAAAATACTATAAAAATAACATTTATCACCAGATTTTAAAGTAATTAGAGAAGGAGAAGGTAGGGGTGGCCACGGTTCCGGAACCGGCGGTTCCGGTTCTAGAAAAACTAAAACCGGAACCGAACCGAAAAGGTCGGTTCCGGTTCTGGTTTGGAACCGTCCGGTTCCGGTTTCGGTTTCGGTTCCGATTTCGATTCTGGTCCGGTGACAAAACCGACGGTTTCGATCAGTTTTTCGGCGAATCGCATAATTTTAAATTTTAAATTTTGAAGACCGGTTTAAAAAAAATATATTTGAACATAAAAAATTAAAAAATACACAATACACCTAAAAAATTAAAAAATACTCAATTAAATTTATTTTTTTTAAAGACTTGAACATAATTATTTTTTTTAAAAAAAATTCAAACTGAATTATTTTTTTGTTAAAAAGTTTGAAAAAAAAAAAAAAAACTGGGTCTTTGAGCCATTTCATTTGGTTATATTATAATCAACAAAAATGTGTCAACGTAATGCCAACTTCATAACATTCTCACCACACACTAATTGTGGAGCCATTTCATTTTGGTTATATTATATCAACAAAAATGTGTCAACGGCTAAATGCCAACTGTCATAACATTTCTCACCACATCCACTAATTGGATAAAAGCAAGTACAGCCCATATTCCTATAAGCCCATGAGCTTGGCCCAAAATAGACATTTCATTCGGTTTATAACGCCAGAACTGCCGGTTTGAACCGGCCGGGGAACCGGCGGTTCCAGTCCGGTTCCGGCCGGTTCTCTGGAACCGCAGGTTTCGATTCCAGAAAATTTGGAACCGGAATCGAACCAGAATTTTTCGGTTCTGGTTCCTGTTCGGCCCGGTTCCGGTTACGGTTCCAGTTCCCGGAACCGTAATATGGCCATGTCTAGGTGCTCGTGTCATGCCATTTTAAGAACAAAAGTACAGTTATTTCACTGTAGCAAATATTATATTAATAATATTTTTTTTTTGAAAGGTTGATTAATTAATAATATTAATTGAATATCATTTGACACTAATTAGCATATCTAGAATGCTATCAACTGCTAAAGTAATACTAAATATTTGCAATAATACCAATACAATATTTTTACAAGAATTTTATGTATTGACTCACTTTACTGTGATTATTATTTTGATTGACTTAGCTAATAGATGATTCCATATGAATCTTATCTTTCCGATTCAGTTGAAATAAAAGAAAAACGGAAAAAAATAAAAAAAACCAATTGCTAACTCACATATCTTGTCATGATTGATTCATGAGTCCAGTAGCATTAAAATCAAGCCTGTAGAAATTTCCTTCGATCTCTACCAGAAACCCCAACATTAACATTTTTGTTATTAATAGACAAAATCTATTATCATAAATCATACAAAGTGAGTCCTCTCCAGGATTATTGTCTACTTAGCAAGAGCTTCAGTTAGGGCCACCAAACACTCCTAATTAGAGAGAATTATGAACAAACACTGTTATGACTTATGATATCTATGACTAATGCTGCGTTTACACAACCATCCAAGATTCAAACATATTAAATGGTAGTCTCAATAAGCAGAATCATCCCCAAGTTTCTCCTCCTTCTCCTCCTTCTCCTCCTCCTCCTCCTCTATTATTTACAATTCCAAGATCTTGAGTCTTCTTAGCTGGCTTACTCGACTGAAACACAGGGTGTCTGCATAACCTCCTAACCCCTTTTCTCAAACTTAACCAATCCCCACTATCATACTCATCCTTGATTCCATTTTCTATACCTCCTATTTCACTTGAAGGATGCCTGCAATCTGATATTGACGCAAATTCCTCTTCTCCATTATTTTTTGCATGAAAACTTGAATGGCTCTCCTCCGTTTTGGATTCTAGTCTATTCATAGTGGCAGGCCTCAAGAACTCACCAGAACTGGGAACATCAGGTGTACAGGAATGTTCAGATTTGCTGTTTAAGTTTGACTGACAATGCTCTCTCTCGTCTCTTGGGGAAACTGTATTTGCAGTATGCAACCTAACCTTGGCAGCTGATTCATCCCTTTCTCGAAGGTTCTTCAAGATCAGTGTCTTAAGCAAGTTCATTACTTGAACTGCATGAATCAACGCAGTCAAAGGATCTGCCATCTGCATGATCGTATAAAGATTAGCTGTTAATTAATAGTATATCTGTTAAATCCTATTTAGATAAGTCCACTCAACATAAACCAGGATTGATTAGTATATGCTGGCTATCACTTAATGTGTTCAAAACCTTACAAATTCTTGTTGTCTACAAACAATATCATCTTTCATGTTAAAGGCTAACTATCTTATAGCACACAAAACAAGACATCTGAAAATAGCAATGGAACAAATTCAATAAACCTGGGTCATGTTGGGCGCAAAGACCATAGCAATGTTCCGAGCGTTCATCTTATTGTATTGTTCATGCTCCACAACATCCGCCATCAAATTAATGGCCCAACAAAGAAGTGCAGATTCTGTTGGAGGAAGTAACTTTACAAGTTGAGTGCAGTCATCTTCCGTGTTGCAGTGCATCACTTGTTCTGGTGTAAGAGAATCAAGTACTCCAGATGGTAGTTCCCTAAACCATGCCTGTATGTCATCAGCAAGATGCACCGTCAGTTCAGGAAAAAGGAAAAATAATTACACTAACCAGTAACCATACTGTTTAAAGATGTTAAACATTTGATATGCATACCTTTATTAAACCTGCTAAACAATGAACATCTATTCCGCGCTGCACTACACCTCTGTTTAGCTGGTCTCTCACATACTCCTCGTGGCTATTCTCAGCATTTATTCGAAATATTCCTTCTGCCTTTGACAACCGAAGCAAGCATGATAGGAAAACCTTAATTTTTGAACAAACAGAACAATTTCTTTTATCTAAATTAGACATTTATCTAAGAGTAGGAATACTAACACACCTTAAGGCCTCCTTCAACATACAATCGTTTCTGCATCATGAGAAGAATAGTCGGTACACTGTTTCCTCGGTCATCATAAGTACATTGCATTGACTTGGCAGACACTCCGAATACATTTGCGCTGGAAAGAAAGAATTATCAATCATATAGTCAATAGAGATGCTGAATGATCCATAATTAGGACAAAAACTACAAAAATAACCACAGGATTAATTCTATCAGACACTATATATGCAACAGAATACATGCGATTCTTTCACATTCGCTATTTAAAAACATATTTGCCGAGGATTTTGCTCTCAATCGCCTAAAAAATTCACAACTAAACCACCAAGAGGCGAAGAGCAATCCTGCAGTATTCAAGTCCAATCAGAAAACAACAAAATCTTTAATGGTTTGCCTTTGCATACACAAGACAAAAACTACTATCTATTAATCAATTCGGACCACATGAAAATAACATTTGCTTCCAGCGATTTCCTTCAATTAAGTGAAATTGATGAACTTAAAGAAAACCTTCTTCAGTAAGAGAAGCACAAATCTTAACAGCAATGGTTGATCTTGGTACAATCTCTTTATAGAAAACATAATCTATTTTTACCAAATCCGGTAGTATCTCATTCGAGATTAATGTACTCAACAGTGATTTGAAGGTTTTTTTTTTTTTCTTTTTCTGGGACAATGATTTGAAGCTTTCATAGCGTTTAATGGCAAAAGTTTAATTTCGAATGCTAGGATGCTCTGCTTCCTAATTTCACATCCTATGGCTCTCATGGCTAAAATTCATTGCGATGAAAAGCCATATTTAAGCTAGCATGAAGCATTTCAGATTCAACTAGATGTCCAACAATTCAGTCTCTTAAAACACCATTCATCATGGATTCCAAAGTTCAATGGCGGCCCAATTCTGTATCTTCCAGGAAGCTATATATTCTAGTCATCTCAACAGTAAGCAAATTAAAAATCGGAATCTGTCTACAACCCAAACCCGCTAATTTTACAGGCGAATTAACAGGGGGAAAAAAGGATGCGGAATCCCCAAAAAGTAGCAGCGACTAAACATTTTTGAAAGATGAAAAAAAAAAAAAAATACCGCTCGTCAATACAAAAATTTCACTTTTAAGAAGAATTCTTTTCTTTTAATGGAGTGCCGTAAATCTGATTGAACAGCAGTCGACACTTTATTAGCAAATCAATCATAATTCACCAAGCAAATATCTTCAAAACGACCGTCTCATAACCCACAGGGAAGGGGGTTTGTTTAACAATTCTACTCATAATTGACCAAAAATGTACTCCAAAATCCGAAACACAAAAATGCCGTAAAAGAAAATTACAGAAAAATAAGAAAATCACAGAACCAAACCTGGCACTGGGGACCTTCCTGGAAATCTCGGGCTCAAATTCAGTCGGCAAACCAAGGAAACCGTTGAACCGATCGAAAGTAACGTGAGAGACGTGCCTAACATCAGTAGGCCAGCTAATATCCATGGAAGAAATATCTTCTCTCTCTACACTGCACGTGACCAGCGACTTCCTTAACGCGGTCATCAAAATATCCAGTATAGCGAACTGATTACTGCCATGTCGACCTCGGCCATTCCCTCCTCTACCTCCAAATCTCGACCCAGGACTAATAAACGGAGTGGATATTGGGTTTGTCAAACCGCCATCAAAATCCTCGTCTTTATATTCTTCTTCGTCGTCCTCCTCCTCGTTTTCCTCTTCATCGCTGTCGTTTTGACGGCAAAGGGGACTTGGCGGTGGACAGGAATTGAACTCAGGGAGTCCAACGAGTCCGCAAGATTTGGATCGAAAAAGGCGAGTCATAATTATATTTTTCACAGAAGGATTCGATTTGAACAAATGGCAGGAACAAAATAACAGAGAGAGAATAGGAATAAAAAAATAACGAGGAGAGATTAATATTAATAAGGGAAGGCTCGGTGAGAGAAAGAGACGACGTTGGTGGTGGAGAAGAAGAAACGAGAAGAGGAAAGGAAAGACTGGGGTTTGCTTGAGGAGGAGAAGAGAAGATAGATATGGTAAGGGGGATGGAGACATTTGGTCTCCTTTTTGTTGGTGTTTTTTAGTGTAATTTGTGTGTGCATGACAATGGAAAATAGAAAGTGAAAAGCGAGAGTGGACAGATGATGACACGGGAGAGACGGATAGTTGACAAAGAGGAGACTGGTAGTACTTTTGGATCTTCTTCGTGGTAAATTAGACTAATCACTTCTTCTTCTTCCTCATTATATATCTCATCCATATAACATAACAGAAATAACAGAACACGGGAAAAAGTAGGCGCCACCGTAGCTGTCAATGTAAATAAATAAATTATTATACTGACACACGCTTTTTAACTGAATAATTCAATAATACATAATTTTGAATAGTAAAATAATAAAATTATAATTACTCTGGAATATGAAGATATTTTGGCTTCACATCAGATAAATTATAATCAAATAATTCAAGTAAAAATAGGAACTATTTGTCAATTTTTATAAAATTCCAGTACTTTTAATTCGGAATTCAAGAAAAAAAAAAAAAACCATCAGTGGGTGTTTTTCTTTTGGAAAATTTTAGTGAGTATTGAACTGATGATCTGGAATTAAATTATACCCTTAATTAGTGGATTTCTATTTAAATACATAATAAATTATAATTACTCAAAATTAGAGAATTCAATTGTTGCATGTCTCATCTATCTATAAATTCAACTCTTAATTTTCAATGTTTATTTTTTTTTTTTTTTTAAAAAAAAAAAGCCAAAACGCTTACACGTGACTACATGAGATGTAATCAATAAGGCATGAGGTTAGCAAAACTTTTGATAACAAACACTATCTTTCAACTATTCAGCATGAGAGTTGTTATCTTTTTTTTTTAGTATTGGATATATTGTTCCGCCATATATATATTTATCAATTTTAATACTTTTTTAATTTCTACTTGAACAAAATTAGACTTAATACAATAGAGTCAGGTTACCTGTACTCTTAATTACCATTTTTGTAATTTTGAAAGACTGCGTACTATTAAAAGAAATGTTGGATATTATATATGGTAATGGGGCAGAGGTTGCCAAAATAATGATAATAATTCCTGATTTGCAAGGGCAGTCAAAATTAGCATAAAACACCATGTCCATATCCCCAAATATTATATTATTAGATCATCTTTGAATAGAAAATGTTTACTTGGAGGAAATGTTTTTTTTTTTTTACTTGGTATGGACATTTTGAGTATACGAAAATAGAACATCTTTTTCTTTGGGGACAATCAACTTAATTATTGCTTTGAAAACAAGGATTTGGATCCATAATTAAGTATTAACTTATCTAATTAATCATCTGCCAATTCCAAAAACTGGTCACGTGGTCACATGGAGGTGTTCCTCGGTGGGTTCTCCCTCTCTGTCTCGTTAAACAGTTAACGTCATACCAAATACTGTACAGTGAAATTTAAATTTAATACCTCTTAATTATAGGGTTTCAATTTTAATCTGATTTTACTGCAAAGCCAAAGCTCCAGGGACACCATCCTAACGAAAGAGCATTTGAAATATTAATGATAATTTTTTTGCGTCTCAAAGTAGGATTACCGGTCCTCTTCAGCCCCGCTCCACACAATCATTATATGTAGTCTAAAAATTTCCTGACAGAAACTTGACATAATCTGCCCCGATCGATCTGATTGCCATTCCTACATCAATCGAAGTTTTTTATTTAAATTAAATTTAAAAGTTTCTTTATTTAAGATATAAGGATGAATTTATACATTTAACTATTCACTTCACTGTATAAACCGCGGCGTGATGATCTGAACCAGTGGTTCTATATGGTCCCAATACGACTGACTCTCAAGGTGTATCGCCAGCCACAGTAGGGCTATTCCAGTGCATGTTACAGGCTTGCAAAAATAATTAAAAATTTTTTGCCAACTCTACGCTCTTTTTCTTTTCTTTCTTCTTTTGAATAGGGTATTGTTATTGTATTACTTTTTCCTCTGTGTGATTAGTTGTCTTCTTCGGGCTGTTTCGTTTGGAAATTATCCGCTGTAATTAATTTTAGTCATTCATTCTCTCTGTTCGTCTTTTTTGAACTGTTAAAGAATTTTATATTTTGTAATTTATACTCACACTGCTTTCATACAGCCTAAAATGTTTCCAAATGTCCTCCTAATCCAAAACATATACATTGGTTTATTATTTAAAAAAAAATATTGACATTTTTTACTAATTCTTTGTTATGTTGTTGACAACGAGATACTAGCTTAAGTTATTATACTATATTATAAAGCCCATGCATGACGCCCCGCATGTCCTATTATATAGCTTCAAATGTTTTATTTTATTTTATTTTACTATTAAATATCCCTTAGCACTTGAATAAAAGATTGATCTCTAATGTCAAAAAAAAAAAAATAAAAGATTGATCTCTTTTCTGTAAAAGAGACGTAGAGCGTTTAACCACTGAATCAAATTTTCTTTTTTTTTTTTTTTTTTTAGAAAAAAAAAATTAAAAGATTGATCTCTTTTCTGTTAAAAAGAGACGTTAGAGCGTTTAACCACTGAATCAAAATTATTTTTTTTTTTTTTTTTTTTTCATTTTTTCATTAATCAGAAAAAATGCGACGCGCAATGGTGGGCCAATTGGACACGTAAGTATAATCGTCAAATCTATGTCCAAATATACAAAGGCGTTGTATCTAGTGCTATACGTACTATTGGTGGTTGTTAGATAAGAAATAATATTATATATTTAAAAAAAAAAAAAAAAAAAAAAAACAAACTTTCGAGAGAACATTCTTTGTTATTGCAATTGCAAAAAAAAAAAAAAAAAAAAAACTTTCGAGAGACATTCTGTTATTGCATTGCATGGTGGTTGATGAGACAAATAATCTTTCGGCATCAACTCAAAATGTGATTGAACAATGATGGTGATCCTGACATTTCACCAACTCCTGTCATCTATGACAATTACCGATGTTCCAAGGTTTTCTTACTTGTAATGTACCCTTTGCTTTTAAAAAATTTGCAGATCTGATCTTTTTGTACTGTAAGCAGAAATGGCAATTAGATTTTTTTTTTTTTTTCTTCATGCAAAAAGTGTCGCATGTATAAAAGGTGAATTCAAAATGAGCCATATATGAGTTCCTTTCAAGTTACTCCAAGAATCTGTCAAAGCTCCACTAAATGAGATGATTAGGTAAATCTTTTATGTAACGGCTTAACAGAACCACACACCCAACTCAAATAAGCACCTCATAACAAAACCATGTTTGAGTTTGAAGATATTCAAAATTAAAACAGGAAGCAAAGCAATATATATATATAATCGTCGAATTAAGTGAGCTGGATTTTTCCAAATCAGTATTTTTATGTACGATAACAAGATAATTAAAGTGAGTAGCAATGATTGGGTTATTTCATATTCAATTGAGATTAGGACATGTCGGTACCTCCCTTGGATTGAGCTTTAAGATATTTCAATTAGCAAATGGGGATTTCTCGGATTTCATTAAATAACTTCAAGGTGACTCACCAAGAAATGTGTCATTTCTCTATGTTTCTAATCAATTGTCAATTAATATATCCAAAATAATATAAACACAGCCCCTTCAAATTGGAAAATTGTAGCTAATTGCATGTGAATAAAGTATTTGAAGCCCATGGCCCATTATTGAAAAAGAAAAGGCGATTTAGAGTTTTAGCATAAGAAAGAGAGAGAAAAGTTATTAATAGGACCAGGGATATATGTATGCCTTTTTAAATGCACTGGGCTGTCTGTGAATGGGGAAGAAGCTACAAAACTAAACTAAATGGTGATGGGCTTGGGCTTTGTTAACCATGAAGCTCTCCAACCCAGGGGCCCATATTAAAGTTTCTAACCCATTGGTTGTATCAATCTCCAACTTTCATTCATTGATACGTTGTGTGGGTAGGCTCTCTTTATTACGTTGTACTGTGTTGTTTTTATTGGCGATGATCTGATATCACGTAGTATAAGATTATTCAAGATAATTTATAAGTAGAGCGTAGTTTCATTGCTGACGGAGAAGAACATTTATTTCTTCACCAAAAGGATGGTTGACACTTGCGTAGAGCTTTTAATATTTTGATTAACAGTCGGTCTGATGAGTTTTTCTGCCATTTCGAATTATAGGTGGTTAAATTAAGTAGCCATTTAATTTCTCAATCATTGCAGTGTAGATTTTTAGGGCAACGCACCGAAGCATGTAACTAGCCGTATAAACGCGACTGTAAAAACAAACAAAAATATATAAATGTCAATAATAATCCCTAATGTTACTTGAGGAAATACACAAAAATGCCTCTTACTATTACACGTTTAACAGCATGGCATATTAAATATTTGTGCGACAATTGCATCTCAATTTATAAAATTACACTTTTTTTTTAGTATTAGAGAGAAGATTTGAATCCGGATTTATTGCACGTTCGTATATACACTTACTATTAATCTATGTCTTGGTGTGCAATTTGCACGTATTGTACATTTTTGTTAAAATATAATCAATTAATCACTCTTTGCTTCTTTTTTTTTTGAAAAAAAAAAGGAAAATACTAAGTTGTATTGCCTCGAAGAATAATAATCAAACAGAACAGTCGGATACTATCCCAAGATTGAAAGCAGACACTATAAATAGAAGCTTTAGCTAATAAATGAGCGCCCACGTTTGCTTGCCTCCCAATCCACATAACCTTAATCTCACTTCTAGAACTCAAAATAGTCCTATGATCTCAACAACTAAACTAAATTTTGAGTTGTCAATTAATCATTTATTGAATAGTTGAAATAAACATATTAAAATCATTGTTTTAAAAATGGTACTAACCACACATAATTTCAATGCCTTATATATATAAAAAAATTCTTAAATTATAGCATAACTAACTAACGAATAGATTATTATAGTTTTAAGAACTAAATTATATTAAAACTAACACAGATCTCTCTCTCGATAAAAAAAAGCTCATCAATTTAGAGACAAATGGAAGCATAATTTAAAGAAATATATATTAATTTCACTACAATTTAGAGATTCAATTTTTCTTTCAAATAAGGTTATTTTCGTCTTTTTAAATAAGAATGGACAAACAAATGAGAAACTTTTAGGATGAAGGATTTATGTATTAATCAGTTAATTATGTAATTAAACATGTTCTAGAAATGGTTCCATGATATATAAGATAGAAGAAAGTAAATAAAATTATTTAAAATAGAGTTTACTTAAATATTATCAATTGGAAGGAGCATGAGAATATGAACGTCAATTGTCAACTGAAAAATAAAAGCAAAATAAATGCACGAACCAATCACTACAACGGGGGTCATGCATTACCGTTCAACAAATTAATTCTCAGTTCAACGAAAAAGAAAAAGAAAATTCAAATTAATACTACTTTCTATAAGGTTCATAAGTAATTATATTGAACAACTGAGATCTTGCCACCTCGAACTCAGTCAACATCTGGAGATTACTGAATTCTCAACAATTTCGAACCTTCGGACCTGGCTGTGATGTGCATTTTCGTCAGCTGAGATTCTGTCAAATCCTGTTTATCAACTACTTTCTCATACTATCTTTACCTGTCATCTACCGTAGTCACCATCCTCCAGATGACGCCGCGTGTTACCTATGGATACGTTTTGAAGATCCGAAGTTTCAACTTCTGTGCTCAAATACCCGAACTACCCTAGCAACTGGGAACACGTGTAACTAGCAAAGGTTGCATGGGTTCAATGTGTGGTTCGTTGAGCAGGGAATCAGAGTTAGTTCTTTTTTACTAAAACAACTTTTGTCATTAAACAATTAGAAAATAACGGCAAGAAAAGTAGCAAAAGACAAAGCCAAAAGGAAATGGTCTACAGTGAGAAAGGAAAAGAAAATTAGAAATAGAGAGAGAGAAGACTGGTATACTCAAAGTTCAAATAATATACTTGTAAGCAATAAATTCGGTAAACGGAAACCTTCAGATTGTGAAATATGTATGCACGGCCTAGCAGACCATTTTCATCAACATGATTTTCACTTTTCAGGATTTGATTATGCAAATCCGACGGTGGCTTACGAATCTATGATTTTAACTTTATGTGCCTTAGAATTTCTCTAGCTGTTAAACCTCTATCTGTGTCACTCTCTCGACTTTGTTTCTTAACAGACCCTCTCTCTCTCTCTTCCTCAGACTGACTCAATACCTTCTTTCATTCTTTTCTTTTATCGTTTTCTTCACTTAGATCCCTCTGTTCTCTTTCTCCCTGTTTGTTTTCTCTCCGATGATAATCAGATCCGTCCGAAAATTTTTGTCACCATCAGATGTACAGACTTTGACTCAGGACTGATCAGATACAGCTGGAGTAGAATTGCTAGATGGGACAGTGTTACGGCAAGACTAATCCAACAACTGACAATGACGCAGCAACCACCATAGTTGCAACCGGCGATCGCAACCAGACGCCGTTGCGACCATCCACGCCGCGTAATGGCGCCGTTGGGGTGCCCTCAGTAAAGAACACCCCGGCAAGGTCCTCTAATCCGAGCCCATGGCCTAGCCCCTATCCGCATGGCGTTTCAGCTAGTCCACTTCCAGCTGGAGTGTCACCGTCTCCGGCGAGAGCCTCCACGCCGAGGAGGTTTTTCCGAAGGCCGTTCCCACCTCCATCCCCTGCCAAACACATAGCTGCTTCTCTGGCTAAGCGGCTCGGTGGTGGTAAGCCCAAAGAGGGGCCAATTCCTGAGCACGGTGGTGCAGAGACAGAGCAGCAGCAGCAGCAGTCACTAGACAAAAGCTTTGGTTACAGCAAGAATTTTGGGGCTAAGTATGAGCTGGGGAAGGAGGTTGGGAGAGGGCATTTTGGTCATACATGCTCCGCGAGAGTAAAGAAAGGGGAGTTCAAAGATCAGCCCGTTGCTGTGAAGATCATATCTAAGGCCAAGGTACAATGCTATCAATTTTTATCGCTTTTGATCAATTTTACTCACCGTCTATTTCTTTGTGTAATGCTATATTCTATTCATTTGATCTGTGAGGCTGTGCTTATTAGTAGCACATTAGGTTTAGATTTGGGAAGCTTATGAATCTTCAGAGCATGAATTCTTGATGGAGTTAGATTTTGGGCGCTTTATTTACTAATGCTGCTATTGGCCAAGCCTAATGCTTTTTTATTCTTGTCAATACACAATCTGCTTGTAATTTACTTTGAGCACTGATTTTGAGTGAATGCAATAACACGTGCATATGGAAATAAGTGGAAGGTGATATGATGTAATTTACCTGTCTTTATGTAGTAATCATCAGACCATTGCTGAATTAATTTTTGAAATTTTAATTAATAATTGTTGTTCTGGAATAAATTCTTGTTATTCTGGGACTAATTATAGTCAATGCTCCCAAGATAATAGCATTGATTTGCAAACATATTGGTGATCTTGTTTCTTTTAAGCCAAGCATGAAGAGTACCGTGATCTTGTCGTTTAGCTGTAGCTATCGTTGCTGTTGATATGGAAACACATCCATCATAATAATTCCAAAAGGAATATTTTTTTCACATATGGCATGATTGTCGGTACTGAATTAAGATGGAGAAAGTTCAACTGGAATACGAGGTGTAATGATTTATGTGCAGTTCATGCCTGCAATGTGTTGCAAAGGTATCTTGAGGCTTCATGTTTTCCGCAAGTCAAACTCAGCTTTATGCTCCTGAGGTAGAAGCATATTAATAATTAATGAGAATATGATTACAAGCTTAGATTTGTTTAGGAAGTGGTTGTCGTATTCGAGAGGATGATATGAGGTATCTGGTTTGTACAAATTATATTAAAAAAATGTAATTGAAGTTAAGATTCAGGGAGTCCGAAATGCCACAGCTAGAATCACATTTGCTCGTCCCCAATACTCATAGGTTTTCCACCACGAATTCCTACTTTGAGCATTTTGCCTTAGCTTTTTGTTTCTGAAGAAGAAAGATATGATAGGCATGATTCTTTGATGATTTTAAAGTTTGACTTACTTTATGTAGAGACTGTCAGAAGACCCATGCAACGTTCTTGTTCTTGTTCTTCTAAATTAAACTTGTCAAAGATTATCTTTTTTCAATATCCTTAAAGTAAGAATGTGATCCATATATTTGCACGATAGAAAATTTAGTTTCGCAAAATAAACTTCTGCTTATAATTGTGCATCTATCAGAATCTTGAAAAAGGAAATTGAGACCGGTTTTAGTTTTGGGTCAATTATGTTCACTATTATGAAGGATATATAGTGAATGTAATTGGTCCACACGATATGATCTGTACAGTATTTAGAAATAATTACATTCCAATTTGGAAGAATAATGCCAACGAGGGCGAAATGTACATGGCATAGTCGTGAACGTTATGTTATGGTGGCCATTTAACTATATATTTAGTGTACATACGTGACAAATTTGCAAGATGGATTTTCTTGCTTTGTTCGTCTCTCTTGGTTTTAGTTCTCTTGTGAATGAAGAGAAAAACATTGATGAGAATAACAGTTTGCAGGATTTTATGAGTTCAATTGCAATTATTGAGTTCCTAGGCTTTATTTGATCATTTGATTAATATGTGGGCAACAGTACATGCAACGTAAAGTGTTATGCAACTCTTATGTCCTATTAGTTATCTTCTTCGCAAGTTAATTTTGTTGTCAGCCTTAATCTAAAGGATGAACATTTACTATAAGGATGATCTAGAAAGAGAATAGGATTTGATATAACCAATGGCAAAAAGAGAGGATTTGGTATAATGTAACCAAATATAATGTGTTTATAAATGTTGTTATTAATCCTTTGTGTTTTGTTTGGTGAGATCTGAAACTTTCTCATATCTCCTAAGTAATTTCCTTTGATCTTGCCTGCTGGTTTTTCTACTTCAAACTTAATTTGTGTTGTCTCTTATATATGTTGAGAATTGATATTTCCAATGTAAACTTTTCTCTACCAAATTTATAGCCTAATCACAGGAAGTATTTGTGCCATGCATGTCTCACTAGTAGGGAATTTTTTCCCATTCCTATAATTGTATCCTTTGCTTGTGCTAATAAGTTAGTATTTCAGCTAAGCCTGTGTATTTTTAAAATCTCTGGCAGGATCAAAATGTTTGTACTTGACAGCTTCTGTTATTACTGATGTTTGAATACAATGCTCAAGTTTATGATCAGCTTTTATGTAAAATTGTTTAGTTGCTATGTTGATTTACAATACCTGCAATTTTATGTGACTTATGCGACAGATGACAACAGCAATATCAATTGAAGATGTTCGTCGGGAGGTCAAAATATTGAAAGCACTATCGGGCCATAAGCATCTTGTCAAATTTTATGATGCTTGCGAAGATGCCAACAATGTGTACATAGTCATGGAGTATGTCTTTTTCTCATCCTTTCTATTCCTTTCTGGAAACAAAATTTAGCATTGGTGGCTCTACAAACAGCGATTTTCCCCTTTTTATTGAGTAATATTTAAGTAATTTTATGGAATTTTCTTTTCTAGAGCTAGTGAATTTTGATGCAATTTTTCTTGACCCTTAATGAAAATTTTATTATTTCTAATAAAATTTTATTTGGTTGTCAGATTGTGCGAGGGTGGTGAACTTTTAGATAGAATTTTGGCGAGGTATATTATTGACCCTTTATGGTATATATATTATATCATTTTATTTATTGACATGACTCAGTCTCAACATTTTAGTTACAGTTGCCATCATTCATTAACTTTTGATTCCACTTACACAAAATTGTATAACCTATCCAGATCCTATGGAATCTGAAAGATTATATTAATGTACAAGATTTTCCTCTGCTGCAGAGGAGGAAGGTATACGGAGGAAGATGCAAAAGCTATAGTTGTGCAAATACTGTCAGTGGTGTCATTTTGTCATCTTCAAGGTGTCGTACATCGCGACTTAAAGCCAGAGGTTCGTTTTCTGCTTAAACTTAGCTTTCCCCTCTCTTCCCTTCTTGTGTCTCTTTCTCGTGTGTGTGGATGGGTTGGGAGGGGTGTTGGGGTTCATGGGTATTCTTTCTCCCCATGATCATCCATTGTTGATGCGCTTTCTTTCCTGTTGTACAGAATTTTCTTTTCACATCTGGGGGTGAAGATGCTGATATGAAGCTCATTGATTTTGGTCTTTCTGACTTCATCCGGCCAGGTAAAATTAATTAGCTTTCCATATTTTTTGATTGGTCTGAAACTGGATGATTTCCTTGCCTTAATGAGGCTACCTTCTGGTTAATTTACTTGCCCGTATCAAGAATGCAGTTTCCCTGTATCTTTATTTAGTCGCAGGAATAGTTTTGACCATTTCTTGCCGTAGTCACCTTTTTCCATACTCTGTAGATTTCAACTTCACACAGCTTCATACACCATGGATATGGCAGCAAAGCCAGTGTTGCTCTAATTTTTATATTTTTATATTATGAAGGTCAATGATATCAAGATAGGCAATCTAGAATAATGGGTTTCTGGACATATTAACCTATTAATATTATGTGAAATTTTCAACATATAGTTCCTGCCAATTAATAAGTTTGAACTACATTACCCCTGTGATTCTTTTCTTTACACGGTAGCTAATATGCGTTTTTTTATTTGCAGATGAAAGACTCAATGACATTGTTGGAAGTGCGTACTATGTTGCACCTGAAGTCCTACATAGATCTTACAGTCTGGAGGCAGACATCTGGAGCATTGGCGTTATTTCCTATATTTTATTATGTGGAAGCCGGCCTTTCTGGGCACGGACGGAATCTGGAATTTTTCGTGCAGTACTTAGATCTGATCCCAACTTCGATGATTTACCCTGGCCTTCTGTCACTCCTGAGGCAAAGGACTTTGTGAAGAGACTCCTGAACAAGGATTACAGGAAAAGAATGACTGCCGTCCAAGCTCTAAGTAAGTTGGTAATTCTTGTATTGCTATTTAACATGCTTACAATTGTTGATGCACATGATTTTGCGATTTTTCTTACATTATTATATCATTCTTTCTGTGACAAGCAAGTCGCTGAACAGATGCTGTTATTAAATAAACCACCCATCATCTTTTAGGAATATAAAAATGAACATTTTACAGATTACCATCGTATTTAAGCAAAAGGGCTGATCATTCTGCCATTAGTTTGATCCACAGCATTTAAAAGTGTGGGTCTGTCATTTAGATGTGGAAATACATCCGCTTAAAGTCTTTTTTTTTCATTTATAACCTGTGTGATATTCAATCCATTAGCTACCATTTACATTATAATTTCATTCTTGTTGACAATGCAGATATCCATGATTTCGTGGCATCCATACTATATTTCTTGCCTTTTGATTTCTTTTAACTAATGAATCACCATGTTGCAGGTCACCCATGGTTGCGAGATGATAATCGTCCTATACCCTTAGACATATTGATCTATAAACTAGTAAAGGCATACCTGCATGTTACACCTTTCAAACGTGCAGCACTGAGGGTACTCTTCTTCTTCTTCCAGACTGCCTTTTTTCTTTGAGATGTTATTTTTCTGAACTGAGACTTATTACTTTGTGCTTATTAACCTTTATAATGCAAATAATGTTTGTAAAGTACATCTTATAACCAAAATTATTATCAAAATTAATGTACTTGGCAATGCAATAAGGATATTATCTGCATTTGTCTTAAACTGTATACCTTATAGAAGAATAATTTACAACCATCAAAATTATTGCTAAATTTTTTTGTCTTGTTCAAGAAAGTTGGTTAAGAAATCCATACCTATTGTCATTTGTTTTAGCTGTACTGTATATAATGTTGTTTATAGTGTTACAAGATTATTTGAACAATGACCACTGACCATTTCCATAATAGCTTATGTAGCTAAAAGTTTTCAAGTTCCTAATCACTTACCATGCTTGGATTTCAATGTGAAAATTTGTTATTAGGTCCATATTTTATGTTTGAATTATGGTGTGGTTCCAATGTGAAATATCAAATAGTCACTGGAAAATATTCTTCACTTCGCTTCATCTCATGATTATGTTGATGCTCTTATAAATGTAGGCTCTCTCTAAAGCATTGTCTGAGGATGAGCTTGTTTACCTCAGAGCTCAATTCACGCTGTTGGAACCAAATAGGGATGGGAGTGTCTCTCTTGAAAATTTCAGAATGGTTATTCACATCTATTTTAACTAATATTAGTCTGAATTTGTTTATGATTTTTTCAATGCATGATATTATAATTGAACAAAAATGGAATGTTTTGCAGGCTCTAGCGCATCATGCTACCGATGCCATGAGGGAGTCAAGGGTTCCAGAAATTCTTAATGCGGTACTGTGATATGGTTTTTACTATAAGTGATAGGATAAGCTCTCACTCATCTATAACAAAAGAGGGTTAAGTTGCAAGCCTTCCGCAGCTGTTGTTTTCAAGAGTTAAAAAAAAGAATATGTATACATGTATATAATTGGAGAACTTGAGGCTAAGATGACAGTTTTGAAAAATTTGCATATATATGATGTTTCACCGATTTTTTTTTAAATAGAGCTGTTTAAGCTTTAAAAACCTCTCTCTAAGTATTGCCTTGTTTCTGAGTATTTGAAACCTTTCTTTTCTCTTCGTGGTTTAATATTGGATGGTTGTGTCATGCTCTTACTCTGTTTTCATTTTTTCCCTTGGTCAGATGGAGTCCCTCGCCTATAGGAAGATGTATTTTGAAGAGTTTTGTGCAGCTGCAATTAGTACATACCAATTGGAGGCACTTGAAGGGTGGGAGCAAATTGCCTCCATTGCTTTCGAGCATTTTGAACGGGAGGGTAACAGAGTCATCTCAATTGAAGAATTGGCACGAGTATGTACAATGTTTGGCTGTTTGATTGTGTGTTATAATTGTTGTTTGTTATGTGGAGGATATCATTTTAAATCAATCATTACTGCAGGAATTGAATGTTGGCCCTTCAGCTTATTCATTCATCAAAGATTGGATCAGAAACTCAGATGGAAAGCTTAGTTTACTTGGATATACAAAATTTTTACATGGTGTGACTCTTCGTAGCTCAAATACAAGACATCATTAGTTTTTTCTTTTTTCCTTTTTTTTTTTTTTCAGCCTTCTACATATAATTTTTTTTTTCTTTTTAATTTTTCCCAAAAAATTGTGGCATTTGGAGGACTTAGGCATTTTGGGAGGTTTGGAATTTTTCAGGGTTGGGGTACAGAAAAAAAAAAGGATGTGCATAAATGAACATGTTAGTCAAGTCAGCTCTGAGATTGTTCAGGCGAAAGTCAAGTTGAGATTTCCCTTGGTGCTTTCTTTCTTTTCTTTTTTTTTTTTTTTAAAGGTTTTATGTTGAAATTTAGCTATTGATTCATTTATCTGGGAAATGGAAATTATCTGATGCTCATAGCAATTTGATTCAAGTTGGTTAACTAATACGTTCTCGAGTCTTCAGTCAGCAGTGCTTGGACGGCTTGAGAGGTTGGTGATTGAATTGTCCACTTGATCATTTATTGTGGAAATAATCAACGGCTTAAATTATTATTGTTCTACCTTTTTTTTATTCTTAAAATCTCCAATGGGATTTGAATATGAAAACTCCAGATGAAACAGAATTAAGATCGGGAAAACATGGAGCTGTGTATCGTAACAGTTAAATAGTTAACACCGTCTGCGAGTTGCATGTTGCAATCTGAGTCTGAGAGTGTCCATTTCATAATTATCTAATGTTCTGCCAGTGCCGTGGAATATGGAAGTGACTCTAGATTTTATTAATTAAAATTCTTTTTTTATTTAAAAAAAAAAAGTACTAGATTTAGTGTTTTACAATGCTATCGTGGCCTCTTCAAATCTTTTTAAATAGGTAAAATGATAGTAAATCAGAAGTGCATGTTTGAATCGAAACCGTCCCATTCACTCTGATGGCTAATGATGAGTCAAAATAGAAGAAGCAGGCAATCATTAAGGTTTGGACTGAAGCTTTCTATAGTGTTGTGGTCTAATGAAAGATGGGATAATTATTGAACCATTTTCTGCAAGTGCATTGTATGGATCATGTGCTTTGGACTTTGTAGGAATTCTTCAACTTAAACACACACTCATGAATGATCTTTGTATCCTTTTGAAAGTGGATGGACGGCTTCAAGATATTTCCTTTTACGCCGCCGACTCTGACAATGATATATGCATAATTCCAATTAAACCCCCGCACAGGAAAGGAAAATGGTTTTAATTAATTAATTTTGGTAGAAAAATAAACATTAAAATGGCTATCCCTAAACGTAAACACATTATTTAAAGAAAAAAGAGAGATTATTTTTCTAAGCACCATATGATAGTTTTCATATGCTAGAATTTGTACGCATATATATACATATTTCTTCCAATACATATGTTGATGATAACTAACCCGACGATATAATTGGATAAAAATACATTTGGACACAGCTGAATAAATTTTCAAAAAGTGAAAAAAAAAGCATGAGTATGATTTATGTGTTGTGATGAATTTTCCTCCTAGCTTATTAGTGCGCTAACAAAGCAAAAGGGAATTACCGCAATTCGTTATAAATTACTACTAATTATCAAAGAGATTTGATCGCATTAATTACGACGAGATAGACTGCTCCATAAATGACACATTGGCGTGTCTAGATATTTCTTTCCCTTATTGTTTTTTTTTTTTTTTTTTTTTTTTTTTTTTTTTTTTTGTTTTTTTTTTTTTTTTTTTGTTTCTTAAGATTGGAATTTATGAAATATAATTGCATAAGGACTTGGTTCAGAAAGTAATTATTTTTTTTTTTTTTTTTTTTTTTTTTTTTTTTTGTTTCTTAGATGAGAAAATTTATGAAATTTATAATTGCATAAGGACTTGGTTCAGTAAAGTAATTATATTTATTATTTGATGTAATTGGTCTCTAAGTATGGCTGTAACTGTAAAGGTAATATCATTTAGGAGTGATTTATTATTATTATTATTATTACTTCGGAAGGAAAAAAGAAAAAAATGCAGTTCTTTTTATGGAAAATAATCTCTCTATTGCGTGTTGAAACTCTTCAAGATTCACTTAGGTCCAAATTTCTCTTGATAAATTGTTTCCAAGAAGAGTTATTACCTTGCATATTTTACTGCTTCAATCAAATTACCAGCAGTAAATTACAGTGCGAGTGTGGTGGTCACATTTTACACATCAAATGAAGAGAAATATAAACAGTCCCATGACGAGTTAAATATTGAGTTCTTAGGCCATGCTATTGGCCAACGATGGCTTCTTCAAATCAATGTTTATGGCAATGGAAGCACAAAATTAAAGGGGATGCGAAGAAAGGTACGATCTTTGGTTCGGTCCAACTTCCATTCTTATATAATTCTTTGCACTGGGAATTGGATCATCTTTTATGTGGATAATGTTGCTATTAGAGAAATCCGGAAGACTGCTTCAACGAGTGGGAATTTTCCTTCTAAGCCTATGCCCTTTATATGCAACAATGTGGGGATAGTTCTGGTTGGACAACAGGTGGAGGCAGGTACAATCTTAATTACAAATATGCCCCTTTTATTGCCCAGTATAAAGATTTTCTTTTGTGTATGGATGCTCCAGCAACCCGAACCGACAACCACCCGATTGTGATTTGGATACATCTTTTACTGGTTTAACAATTAAGGAAAGAATGAGAATGAAGAATTTTAACCTATACTTATTGCTACGATCATCGTCGATGTCCCAAGCCTTTGCCCAAATGTGTAATTGATCCACAAGAAGCAGGCAAGTTCCGATAATGGATTATCCAGTGTTTAACCGGGTCAGGCTTTAAGCTTAATTAGTAGAATTTTAGTTCATTAATTAGCATAGGAGTAGGTTGGTTGAGGTGCCTCCAACTACTGGGTTGCTTATTATAATTGAAAAAATAGTTTATTTCAAAATATTTGTCATATTTTTTATTTTAAGGAGTAATAAATTTTTTTTTTCATGTTCATCCTTTTTATACGATCAATAATTATTATTTTAATTTAATAATTTTTTAAAATTAATATTAAATTAAGATTAATACAGCCAATTTATTCAATAATTTATTATAAGTTAGATAATTTAATGATTTCTTAATAAATGTGAAATTCTAAATGTTACAAGTATTATGGAATAAAGATAATATTTTATTTTAAATATTAATAAAATTTTAGAATAATAATTATTAATGATGATGATGAGTCAGATTTAATGGTCTTGTCAAATGTCAACTACTCAACTCCCATTTTTTTTTCAACTGGAACAGCAAACTTCCTCATTAGTCATTTTGTTTGCTTTGCTTATATATGTATAATTAATTAATAAATAAACATATAATTAATTAATCTTAATTTCAAAATGTATTACAAAAACAATAAAGAATCCAAATTCTGCAACCTACAATCAATTTATTACATTATAAAATTCTCGTTATTATTATTAATTAATTAATTTTTTCGACAAGCATGCCCGCATGGCTTAACAGAAGAAGCAACAGGTAGAATAATAAAAGTAAAAAAAGATTTTGTTTATAAAACGCTCTGGCTGAGTTGTCTACCGAAACTTATTAATTAAAGTACATGACACGCGTTACTATCAACAGAAACAATTTTACTAGAAGGTTAATATGAGCTTAATGGGACTCACTTACCCAATTAGCACTAAGTGCATGCATATATGATATATATTTAATTTTCTAAAAAGCAAAACGTTTTGCAATTTAAACGAAACACGTGTCTCCTGTCCCAAATTAAACACAATATTGCTTTTTTCTTTTATTTAAATAATATAAAAATAAAATTATTGAGTATGAAAGGTGCACTAAATTGATGGTCCATTTATGTGAGAGATTGCTTAATTATTTAACATAAAAAAAAAATTGTACACTAAGATATAACCAAGGCATAATCTAATAATAAATACATATGCAGTTTGAGAGTATATTTAATTTGAAAAACTTTTTGCCTAATATTCGAAAAAAATAATAATAATAAAAATTTGTGTTTTACTACCATTTAAGAGAAGATAATAGAACCTGATCAAATAAAAGGGTTTTGGAAAATGTATTTATTTGCTCTAATCCGTCATTATCTCAGTAATGACTGATGAGAAATCATTATCACTTCCGATAAATGAGAAAATTAACATAAGAAATAAAAAATACAAAATAGTCGCTATCTTAGCTAATCATATAATTAGCAAAATAATTAAAGCACCTTTAGTACCATATATATAAACAGTATAACCAAATACCTAATAGTCTCTTCTAAAAAAAAAAAAAAAAGTCAAACCCCACCATACTATGAACCATAGAACTCCATAAATACATCTGAAAAGGTTCACTGATTCTTGTTTTTGGTCTTCTGTTCAAGAACAGTGCAGTGGACTGCCCTGTAAAACCATAGTAACAACCAAAAGGCTCACTCTACGTGGAGATTATGCTTCTCTCTTATTTTGACCGTAACCTCTCTTCACCTACCGAATTCATTACTGCAACGGCGAACTTTGGATGGATTACTATTCAGTACTATTATATTGCTATGTTCAATTGTGGTTCATATCCTATACATTGATAAGTTTTCTAGAAATGTACGGATTTTCTCTTTTTTCTTTTTTCTTTTTTTTTTTCCTCCTGAAACTAATCGATATTGTAATTTTTCTGGTTAACAAAATCTTGAACTGATTGCTTTTTAGGACTCTTAGGATAGAGTCAAGAGTTAATTTGTTTTATCTGATTAAATTAAATATTCCGTGATTGTCGTCATGATTAATGTTAAAAAATCCCAAATTTGAAGGTCTAAAGCAACTGCCATGGCCCTACCATTGGTTTGGTTTGGTTTGGTTAGCTTTGTCTATTCTCTCGCTCAGTGTTGTGGCAATGCTGCAATTGGTATAGAAAATATTTTCCCGAGAAAGAAAAAGTAAAATATTAGAAGAAAAGAAACAAAGGGAAAAGCATTTACTATTCTCTTTTCCAGTACGGATCCTAACAAAATAACAAAAATCAAATACAATTGCAAGGTAATATTCTGTCGTCATTATCTCATCATCATCGACCGACTTTCTCATCGATCTCTACCGGCCAACCATAAGAGTCTAGCAAGAAACAGAAACAAAGAACGAAAAACAAACCCTAAAAAGACTCCAAATTTAAGCATCCCAGAATGAAAGAGACCTGAACCCATCAAAACCCATTTCCTGGGGAAGAGAAACGTTAGGCCTGTTTGGCACCACAACCCTTTCTTTCACCCTCTTAGAGTATTAATTCTTTCATTGTATCAAGTCATCAAACCCTAAAACAGCCGACATGATGGTGGTGATGAAGGGACTTTTCTTTGTCAATCATGCCTCGAACGTACCTAAACTCCTCCACATGGCAAGGAATAGTGATTGTGCCTTTCTGATCAAACCCATATTCTTCTTCGGCTTCTTTCAATAATTGAATGAACAGTGGATGATTAAAGTACATCACAGGCACTACGAATCTCTGTTGCTCCTCTCCCTGGCCCACCTTAATAGCCAAACACCCTTTAGGTACGTCTCTCGCTTGCTTCTTGTTATTCCCATGGTGGTGGTGGTGATGGTGGTGAAGGTGAGGCAGGTGTAGGTGGAAGTTCTTTTGACTCTTCTCTCCACTACCCATAATCATAATAATAATATTTAAGATCGGAAAACAAGAACAAGAAACAAGAAACCCAAGAAAATCTTTACAAGAAAAGAAGAGAAAAAGGCCAAGGATCTACGGTAATGGCTTGTTTGAAGAGGGTCAAGGAAGAATATCTAAGAGACCTTGGGAGGTTGGTCATGGTCGATATAAAAACCCCAAACAACACATGCCACCAAGAGGAGGAGAAGTTTTTATATAGAAATAGAGGAAGTGAGAGAGCCCCAGAGAGTGGGGATTTTTTATTACTTTATTTACATAAATATTAGCGTAATCACTAATCATAGACGAGTTAATTATTAATTGTTTTTTAAAACGGGTAAGATAACGATAATAATATGATAGTAGAGAGAGGTGAGATTGTTGCTGTAACGGACTCCTTGGGCGGGGGTGAGATAGGATTAGGATTCTTTATTTCAGTGTGGCAGAATCGTAATTATGTTTTTTTTTTGAAGGAAAGACACGTAGACAGTGAGTGGAGAAGAGTTAGACACGTGGAGGATTGTGGGGCAACGCATCATGAGCATAGCCGACAATAGAGTGTCGTTTACAGTAAGGCAATTGGAAGGGACAGCCAATAGCAGGTCTTCAACATGTCCATGTAGGCATCAAGATTGTCTCGTCAGCTTGCGGGAGGGACACATATGCTCCTGTACCAACTATCAAAGTTTTTATTTATATGTATTTGTGATTTTTATTGTTTATTTATTTTGTGGTGATATACAGAGATACCGTTTGGGTCAATCAATATATTACTATCTTATTAGTTGGGATTTCCATTGTGAGCGAAATTTCCATTTTTGTTCCTAAATGGTAGGCCAACCAATCTCGAACGGTTGAAATCTAAATATATTAAATTAATTTTAAGTTATTTTTTAAATTTTATTTCCGACCAAGTTTGTAAAATTGCAGTACTTTATAAAAATAAGGTTTTATATAAAAAAAATGTGGCCAAAAATTTAAAGTCATCAAAATCTTGAAAATAAAAATTGCAATGTGATAATATATATGTGAATGGAAATCATGACAATAAAAAGATGTTGAATAGTGATATTTTTCAAAAATAAAAAAAAAACAATTATTTTGATAATAATAAACAATATATAGATATTAGAATTTTAGGAAGGCAAGGCATGGGACTTGTCATGGTTTAACATCGAAAGTATAGAATTTTACGGTGGATTTATATAAAATTATACCATAAATAAAGAAATAATATATATTTAGATAAAATATAATTGGTGAAGGAAAAAAAACAGAAAGGAATCCAAACTCCAAAGAAAATGGTATTGTTTGAGCCATCGATTTTTTTTTGGGTTGGTAATTGAGGGATTTTATTTGTGAACATTAATTGGTCGTAAGCGTAAGTATAAAGTTAGGAGAAGTAAAATCACATGGGAACGGGGTCCACTGAAGTACGTTCTTCTCTCCTCCAACTGAATACAAACATCGTCGGAGGAATAAAATCGGGAGCCACAATGACAAAAAAGTCCCTTTCTTTTCCATCAAATTCCAATTCCATGGGACCCAAAATCTCGTTGGCCAGATATGGGAGCCCTGGATTTCTTTGTCAACAGAGAAAGATATAGACTTACCCTCCCCTCAGTGACTTAATGCGCGCCTGACAATAACATACAGGAAACTATTTTCTTTTTTTTTTTAAAAACCCCTTAATTAGGATGCCAAAATGCAAATTTGCTGGAACCGATTCGACCCAACAAGAACCAAACCATTGAAAAAACATTACAAACTGAACAATGAGAATGACAATCAAACTGAAAATTACAAAATAGTTGAGATATTATTTGATTTTATTCAATTTTTAAATTCAGATGATTTTTTTATTTCTGAGGATTAAATTTTAAGAAAATTGAAATAGTATTGGTTTCCAATAATGATTTATATTCTAAAAATATAATATTCGATTTTATTTTATTGGACACTTTATATATTAATTTGCAGCTGTGAATATTTGATCAATAAAACCTATTAACATAGTATATATATTCCTACATGCTATTGATGTATGTTGTTCGGAAATCATTTATGTATAGAAGAATCAAATGAGTTATTATTTTATGGTTGAGATAAATTAAAAAAGATTAGTTGCTATTATAAAGATTTACATTTTTAAAGGATTAATTTTTTTTTTTTTTAGTTTTATTATTTAAAAGAATATATACCATTCTTTTGATATTAAACGATGAACTTTATTAGCTTCTGATAATAAAGTTCCATATTTCATTTATAAAAGTATTTGTAATGTTTGAAATTATAATTAATGAATTATATTCTTTAAAAAAAAAAAACGAATTAAATTGTAAGCATTGAAAATGCAAGTAAATGAAAAGACCAAAGTAGAATGTTAAGATGGGATTTATTTGGGAAACGTATGAGTGTATTGCTCCACAAAATCAGATGCATTTACTTTATTTTTGGTACAGATGTTAAGTGAGAATATATAAATATTTTTGTGGCAGTAGAAGGAGGAACATTCCCGTCACTACACATTTAACAAAATAAATAAATAAATATATAATGCTAATCATACGTGTTAATGTGCAACTATATGTACCGCACTTGTACTGAATGTACTCTTACATTTTATTATTTATTAACAATTAAGATTAGACTAGAAAGACAAAGTTACATATATATAAAAGAAACAAAAGGAATCACTAAAACGCCAATGCCAAAGTGGAGTCATATTGATTCTCCAGAATAAAAAAAGTGGAGTCATATATCATTACTTTGCTAGCTGATTTTGTTTTTAATGCTAATACAAAACTACATGTGCTTTTGCTGGAAATATAAGCAAAAATTTTAAAAATCTTCTTTGTTTCTTTTTTTTTTTTTTTTGAATATTTATTCTCTGTTAAATAGAATTTCAATTCATTATTTTATGTTTATTTTTATTTTCTGTTTGTGAAATTTTCAGTAATTCAACTTGTAATGTACCCAACAACTTTATGAGAGAGATTTGAGCTAATTTAATATTTCTTCGAGTAAAAAGCAATCAATTACCAAACACTAATATTAATGTAGAGCTATTTTTAAGATTAGGTTAAATATATCACAAGGATAGGCCTTTCGGAAATAGGATATTATAATTTTTGGCAGAAATGAATCTTTCATATAAACTTTCGATGAAAAGAATCTCTTTCCAATAATAGGATATTTCTAAGGTATATCTTGATTCCATAGTTGCTTTTCCTTTTATTTTTTTAATGGCAGTTCTTATCTTTAAATTATTCCAAAAAAAAAAAAACATTTTATAATTTGAAAACAATAAGCTACTTCTAATGTTTTCTTATCTTAAGGTGTTAATTTGGATAAATTAAAATCTAAGTGGGTGAAGATTATGTAATATGACAGTAGACAATGCTTATATTTAATATATATAAAAATAAATAAATAAATGGCAATGGTGGAGAGTGGAGAAAAAGATGCAAAGTCAAAGAAATGGGGAATGGAAAGACCACCCAAAGTGGAGGGAGTGGCCGTCGCTTTTTAAAGAAAGAAAAAGGAAAAGATCCATACTTCTTTTGTCATTTTTATTCCCTCAGCCTCCTGCTTTTTTTAATACCAGAATTTACAAATGTTTTAGGAGAAAAAAAATATATAAATATATATATCTTTTGACTTCCAAAATGCGTTATATGACTGTGGCATCTTACAACTACAAGAAGGTTCCACTAAAACCTTTCTTTGGACTCTTTCTAATTCAATCTTCAAGAGTTAAAACAACAAAAATTATCAAATTACACGAGGCTTAGAACTAAAGAATGCAAGTCGGGCTTATAGGCTTCAAAATTTTGTTTTCAAGCATACGAAGATAGGTTGTGATAGACAAACCTTGGAGCTTTTCTCATATGATTCAGATATTTGTAATTATATGTCAATTCACAAAACTTCATTGACTCTTCCGTCGTCGGCTATCTTTTCTTGAAGCACATAATTACAAATTGAATAAAACTATTTTACATCATTTTGCCCGTGGACTTGTATAAATATATCGTCAATGACTTTGGAAATATAAAAATAAAAATTAACCATAATTTTTATCTTTGAATTTCATGAAACTCGATTTTAATTATTTAAAACGGAACAAAATACTTTATTTGTTCCGTAGAAATAGAATTACTTCTATTTTCATACATATTAAGAAAAAATAAATAATTAATATTATTAAAACAATAAAGTTGTCCTGCATTTTTTTAATATACACATAGTAACTAAAAATTGAATGATAAAACTATTGATAATAAAGAACATTAAAATAGTTATACATTAGAAAATTCAGAAATTAACTATATATTTCAGGAAGAAAAATAATTTAAGAGCTTTTGTTTTTCTTCCAAAAAAAAAAAAAAAAAAAAAAGATAATAAAGAAATTAAATAGTTATACCATTTAGAAAATTCAGAAATTAACTATATATTATTCAGGAAGAAAATAATTTAAGAAGCTTTTGGTTTTTCTTCCAAAAAAAAAAAAAAAAAAAAAAAAAAAAAAAAAGGTGGGAAACATGAAACAAAGGTTTGGAAAGATGTAGTACTGTTTTTGCCGAAAGGCTAGTGGTCCAAACTCTAGAATACGTCGATTTTAGAAGTGGGAAAGAATTTGGATTGCTAAGGAATTTATTTTGTGCTTGTATTTTTTCTGACTCTGCCTAATCGAAAAAAGTTCTTTTTGATTCTTAGCGTCCGGAATAAAGTTAGCATTAACCATCTCGTATGGTTTATGGAATATAATATAAATATACATGAGAATTAAATATAATATAATATAAAAATATTTCTCACCAATTAAATACACTAGCAGAGATAGATAAGACTTGCAATCGACTGGGCTTTTAATGGATCATGGTAGTAGAGACAAATAGTAGGCCCAAAGTTATTTAAAAATATTGGGGGGAGGCCCAAAAGTAAGTAAGAAATGCTGAAATTCTCCGAAGAGGAAACAAGGATGTAGGAACCACCAAATAAACGATGAACTGGATAAACACAGGACTGAATGATAAAAGAACCTCAAAAACAGAAATCATTCAAGGAAAGATCCTGATGATCAATAAGAAGGAACAGTCTTAAAATTGTGAAGGACGAGCAGCATTTGATTGCGAACCTTTCATTTTAGACATAAAAGATCGTGGTTTAGCTCTTGGCAAGTAATTAGAAGGTGATCAAGTAAAAATCAAGGTGTTCTTCGATTACATTAAACAATCAGCTTGAGTCTTTAATTTGAAAAGAAAAAAGCAAGTTATAAACTTATTGAATGGCATAAGGTCCTTGACATTTTTCTTTAAACAATGGTTTCATTGACTAATTAATTCACAGTTTGTAAAAACATTTACATGTTATCAAATAAGCAGATTTCTATATGTATTTTACGCTAAAAATGCTGTATTCAGAGGTAAAAGGAAAGGAAGAACTTTGCATTCCACAGTAAAAGGTACAAAAAACCTAAGGTTTTAGTATTTTGTATGGAGACATACAAAGTACTATACATCCAAAAAACTAGTTTTTAAAAAGTTTTGGTCAATTGTTTTACAGAAACCAATAATTCATGGAAATTTATGGTCATGAAGGTTTATTCATCGACATGGAGTAAAGGCCTCTCTCTCTCTCTCCCTCTCTCTCTCTCTCTCTACAGATCAAAGATTAAAGAAACAACAGATAATCATAGATAAAAGTGAAGCAGAAAATGGTTTACTTTATATTTGCAAAGGTCAAAAAGATTCAATTCCCAAAAAGCAATTCTTTAATTACGAGACAACAGAATTCATATAAGTCCATTTTCAACAACAATGGCTAGAGTGAAATGGAAGAAAAATGTGAAACGCCGCCCTTATTCTTTAACTAGTATACCATCAACATTGGTCTAATTAAATCTCCACCAGGTGCAAAGAAATGCAAACACAATTAATGATAAAATAGAAAAGGTAATACTTGCTTCCTAGATTCCAAACACATTAAACTTACGATAATCACAAATTTCCATACACTGAGAAGGCTGTTTGTATGAGGAAGAAGAAGATGAGGACGGATGGGGAACAAGAGCATAATAAAGGCTAAGAGGCAGAGGTTTCTTCTATGCCCCTAGAGGCATGTGGGAGAGACTCTTTTGCCCATCTTTCAAATCAATTGTTTAACATTCGGCATGTTTCTTCCTCAACTTCCATGACAGAAATTTCACAATAAATGGAAGAAAGATCCTAGCTTTATAAAACCCTTTTGATCCAATGGGTTTTTCACTAACCCACTAAAATGTACAACGTAGAAACACAAAAATGGGAACAAACTCGCTGCTAAAGCATGTGTTTTATCCTGCACAAAGCTTTTCTGCAAATCGATCAGACGTTTTCATTTCACCAATCGTTATCAATCAATCTATTTTATGAGAGAGATTTTACACAGAAGATTTCTCTTTCAACACATTAGATCAAATTTAGAACATTTGGATGTTCGAGTGGATTTAGTTACTGCTAATAATATCTGAAGATTCATGTCCTCGTAAAACCTAAAATGAAGAGACAACAGAGGAAGTTTTGCGAAGAAAACGAGAATCAAAGTTTCTAAATTTATAACAAACAAATTCAACTTTGAAAAGGATTACTTTTTACTAGGGTTTCAAACAAGTACACAACAAAGCCAAGACTTGAGAGGTTCCATTAATGAGAGATGCACGAATACGATTATCCTCACATGCACACAGTAATAAAGAAAAAACAAGCGAATAAGGAGGTCCATTACCTATGGCATGCAAATCACATCAGAATATCCTATTCAAATGGGATTAGGAGAAAAGAAAGCAAATTTAGAACAATCATATCGTAGGACTATACATACATGTCAAATGTAAACGAAGCACCAGAGTTGCGATATGTAGAGAAATATGTGTCCAATTGTAAATATGTAAGTCTGCATTTGCATAAGCAATTTCTATCTCTCAATCTCTACAGAATCGAGAAACTTTTCAAAAAATGACAGAAAAAGAAAGTAAAAGGCATCACTTTCTTGCTATTACAAATTCCCAGAGGTTACTTAGGCCTTTTCTAAAAGATTTATTTTGAGATTTAAAAGTCCGAACACAAAAACAACAGAATAAAACCCTAAGAGAGAGAAGGAAAAGTAGAAGAAGAAAAAGAAGTAAAAGAATGTTTACCAAAGTTCAAAGCCAGATCTGAATAAACCAGAAACGGACAGATCGGATACTGAAAGCCATCATGAGAGAAATCTGGCTATTGATGAACTATAAAAAGGCTGACAAAAGAGAAAAAAAAAAAACACCATCATCGCACGAACAGGAATGAAAATAAAAAGAAAGTAATGATTAAACTTTTATTCAAAGTAGATTGGTCAAAATACTTCATCATTACACCAATCTGCACAAGACCAACAACCTTGATTAGCCTAGAAACGAAAACCCACGATCTAAAAGTGCCTGCGTTTTCCCAAAAAAAGACAAATATAAACAAATTAGAGAAACGATGAGAGAACCCAAACCTTTGCATGCAACCCTTGAAAAGAAAAATCAGATCTCCATGGAAGCATTAATTGGGGGGAATGAAGCCTGGTCCGACGACACTATCACATGATCAATCTAATTCTAAATCCATACACCTATTAGATCTATGGATATAATTAAAGAAAAATCATCAACAAAGATGGATCAAAAGAGAGTCCTCGAGCCAGACAACATTCCCCTCAAAAGAGAAAGCTCCCTTTGCACAGCTTCTTCTTCAGTAGAGAGAGTTAAAGGGAAATCATTGTGTTCTTCTTTGGGTAAAAGTCTTTATCTTCTATCCCCCAAGAGTCTCGCCTATCTTCATGGGGGATGAGAGCGAGAGAGATAGGGGGAGAGAGATTGGTGATGATGAAGAGATGATGAAGAGAATGATATGGCATGGGGGTTATAAGAAGGAGTAAAAAGAGTGGAAAGCCAACGTTAAAAAAGACAAAAGATAGGTGCAGACCCGGCCCTACCAGCTGGTTTTTCAGTTCCAGAAATGACCACGACTCCATGCACTCTATTTCTCATGTATACAAGATGGGAGCGCTAAAATCCATTTCCACCGTTGGATTTCTGAGATGAATATGATGGTAAACACCTCGTACGGGATTGACTATATCTACACGAGAAAAACCCACCATTAGATTATAGGTCTGATGGTTGATGGTGTCATCAAACATGAACAGTGGATGTGTACTATGTAACCTAGAAATCGAGACACATTATGGACCGTCGGATGGCGAGACTGTGCCATGCTACAAAAAGCTGTAATTTCCATCATAAAATTAGATTATTGATTATTTAATAATACTAACTATTTAAATAATTGAATAGAAAAGGAATCAAAGTAAAGATGGCCTAGAATTGAGTCAGAGGAGTGGTTGAGTTATTGAGCTGCCCGATAATGGTAACCCCATTTAATATTTTTACACTTTTTGGAATCAATTATTTTGTAATTTGGACTTTCCAATCTTTTAATAATTAATTCTCCTATTTGTTAGTGAGAATTTTTCAAAAATAAAAAATTAAAATAAAAAAAGATTTTTGTATTTTTATGAAAGATTGGACCCTCGTCTGCCGTGTCACTTTTAGGCAGGGGCGAGGAATTCGAGGCGATGACCGACAGATAGAGTCAGGGGGTCCACGCTTTCCTTTTAACTTTGCCTTTTTACCCATCCCAATTCCTCGGTGACTCTTTTTTGCAACTCTTAGGTCAAAATGACTACGTTTTTCACTTGCTTTTTTTTTTTTTTTTTAAATTTCTTTCTCTCGCATTTTCGATCATATTCATCACTACACAAATCTTTTCCTTTTTTTGCTTATTTTTATCTATTTTTAGGTCTGAATTAATGATATAGCGTAGCTTTCACAGTACATGGACTTTAATAATAATGTGGTTGTGGGTCCTCTGAAAAAATGGGGTGGCTTTGAAATCGCCCTTAATTGCAGGCAATGCATAGAAACCGCTTGTTAGTGGGACACTTAATTATTTCTCTACTGATTCTTGATTTAGGGTTTTGTTTTTGAGTTACCTCATATTGTTTTCATAGCTTTCTCAATCTTTGAATTCAAAGCAATTATCTGTTGCTCTTAAAAATTAATTTTCGAGTTCATTGAGAGGATGGCAACAACACATGCTTTCGCGATAATGGTGTGTTTGGCTTATTAAAAACATCCCTCTAATTTCTTTGGTGTCCAGATAGAGACTAGGCAGGAGTGACTATATCATCTTCAGATCACACACAGCCATGGAATTTAATGGGTCCAATTCCTTTTTTTCCTCCCTTTTGCTATTTCTCTCTGGGTTGTGACAGGCCTCTTTCCCTGCTTTTTCCCAAAGTTAATAAATGCTGGTAGAATAATTAGTTTTCCGACTGTTACTCAATAATTTAGAGATATTAAGCTGCGTTTTAAGTAAACTATTGAGAAGTGAAATCAAATGATGCAGAGTTAATTACAACAACCTGCCTGCAGAATGCTATGCTCCACATTTTCCCCGCAAGCATATTTCTTTAAAAAAATACCGATAAATAAGAAAAGGAAAGGAAAATTTTTTATTTGGAATTGATGAGATGAGAGAGAGAGAAAACTGTGCTTGTACTTGTCACCATAGTAATATTTTGTCTTACATTGCAACTTGTATTCTCCATTAAATTTGATGTAATTGCTAGCTGGACAAGTTCATGTGATTGACAAAGTAAGATTTTTTTTTCCCAATTGTTAATGTCCAGTTAATCACAGGTAATTAAAGGTCAGTGATAAATAATCCAAGTTAATATTAAAATGTAGTAATGCATATTAGCGACAAAGCTCTCTCTTTCTTTTCCTTAAAAAAAAAAAAAAAGATAGACTTCTCTTTTTACTTTCAATAAATTTTCCTTAAAAAGAGTGAGAAAATGGATGACTGTTCACTAATAATGGGGTACAGTGTAGTAATGGAAAATTAATGAATATTAAGAGTGTGAGGGAAAGAGATAAGGGTTTGTTTGGAAGCGAGGTTGGTGCCCGTAAGAAGTGCTGCCATGCTTAGCTATCACTTCTCCCTACTGTACATCAGAGTGACAAACGGAGAGGACGATACTGGCTCCAGATTTCAACGCTTTACAGTCTTGAAAATTGTGTCTCTATATATCGACAGAGAGAGAAAATGGGATAGGAACAACACGTAAATGTCAAATCCCAGCATCTCCAAACCAGGTTGTCGACATTTCAATTTTATTTCTTTAACATATGCTGTTTGTTTTAATTCAAATTCTTTGACAAAATCCAAGAAAATCTTCATTTTATTAATTAATTATCCAATTTGTTAAGATAATCGAGTTGATTAACAATGAGGGAGTACAGCCTTTTTCCATTTAGGCCAGCACCACCTGGGCATATTAACATGATCCCTACCCTCAAAATGCAACAGTCACGTGCCAAATGTCTCTCTCCCTCTCTCTCTCTCTCACTCTCTGCAGAGGAGTAGTTGAAAAGGAAGAAAACGTTAAGCCAACTTTAGAGGTAGCTTTTTGATATTTAAGTCAAATTGATGTCTGGATGGAAGAAAGAGGGCATAACTTATACTCTTAAAAGCAAAAACAAACATACAAAAGCTTACGTGGTTAGTGTTGTTAATTTTGGAAATTTTATTAAGACGGCCATTCTGCACATTCTCCTATATAAATTTTGACACCTTAATCTTTTTTTTTTATTATATAATTTAATTTTCTTTGTACTGGAAGAAGACTTTCTTAGCACCTAAAACATTGTTTCTGTAGGTTTGTAGCATTGTAATTAGTGAAAGTAGCAAGTACTGTACAGTAAGACTCTCCTCTTTCTTGGTTTATAATTCAATTGCATAAAGTGGATTTTCCTACTTGCTGTGTTTTCTGCTCCTTAATATGCTAGCTTAGCTACACCTAATCATCAAATCAAAAAACACTAGCAAATCGCTATTGCTTCTAACCTCATTTTAATACGCGTATTATAAACAAATTAAGATTTGAGCCTCCAGAATTCAAAATGCAGGAAATCTGCCGGTCATGAGACAGTGTTGTGATTGTTCATGCTATATATAGGTGCCTAATTTAACAGTGGAAATTCTGTATTTGGATGCTCATTTTTTTTTTCTTTATTTTCTTTTGTACAACAGTAAAATCCATATTCCTTTTCCAAGAAAAACAAATTGTAGTTCAGACTCAGAAATGGCAAACCACTGTTCACTTTGAGCGAATAAAACAACTCGACCTCTATTTGAATATGTACAAAGTATACGAGGAGTTATGCCTAATTTTGCTTCAACTCTGAACTGATTATATTCTTTTCCCAAAGCATAATACGAACCCCATAACTGGAAACCGTCCCAACTTCATTTTAACTACTTTTGGCCCATTTTAGGTTTCCATTGCGTAAATAGAGGTTACTATTTTGACTAATACACACCCCAGTCTCCTCCTAGCACTATTCCGATTTAGTGGATCTTTAAATTGGATTTTATTGGGCCGAGAAGAAGGCACCAAGAACTGGACCTTGTACAACTCTTCTCTAGATGGGCCATCCACGACAGGCCCGTCCAAATTAAGACTGGACAAGGACAACGATTAGTATGACACGCTCACAAAACTGAGACAAATTTGGTTTTGGTGTACAAACTGAAAGGAAGTATTTTTCTTCCCTATATAGAGATTTTGACCTGATCAAACACGACAAATTTGATGATGACCATGACTGTGATTTAATCTAATCCCTTTGCTTATTCCTTAAATCCAACGTACCAAAAGTGACCCATTTGATCCAACATTTTGAAAGATGAAACCATATCCCATTCGCTTTACGCCATATAGACAAGCAGTCTCTGTAGCTTGTGATGGAAATTTCTTGGAGCTAATTTGACAATTAAGTGCATACGTAAACAACTAATTTGACAATTAAATTTGTAAGCTTATTACAGAATTTGGTATACGAGATTGGTCCATTCCATTGGTTGTTTTACTTGCCTATACGGAACAAATGCTACTGCAAATAATTACAAATAATTATATTTTGTATATACTCATCGTTTTCGTGGACTGTCTTCATCACTTGTGCTTCCCTTTTACTTTTTCTTTAATTACAAACTTTATAGTCAATCTGCTTGTCTATCTACTTTTCATCAGAGCTCTATCTTTTTAAAAGGATCCTTAATACAAAATATGATGTATTAAAACATATATTTTTTTTAATATGGAATTGTACAATCCATATGAATATGATTGCACCCAAAGAAAAAAAAGATTTGCTCTAGTTACTTTAAATTATTTGGATTATTTGTCATGGACCTCATTTAATGCTAAGATTTTAATTATGGGCACCATATTTCAATTATAAGTTGATAATATATATATTCTACGCATATAATTACGAGAATACTTACTCTATTCGTAAATGTTTATTACATCTGAGAAAATATCATATTTATAAATATTTATGGATTTGACCAATAATATTTTTTTTTATTTTTATCTTTATATATGATTAATAGTGATTGCTTCAATTATTCAATAATTTATTATAAATTAAATAATAGGATAATCAACGTATCAATAATTTATTATAATGCAGATAAATTAAAAATGTTATAGTTAATATATTAGTAATTTACTGGTATAAGTTTGACAAATTAAATTATTTTTTTAAGAAATGTAAAATATTCAAATGCGATCAGTATTTGAAAATGGAAAGAGGATGAGCCATTGGATTGTACACTCCAATTGATATTCAATGGACTACGAAATTCCCACGTGTGTGAGCTCGTATTATAAGAATCTGTTTTTTTTTTAAAAAAAAAAAAAAAAAAAAAAAATTGATTGCTTCAATTATTCAATAATGTTAATTATAAATTAAATAATGGATAATCAACGTATCAATAATTTATATAATGCAGATAAATTAAAATGTTATTAGTTAATATATTAGTCAATTTACTGGTAATATAGTTTTGGACAAATTAAATTATTTTTTTAAGAAATTGTTAGAAATATTCAAATGCGAATCAAAGTATTTTGAAATGGAAAGAGGGATGACCAATTGGATTGTACAAGCTCCAATTGATATTCAATGGACTACGAAGATTCCGTACGTTGTGGTGAGCTCGTATTATAAGAATCTGTTTTTTTTTTTAAAAAAATAAAAAAAAAAAAAAAAACAACTAATAACGTTGCAATCGTTTGGTCTTTCCAAAGGATTTAAAAGACAAAGGCTACCGGAACCACTGTGGCAAACAGAGAGAGCTTTTTTTTTTAAAAAAAAAAAAAAAAAAAAAAACTAAATAGACGTTGCATCGTTGGGCTTTCCAAAGGATTAAAAGACAAAGGCTACCGAACCACGTGGCAAACAGAGAGAGCATATAAAAAAGCACAATAAGACAGAGACGTTCGATTCAAACATTGTCCCCACAACGAGTCTCCATATGCTACGATATTGAAGGAGCAATAGGCACGTGTATTCTAACATTGAAGAAGCTTTCTACGTTGGACCATCAATTTCTCGCCACGTCGTCAAGTACACCTAAAACTACAAAAGGAGATGACGACAAAATGGGATACTATGTTTTGACCCAATGCAGGTGTCAAAGATCTATTGGGTGACGTGTGACAGCCGATAGATACTTGTTCTTGGGCAACTAATGTCATTGGCTGGATTTTTTATTCATTTATATTTTTTATAAATAAAATAATAGATTTTTTAAATTGATATTTGGTGGAGAACCAAAGTCGGGCACGTTCAGACTGAGCTCCTGACAGTGACTCAATCCAGTATGGCTCGAGTCGACCTGTCCGTGGCTCGCTCGCTGCTTAGCCATCGGATTCCAAATAACATCAGTAACTCTGGGTGAAATTGAAATAATTGTCAATGGCGATGATATTTATTGCAAATATAAAAACTTTCAAAATTCTGTACCCAATATGAATTTTATTTTCAAAAACTTTTAAATCATTTAATTATAAAGAATATTTTCCCTAAAGAATAAGAAAAGATCAAGGTCTTCAATTCATCTCAGAGATGATGAAGACCAATGGCTACTGACCTTGTATGGAGAGGAAACATATGAGCTACACTTGCTGGACATGAAATCTGGATTTTATTGTCTTTTTCTTAAACGAGGAAAGCAAGAATTAGAGTATCAGTAATTCATGTTGCCGACAAAATATATAACTAATTAAGATGAAGGCGATGACGTGAACAACAGTGACAATGACTATGCAAATGTATTTTAATATGCTGCAAAGGATAAAATTACTAAAATGTGCTGCAATACTTCCTTTTTTTTTTATTTTATTTTAAAATATTATTTGGATATCTTAATCATTTTAAACATTTTGTCGGCACAATTTTACACCCTTCTTCTATCATCATTACATTTTGATAATTTTATGCAAAAATTTTTTTATATATTTCCTATTACAGATATAAATTAATAATGATTAAAGCGAAATAATTCTCTCGAGGAAGTCAAATGTGTTATTTTTTATAATATGACAATAAAAATAATAGTTGATAGAATAATTAATATACACTTACTTATTTACCAAATTATTTATAAGATTTGTTTCAATTGATTTCTCAAAAATGAATAGAATGATGCTATTTTTATTGCATATTTATTATTTAGATAAAACTATCAATTTTGTTCAATTTAATCATTTCATCTCCTCCTTGTTTTATTATTTCATGATTATAGAAACCCATTTATACTAAAATCAAAATCTGAAATCTTCTCTTTTCCGATTGAAAAACATAAAATTTGTCTATAATATTCACATATTATTTTTCGATGGAAAAATCTTTTCTTTATTTGAACGAATGTCTTTTTTTTATTATTTATTTAAATAAGCAAAATAAACTGAAAATTATTTAAGGAATGTAATGTTTTCCTTTGTTATTTGAAAAAAGGAGGAAAAATTTTGAAAGAATGGGTAATATTCATTTATTTTCCACCTAAGCTTACATCTTGTGAAATCTCTCTAATTTGGAGAGAAAATAATAAAGAAATTGAGAATTTGACTTATTTTTATTAAATTATCAAAAATAACAAGAATTACATTTTATTGTTTAAAAACAAATAAAGACATAATTTTACATTTCTGGTGACAATATTTTATTTTTTTCTAAAAGTTTATCTTTTTCAAATAAAAGAAAATAATTATTATATCAAAACAAATGGTGAAAAATAACTATGAAAAAAAACAAAAGTGTTAATTACAGAGAATGATAAATTAAAGACATGGATGCAAATAGACAAGCCGGCTTGAATTGGCTACCCAGTGTTTATTAAATTCTGTGGGCTAAAGCTTCCCTTATAAACTTATTAAAACCAAAAATGATTATCAGAGAAAACTGGTAGAGTTTAAAAAAATGGACTATGTTCACAAGGAAAAGCACTGTACGCTATCAGATCCAATACGTCCTGGATATAAAAGTCCCACAGAGTTGGGAATATAAAGCAGCGATCATTCGCTTCAGACAAACCATCCATGAAAACACACTCACTCGCTCACTCCTAAAACATTCTCTACTCCACATGTTTGACGAAGAAGAAGTATATTCTCCTTGTGCTTCTGCGGAGGACCTCTTTACCGCCATGGACACTGCACTCAGTACAACCTCGAGAAGAAAAAAGACCAAGAACAAGAGAAGATTCAGCGATGAACAGATTAAATCATTAGAAACCATGTTCGAATCAGAATCAAGACTGGAGCCTCGAAAGAAACTTCAGTTGGCAAAAGAGCTTGGCTTGCAGCCAAGACAGGTTGCAATATGGTTTCAGAATAAGAGAGCTAGATGGAAGTCTAAGCAGCTCGAAAGAGACTACAGTGTTTTACGCGCCAATTACAATAATTTAGCTTCCAGGTTTGAGACCTTGAAGAAGGAGAAACAAGCGTTGGCTATTCAGGTACTTTGATCAATACCAAATTCACATTATTATTTCATAATTCTATATCATAAGCTAATTGATTAACCTAAAAAAAATTAATTTGACAGTTGCAGAAACTGAATGAGCTGATAGAGAAGCCAAGGGAAGAAGGAGAGTGTTGCGGCGAACAAGAAACAGGTGTGAATAGCAGTGAAGGTGAATCGGAAGCTAAAGGAGTTATCTCGTCGTTTGAAAGATCAAGAAATGGATTAGGAGTGGCATCGGATGAAGATAGCAGCATAAAAGTTGAGTATTTTGGATTAGAGGAAGAACCTGATAATAACCTTATAAGCATGGTGGAAGCTGCAGATGGATCATTGACATCACAAGAAGATTGGAGGAGTTTAGAATCCGATGGTCTTTTTGATCAATCCAACAGTGGCAGCGATCAGTGGTGGGATTTCTGGGCTTGAAATCGACAGAGGACTGTATATAGGCAAATAAACTCAAAAAAGTTTATCGAGAGGAACATTTAATTTCCAGTGAATTGAGTACCAGTGATCAGCTCAGTAGCCATGAAACTAGTAAAGCTAACACCGGAATGCTTGTATGTGAATGAGAGAGAGAGAGAGAGAGATAGTGCACAAATACCTCCGAACAGAAAGAAACATGTACCCGTTTAATTTAGAAGCTGTAATTGCTGTGCTATCTCATACAAATTTGCTTGGTCTTGCACTGTTTTTAAATTAACAAACTAATTAATTGAACAGAAGCGGTTGGAAATGAAGGAATCCAGCGATTCAAAGTGATTACTGAAGCAAACTCAGGAAATTAACCAAAAAATTCAATTTACATGAATCTTGCCCAATTGAATTACAACAACATTAAACCTCTAATGGGAATGATCAATACAGAGATATCCGATTTCTTATGCTAACGGCACTGTGAGCATATAATGGACGGTATCTATATAATTTAATTCGCAAAATCATATAATAAAACCCACAAAAATGTGAAGAATTCAAGGAAATTGACCTTCAATTTCCCAAATCCGAGTTCAAAATTAAGCACCTTTAATTTGATTTCAATTGAAAAATCCGATGCTTGATTATTTTTATTGAAAAACAATAAAAGGACATGGATTTTTTTTTTTTTTTGTTTTTTTTTGGGGGGGGTTATATTTGATTTTCAATGATAATATCCGAATGCTGATTATTTTTATTTGAAAAACAATAAAAAGGACATGGATTTTTTTTTTTTTTGTTTTTATTTTTTGGGTGGCGGGTGGGGGGGGAAAGGGAATAGAATCCGGACGGCTGAATGTTTTTTCGGGGGGGGAGGGAATAGAATCGGACGGCTGATGTTTTTCGTTCTCAGAGTTGACGGCGGGATGATAGGAATTATGGGGTCCCCACCTTCTCCTATCCCCTCCTGTACGATAAATTTTTGGTGGTTAGCTTCTGGTCAATGACGGGTCTCATCTTCTGCATCTTGCTGATTTAACTACAGGAACGGCGCCGTATAAGGTCTAAGACGCAGAAAACGAGGTGTCGTTCTGAGAGAAATTTGTTCCACTGCCTAATGCTGTTTCTCCGTAAATCAAGCTACTCTCCTTCTCTCCCTCCTTCTTGTTGCTGCTTCAATTTGGTAAAGTGCCCTTTGAGGCGATAGAGAGTAATGAACGACCTCTCCAGTGCGGTGCTGAGAGAGCAGAATAGCGAGAACTGCAAGCCAATACCCAGAGTAGCCGTCTTCATTTTAGTGGCTCTATTCGCCATTGGACTTTCGGTTTCGATTTTCATACTGATTGTTGTCCATAATGCCATCTTCTTTCTCTCTTTCCTGCTTATCTCTGGCTTGGTTATATCTTTCATAGCTTGGAACAGAGTTAATTGGAGGCATAAAGCTGCAGTTTTTCGCTTTCTTCGCTCCTTCCCTGACTCTGACCTTGCTTCTGCACGTGACGGTCAGCTCGTTAAAATCACTGGGGTACTTCACTATTTCTCAGTCTTTTACTCCCTTATTAATTTTTTCGCGTTTCTGCTTTTTCTGCTTTTTGTATATTTGGTGAAGTATGAAATGCCTTGTCCACGTTTTATTGCTGTTGCTCGGAAAATATATAAAACTGGGAGTTCCATTCTATCGTTAGTTGGTGCTGTATTTTAAGTTTTCACATATACAGATATCGATAAATGAAAAAAAAAAAAAAAAAAGCCTATTAGTCAAAAGAACTCAATATTTACAGCAATTCTATCTCTCTATTTAATCAATCTATAGCTTAATTAATTTCAGCTGAAGGATTTTCTACTTTTCGTTATCCCTATCTGGAGTGAAAGTAAGAATGGCATAGTGAACTATGCAACAGCTTTGGCCGTTTTAGTTATTTACTGAAATGCAAATAAAAATAAGTGGACTTGTGATTATCAAATTAAGTGAAAAGTTCAAAACTTTGTTGTCCCAATGAAAAATGATTTATTCTTGTCTGTGACTGTGGATGCCTATAGATTCTCTTTCTGTAAGGAATGTGGTGCTCTTGACAAAAATTGGATAATGCAATTTTTGGGTTTCGGCAGGGGTCGTTTGGTTTGTTATTTAAAAATAAGGAAAATAGAAGAAGGTTATAAGGTTGCAGCCTGACCGCCTGAAGTTGTCTTTTTATGTTTTTATTTTTTATTTTTTTTAAAAAGTCTGGGATTACCTGTCTTGCCTTTTCTGATTCTGCAAGTCATTGACAATTAATAGGATAATGGTTTTATGATTTGCCTATTAGTCAAAAGAACTCAATATTTACAGCAATTCTATCTCTCTATTTAATCAATCTATAGCTTAATTAATTTCAGCTGAAGGATTTTCTACTTTTCGTTATCCCTATCTGGAGTGAAAGTAAGAATGGCATAGTGAACTATGCAACAGCTTTGGCCGTTTTAGTTATTTACTGAAATGCAAATAAAAATAAGTGGACTTGTGATTATCAAATTAAGTGAAAAGTTCAAAACTTTGTTGTCCCAATGAAAAATGATTTATTCTTGTCTGTGACTGTGGATGCCTATAGATTCTCTTTCTGTAAGGAATGTGGTGCTCTTGACAAAAATTGGATAATGCAATTTTTGGGTTTCGGCAGGGGTCGTTTGGTTTGTTATTTAAAAATAAGGAAAATAGAAGAAGGTTATAAGGTTGCAGCCTGACCGCCTGAAGTTGTCTTTTTATGTTTTTATTTTTTATTTTTTTTAAAAAGTCTGGGATTACCTGTCTTGCCTTTTCTGATTCTGCAAGTCATTGACAATTAATAGGATAATGGTTTTATGATTTGTTGAATCTACCTATTGTTGTCAAAAGCTTAGGAGGTGTTATGTTGAAGATGGTAGCTTGTTACTTTCTACATTATGAGCTCATAGAAGGCATCATTTGAATTGAGAATTTTCGTTTTGAGTATAATCTTAGTCAATTTCTTAATATTTTTAAAATTAGAATTTCTACAGAATTACCAAGCAGCTAAGCGGTTTGCTAGCAAAGTGAGTCAACTTCAAGACAAGGAGTTGACAGTTTTTGACTTGCCAAGGAGATAAAACATTATTATGTTTTGTGATTTGTGTAGTGCAGAGATGGATGTTTCAAAAACTGGTAATTGATTAGGTATTGCCTTGATGGAGTCAAAGAAAAGCTGTTAATTTCTTCGAGGATATAGAAATTAGAACATGATAAATTGGTTCTGGTGTTTTTGCTGCTCACTTCCACTTGATGGATGATCAACTCACCTTTCTTTTATTTTTATTTTTTTTTCCCTGGCAATTTTAGCTTGCTTCCTGTGGGAGTGTTTCCTTGGAATCTTCATATGAAAGGGCTACTAGATGTATCTATGCATCTACACTTTTGTATGAATATGGAGGATTTGGACTCAAGCCAAAAGATGCTAATACATCATGCTTCCAGTGGAGTTTAACATACTGTGAGGTGAGGATCCTCATCTTTAAGAAAATAGTGAGATTAGAATTGATATTCTGTTAAAAGTTTTATTCAGTAATTTGATAGATAATATCTGTTTCCTTATCCAATTTAAATAAACCTTTAACAGGATAAGCTGTAATCTGATAATCTGTCTCTTTACAGATAAATTTGCATCAGTAGAATATATTCAACTTGAGAAAATAATTACTGTTTTCATATGCCCTTAACTACACCTTGGCAATCTTTTCTTCAACGTGTGTACCTTAACTTTTTTTTTTTTTTTTCCTTAAAAGCACTTCAACTTGAACGAAATGGCCTATTCTGAACACCTAAAATGAACTCTAACCATTTCTATGCTCCTTTTGTTTTCGTTAAATTTACCTTTCAAATTTTGTACTTTTTAAATCTTGCAGCTGTTTGTCCAATTGGGCTCAATCAATAGGTCATTGAATTCAAGTATTGCTGAAAGTTTAAAACCAATCAAGATAAAGCTTATGATTCGAGGGTTATAAACTGCTTGTTGCTGATAACCATGCCTTCACCCCTTTCACCTTGTTTCAATGTTCCCGTTTCTATGCTTTTCTAATCAAGTGCTTGGTCTTAATTGGCATCAGACTGATTTCTTCACTTCATAGCCTCCTTATATTTCGTGGTCTACCCTGTCTGTTTTTTTCCCTATCTATGGTGTCTCACTGACTGTCAAATTCCACCTAGAATCATCTTGTCGCTAATTGTCTTATCAATGTGACAATGTACATTATAGACAGCAAGGATTTGCTCGGATGGCAACAGGACTGCTGATCCTCATTTTAACATTTAACTTCATTTTGCAGTCCTACTCAGTCAATTCTTCAATAATAGAGCCCTTTGGGCATTGTTATTGCTAATAGCAGATTTTAGGCTAAAAGTTAGGAGTATACATTGGTCATGTTTGAGCCATTAGATTTGGCTCTTTTGCTGTGTGATTTTCATAGACAAAAACTTATTTGGAAAAAATTACCATGTGAAGCTTTTCTCAAAATCAGCTTTGGCCCATAAGAATTCACACTTCAAAGAGCAACTATCCACTGATTCAAAGAAATTTTTTTCTAACTTTTCGCCCAAAATCCGCCGTTAGCAACAGTGATGCCAAACTAACCCCAAATATAAGTACAAATAGTGAAAGTAGAAGTCAGCATATAACATAACTGATTCGTCTGCAGTTTCATTTTGTCTGCCTATACTCTGACCAGTCTATTGTTTCAGTGGATAACTAGGATGGAGACTCATTTCATGGCAAAGTCATGCCACATGTTATAGGAGCAACCGAGCTATCTGCTATTTTGTTTGATGGAATAAAATTTAATTAATAAAAAAAAATAAAAAAAAGAGGCAGAGAGAGAGAGAGAGAGAGAGAGAGATAGAGAGAACCCTTTGTAAGTAAGATATCTAATGCGTTGATGGGGACCTTAGAAACTTTCCTGCTTCATTAATGTTTGTTACGTCTTCTGCCTTGGTCTTGCTTGTGCAGCCATCAGCAGTATCTGGGAACCTGATTAAGAAACAGTCAACCTTTCCATCAGTGATAATGTGAGGTGAAAAGCATGCCATACATAAATGATTTGTAGTTAAACCAAAAGCACCGGCCGCCTTTGCTTATGCTCTATTCTAAATTATTTACATAGAACTGAAGTTATATGAATCTGGAAATCCTCATCCATGTTTTATTCCTTGCGGCGATTTTCTGATTAGGATTTGTAACTGGCAGAGATATTCCACCGACTTCTACATAACGGATAGAAAATCTGGTATCAGAGCTTTGGTGAAAGCTGGTCCTGGTTGTAAAGTTGTTCCCCTGATTGTTGAGAGCAAACTAGTCGCTACTACAAGGCAATGCAGAATTCTGTCTCCTCACTTGAGGAAATGGTTGCAAGACAGAAACCTCTCAGTTGAAGCCCGTCTACTGCGGTTAGAAGAAGGGTAAGCATACTGATTTATACAAGAAGCCGAATTTTCCAAAACATATTTGTACATATGCAGGTGCAATGAGCTGGAATTATGTATTTGCTTGGGCAGGTATATACAAGGAGGTAGCATTGTGACTGTAATTGGAGTGCTTCACAGAAATGATGACATTTTGATGATTGTTCAACCACAAGAGCTTCTCTCTACAGGATGCTTGTGGACAAAGCTTATTCTTCCAATTGATATTGATGGACTGGTGGTAGGACTCTCTAATCTGAGTGGCCCCATCAGTAACCCAGATTTCAGGCAACACACACAACAATAATGTTAACCTATTAGACAAGTATTAAGGATTCTGATTCATAAAATTGATTCCTTCTAAAAAGGTATCCGTTCCTATTTTGATTTCACTTGTTTAACAATGTACGCTAACACTGTTGATTAATTTTGAAATTACACAGACTACAAAATCGAAACGTATATCAACAAATGGGCCTAATACGGCCCATTTTCTGTTTTCAACAGCTCAATCAAGCTCGCCAAAGAGGCTTTTAATCGGCCCAATCAACCTCCGGCATACAAGATAGTATACAACATCTCCCTTCTGAAGGAGCAATCCGAACTCTGTTTCGATTTGAATTTTACAATAATATATTGCTAATATTTATGATTTTATATTCAAAACACAAATCTAGACGTGTATTCGTTTCAAATGACTATTTATTTATTTGAATAAAATTAAAATATATAATACTAATAATTAATTTGGTAATTATTGTCAATTTAGAGGATGTACGAGGTATATGCCAACTCCTTAGCATTAACTTAATAATCATCATTGTCAGGATTTCTTCAAACCCTTTTTCTTTTTTCAGCGAATCACTCTTATGCTGCCCTTTCAGTTATAAATTATTGTCATCATTAGAAATTTCTCCATAAATTACTCTTTTTTTTTAAAAAAAAAAAAAATCTTTCTTATGTTTATAATTTTGCTTCGACACAAATACTAAAAATCTTTCTTATAATTAAAAATGTTTTTTAAAAGTGGAATGTACCATTAATTTTAAATAAAATATAAAAAATAGGCATTATACTGCTGTTTGGTAGTGTTCTTAGTCCTTATCGCACTATCAGATTCAGACAACATGTTACTTCAATGGACCTTTTTTTGGTTTTAATTCCTTAGAGACATGAGTTTTCATCCTAATTAAAAAATTATTTTGCTAATGATTTCTCTACACAATTATAAAATATACACACGTCATCTGAAGATTTCATTTTCCAAGTTGTAACGAACTTTTATTTTTTTTTATTTTAAATTTACAGAGACATTTCTTAGGTGGATGGTATTGGTAGGTATTGGAAACTAAATTATCGGTTAATATTATACATTATTACTAGATATTTATTTAATAATTTAAATTGTTAATTTAATGTAGACATTATTAATATTTGATTGATTTAAAAGCTGACCAAACCACGAGTTCACTAGCTTACTCTAAATTTTTGGTAAAAAGGGTTTATGCGTCATTATCACATTTCGTTTTCCGTCGTCTACAGGAAGGATTAATTAAGAGAAAAAATAAATTAGATTCCATTGCCGTTTACCTGTGTAGCCGGTATCAAAGGATCACAACAAAGTTCTTGTTAATTAAATTAAAACAAAATTCCCGGTTGACCCAGATTCCTTTCGTATTGACTTCTCAGTCAACACAACTCCATATTGGCAATTTGGCAGAAAAACATTTATTTAATTATTACTAATAATTTTACTTGGCACTAAATCATTTGTTCTCCCATAAAAATCTTGTGCTTAACAAGAAAAATATAGAAAATAAATTTTTTATTTAAAAAAAAAAAAAAAAAAAAAAGGATTAAGTAAGAGAAAAAATAAATTAGATCTCCATTGCCGTTTACCTGTGTAGTCCGGTATCAAAGGGATCACACAATAGTTCTTAGTTATTAAAAATTAAACAAAATTCCCGTTATGACTCCCGATCCTTTCGTATAATGACTTACTCAGTCAACACAACTCAATTGGGATGTTTGGCAGAAAAACATTTATTGTAAATTATTAACTAATTAATTTTTTACTTGGCACTAATGCATTTGTTTCTCGGCCATAAAATAAATCTTGGTGCTATCAACAAAAAAATATACGAAAAATTAAATATTATGTTTAAATTTAAGAAAATAAAAAGAAAAGACATAAAAAGATGATGGTTGAGACTGCATTTTAGGTGGGGCGGGCCGCGCCCCGCACCTGCACATATGGGGTTTGGTCTGTTGTTGTTAGTCGGCTATTTTTTAAAAAAAAAAAAAAAAAAAAGATGATGGTTGAACTGCATTTAGTGGTCACAGCACATTGGTTGGCTGTTGTTTTAGTCTTATTTTATGTTCACTTGTTACCTACCTGTCTATGTTCAAATCTAATCCAAAAAAAGGGGTACAAATGTAGTTTAATTAAAGTTAAAATGAAAAAAAATCCATGAATATGCTGCTAGTTGGTGATATAGATCAATTTGATGCCACCGAAGCCAATGATTGAGTCCTATGATCTTCAATTTGTTATGTATCGCGATTTTGTTAATAAAAGGTAGATTTAGATTCTAAGTGAAAAGTTTATTTTTCCATCCAAATGATATTAAAAGAAATAAGGAGTTCAATTCAATAGAGTAAATAATAAGTTGATATCAAATATTTAAATAGCTCAGTTTGGATAGATGTTTGATGCCCTAAATGAGTTGTTTGGCACCATCTAATTTTAATAACATTTGATATCTTAAAAAGGAAAAATAAATAACATAATGGTCTATAAATTAAGACTAAATAATCTATTTCTATCTGGAATCAAATCTTGAAAAGAATTAAAGAATATCACAATCACAAGCTCAAAGATTTTATATATAGCTGGATTCACTTTGCTTATATCCTTCCATTTCCATATATTTATAATTAATTCATCCATATTCTTCCTTTCTTGGTGTTTTACTGTTTTTCTATTTGCTACGTACCTTTAATCTTTTACCTTCTGTTTCTTGACTTATCACTAAAAAAGTAATAAATATCTTTGATTTGAGTTGTAATTTAATAAATAATTAATTGACACATTGTATAACAACTGTAATATTTCGTCCGCAAGAACACCAAACGAAAACAAAAATTTTCATTGGTCATGATCGAATTTTACATGAGTATAAACATTATCTTTGTGTAGGAGAGTAGGGCCCATGCAAATGCAAACTTCACGTCTACTTCTCCATGCTTCTGTTGAGCTTTTATCAGTCGAAATGCACAAGTGGCAAGCATATATTATCCATCACAAATAACAATTGTCTGTGCATAATTGCATATACAAAAGAAGCCATAACCCAAAAAAAAAAAAAAAATATAACAAAAGAAGCCTAACCAAAAAAGAAAAAAAAAAAAAAAAAAAAAATAATAATAATAATAATATAAAGAACGAACAAAAGAAAGAAAAGGAGCACGGCTTTAAAGCCGATCGAAGAAAATAGTAATACACAAACATATTATCTTTCTTTTTGTTCAAAGAGACAAAGATTCAAAGTCAAGAATCTTTAATTAGACCTTCCCCACCCAACCCATGCTTAGATTATATATGTATGGCATCAAATCCAATCATCGATCTATCCAGTTGTTTATGCTTAATTATAATTATTAAGCGGGTTAGGCTTAACTATCCCACTGAACTATTTCATATCCTTTTTTTTTTTTTTTTTTTTGAGTAATCAAATCGATTCCATTAATTCCCATGGTTTCTCCTTCAATCACTTCATTGTTTGCCAGGAATGATTCTGTTTCTGTCTCATTATTTTTATGTCCATACTTTTGAGCCACAAACATTTTACTAATTGCTCTACCTTCCTAATGCAAAACAAATTGATTGGACCAGGATTTCACTAGTTCATCATCATCTCATATAACTAAATTAAATAAAAAGGAAATATATCAGTGAATTTCTTGTTTTATATTAAAATAATATTTCCAAATGGGTTAAAGAGATAAGCTTTAATAATGTAATGTGTAAAGATTGACCTATAATTTAAGTTTAAAAGTAGTAAAAACATTTTTATCTTTTTTTTTTTTTTTTCTCACTTCATTGGTTAGATATTTCCGTTAAAATTTGAATCTAATATCTTTTACTTCAAATTTCGAACTATAACTACAAATTTTAGGTACATGTTCTTTGTAATAAAGCACTAAAAATATTATATCATTTACTTGTGTTCATGATGATCAAAATTAAGGGAGTCTTGAGGCCTATCTTTGACCTCTTTTTGGTAGTTGAAGCAATTAATTATTTTTTTATTTTTTATTTATTTTGAAGAGTGCTTATCTCATTTACTTGGATTGCATTTCCCTGTTATTATCACTAAATATCATATTTTAGATTACTCGTAAGACCAAGTTCAAGAATTCAAAAGCTAAAGGGTTAATTTCTTATGAACTTGTTCAAAGTTTTTTAAACAATTCTGTGTCTCCTAGCTAGCTATTTTACTTGAATATATACTTTCAATCAACCAATATACACGTGGTAGAGTTCATGGGAATCATATCAAATGAAATCAAAAATAATATAGGTTGTTCAAACTAATAGTCTGATATGCGAATTATATATATATATATATAATAGTAATTAATTAAAAATATTCTTCCATCCTTAACATCTAGGTAATTTCCTTTTCAATTTGGCTACAATATATAAGCATAATATTCATGGTTGAACGTTGATTTTTGATTTAAGACTAAATTAAACACTATAATTTGAAAACCTACCCCCAGATTGTTTATATCCTCCATGAATATTCTTTGATTAATATGCTAATTAATATTAGTAAATGTGAATAAATTAGAACCTAAGCAATAATATAATTATATATTTATATGTTTGATTAAGCAATATTGGCAACTTAACTATCTCTTACGTACTTTACAAGTAAATTTTGACAAAGTCGTCTATAAAAAGATTTGCAAGAAACCTCATTTGTTGATCAAAGATATATATATATATATATATATATAGGTTATGTTTCCTTGGAGGGATAAAATTAGAGACGAGTCAATGACGACCCCATGCATAAGAAACTTCTTGGAAAGCTCCCTAGCCTTCCCTAGGAGCCAACAAAAAGAATAGCTGCCATTTCTTGGAAATTTCTTTTATCACATTCACATATATTATAATGTAATGTGTATACCTGCTTTTCAGTTTTAAAATTTGAACATTGTTCTATCTATAATCTATGTCATAGGTCAGCTTGAATGAGAGAATTTTCTGATAAAAAGTTTCTAACCACATGTATAAAGAAGAGATGTGAAAATTAGCTCATGATTTTTTTACTGCTAGCCAAAAATGTAACATTGCATTGCATATATAGTGTAAGAAAATCAACATGAGCCACTCATATATTAGACTATCAATGAAGAAATTTTTTAAATTTATTGATATTTTGTTCAGTGAAATTTATATATAAATACATATTTGAATTAGCAAACATTCATGAGATATTACTGAAGCCTATATAATAATGAGAATATGCCCAAGTGGATCCAACCCATCAATGATCGGTCCATTTTGAAAGGCCTTTTTATGATCTCCACATCACATGGCATCGAGGAAGGAAGGTGAAAACTCTGGGAGGGTTGGTATACCTACAAAACAAGAAGAAGAAATATAAAAACAATATTGAATTATTTTATTTATTTATTTTTGGCAAAGTTTCAAGTCTTTATCGAAAAGCAAGTGGGTGAAATTTGCGTTGGTGCAATTCTGTTGACATCTTTGTCATGGACCTTGTTTGTCATATGAAATGACTTTGTCTAATCATTTATACATTTCCTTTTTCTAGTGGATCATCTCCTCTCTCAATTTCATATTTCAGAATGGACCAACTCCTTTTTTTTTTTTTTTTTTTTTTTTTTTTTTCTTTTTTTTTTTTTTTTTTTTTTTTTTTTTTTTTTTTTTGTATTTGCCAAAAATGTTACCATCGTCGATCTAGCTCTTTCTTTCTTCTTTTATTTGTTACTTTCTTTTGTTGGTAATGTCAAAAAAAAAAAAATTACTACTATTTTTTATCATCTGATTTTCACCGCTGGACTAAAACATCAATTTGCTTACAATAGACAATTACAAAAGCATATTAACCTAAAACACTGGTCAGTAAGTCACGGACAATTGTGTATTTTTAATAATGCGGCTTGGTCTTTCAAAATTAGAGCTTAGATTCCCAAATACCTCACCCTCATTTGACCGTTCGGTTTCTAATTAGAGCAGCAACATCAACGGTCAGGGATTGCTGACCGTGCAACGTTGAAATCGAAACCGTTGAACTACTTCGAACAAGGGTTAAGAACGTGACGCATTTCCGGTCCCACGTTTGACAGTTGGGCCCGCGCTAAATTAACTTTCTACACCATGTCTTACTCCAAGCCTGAGACATGGTATCGTAGACCATGTGTGCTGTCTCGTAATTTCATGTCCTTTTTTGCCCTTACATGTACAAAACCACGAGGGCAATTCAGGGTATATAGAAATTATAAAAACGAAAAAGTGACCTGTGCACTGCAGATTTCTTTTCCATTTTTAACCCCAAATGGATGCCACGTGCAACCATCTGCATTAATTACAGCTAGAAGCTTCGGTACGCGGGTAGTACGATTAGTCACCGTCATGAACGTAGACATCTGCATGGAACCGACACGTGGAGGTTTAACAGCGATGGTTCATCTACAGAGTCTACACTAAACGATGGTGCTGTTGTTATGGCCTTTTTAGCCATTGCCATACCGCGTTTTACTCTCGCCATTTTTGCTTGCTGCCCACAAGAAGCGGTGAATAAGCAGGGCATGAGTGCATGGGTCTCATGTGCAACCTCTACTTGGGACCCGACAGCTTAGCGCCACACGAACCCCACGTGTCATTCGTTTGAACCTGAAATTTACTGCGTCCCATGTTAAGCCTGTTCTGGCAAATGTCACGCGCAAATCTCAAGCAGTAACGTCACGCTCCTGTCTGTCCCCACTAAAATTTGGCTCTGTAACAGCTGTATTGAGACTTTTCGCAAATCGAGGATTTTATTTATAAGAAATTGATTTTTCATTTAATTTTATTTTTCATCATGACAATCTTTCATTTGCTACCTTGACCTTGAAGTTTGATGGAGTAGTATTATTTAAGCAACTCATTACATAAGCAGCCCCTTTTTTTAGGGGTCAACTCACATAGTGAAAAAGGGAAAACATTTTATTAATCACAATATTGTGAAAAATACCAACGTGTGAAAAATGGAAACAACAAACCAAGATATATCCATGCTAACTACCTCAAAAACGACATTTTCTAATTGATAAAATGTTAATAATGATAATAATTTATACAAATAATGCTGTGTTTAAGTAGTAATCTTTTCAGAAATACGTCCATCCGAATTAATTTTTTTATTCAATATAAAATGTTAATTAAGAATTTTTCCTATTTAAATAACACTAACCCTTTGTTTGGGGAGGAGTGGAAGGAAAATATTAGAGGAAGGAAAATAAAGAGAAAAATAATGAGGATTTGTTAACTTTTTTTTCATAATTATTTTTCACCTTTGTGTTTAGACATAACGAACGAAAGAAAATTAATTTATTTCCCTTACTTTGCAAAGGGCAAAATTTTAGAGAAAACAAAATATTATTAGTAAAAATTGACAATTATGTCTTCACTTAAAATAATGAGGTATTCAAAAAATAGTTAAAGTTTTTTAATTTGATTTTGAGTATTTAGGTAATTTAATCTCTCGTATCCGTAATAATTAAATAATTTTTCTCTTACCATAGAGTTGTTTAATTATTGCTATTAAAAATATTTTATTTCTTCTTTATTGGCATATACAAGTTGGATCGCCATCTATTCATAGTTGGAGATTTCATATCATCAAGTTCAAGTAAATTTATTTTATCAATGGTCTTATAATACGATATGTTTTTCCATTAAAGTTTTTAAATTCTTTTGCGGGTAGGAGTGAGGAATACTCGATTTTTAACTGGAAATTGAATCAAACCGCTCATTTTGACAAAAGTTAAATAGTTTTTTTTTTTTCTGAAATTCACTTAATAGTCTTTGAATATAAAAATCATTTGATTTTTTATTTTTTCCAGTTATCATATATAAGTAACTAAATTTATTTTTAACCCAATTTTTTTTTTTGAAAACACAGGATACATATGAACTAAACTAATTTAGTTATGTTTAGATCGATTTTTATAACATTTGATTCTGAATTCCATTGCCATAAAAATATATTCAGATCAACTAAAATTGAGTTAGATTATGTTTTGTTCGATTTTGTTAATCAAATGCTCACTCCTATATACAAGTGTTAGTTTTAGCAAATTTTTAAAAGAACATAATTATGGATAATAACATAAAATATTTCTTTTATCCTTCTATTTGAATATGAATCAGTTTTTGTCTAGATTATTAATCTCTTTCATCAAAATTATTTCTGAATAAAAAATTTTAATTTTTTAATATTTGTATTTCTTATTCATATGAAAAGATTATGTTGCAGTAAATTTTTTTTAATTTAAATAAGACTTGAGAGTTCATATAATTAAGAATAAGCATTTTATATTTTTATTTAAGTTCTCTGGCTTTATTATTTTTTCTTTTTAATATGTATGGTATTAAAAAATCAATGGAATCCATTTATTAGCTCGAGCCACTTTTGAAAAAAAAAAAAAATCAATGGGAAGACATTTTGTTGGCACGATTATTTGAAACGAGCTTTTAAAATCCTTTTCCCCCCCTAAAAATTCTGTTCTCCACACAAAGGTGTGAAGATTTTTAACAGTTAGCATAAGGATGAAGAAATCAGTATTCAGTGGAAGTAAGACATTGCACTCTCATTGGCGTAGATATACGGCAGTACACCCGACAAGAAACGTCAGCAATAGAGTATATGATACCACAAGACTGGAGCGTCGTCCTCACGCGTCCCAATGAAGAAGGCTACCTTTCTGCATATCGTCGTGCACTCGTGGCGGCGCTGCTCAAAATTCCTAACCAAATTCATATAATTAATTATTATATTATCAGTTATACGGTCCTACTTAGTATAACGGTTATTTATTTATTTATTTTTCTATTCCCGTTCGACTCTTTTGCGCCTCCTCTCTCTATATATAACCCAACGCCTTTCTTTCTTCTCAGCCCCAAATATCAAAACCCACTTTCCCTCTCTCTGTCAGCGTGATAAACTGATACTAAGCCCGCCATGAGAACCGACATAGATAGTCTCTGGGTCTTTGCTTTGACCTCCAAATGTAGAGTCTTTACACAAGAAAATCTTGCATGGTCATTTTTGATAATCTGTCTGGCTTGGCTAGCCATTGCCCTTCTCCACTGGGCTTATCCTGGTGGTCCTGCTTGGGGAAAACACATGCTCAAGAAAGGCTTTCCTGCTTTTTCTAAGCCAATACCGGGTCCTAGAGGATTGCCTTTAATTGGAAGCATGAGCCTTATGGTTTCCCTTGCTCACCGCAGGATTGCTGCTGCTGCCCAGACATGCAAAGCCAAAAGGCTTATGGCCTTTAGCCTTGGCGATACACGTGTTATCGTTACATGCAATCCGGATGTAGCCAAAGAAATACTAAACAATTCGGTTTTTGCAGATCGTCCCGTTAAGGAGTCTGCCTATAGACTAATGTTTAACAGAGCAATTGGGTTCGCTCCTTATGGTGTCTACTGGCGAACCTTGAGACGAATCGCAGCTACACACCTTTTTTGTCCTAAGCAAATCAGAGCCGCTGAGGTTCAGAGATGCATAATTGCTTCTGAGATGATGGCCATGTTCAAAGACCATGACCAAAGTTTTACTGTTCGCGGAGTACTCAAACGTGCTTCCCTGAATAACATGATGTGTTCTGTTTTTGGACGCCAATATAAATTAGATTCTCTAAGTAGTGAATTTGAAGAGCTCAGAGACTTAGTTGATCAAGGCTACGAGTTATTGGGTACCCTTAATTGGACCGACCACCTTCCTTGGTTAGCAGATTTCGACCCGCAAAAAATCCGGTTCAGATGCTCCAACCTTGTCCCCAAAGTGAACCGGTTCGTTAGCCGAATCATCGCGGAACACCGACTTCAAATCGGTGACGGTGTTGAGCCCCGAGATTTCGTCGATGTTCTGTTGTCCCTTGAAGGCCCCGAAAGATTAACTGACGCCGATATGATCGCCGTTCTTTGGGTAAGCAAAAGCAGACACATAATGAGTATTCATTTCTTTTAAATGCTGTGATAAAGCATACTAAAACCCTTAACATAATACTCCAACTAGTATTAATTATTAAGCAAAGCATATGTACCTTCGTAATATCTTATGGTACAAACAAGTATCTTACGTGTTGTTTGGTAGCTGACGTGCCCATAAATTATTGTCTGTGACCGTGACAATAACAAAGCATATCAAATGTAAAATTTGTACCGAATGATTATTCTCGTGTGATTTATAACAGGAGATGATCTTTAGAGGCACTGACACCGTGGCGGTTCTGATCGAGTGGGTACTAGCAAGGGTGATACTTCATCCTGATGTTCAATCGACGGTTCATGATGAACTCGACAAAGTGGTGGGCCGATCACGGACCGTCGATGAATCTGATATCACGGCCATGGTGTATCTACAGGCAGTAGTGAAGGAAGTTTTAAGGCTACACCCGCCTGGCCCACTTCTCTCCTGGGCCCGTTTAGCCATAACTGATACAACAATTGATGGTTATCACGTGCCTGCAGGGACCACTGCAATGGTGAACATGTGGGCCATAGCTAGAGAACCAGAGTTGTGGGCTAACCCACTCGAATTTATTCCCGAGAGGTTTCTGGCTAAGGAAGGCGAAGTTGAGTTTTCTGTGCTAGGCTCGGATCTTAGGCTTGCACCGTTTGGGTCGGGTAGACGGACCTGCCCAGGAAAGAATTTGGGTCTCACTGCGGTGACGTTTTGGGTCGCCTCATTATTACATGAATTTGAATGGTTACCGTCCGATGGTACTAATATCATTGATCTATCGGAGGTACTGGGGTTGTCTTGTGAGATGGCCAATCCTTTAACCGTTAAAGTACTGCCTAGGCGACCATCGTTTTATTAGAAATGAAAATGAAAAAGAAAAAAAAAAAAAAAGAAGGGCAAATTATTATGAAGTCCTTAAAGGTTTGACTGAAATTACTATTTTCTCTCTATTGTTTAGAAAAAATTATGCAAAGTTCTTGATGTTTAGTTCTGTTAAATTACTTAATTTTTCCGTCCAAAAAGCACCTGTAATATTTGTAGCCATTCATATTTACTATATTGTCAGTGCTTAGTTCATCACCTTACTACTGAATAACCTCATCTAACGGCAAAGTGACGGAAAGATTAAGTAATGTAACAAACCAAACTTCAGGGATTCCAAAGTAATTTTTTTAAACAATAAGAGTGAATTAGTATTTTAAGTAAAATTTTAGAGGCTTTATAATAAATTGCTAAAAAAGAAAGCAAAAGGACCAAAAAATAAAAGGAGAAAGAAGAGTACTATGTTGTGTGTGGCTGGGGGATTACAAATCTGAAAACTTGATAAACCGAAGGATCGTGTTGCTTGTGGTGTGTCTGGATGTCGGTTTTCCTAGTTTTAAGTTATTCCGTTATAAAATATCTACTGCTCTCCACTCAATGTAAATACCGGAGAAACTATGAATCTTAATACCGTTCTTTCAAGTTGCGATTTTCTTGCACCAATTGTAATAAACCCAGCTGCTTTCTTTCCACATGCGATTGGGTCTACATCCTTGTTTTTTTGCTCTGAGGGATATTTGTCATATGGGTATTTTTTGTGCAGTAAAATTGCCGTAAATATCACGATAACTAAATAAATATCCATCTTTTTTTAATTCATTGGCAGTTTTTATGAATCAAAAAAATACTCTGGGTCACAACGGATAGTCCTCCCGTTAGCTCACTAAATTGATAAAAATAACTGTAGTCAATAAGACTTTAATTCGAAATCTCACACTCCTTGTATAAATGAAAAAATCAACCATACCATCACCTGATTGGCACAAAAAAATATCCACCTTTACAGGCATAAAAATATAAAATAATTGTATTATCGCAAACTTACCTATAATCCTATTTTATTTGCTATTATTATCTATATCTAAGTGATGGAGTAATTGTTTGAAGAAATGAAATTAGAATAGAATAGCAGTTCTAAATATGTTAAAATTAATCCAAAAGTCAAATCAGCATATTAATCCTTGGAGGGGCCAACTCTAAGAAAACAACTTTACTTGTATTAAGGTCTGATCTTAATATTTGTTTTGTTCAATAGCTTTGGATGAGGTAGGGTTTAGGCATGATGGCCCCTCCTTCATCTTTTCCTGATCACATGATTTGATTGTACGTTGAACATTATTTTTCAATTAAACAAATTTATATTCTTAAAGATATTGATATTTGCAATATTTGAAAACAATTAATGTGAGAAGGTACCAAATGTGAAATCCATTTGAAAAATCTGAATTTTAATCATTACTTTGATCTAGGTTGACTTGATTTGCTATTGAAAATTGAAGATGCTCATCATATTATTCGAAAGATTCAGTTTTTCTAAGTAGTAGTATATATGTGTATGCGTGAGCGTTAGCATTATTTTTTTTAAAAAATGAAACCAATTGATGTTTTTTCTTCTTGGAAATAAAATTAATATTAAATTCCAAAGAACGGTTTTTGCTTGTAAAACTAAAGGGTAAGATTCTGTCCGGTTCACCACAATTAACACGTGAATTTTAACCCTTTTTTTTTTTCTATTTTTTGACCAATCTTAATTGCCATTACTGCAACATCAAAACTGTCCTTAGGCTTTATTAATTAAAGTTATTATGTAAGCAATTATGATTAGGTAGGAGCTGGGCCCAGCAGCCAAACAATGGTTGTGGTGTGATTAGTGTCCAAAACAGAAATATGCAATGTTGTTCCAACCTTTTAGGAAATAGCATGATCAAACTCTCAGAAGAGGACAATTTCATTCCCTGTAGATGACACTATGCTTGTTAGGAAAGATAAGAGCCATTAATTTTTTTTTTTTAAATTTCTATTTTATTCTTAAATTTACATTCAACTTAATACCCTCTTTTCCATTATCTTTATAGTGTCGTGTCGGATTTTAATTTTAATTTTTAATTTTTTTTTTTGGATCGTTATACTCCTCAATTCAAGATAACACAATCGTTCAATTTAATTACAATCATTAATTGATTAAGCTCACGTCCCAAAATAATTTTTAAACTAAGTTTTATCTTTTTCATCCACTTAAAAGTAATAATTTTTATAATTAACATTGTTGAAGAGATCTGAACGAGATGAAACTACCAATATTGTTTTTAATTTATCTTTACCAGCAAGTATATATCATATGTGGTGACATAAGCAAATAGATTTATTGGGGTGACGTAGTTAAAACCAAGGTTAGAAGTAAAGTTATACGAGAGACGTCTAAGACACGGCATTGACCTATTAAATTTAATCAAGGTAGTTAATTGCTTAAGTAAATAATGTAGTTGAGGTGGAAAAAAGTTTAGGTTAAAAATTCAAATTGCTGTCAACTTTGTGTGAAACAGACATAATTAAAACGATATGAATATGCTGATAACAATATGGCTATTACATCAACTGGTAAACAGGCGTCATTGGTGATGATTAACTATTAATCATTTGATTAAATTGAAAACATACATTATTGGAAGAATTAATCAGTTCCTTTTCAGTTTTTTTTTTTTTTTTTTTTTTTTTTTTTTTTTTTTTTTTATTTGATTAAATTGAAAAACATACATTATTGAAGAATTAATTTTCAGTCCTTTCTAGTATTTTTTTTTTTTTTTTTTTTTTTTTTTTTTTTTTTTTTTTAAATTTTAATATATATACGGAAGATATAGATTCTAGTAACTAAATATCATCATCTCTTCTTCTTTAAAAAAAAAAAAAAAAAAAAAAACAGCTAAATATAAAAAAAAAAAAAAAAAAAAAAACAGCTAATAGACTAGAAAGTTTCACTTAATTAGTGAGGCTATATATATGTGTTTTGACTAGAATCAATCCTTTCTATTATTAGATTAGGAAGGAAAGGAAGGAATTGTACCAAATCGAATCATAACCCAAAAGATAAATACATTAGCATTAGAAGATTAAATTAAGATTAAGATTAATATTGTTGTATTAACAAAAGTAATAAGCTAATTGATTAAAGTAAAAGGGGACAAAAATGAAAACAAAAATGGAACAAGAAAATCTTACGTGTAGAAAGGGCGATAAGTTGTTGTCGTGCATTTGGCTCTCATGCAATTAAGGCGGTCGAGAGGAACATATAATGGAGGTATTGAAAGCGTTATATGAAATTGATAAAGACCTCTCAACTGCTATATATAGCTGTGTTGTTCTTTGTTAGGTGGATAACTAAATATCAATATGTAAGAGTACGTACTCATCAAAACCCGTCAAACCCTCTCCGTTGCTTTTTTCCTTTTTCTGTTTTTTTTCTCATCTCTTGTACATAATTTATTTCATAGTGGTGTGGCTTACACCCCTTCTTGCGTACAGTTTTCGGAGTTTTCCTCTTCCCTTCGTACCAGAAGAAAACACTAGACTGCGACCTGCACGAGAAATCTAATCGCTTGCAACAAAATTGCATAATTCTTTTTGGATAAGGAACAATTGAATTAATATTAAAGCTTGAAATGTTGGATGCTGTGTTTCCTGCACTAGTTGAAGTCATTTTCAATTCGATTGTTCTTTCATATTGATGGAAAGCGTATGTGATCAACTTAATTAATTAAGGTTTTTCTGCTTCTTTATATAAATGTCAACTTGCTCATAGTGAAAGTGATGCAAATCAATTTTGAGTTGAGAGTCAATTAATTAAAACCATATATATTAATTAAAAACATATATATATATATATATATATATATATATATTAGATGATATAGATGGGGATGGATGTTGTGACCCAGTTGAGATCTTTGTGATTTTTCAATTTCCTCTTACTCAGTCAAGTGGCCATACGCATCATCACTAGGAACCAGACATTAATTGTATAAAAAGAAAATATTTTGATTTTTCTACTGGATGAGTGTACATTGATGATGGATGAAAGGAGAATAACTAAGGCAATAATTGTTCATAATCTTAATAAAACCAAATTATATATGTATGTTTGAATGTGATTGGTTGAAAAAACTCAAGCTAGCTAAACAAAGGGTTTTAGCTATCATATCGTTTAATATTTGATAAAGGGCAATGTTTGGCCAAATCTGTGAATGTTGATAATGTAATGTCATAGGAAAAAGGCAAAAGTAATAATGTCATTAACCTAATAATCATGACTAAATAGCAAATGGAGATAAGGATGTTGTACTAATGAGCTTCTAATTGGGTTTGCTGCGCATGTCCTAATTACTGCAGTAGAAATACTTTTGCTGTCTGTCTGTGTCTTTAGCTAGCTGGTGCTGAACTAATTGCTTCACTTTATAATGTGTAATCTACAGTTTGCAAAAACATATCCCAGAAATCTCGCACATTTCAGCTATTAATCATGTTGATTAATATTCTTGTGTCGGCAGTACTGGAAATTCGAAATCTTCATAAAACGATATCCCTTACTAAGGCTTTCTTTTTCCTTTATCCTTATCTATTTTCCTGGATTACTTATTTCCTGTTCTTTTATAAAACAACAAATTAAAAGGATAGTGATATATTTGCAGATAACAGAATAAAAATTTTATTTGAACAAAATTGCTCTTTCCTTTTGGTTCTTTTTATTATGCAAGTTCTTTCATGTGACTCACCTTCATCATCCACCGAGTTTGAAAGTACGCCATCTTTTTTACTGCAACATATCTTGAAACTCTATTTATATTCTCCCATTGCTGCTGCCTATAAGAGAAATTCTTTTTTAAAAACAATTTTCTTGAGGACGGTATCCCCTCACCCCTCCACCGATTTCTGCTCCTGGGTTAGGCTTAAGCCGACATGTTTATTTAAAATTGTGGTGTTTATTTTTAAATGGGTTTTGTTATTAAAAAAATTTCAAGAATATACGTAAGTTTGCATTTATGTTTTTAAAAATAATTATATCAGTAAAAGAGACTTGTGTGATCAGATTTAATGGTGAAGTATAGAACTACTTAACAAAGACACTCTACATTTGCCCCTGTAATATTAGAGAACATGTCATTTCTGATGATTCACACCTTTTATTTTTAGTAATTAAAATAAATTACTGTAATATATTCTCTTTTAATTGAGGAGTTGTCATGTCAGGTATAAATAACTTTTGTAAATTGTAATTGATGAGCAACAAATTTATTAGAAATGTTACATTATTGACTCCAGACATCAAATTTTATTTTTAAAATTTTTTGTATAATCAAAATGCATGCATTTGGAGAATTCAACAACTGTATTTGTGGGATGGGCCTTGTTATACCCCATATTTATTGGGCCTACAATCACGAATTAAACATCAGTTTCAACTATGGGCCTCTTATCAACTGTATAGACCAGGCTCACTCTAAATATGAGCCCAATCCCGATTTTGATCCCAATTTTGGTTTTTTTTTTTTTTTTAAAGAAAAAAATTACTTTCTTAATGTACTAATTTTTTTTTTTTTTTTGTAAAAAATGGTTTTTATCTAATATAAAATTTTCATCACTTTGGTAATTTTACTTTTGGCGGATAAATCAAGCAGCAACAAACGCTAAAGACCAAATCATGATATGAAAGAGGGAGCCTTTTATTATTACAAAATAGAAACAAAAGAGATACAATCCGACAAAAATGAAAACACAATTGAAAGTAGAAACCCTTGTTTAATTAGAGAAACAGAGAGCTCCGCTCTACCCCAAATCAGCAAAAATGCGAACTGACATTAATCCTTTTTGACGGCGGATCTCAAAGCAAATGCAGCGCCTAGAATGAGAAGAGGTAACAGAAGTTGAAAGAGCCTCACCACCAACGGATTGTATCTTGGTTTCGTAGGTAAATGTGTTGGAGGACGGTATTTCCTTCCCGAAGCTGGAACGCTCTTCGGTTCAATATCGCCTATGTAATATTTCTTCATCAGTTCTTTTGCGTCTTTGCTGTGTCCAACATCTTGGAAATCATCCGTTGCGTCTTTCTCTGCAATATTTATTTCTCATCTCAATTTTACTATTAAAAGGATTCCCCTTTTTCAAAACTGGATTGCAATCTTACCTGTAGCTGCTAATAACACTTCGTCTCCTCCTGGGTGCTCTTCCAGAAAATTCGTTACATCGAAAACCTAATTATACGGTTTAATTAATTAATTATCAATTACAAATCAATCTTGATTACCAGAGATGTGATAAACAGACCTGGCCATGGATTAGAAGCCAGCAATCATGTCTATCCTTGTGCTTTACAACGTCATCGAAATGATGGATTTTCGGTGTAATATCCATTTCTGTGCTGTTATTCAATTAAATTCTCATCACACAAAACAACAAATTAATATAAGAAAACAGAAAAAACAAATAAAATGAAGAAGAAGAAGAAAGACTCTTACTTCTAAAAGAAAGCAAGAGATCCTTTGAGCACTGAGCTTAAGTTAGTAAGCAAATCGAACTCTGAGCAAGAGCCTGCCATTTATATATTAATAATGGCGTAAATGACCTTTGGGACTTTTTTACTATTGCATAAAATTTTTCTAGATTTTCCTTTTTATTTTCTTTTAATTCTTTTATCAGAAAACGTTGAAATTTTTTAGATAAACATCCAATTTAACTCGTGGATTTTTATCGAATATTTAATTTAATTGAGTTTCACGTAATTCATAATGTAAATTTTTAAAGTTCTATTTTTAAAATAACAAAAATGTGGCAATTTTCATTTTTGGTCAATTAAATCCTCCTCTTCTAGATATAATAAGATTAATTAATTAATTAAAGCTAGAGTAATAATTATATTAAGAGGATAATTATATATAAATATACTTTTAAAAGTTTTACAGACTTTTATAAAGTTATAATAAATAATACTGTAACATTCAGTTAAATTTATAATTATGACTCAAAATATTCGCTTGGTCACTGAAAAATAATCATATCAAGCTAATTATAAAACTTTGCGCTCATTCCATTGTAAACACAAAATATTAACTTGTGAATAGAATTCAATCTCTTAAAACTAAAAAGATAGACTTGGCCACGGTTCCGGAACCCGGTTCCAGAAAAGCTGGAACCGAAACCGAACCGAAATGGTCCGGTTTCTGTTTCGGTTTCGAACCGTCCGGTTCCGGTTTCGGTTCCGGTTCCGGTTCCGATCCGATTATAAAACCGACGGTTCCGATTGGTTTTCCGGCGAATCGTATAATTTTAAATTTCGGTATCCGGTTCCGTGTCCGATCCGATTATAACAACCGACGGTTCCCCGATTGGTTTTGCCGTGACGAAAGTAAAATATTTTAAAATTTTAAATTTTGCCCCAATTACCGGTTTTATAAAAAACAAATTATGTGGACATGAAAAAATTAAAAACCAATACAGTTTAAAAAAATTTAAAATATGAAGACGGGTTAAAAAATACAAAAATTACTGAACATAAAAAATTAAAAAATACACCTTAAAAAATTTTAAATGTTGAAAATCGGTTTAAAAAAAAATTTATTTGACATAAAAAATTCACAAAAACACCTAAACAAATTAAAAAATACTTCAATTAAAATTTATTTTTTTTAAAGACTTGAATTGCTTGAGTGGTTGAACATAAGGATTTTTTTAAAAAAAATTTTGAACTAATTTTTTTTTTCTAACGTTGCAACATAATTTTTTTACAACAAACAAAAGGGCTTGAACTTAATTTTTTTTTTGGGGTTAAAAAAAAAATTTAAGTTGCCATATAATATTAACCAGACCACGCCTCAAAAAACACTAGGCCTAATCCCAGCCAATCACACCCACTCCTCAAAACAGAAAAAGAAAAAAAACATATCCTCTTGGGGTTTAGAGGAATCAAAGCCCACGTAGTTACTTACTTACCTTATATCAATTTCACCCCTTTTACCTTAATCGCTAATTTGCACCACAAGGGTTTGATATTCCCGTTGAGGACCCCATCGTATAAATTCAAATAAATCTTCATTTTCTTTTTGAATTTTTCTTGGCTCTTCCCAGTTCGGCTTTGGTCCAAATCAATCCACGCACGCTTGTACTTCTAATGAATCGGGTGTTCATACGAGATCGTGTTTCATTCAAGTATGATTACTCCTTGACTAAAAAAGCTCGTTCAACCGCAAACAGTGGAGACCCGGCAGCTGCTAAAACCCCATTTGTTTTGCAAGCTTAAAAGAAAGAATTGGAAAAAGATTTCCACGGACTTCCACCAATCTAAAAATTGGAAATCTCACCCTCTTGCATAATTATCACCAAACTCAAAACACCACCAAGTTGTTAGATAATTGCAAATTCAGAAATAGAACTTGGATTCTCCTCCCTGTTCTTTTTTGTCTTTGCAATAAAAACTTGAGTTGAGCAACACTCAACACCACTTACCTTTGGTGTTGAAAATTGTGCAATATTCCTAGATTTTGTAGTAATATACGTTCAGCAACACCAACAGTAGATGAACTAGAAACTTGAACAAATTCATTATATAATTGCATAATATTTTGTTTAACTTCATGCATTACTACATTTATATTAACATTATCTTCTACTACATTTATATTAACATTATCTTCTACATCAAGATTCAATACTTCATAATAAATAGTCAAATAATCACATAAAACATCCATTCTACATCTAGGATCAAATATAATAGCAACAAGATAAAGGGGTGCTATATTTTTAAAATAAGATAACCATTTTTTTTTCATTGAAAAAATTGAAAAAATACAATCTTTTAATAAATCATCATTTTGAAATTCTTGTAGTGCAGTAACAATATTAATACACATAGGTAAAAATAAATTAGATGTGGGATAGTAAACCCCACTAAATTTATAGGTAGCATCATTAAAAATTTTTAAAATATCTAAAATTTTTGCACAAATCTCCCAATTTTGTGGATATAAGTTAATATCCTCAATATTATTAGTAACAAAAAAACATAATAATTCTTTATAAGAAAAAGACTAGTTTAGTAATTTATATGTTGAATTCCAACGAGTTGGGACATCCCTTGGAAAACGTTTTGGTCTTTTATTATTTTCTTTACAAAATTTAGCCCAACTTTATCACTGGCGGGAATGTGTCCATAAATATGAAATAGCTTTTTTAATTGGAGAAATAAACCTCAATCAAGAATTTCAAACCATCTTGTACACATAAATTTAAAACATGGCATGCACATCCTTATTATGAAAAAAATTTACCACCAATATTTGTTCACCAAATTTTTTTCAAGTTCAATAATTAATCTAGTAGTGCAGAAGCATATTCAAATGAAATTGAAAACCAAAAATTTTTTGTCAACCTATATTCATCTTAAAATTGAAACAAATACTCCAAATTATAAATATTATTTGCAGTATGTTTATCATCAAAAACACGAAAATTCTTTTTGAATATTTTCCAATCATCCATCAATACATGACATGTACATACCCATATAAGAATGTTTTGCCAATGATTCACTCCAAACATCACAACAAAAATTGGAAACCACGAATTTTCAATTGAGAAAATAAAAAACCTCCTAACTCTTTTTTCCTTTTATTATATAAAGAAATTAATAGTTGTTTTACAGTATTCTTGGTACTCTTTTAGCCACAAGGATTTAAAGTTTTTGACAATTAATTATTAACAACCTACTATTTTTCACTCAAAACTAAAAGATTAAAAAATGTTCCATAGAAATCATTTTTGCTAATCATTTTTGCTAATTCTTCTTTTTATATTTTTTCAGAATATTTAAATAAAGAAAGGTTAGAAGCGTACCCGGAAATTTGTTGTTGAGACCGATCAACTACTATTTTTGTTGGATGTTTTGCCTCCAAATGCTTCCAAAATGATCCATAGCCGTCCGCTTATTTAAATTTATAAGATTTTCCACAATAATTGCAAATTATATCGTACATTTTCTCACCTTTGAATTTTCTTGTGAAATAAATGGAGAATATGTCGGAACTTTGTCTTACTCTTGTAACAATTTTTGCTCGTTGCTCTTGCTCTTGCTCTTCATCTTCTTGAAATTGCTCATTAATAAAATTGCTCATTAAATTCGGATTCTTGAGTTGGAATATCCAAATTTTCATTTGGAAAACCCTCAAAATTACATTGGTCGGGAATCATATCATAGATGTCGTTTGTAGGGATAGATGATTCTCCAATTTTTCCCTTGCCCTTACCCGAATTTGAGTTTCCTCCACTTTTCTTCCGAAATTTATTTTTTTTTTCCCTTTTGGGGGGGCCCGCCTTACCCGAAATTTGAGTTTCCCTCCACTTGCCATTACTCATGATAATAAAAATATAATTTAGAAAATTGAATATAAAAAAAAAATCATTCAGACAAGATTAATTACTTAATAAGGAGAGATTGTAGGAAGTAGAGGAAGAATTAATATGAATAATATTAGAGTAGGGAGTGTGTAGTTATATTGCTAAGAGAGAGTATAAGTTAAGAGAGTGTAGTATATTGTAGGAGAGAGTAAGTTAGAGGAGAGTTGAGATTTTTTGTAAATGAATTTCTTGTAAAATAAAATGAGATATTTATAATAAAATCCAAGATAAAATTCATTTTTTTTCCAAAAATTACCCTTTTAAAACTAAGCCTGTTATATAGCCGTTTATGGCTGTTGGGAGGTCGGTAATTTAAGACCCAATTTCACAAGACCAATTTAAACAAAAAAAAAAAAACTGCAAAAATCTGACAGTTACCAACGGCTAGAAACCGCCGGTTTTCTAACCGGTTCGAACCGGCGGTTCTAACCTGGACGGCAGAACCTGTCGGTTTCTTAGTCCGGTTTCCGACCGGTTCTCCTGGAGAAACCGCCCGGGGTTCTGGTTCCTCATTTGCTGGAACCGGAACCGAACTGGATTTTTCCAGGTTTCTGGTTCCGATTCTCTCACGATTACGGTTAACGGCGCTTCCGGGCCGGTTCGAACCGACGGTTTCGAGTTTTCCCGGAACGTAATATGGCCATGACTATAAAAAAGATTATTAAAGGTCATACTAGCCTTCAGCAAGTTAAAGGCCAAGCAAAATTGAAACGTTGTGTTAAATAATTGTATACAAAAAAACTTGCCGGTTCGCCAAAATATGAACAAATTGATTTTTACACGTTAGCCATATCTCTAATTAATTTTATCCAAAATTTAGAAAATAACCTTAGCAAAACCCTACATTGTACAGTTTTTGGCCGAGCGGATGATTAGAAAATGTGGTTCTAACCGGACGGAGAACCGGCGGTTCTAGTCCGGTTCCGACCGGTTCTCTGGAACCGCCGGTTCTGGTTCCTCATTTGCTGGAACCGGAACCGAACTGGATTTTTCCGGTTCTGGTTCCGATTCTCACCGATTACGGTTACGGTTCCGGGCCGGTTCGAACCGACGGTTCGAGTTCCCGGAACCGTAATATGGCCATGACTATAAAAAGATATTAAGTATACTAGCTCAGCAAGTAAAGGCAAGCAAAATTGAACGTTGTTGTAATAATTTATACAAAACTGCGGTCTGCCAAAATTGAACAAATTGATTTTTACGTAGCAATTTAATAATTTATCCAAAATAGAAAATACCTTAGCAAACCCTACATGTACAGTTTTGGAGGGATGATTAGAAATGTGAAACCATGGGCGTTAAGGGCATTGGAAGTCAGAAATAAACGTGAAATGATTTTCGATAATTTTCACCTACCAAAGGATAACGTGAATAATATGCAGCTCGTTTTCCCAACCACTTCTTCTCTTTCCCATTATCTTATTATTTTTTTTTCTGCTGACAGATGCTCACACCTGTGCCACCAGTTTTCTCCCTCAAAACTCTCAACATTCCAAATTAACAACCCCCCTGCTGCAGATCCAAAGGTATGTATGAGAAACATAATAATAAATATATAAAGCATTCTAACCTCTGAAACTATAATTTTATTATAAATAACCATTTTCGGGGACATATTGTATCTCAAAAAATTGCAGTCACCAACTCTAAAAAGCAAGATTATTACTAAAAGTTACAACTTCAGTGATATTCAATTTGAATGCCACGTGGCAAAATCCCAAAATTTATGAGCATTGGGCTCATTTAACATATTGCACGTCATGCTGGGGCAATTATTAAACTGAGAAAACGGACTTGAGCCTTCAGCTAGCCTGACCCACTCCAACAGTCCAAAAGCTTTTTCCAGCCCGACCCATTGGTATTTTTTAAACTTTGCTTTTACATTCACCGTTGACCATAGGTTGCAGACTGTCTCCTTATCTACAGTTACTATTACTAGTGATTCCTTTTTTTTTTTTTTCCCAGAAAAAAAAAAAGAATGAAAAGATGGACATAATTAAAGAGAAAAGGCTCCTGAAACAGGATAATGAAATGGACTGAAGAGACAAGAGGAGGGACCAGGCCTGAAGAAAAAAGGAGCATTCATTTTGGGTTTACAACACAAACAAAGTGGCTTGTTGTTTAGGGAAAGGATTTCAACTTTAGAAGTATTTGTTTGTCCTAACAATAATACCACCATTACTGTTATGCACAAAATTAAGTTCAATAATTTTCTCATAGATATTCAAACAATTAAACAATAAGAAGCTGCAGATAATTAACATTTGTGACAACCAAACATCCAACAATTTACGATATCCAAACAAGCCACTATGAAAACCTTACAGAACACGGAATCACATGGTTCAATGTCACAAACTCACACGCAACGCCCTTAAAATTGTCCACATAATTAAAAAAAATAAAATAAAAGAAATAAAATACATACATTTTCTAGCAAATTAATTAATTAGTTCATCACTCAAATTTCATATGGTAGGACCTGCAAGCAAAAAAGAAAATGATGATTATCAATTGATAATAAAACATAATATTAAAAAAATAACTAAAAAGGACAATTAATTAATTAATTAATTAATTCATATGGCATGTTTTATAATTTAACAGTTTGTTTATTTGTTGGTGGGTCTATTTTATCCTACAGATGTTCATATATATCCATCGAAAATGACAGGAATGGCAGTTTCAGAACCTCTAACCTGACCTCACCATGCATGATGATGCTATTATAAAGTACGTACAACTATAACAGGTTACTACTAACTAATTAAACACCTCTCTTAATTATGTTTAATTGTCATTTGATTAATTGAATTAGTTTAAAGTGGGCCAAGCTGATCAATTTTGTTGACACACCCAATGATTGGCTGTTTAAACTTTAAACACACATTGTAATTATCCATTGTACTAATAATAGCATAATATGTATACATCTAGCTCAGACAAATTATATTCTGAGTGATGTCTGAATGATATCTGTACAATTGAATTGAATGATTCATTGGACATAGATTTTACATATCACATTCGTTACTTATTTTTTTAAAACTTAATTAGTTATAATGTCTATGTTTAGTCATATGCCGACTTGAAGTATTGGACTGTTTAGTTGATTGAACATTAATAGATTTGTCTCTTCAGGTGCTTTTTTGTTTTAGTGTCACCAAAAATAATAAAAATAAAAAATAAAAAAGAGTTGTGACACTTTTACCTCTTAACGTTTTAATTTATATGAGACACATTATTGATCTAATTAATTACTTTTTCATATTTTTTTTAAAGTGCAAAAAATTGGGATCTCTCGGATTTCATTAATTGCGTTGAGTGTTATGTGATAGAAAACTAATATTTGATCATTTTATAAATAAATAAATAAAATAATAATAAATTACTGTACCCTTCGTCTCTTCCTATTGTCTGATGAAGTACAAGATAAAGAGTAGAGAAAGAGGAAAATGCTAGCGACACATTAAACTATGAAGTCCACTTTAGGCATCAAATTCATGGGGTAGTGTTGTTTTCGGCATTCAAGTTATGGGAGATGAATCTCCAATAATTAACTTGTTTTCTTTAATTAATTCTGATTAATTTTGCTAATAACTACTCCATTATTCATCTAAATTTGGAGATGAATGATTGTAAATTAGTTATTCTCATTAATTATTTAACTAATCAAATTTGTGCATGACAATAATTAAAAATGATAGAGTTGATTTTTTTTTTTTTTACCTTGGAATGTTTGAAGCAGACTGATTCAGTTGTTTCGTTTGCATTGCTAATTCCGAGTTGCTTGTTTTGACTGTCTGTTTTATTGCCTTTCCCTTCAAGTTCTGGATGGATTTTTCTCTTTAACATCCTCCTCATCAACTACAATGTTATGCAAAATTTACAGGTTAATTAATTTGTAAAAATATTTTCAAAAACTTGGTGAGATGAATATTATGTAACTCACTTGGTGAAATTTCTTGATCGGACGTGAATCGTCTCCGACGTGAGGAATGAGTTTCTTAGCAAAGGAAAGGCCATTCTTTGCACGAACAGCTGTTTTTTTATTTCCTGAAGAATCTGTGTCGTCAACCTGGTTACAACAATCAGGTTTCTTTTTCATATCAGAATCCGCCAAGAAGAGTTCTGCAAGTGTTATTCTTTCTCCCTTCCTTTTTCTTTCATCATTTTCATTGCTCCTTGAATTCTTCTCCGCAGTATTTTCATCAAAAGGTGATCTAATGTTCTCAAAATTATGTCCAAATCTTGTAAATATTAAAGGGTTCTCCTCCTCATCTTCTTCTACTTCGTTTTCGCTAACATTGTCATCTTTGTCTTCGTCTTCACTATCAACAACTGAATATTGTTCTTCCTGTTCGTCTTCAACGTCAGTATCATCATCGTCGTCCTCTCCTTCACTTTCTAGAACAAAATATTCATTTTGTTGATAATTAAAGGGTTTTAAAGGGTCGAGGCCTAAAGTGCCAATTGTTAAAATGCCACCCTTCCAGCCATCAAGCACGTCCACCAGAGCTACTTGTTTCAGTAATGCTTGCTTGTCTGCTTCATTTGTAATTGATTCAGCTTTTTTCACATTTCGAGCTAACCCATCTATGCAAATTAAAACAATTTCCTCTTCCAGTCAATTTCCCAAAATCACAATAAATGTAGCCAAAAAGAAGAATTTTTTTTGTCTGAAAAAAAAAAGAACAACTTAGTATAATCAAACCTTTAAGGGCGCCTTGATGAAACCTCCTCTGCACCCAATTAAATATCTGTAGCCAAGAAATAAAATTATTCATCAAAAGATTTTCACAATTACAGGGACAACTGTACTAAAGAGTGATGATCGCTATAAGACTAGTAGCCAAAAACAGAAAAAAAAATATATAAAAAAGAGGGAGCAAAATAATTCTATATTTAAAATGATAGAGAACATTTTATCCGACCTTCATATTCTGAGAAACAACTTGGCGAGCGGATTGTTAGAAGGGAAATGCCAAAGAGAGTAAGTAGATGAAATGATGATTTTGGAGAAGAAATAAAAAGCAGGGGCCAAATAGGGGTGGATGCCTCAGAAGATGACAGTTGTCCGTGTGGGACCCATGAGATAGGCATGTTTTGGGGTGCATGGCATGTTTGAGGACCCACAATGTTGGGTCTATCTGGCATGATCGATGGGTCGAAATTCTAGATATGATGTCTGCCTATATTATATATTATATATTAAGGGAAAATGGAAAATGGAAAGTTCTCTTCCCGTTCTATTGCATGCTATCAGATACCAAACTCTACCTAATCTCTTTCCTTTCATAATTTCCTCTCTCATCTACATTAGTATAAATTGATCGTATTTATTTCTTGCCAAACAGAACAGGGAATTTGACGTGCAGAATAGTAGTTTTTACTTTTTAATTCAATGGGTAGAATCATAGTTGTTGGTCAAACCTAGTATTGTAGTCAATGCTTAGTCCGTTCAGGTTCAATGATCTTGTGTACATGGTGGGGTAGTCCTATTTTCAGATTCACATCCCATTTGCAAAATGCCTGGAATTCTTTTTCTTTTTTTTTCTTTACTTTTCCTAAAAAAAAGGTGACGTGCACATCTAAAAAAAAAAAAGGTATTCCATCAAAATTACTGTAATCATAATTTTGTTTAGCATAAATTTATTTATTTTTTTATAACATTGCTGTTTTCAGTCCATTGGACTAAATCTAATTCTACCCACATCGTGTTAGGTCCATAAAGAAAAAGCGCATTCAACGGTAATGTTTTCCATTCGAAAAAATCAAATACTCAATTTCACGAGGGACTTAAATCCTTTCTATTTACACTAATTTTAATTGGTTTTGGCATAAATTTATTGATTGGATGTATCTTTCCCCATGCGAGAGGATGTTGGAACAGATTAGTGCAGTTGGATTCGCGGTGCCTTTTAAAGAAAATTGAATAAGCAATTCCATTTATGTAAGCCTGTGAATTTAGCTTAATTGCTGGACCCTACAGAACATGGGTTTCAAGGAACGCTTTATGTTTACATTAGGTAATCATTACACCGTCAAACATTGCCTAACTCACCGAAATTGATTCAAGTGGATTCAAAATCGCAATTTTGAAATATTGATGATTTAATTTGATTTATAAATTTCAAAAATTAAACTATTTGTTTAGTTTTCAATTTTAAGTTAAAACTGTCCACATTTAATATATAGCAAGTCCATAAAGCACTTATATTTTATTATATATAAGTAAAATTGATAATAAGTGATTATATATATATATATATATATATAAAAGAGAAATGAAATAAGCCAATCCTCATTTATGTAAGCCTGTTGAATTTAGCTTTAATTGCTGGACCCTACAGAAACGTTGGGTCAAGGAAACGCTGTTATTGTTTACATTAGGTAATTTGCATTACCACCGATCGACAACATTTGTCCTTAACTCACCCGAAATTGATTCAAGTGATTCAAAACGCAATTTTGAAATGTAATTGATGATTTAATTTTGACGTTTTAGTAAATTTCAAAAAAATTAAACTATTTTGTTTTAGTTTTTCAATTTTAAGTTTTTAAAAAACTGTCCACATTTAATATATAGCAATGTCCATTAAAGCCACTTAATTATTTTATTATACTTATTAAGTAAAATTTGCGCGATAATAAGTGCTATTATATATATATATATTTATATTATAATTATTATATGTATGCAGCTAAGCTTTAGAATCTAGACACATTTTATATTTCTATATATATATATATATATATATGTATGCAGCTAGAGCTTTAGATCTAAGACACATTTATATTTCTGTCATGCACTGCTTGTAACTTTGTTATGCATAACAAATTCTAACAGCCATGGTTCAACTCCATAAAGCACTCGATGCTTCTCTATGCATATGGACTTCATTTATTAGACGATCTGTGCATGCATCTTTTTATGTCATTGATATATACATTTATTGCAAAATCATTCATTGCACGTTCTTATTTTATAATAATTAAAGTGATATTAACGTGGGATAATTAAATGAATTAATTAAGTATAATGTTCATGGATCAGTTATTATTTCTTCAAGTGATGACTGAGGATAAAAAGCATAAATTCTTCTGTGTTCTGTCATTACATTCCTAATTTTTGTTGATGGAGGAAGAAAAATAACACACAACTCATTTATTATTTACATTACATAAATTTACAATTTACAAATTAATAAAATACCTCTTTTCAAATCAAGGCAAGTGTGTTTTACTTTCTTAATTAATAATCCAGACATGTGGAAGATAGTTTTATGTATTTTGTTCTATATATTAATATAATCATCAGGACACGAGTGTAAGAACTACAAAAGGAAACTAGTCAAATATTTATTTGATTAACTGCAGAATGTCCTTTGAAAATGACAAGTTACAAATGAAAAAGCCCTGGCCAGGGAGAACAATAGCCATCAGAAGAAAAAAAAAAAAAAAAAAAGAAAGCCACTTGGCCAGGGAGACGACAATTTAGCCATCTCAGCTTAAGAAAAAAGAAGAAAAAAAAACAAAAGCAGAGGATTGGCAAAAAAAAAAAAAAAAAAAAAAAAGCAGAGGATTGCAAACTGAAGTGGAAATGAGTGAGGGAAAGGAGCTTTGGATTCTTAGTGAAGGATGAAGAAACAACTGGGTGATATGTTGTGGGGTAAGGAAGGAGGGTTTGGTCCCTCCTGATTACAACCAAGCCTTCTTCTTTTTGAGTCACAACAACAGCAAAGAGGAAGAAAATGTAAAATTGATTGAGCACATTACAATGTCTATTGTCTAGTGCAAATAGAGAGTGACTTTATATGGTCCATAAATTATTTATTTCTACCTTTTTATTGCCTTTTTCTGTTCTAGTATACAATGCTTGCAATCCATTTTTTGGTCCACTTTAGAAAAATTCTAATTGACTCAACTTGTATAAAAATTATGTGGACACTGAAAATTCATTGACTTGCCCCACAAAATGTTTTCTTTTTTTGAAGGTGCCCTACAAAATGTTAATTGGAAAATTATAGGGGAAAAAAGGAAAATAAATAGCTAAGTCGAAAATCAAAAGTTGACAATTGAATTATATATAATAATTGCTTGAGTTAGTAGAAACTCTCTAGGTCATCCGTGAAAAAGTACTTCAGATTAATTATTTAGTTTCATATCCAAACAGGGTATAAGGACACTTCCAGCTAATTCCAATTTCTACACTTAAAAAAAAAAAAAAAAAAAGTGAAGACACTTGCGCATGAATCCAATGTCTGTACCGACTTAAAAAAAAAAAAAAAAATGAAAATAATGACATCTTATATTCTAATTTTCTATTAGAAAGGAAAAAGGAAAGTATCACTCTATTTTTTACGATAAGAAGTTGCGGAATGTACGCTACGAGGATTGAAAAAAATTCAACCGCGTCTCACTTATGAGCTGAAAAAGACTGGCGAGATCCGAAGAGCCCTGACGGAATGAATATAAACAATTATATAAAATATTAAAGATATGGGCACAAGTCCGGTCCACTCTCTTGATCTGTCCTTTGTTCGAAAAAATGCGTTTTACTTGTTAAAATGATAGTCCTCATGGGTGTCATGGAAGGTGTTTAAAACCAGAGCCATAAATTCTTGAATGAGCGAATTGCAATCTATCTATTATGAAACAGTCTAGTGGCTCGTTAACAGCGTGAAGATGTCAAGGATTTTTAATACTAAGAAACAGAAGACCCACCGTGGTGGTAAGAAAGTTTTATAACATTCATCAAGAGCTAAAAAAAAAAAAAAAAAAACATCTATATTCATTTTTCTATAAAAGGAAAAAGAAAGTAGTAGATCCTATTTTTCTGGTACATAAAATTGCGGAATACTCTACGAGGATTGGAAAAAATTGGCAACCGCTCACTTATATGAACTGGCAATCCAAACCCTGACGAGAAATAAAACAATTATTAGGAAATATATAAATAGTTGGCAGAATCCCGTCCACTCTCTGTATTCTTTTGTCGAGAAAATCTTTTACTTTAAAATGATAGCCTCATGGGTCATGAAGGGTGTAAAACCAGAGCCATAAATTTGAATGAGCAATTGCAATCAATGAACATAGCCTAAGCTGAAGATGCAAGATTTTAAATATAAGAAACCAAAGACCCACCTGTAAAAGTTTTATAACATTCATCAAGCTTCCATATATGTAAGCCAAGCAGGTGACTTTTATTTTGCAATAGTCTTCATTTTATTGGCTCATCTCATTATACCTGTTGTGCTACAGCGCTTCCTTCTTCGCCAACTATGCCAATTAAACAAATGAGATTAAATCATTTCATCAGTCACATTTACTTTGAAAAGAGAGAATATATATATAATCATTCAATTACAATATCAGCAACAGATCTTAGGATGATAGGAAGAGAATAATTGAACAGACTTCCCATTTTCTTTTTGTTGATCAGTGTCCAAAAAAAAAACATTATTGTTCTATAATTGTAGTGCTAGTTTCTTTTTTACTTTTGTTTCAAGTTATAATCCTATTTCTTTTGTTAGAAGGGAATAATTTTTTAAGTTTTCTATTCTATCCTTATTTAATATGCATTTCTATCAACAAAGAAATTATTATTACCATCAAGATTAGCTAAATCCATAACTTTATTTGCGTTAATTTTTATATTAAAAAAATAAATTTTGATTAATTTCAAAAATAATTTAATATGAATCATTTGATTATAGTAAAATAATATAACTCATTTAATAATTCAAAAGTATATTAAAAAAATAAGCAAAAATTAAAAATTGTAGATAGATAGAAATTTATCTTTGTAAAAAGGAAATCCATAATATCTTTGTAGGGAATTCACTCTTAAACCCATTTATTTCGGAATGATTCCATAAGTTTTTTAATTAAAATATCTTCAAGTTTTATATTTCCCCTTCCCTAAAAAACGTTTTAGACTCCGTTAATTCAGAGGCGACCATGGGCTCTGTAATCCAATAGCTTTCTATAGAACGCCAACTGAAATATTTGGGCCTCATCAGAAGGAAAACTTTGCCTAATTACATGAATGGGCTTTAAGACCAAGCCCAGCCAAATAGTTTTTTTTTTTTTGAAAGCCCCAGCCAAAAGGTTATAACGCGTGTGCTGGACTCATTAGTGAGACTCCAAAACTCCATAGTTACACACTAATTTTATTTGTAAGGTTAGGAGATTCTGGATGGCGGTGGAAATACGAATGCGAACAAAAAATAAAAATAAAAATAAAAATAAAAATAAAAAGAAAAAAGAAAGATTGTTTCGAAATCTCAACTTGTTACATTATAAATTTAAGTGCGATGCAATTCGGGAATTATTACATTTCCATTATGCAATGCAATATATAAAACGAGTAAAAGTGTAACTCAAGAGGACAATGGACAATATTTCTTCAATTGGAATCCACTGAAGGTGGAGTAACAATGAGGAATCAGAGTCCATATGCCCTTTCATTATCTTCACTCAGTCTAACTTTTATGTTTATTCTCACCAATAACAATAATAATTAATATTGTAGCCTAAAATAACACACAAATTTTATAAGTAAAACCTCATTATATTGTCTTTACGAGATCTTAGCCATGATGGCCATTGCTGCGATCCTTAATTTGGAGCCCCCCACCGGCTGCCGTTCTAGAGACAGCAAGATGAATTCCAGGATCATGGTGACTGTAAGAAGAATTGTAAACAATGGAGTTGTTAACACCTTGCACATTGCTGTTCATAAATGCACTCATAGGAGCCGACATCGTTGACCTTCCTTTGCGGCTTCTGTCCTTGTTTTTGGGCTTTCCTTCTTCTCCACTGCTGCTGCTGCTGCTAGAGTTTTTCCCTTCATTTCCAACGGTTTTGGTATGTCCCTTGTCGTCAACATGATAAGATTTTCCTTCAAACACATGTTTCTTATTAGGAGAACGTATTACTTCCATATAAGCACCTTTGTTTTCTCCAGCAATTGTTATGACCTTCATTCCTCCATCTTCAGACTCCGAAGGAATCTTCTTGCGGTGTACTTTTTCTTTCGTTTCGCCATCTCTTGGCGCTTCTTGCTTCCCAAGATTAGCAAAGCTGGACTTGATAGAATCTACAAGACTTTTCTCTGATGAGCCAATGCCGTTGAACCAGGGCTTAGGCTTATCGATAGTCTTTTGAACCAGAACTGTCTTTTGCTCTGCCTCCAATGGGATCTTAGCTTCTGTCTCTGCATCAGATTTTATCTTGGCAGGTGGTAGGATTAGAGGAGAAGGAGGCGGAGCAGTAGGCTTAAGCTTAGGCGACCGAGGAGGGGTTTGTACCTCTGGCTTGATGGTCGTTGGAGCTGGTGCAGGGCTAGGAACACGAGCTGTAGTGGTAGTTATGGCTTTGGGGACTGGAGAGGTTGGCACTGAGGAGATAATCGGTTCAGGTTTGGGAACAGGAGAAGTTGGCACAGAAAATGTAGTTGGCACTGGCTTAGGCGCTGGGGACGTTGGTACAGAATAAGTTGGGGCGGGTCTTAGGACTGGCGAAGGCGGAAGCGAGGAGGTAGGAGCTAAAGCTCTAGGTTTCGGAGAGGATGGAACAGAAGTAGAAATAGTGGCGGGAACAACCACTGTGGTTGTCGTAGTCGGAGAATTAGGCAATGAAGAGGTAGGAGCAACTGGCCTTAAAGCTGGAGAAGTTGGTACTGATGCCACACCACCTCCTGGTTTCGGAGAGGATGTTTGAACGGAAGCGGGTGGTGGAGCAGGAGTGGCAGGCACAGGTGGGGCAACAATGGATTCTTGAGGCTGAGTAACAGGCCTAAATGCAGGTCGAGCAGCCGGTGGCCGTGGCTCAGGGGCTGGAGCTGGAGTAGGTTCAGGTGCTGGACGTACCATTGAAGGCAAACGGAACCATGGACGCGGTGGGGGTTGATTTGCCATTTTCTTTTCTTATATTTGTGTAGAGGGCTTTCTGATTATTTAGAACTTCCAATAAATAAGTATAAATATATAGGAATTGAGCTACAAATATAGATGTAAGATGGCTGGTGCGTGTTGTTATTTATAGCTTTAGCACTTTGAAGCAATGATAGATTAACCAACTTTATATTCAAACACAAAAAGAGAAAAAAAGAAAAATCCATGATAAAACGCACACATTAACACAGAGAGAGAGGAGGAATAAGGGAAAGGCATCAGATTCAGAAAGCACTTACAGCTAAAAAAAGCTCACCCATGAAATAAGATTGGTATCAATTAATAGTTCTGCAGAAGTTTTAAGCTTTTCCAGGCATTTTATTGGGTTTGCTTAACTATTCACTCGTCTTTTTTACATTTTCTTACTCTGTATTACTAATTGGTGAAAGTAAGAAAAGAATTTATCTTCCTTATATTAATTTCAACCTGCATATTCATGCTGTATATATTGCGGCTCTCTTTTTCATTGTCCAGAAAATGAATGCACAAAAATTTTTTCAAAGATTCCCGAACATGTCCTCCAATGCTGAAATATGATTCTTAAAATCCATAAACATGTCTTCATATGGACTTTGCTTGTTGGGAGTCGTCAATTGGTGATTCTTGCTCCCTCTTTTTTCCCTTCGCCTGCCTTTACGATTCTTCAATATACCCTCATATGTTTCATTTTTACTTGCATTAATAAGAGCTTTGGTTGTTGGATAGTTGAGATTAATTGGCGCCAATCTTTGATAGGGACGGAAAAAGATATTCTTTAAATGTGCCAAAGAGAAGAAAAGAAGACAAATGGGTCCTCAGAATATCTCTCTTTTACTATTAATTTTTCTGTTGCTTCCTTAGGATCGAAGGTTTCGAATCTTTAACTGGAAAGCTAACGGCATAACATTTATGCTTTGTTAGTATCGAAATAAAAAACCACTTGATCTAAAATTGAGATCACATATAATAATACCATCATCTACTTGGATTAAGATGTTCAACTGAGAGAAATGTCAAAAAGAGATGCTAATATGTTTCACAAAGTCCACGAGGTTACCAGCTTAAAAATGATGCGAGTGAAAAGGTCCGTCAATTGTATACTCTGCTTTTACAGAAGTGGAACTGAGAATTTAGTTTCAAACTTTCGCCCATTACAGACAATTAGCATTAAGCATATAGTTTTATGTACTTGGAACACAAGCAGCAACATGCTCAACCCTTTTTTGCATATTACAAGATTACTACGGGAAATAAAGATTAAACTTGACAGGGTGTGTTTTGTAAATTTACAACACAGCAAGTGGTTTGGCATGGTTCCTAGTTACATCATGTAAATTCTTTCCTATGAACTGAAGAAGATACAATAATACTAAAATATTCTCTCAAGGGAATAATACAAGTATTACATGTACGTGTAAGGCTACGAGCAAATGTCTTGAGAAGAGGATGTATAAAAAAATTGTTTTTGCTGATCATACAAATGGCTTCGCTGTTATTGCTCGTGAAGGAGCTCAAATTTGGATTACCACCCTGGCACCTGAAAATCAAGGCCATTTAGTGAATTCAAACACTTTGAGAACTATATCCAATCCAGTGGGGATTTGCCATATGAACAGCAAAACATTTAATGCATTCAATGCAATATGAAGGTTTCTTGCTGTCTCATTCCCTTTCTGCATAGCAGGCACTAGAGCTGCTGCTGCCGCCCATAGAATTGTAATGCCTGTAAAACCAGAGAACAAAGGAAGATAAAGTCAGTTCCCTAGAATGTGAAATAGAGCTCCATAAAATTCTAAACCGACCGCACCCTTCAAAACCTCATCCTTGTCGCTTACATTCACAGAGCTCATACTATACCTGCGCCAGCAAACAAATGGGGTCCAGGGAATAGCTTTCCAGTCCTCAACCATGTGTTGAAGCCTCCAGCAATTGATTCAAACACTCCAAATCCAAGCAGAATTGATCCCGCATTGAAGTGTCTGTCCTTGAATGACCCTTTTATCAACTCCTTCCTTTCCTGCATAAGAAACATCGATAGTTTGCATAACTCATACCCTACTCCCTTACTTCTGAGATGATAGATAAATAATCCCTGGAACTAGAAGTCACTGTTACAAGAGTCAACACTAGTGGCATTATCAGCAACTTTCATGTCAAGACAATCTGCCAATTGCTTTTCTTCAAAAGTCCTCATAGGTCCTAGTAAAATCATTTTAGAAGTGCTCTTGACAGTCTTTAGGTTTCATAATCGCCAAGATGGACGCGGTCATTTTACTCTGTGAATTTAATTTTGCAGAATCTAACATAACTAAACCAAATTCTAGCATTTTTATAAATGAATTATATACATCAGATTCATTTATACCAAACAAGGTGAGGATTTTGGAAGGGCCAAGTGAATCCAACAGTCAACATTCCCCTGGAATGCAAATTGAAAGGCTATTTCTGTAACCAGGTCCTAATTATGGAGTAATCTTATTATTACACCAAGTCCAGCAGCTCAAACACGGTGAAAAATGCATATAATTTACAACCCGCAAAAAAGGAACTCAATTGCATGAAATCTGAACCACTCTCTCAGCAATCATTCAGGAAAGTTTACAAACAGGTTATATACGCTTAAGAAACCAATTAGTAAGGTCTTTCATTTGAAGCTCAAAACTTTCTTACCTCGGTGAGTTGCTGGACTTTGAGATCAATAGGAGATGGTGCTGCTTCAACAGGCGTCCCTTCAGGGGTAACCGGAGTAGGTTTGACTTGCTTCTTAAGCTCATTTATCTCATTCTGTATAGTCCTGACTCGCCTCCACTGCCACCCCAAATATCCAGCCCACAGAGTGTAGAAAAACAAACCACCCATCACAAGCGGATGAATGAGTGCAAAAGTCCTTCCCTCCAATATCCCAAATTCGCCGCCAACAGCAAGTGCATCCTGTCCAATCAAAATCGGCCCCCATACAAAATGTAAGCATAATTGGAGCCCAAAGGTAATGAATTAGAAGAAGTTAGAGGAAAAACTTGCCTTTGTGTCTAGAAAGATAGGAAATGCGAATGCTGTAAGGGGAAGAGAGGCTGAACAGAGATTCTGAATAGTTTCAGAGAAGAGCTTTTGTGGGACCGGGAAGCGTTTGTTGGAGACATCCAATTTTGATGGTTTGGAAAGATATGGCAGCTTTGACTGTATAGTCAGAGGCCTTCTGACAAGAACCGTGGACTTCAGAAGGCCTAGTGTGGTGGCCATGCTCTTCTTCTCTGTTTCTGGGCGCAGGCTACAGGGAGAGACGGAGAGAGGCCGATAGGAAATCAGAAAAGGATAAGGAGCTGAGATTTCCTGGGTTCAGCTTTGCAATATGATTGGGACCTGCTCACTTTTGAATAGAACACAATGGACAGCACGAGAACCTCCCAATTCGCTCAATCTTAAGGAACTAAGCATTTGCGAAATGGGCTGCTCTAGGCCCACAAAGTAGAGCCCAGTTATTTCATTAGGCTTCTTCTTGTATTTGGGCCTTCATTCGGCCTTTTATTATATTAATGGGACGACATTACGACCGCTTGTCTATTAAATTCACATAATTCATCTGACATTAACTATTCTGATGGATGCGCGCGTCGTTCAATTATAATGCGGGTCATTTAATTTTATACGCTGTCTGTCTGCGTCCACAGTCATCTATACCACCAGACGACCTGTGGTTTTGTTAGGCTAGGCTTCATTCAATATTATAACAAATGCTAAATAATTCATGGACTGAAATAATGTATTGAACAGAGTAACCACTAAAAATCATGAGTGGATTTGCCTATTTCTGTATATGAGGGCACCAGAACACCAACCATTAATTTGTAGATGAGGCTCCAAACCATCATAGTTTGTGGAGCCAATCAAGTTACAAGTCACCAAATTAGTTAAACGACAACTATGCAGCAACTAAAATAATCTAAAAATTCTTAAAATTCACAATTAATCTTAATCTGCATAACTTTTTGTGATGAACATGGCAAGGCAGACCTTCAACATCAAATGCTAAAAAATCATTAATTAAATGTATGTAAACCTTAAAATTTTAAAACCCATGTCTCAGTAGAGCTTATAAATATAAATAATGATATTGACTGAGGTGCGTTTTGATACTTTAATAGATACATTTGATGAGTTAAAAAGTCTAAAGCAGGATTCTTTTTTAAAGAGAAAAAAATAAAAAGAAAAAGTCTTCATTATGCAACGAGAACCACAAACAAAATAGCGGCTTTTTGGGGGGAAAAAGGGGCCAAGGACGCTATTATGGTTAAGGGTTAAGCTTTCAACACTATTATATGTTTTGAAATCTTAGCCAGTCATTTTCTATAAGCTCGCAAGGGTTCGTCATATCTCTCCATCATTCTGTACCACAACTTAGTACTATACATGCACCAATCAGACGTTGTGAATTGATTCATCCACATCACGCTTGTGTACTCCATACCAGATCAAATTGACGATTGAATCCATTAAATAAATAAAAATGCATTTCAATCCCATTTTATCTTTACCCTTTATTAATATTAATTCTTTATGTTATTAATATCAAAATGTTATTAAAATTTAATTTATTTATTGCTTGTGGAAGAATATTCTTCATGTAGGAGAGGCTAGGGATGGACGTCCGTGTTAATTCCGTGTGGCCTTGAGAAGCAAAAACATAGGGCTCTACGCATCACGCAAAAAAAAAAGATGTCTGTAATAGTAATAGCAGCACCAATCAGCATTACCCACACGCAATGCTCTAGAACCCGCCATTTGTATAGGTGAGTTAGAAGTTGACATTTCCTAAATACATGGAGATGGAGAATATATAGTTTGATATTTTTCGATACGGGGGAAATGCCGTGGGAATAAAGTTGTTTCTCCAAAAATTCAATTCCAAACCCTGTGTGATTTTTTTCAATTTGCTTACTCCTTTATTAGACTTTTTCTTTTAGTCATTTAACTTTTCTAAAGTAGCTCTTGTCTTGCATTGTCTCATTTTTTGATTTTTAACCTCTTTTCCCAAAATCATGTCCCATTATGTAAAACATTTTTTTTTCTAAAAAAAATTACAAGCATACCTTAAACAAAATTATAGGCATGGTGTTTAGTAGTAGAAATATTAAATTTTGTCTTAAAAGCTATAACTGAACTTTAATTACCATACTCTTTTAATTTTAGAAAAATTTGCTCATTAAAAAATTCGAAAAAAATCACAATATTAAGCTTTTGAATTTATGTTGAGGCAAAGGCTCGTTTAAAACTATATTATTTCTTGAAAGTATATATGAAGCTTAATCATATGAATTATTTCTAATTATGAATCAATTGAAAGAAAAGTAAAAGTAAAAGTTTGAAAGGATTGAAATTTTGTCTCTTAAAAAGATTATAAAAAGTTAAAAAGTTTGCCATTTACCTGTTCAGGATTGGAAGTATTGACTTAAACTGATGAAGTATTAAGTTGATGCCAGTTAGTGTACACGAAAGAAATTATAAAGTTGAATTAAAAAATAATTAAATGAGAAAGTGTGACTAATTCTTTAAATAATGCAGCTTGTTAAGCTAACTAGTCTGGTTCATGTGACTAAATCGATTGGAGAGGGAGAATAGAGTACTGGAAAAAGAATATCCTATTCCTACGATATATACAGATCAATCTTATGAAGCTAATTCTTCATTGTTAGATTTTAATGTTGTCATCTTCGACTTCGCTGAATTTTTAATTACTACGTCTCTAATGCTTTTTATAAATGGCAAATTTCGTAATTATAAGCTGTTAGCCAAGTCAATTTGTAAACATCCGAAGAAAAAAAATGAATTTAAAAATAAAATGCAACGGTGTAGCTGAGCTATTTGATAATTTTCACAAGATTAAGTCGTTAGATAGTCTAGCTATATATTGTATTATTGTTATTAATGCAATACGTTCCAAATTATAAGAAATTTGATGATAAATGTGAAAGTTTTTTTTCCTATCCAACAATTTTATTTTCATTCGTGGCTTTTCTCAAATGGTATTCTTAAAAAATTGTTTGCATTATTGAGTTATCACATGGAAAAATATTATACATATTAGAGAGAGGAAATTTGAATTAAAATTCGAGATTATATACGCAGCAAAAGTATGTTAGCTTTAGAGATTTAAATAGTTTGATTTATGATAATTTTTAAAAAATTTTGAAACCAAAAAGAAATGTAAACTTTTCAAATTAAATTAAATATAGTTTAATTCGATTTTATAAAAGATCCAAACTAATAAGTTTGTTTATTTAACTGTAATATAATTATATTTACTAAGTTATTTTTTCTTTTCAGAATTTTGACAATATTTTTTCAAGAATAAGATATTCTTAATTTAATTGTTCACACCAATTATAGCTACCGATAAAATTGGGAAGGATAAATGAAGATAAATAATGATTAATAAATAATTTAAATTATAATTAGTGAATAAATATATAAAAATTTATGTGTTGAAGCCATAACACTGATTAATTAAATTAATGAAAACAATTTTTATCAAGATAAGGATAACTAAATATATAAAATTTATGTGTTGAAGCAATAACACTCGATATAAATTAAATTTAATTAGAAAAACAAATTTTTATCAAGATAAGGATAACTGTAAACGTAAATTATATATATATTATATTATAATAGATAACTATAAGGTAGTATAGTATTAGTATATAGAGAGAACGGAGTCATGATTGCCCAATTACATAAGCCTAATCGCCAATGAAAATATACCGAAGAAGAGTCGGTGCCAACATAAATAACGTGTCGGAGGAAAAATAGCACATAAATAATGGTAGACCCAGAGATGAGTTTTTTTTTTTTTTTTTTTTTTTAGTTGTGTGTTGTTTTATTATCGTGGATAAAGTGTGATGATAAGTTGAAAGAAAAAAAAGCAATATAAACATCTTGCTGAGCGAGTAGCGGTAGAGATTTGACGGAGAATCAAAAGAGGGAAGTATCATTCTATCTGCTGGGCGTTCTTTCCGCGGCAGTAAAAATTAGTTTGACTGAAATACAGGCTTTAGCATCGGCTTATTCTGATTCAGTTGACGATTTCATATTATACTTGTTTATCTCGCTTGGCGGCTGGGGGGGGTGAACCCCAAATCTGGTTCTGTTGACAACCCTGCGCCGGCAAATAGCCGTCTTCTCCTATGTTTTTTTTTTTTTTTTTTATTTTTTTTTATTATTATAAATTATATTAATTAAAAAAAAAAAAGCATATAAACATCTTGCTGGCGAGTAGCTAGAATTGACGGAGAATCAAAAGAGAAGTCATCATTCTATCTCTGTGCGTCTTTCCGGGCATAAAATATTTGACTAAATACAGGCTTTAGCATCGGCTTATTTATTCAGTTACGATTTCAATTATACTTGTTTTCTCCTTGGGCTTTGACCCATCTTTCTTCAACCCTCGCCGGCAAATAGCCGTCTCTCTATGTTTAACAAACCCCCTCCTCCTGTAAACTTAACCTTCACGGTTCTTTTAAAGCCCTCTCTGTTATTGTCTCGTTATTCCTCAATCAATCATGTGTCGTAAGAGGAGCAATTTTCCCCTTAAAATCCCCATTAGCCAAATCCTTTTATGGGTTTAATAAATTTTCCTCTGTCTATAATCATGAAAATTCTTTTTAACTCATTCTTTCTGTTGTTTCTAATTGTTTGTTTATTGTTTCTTCTTCGCGTTCTTTTAATCAAGAGCGGATTAATTTATTTGACCAAAAAATGGTGGAGAATAATCGAAGATTGTTTTCATGTATTTCAATTTTTCAAGGTACCAGAATTCAACGACAGCATGCAAGAAAATCAGCTTTACCGGAAAGTCTCTGTTTATCTAAACTCTCTGACTTCCATGGAAGATTCCGATTTCACCAACCTCCTCATCGGAAAAAAGTCCAACGAAATTATCCTTCGTCTCGATCCTAATCAGATAATCGATGATGATTTCCTTGGAGCTAGAATTTCTTGGATAAACGAAGTGAAATCCAATGCCACTCAATCTAGAGCTTTCATTCTGAAGATTAGAAAAGCAGATAAGCGGAGACTTCTCCGGCCTTATCTCCAGCATATCCATACAGTTTTCAATGAGCTCGACCAAAAGAAGCCCGAATTGAAGCTTTACATGAACATCCACAATGATCATCATCATCATCAAATTCAAAATCAAAACCGACGGTGGAGATATGTTCCATTTTCTCATCCTTCGACGTTTGAAACAATTGCCATGGAAGCCGATCTCAAAAACAAATTAAAATCAGATCTCGAGTCTTTCCTCAAAGCCAAACAATATTATCACCGTCTCGGTCGTGTTTGGAAACGATGTTATCTCTTGTACGGACAATCAGGTACCGGAAAGTCCAGCTTTGTAGCTGCCATGGCTAATTTTCTTGGCTACGATGTGTATGACATCGATCTTTCGAAAGTTTTAGACGATTCTGATCTCAAATTGCTCCTGTTACAAACTACAAGCAAGTCGGTGATTGTAGTCGAAGACCTTGATCGGTTTTTGATGGAAAAATCAACGGCGGTGAGTTTATCAGGTGTTTTAAACTTCATGGATGGGATTCTAAATTCTTGTTGTGCAGAGGAGAGAATTATGGTTTTTACAATGAACAGTAAAGATCAAGTCGACCCGGCTATTCTAAGACCCGGTCGAATCGATGTCCATATTCATTTTCCATTATGCGATTTCTCATCGTTCAAGACATTGGCGAATAGCTATTTGGGCGTGAAGGATCATAAGCTGTTTCCTCAAGTCGAAGAAATTTTCCAAACCGGAGCGAGTCTAAGTCCGGCCGAGATAGGGGAACTCATGATTGCGAACCGGAATTCACCGAGTCGGGCATTGAAATCGGTTATAACGGCGTTACAAACGGAAGGTGATCGAAGAGGGTCAGTGAATATCGGGCGGCGGTTGTTGGATTCCGGGTCAAGAAGCTCCGTTGAGGAATCTGGCGATCACTCGGGGATATTTTCGAGAGAGAGTGTCAACGCTATGAAAGATATCAAGAAATTGTACGGGTTATTGAGGTTGAGAAGTAATCGCAAAGAGCAGTCGTTTGATTTGACAGAGGGAGGGAAGGTAGGGTGATGTTACATGTCGTATTGATTCGGATTAAAAAAGTACAAGGCCAAAGGCATATGTTAATAGAAAATAGTGTAGTTTGGAACAATTGCTAGCTTTGATGCTTTGTTCGTTCCCACCACCCCCCCGAATTACAAAGAATATTATTTTGTCATCCTTTTTTTTTTTTTTTTTATGGTATTTGTTCCTCTTAAATCTTAATGGTTTTCTTCATCATTATTTTCTTCACAGCCCATGAGAAAAAGAAAAGAAAATAAATTAAATGGACATTGAATTGAATTCTTATATGATCGAGCTTTGCGGATCCCGGACTCTGTGTCACAGCCTCACAGGAATACGAGAACTTATAGTAGGTGGCATGTGTCTTCAATATAATAATCCATCACCAAATATCAGTATTTTTTATTTTTATTTTTTTTTTTTGTAAACAGTTTCAATGGTCTTTGAATTATTACGTTCTCTAAAATCTATTTTTTCTTTCTGCTAAAATTAAATGAAATGACGAAATCAAACTTAAAGTTAGGTTAATCAAATCAAATAATATAAGAAAATAATGAGTTACAATAGATTACATTTGAATTATGATTTTTAAGTCCATCAAACATCTTTTATTATTGATAAACATTACGTGTAATGATTCCATTATACTTTATTCTCTTACTCTTTATATAAAATGATTTACATTTTAGTAGTTCTTGACTTTCTATATTACATAGTTCTTAAGAAAAAGGTGGGCTACTATAGATTTTTGCAACTTTAAGAACAATTTTTTTTTTTTTTTATTAATATATATAAAGTGAATGGTTTTTCATCAAAAGGACTCTTTAAATTTCGTCGAAATTTCAAAACAGAAGATAAAATGTTGATGTGAAGATGTGTTGTTTAAAAGATGACAGGTCATTTTTGTTAGGTGACGTAATTACTATCATCTAATTAAGGACATTGACATTAAAAGGGGGGAAAGGAAAGTAAAATGTGAAATTACTTTCTTCCTAATGTGTTTGCAATCATGAAGATTAAAGCTAACAAAGCTTATTTTAACATATATTTATAATTTCTGCCCCTAATTCACAACTCAGTCCGTTATCAAATTTATTTTATGCTAATACTCAAAAAAAAAAAAAAAAAAGAAAGTAAAAATTGAGTAGAATATTATTCTGGCGGCGTGAGATGTGTGTTTGCAGAATCATGAAGGATTAAAGCTAAACAAAAGCTTAATTTTAAACAATATATTTATAATTTCTGCCCCTTAATTTTCATCAACGTCAGTCCTAATCAAATTTATTTTCTCGTGCTAATACTCAAAAAAAAATAAAAAAAAAAAATGCTATTCCCACTAGCATGTTCGTAAATGGCAAAATTACCCCGGCAAACAAGGAGGTCAAACTTTTTTAAACTGTGCTTGTCAACTGAAAGGGAGGAAAACTATGTTAGTGTCTTTTTTCCAAGTGAGACACATGAGAGCAGAGGCACACACGTGAACTCAAAACTGAGTCTGAAAAAAAAAAAAAAAAAAAAATGCTATTCCCACTAGCAGTCGTAAATGGCAAAATTACCCCGGCACAACAAGGAGGTCAAACTTTTAAACTGTGTGCAACTGAAAAGGGAGAAACATGTTAGTCTTTTTCCAAGTGAACAGAGAGGCAGAGGCACACACGTGACTCAAACTGAGTCTGATATCTAAATGTGACATTTCCTACTTTTTCTTTTTCCCTTCCACTTGACGGGCAAATGCTAATCCTCCTCTCCTCCCAAATTTAAAGAAAGATGCTTCAGTTCAGAGTTCAGACAAAACTTTCTTACTCTCATCATTGGTGATGATGTGCTTCTCTCTTTCATTTTAAAGTCGTTTTGTCTTTACTTTTTAGCGTTTTGCTACAGATTTACCACAGGAAATTTGTTCATCTCTGATCTTTTATTTCAGGGTTGTTTTATTCATTTCAATTTCTTTTTATATTATTAAAAATTTTAAAGAACAGTGTTGTGCAAGCTATTATGAATCGAACTCCTAACTTCTGAATTTTAAAATACGCATTATATAACATGTCGAATTTCCACTTCAAAGGAAAAAAAAATCTTATTAGTTGAATTTCTACCACAAAGATATTATAAAGGTTCAGATGTCAATTTTTTCTTGCCATTCTATGACAAGAAGCCAATTTAGCGATTTGAAGTTCTAAATTCAATGACCTAATTGTAACAGAAAAGAATAACGCATTCTAATTGTAGCATTAGAGATCCGACTTTCGCAGCATATTTCCTTGTTTTGGGCATTTATACACAAATATGATAGTGGCTAGGTTAAAAACGCATTGAGCTTGAAGCTGGAGATACACATATTAATGTAGGAGTACTGAGGTTCTGAAAATATGTTTGACAGTGCTTTCAAAAAAAAAAAAAAAAGAAAATATGTTTGACAGTAAAAAACTTTAAAAAGTGCAATTATGGAAGCCAGAGAGATGGTCCTGCTAACGGGAAATTTGAATGGTTGGCTGGGATTTTATTGCTGCAAGTGCAAGCTGCCATAGACATGGACTGAAGTGCCTAGACTATAGCTTTTGTAGCATCAACTACCATAATTTTTTGGACCCATCTCCACTATTTGTCCTACTTGACTGTAATGCGACCTGCTAAATGTCCTTATTAATGACCCTTGCCAGTTACCAGAAGCCTCACAGCCTTCAGGGTTTCACCCTTGTTTTCAAAATTTTTGCACTAAAAAATTCATTATTCTTCGAAGATCGGATTATTAACAATGCAAAATAAACAAACTTGGGTCCCAGTCCCAGGGGCATTTTTCTTTTAATTTTTCAGTCTAATAAAAAAATAAACAAGTCGTTTTCATTGTATAATCATTGCTGAATTCATAATTTAAATATATTGATTTTCTTTAAATGTAATCGTTCCTTGAGTATAAGGTGATGATGGTGATCAGAATTAATATATGACATGTGGAAGCATGATTGAAGAAAGCCATACAAATTGATGGGTTGGGCATGCAGAACCATTAATGGTGTGTAAATTTTATAATTTTGTCCAAATATGAAGCAATTTTAAGCACATGCAAACAGCACATAGGGTTGCTTGTCATTATTGCTGAAAGCATGGACAATATCTAGACTAAAGACTTTTTTTTTTTTTTTAATATTTTTTATGCATTGGCTCCGAAATATTTAATGAGATTTTTTTTAAACCACCGATATTTAAATCTTATTATTAGAGCGGCTAATAAGATTCAGGGCTAAGTATAGAATTTATTAGTCAAATATAGAAGACAAATTGTTAGTTGGTTCTTGCCAATAATACCTACCACATAAATGGTAATAATTTTATATTGGTTTGGGAGTTTGAAGGGTGAGAAAAAAGTCTACCATTTGTAACAAACTTCTTTAGTCAGATTCAAACAAAAAGTTGTATTGACGAAAACAGATATATTTTCAAATTTCAATTGTGCTAAACTACCTTAGGTTTGATAACAATTGTCGACAGCTATCAGCACATTAATGTCAATTGTTTGGAAAATTTTTTAAAATTCTTTATTTAGAAAAAATTTAAAACTCATTTAATTTAGTTACATATGCTAGTTGATGCCAACTAGTGTTAAAATATACAAAAGAAATTTTTTCAAGATATATATTAAGGAAAATGATTTCTCCTTGTTTGAAAAGGGTGAAGAAGATATTGAAGTTCTGGGTCCAGGAAATCAGAATCTCTCTGATTGGAAGAAAACTAGTAAATGAATTGAGAAAATTACATTCTCTTGGAATAGATTGCATTGTTTTTTCTTCATTCACTATTTTATTTTTTCTCTTTTCCAAACAAAGCCTTACTATCAATTTCTTATCGGGCTCGCAAAGTCCAAACGTAAAACGGGTAAGTGGAAGCTATGATAAAACTAAAGAGGCCCTTAGTATAGATGTCCACTACTTTCGAACTTGAACTGGGCTAGACAAGGCCCATCAAAATTTCAGAACATTTCAATTTTAATCTCCAATGACCTTTTCTCTCTCCTATGTTGTGTTTTAAGTGTTAATAAACCAATTTTTTGCGATTTCTTATAATTCCACCTTATTTTTTAACTTTTTAACAAATATACTCTGAAATAGAATTTAGAATTACACTCAATAATGAAATTGAAAAAACAAGGTATAATTGCAATAAATACACAGAGTTCATGTCATTTTTATGTCCTATAATGATCAGTTACACCCTTTAATTGGTACTCAAAAAAAAAAAAAAAAAAAAAATGTTTCCTCTCCTAATGTTGTGTCCTTTAAGTGTTAAATAACCTAATTTGTTTGCGCATTATTCTCTTTCTCGCGGAACTTTCATGTAATTAACTGTACCAACTCTCCTAGGTATATATAATCGATTATATAACAATATACTCTGAAATAGAATTTTAGAATTACATTCAATAGTGAAAATTGAAAAAACAAGATAGTAATTGCAATAAGATACACGAGGAGTCAATGTCATTTTTATGTCCGTAGTAGGGAGTTGGATCACGGTTACACCCTTTAATTGTAGACGTGGAAAAAAGAAAGAATCATAAGAAAAAAAACACCCCTTTAATTTAATTATTAGGGTGTGCATACAACATTAAATTTTTTTAATAATTTATAATTTCAAAAAACAAAAATCAGCATTGAGTGATGCTATTATGTATACTTTAAATTTATCATCATTATTTAACAAATTTCAACGTAATTTTTAATTTTATTAACTTTTTGCACTATTGAGAGAGAGTAGTTATTCATTTTATCGTAACCACCTCTTCATATATAAACAGGTAAAAAAAGACCTCCATGTAAAAAATTAAAAAAAAAAAAAAAAGAAAATAAAAACTTTCCATAACCGCAAAACTTTTTTGAAATTTCATACCTCAACTTAAGATAACTCTAATAGGAAAAATATAATAGTGTAACAGTGGTAAGAAACTGGAAGCAGGAGATCAGAACATTCAACGTGGTAGCAATGTACGAGTATTTTTGCAATACTGCAACTTATCTCCAAAATCGCAGACCCGTGAAAGATAATATCAATCTATAGACCCAATGGTTGCAACCACCGTAAATATTGCAATTGTAAGATCGCCAGATCCAACGTCTTCGTTAGAAATCACAGACCATAAATTTCCCAATAGCCTGAAAAAATCTGCGTGTCCGACATTGGTCGCCGTTCAGAGAGGCTGACGTCTCAGAGAAAAACAGGCCGGTTGGATCCTTCCGCGGAATTTCTACCGCGATTTCTTCTGTTGAAGCTGCGCCTGTTGGTCGTACCAGGATCAGCTTGTTTTCCGGAAATCAACTGATTACAAACTATGGAAATTATCACAGAATGAGGCCACCGTAGTTCCAATCTACCCATCAGCACATGATCAAAAGGTGTGCCTTGGTGATGTCGGTAACACTAGCATTGCCCCAATGCTCGCGTCGAAATCACACCTCCTCCGGATAGCCGTACACGGTTAGTTTACTTTAAATGTGGTTGTAGCGACTGAGGCAGACTGGTTCGTCTGTGGTCTACTATTGGTTTCGATAGGCGTAAATCGGCCCAATATGTCTAAGAGAGAACCGTTAGAAATGTATTACTTGAACTACATTTATTTCATAGCGAGAGAGTAGATTGCTTTATTGGATCAGAAAGATTCAGAAAATCGATTAAATTGAAATATCGAGGTCGCGCTTAAAGTGGGTTGGAAGAGGTAAGAGGAAGATGAAGTAAACGTATTTAGCTAAAAATTAAAAAAAAAAAAAAAGAAAAATAAAACTTTCCATAACCCAAAACTTTTGAAATACAACCCAACAAGTAAACAATAGAAAAATTAAAATTAAGTAAAAACTGAAGCAAGGATCAACATTCAACATGAGCAAGTAGATAATTTTTTCATCTCACTTATCTCCAAATCAGACCCTGAGATAATATCAATCTTAGATCCTTTCAATGTGGTTGCATCACCACCGTTCAATTTAAGATCGCCACATTCCAACGTCTTCTTAGAAATCACACCATAAATTTCCTCTAATAGCCTGAAAAATGCTCTGTCCACATTGTCGCCGTTCAGAGCTGACGTCTCAGAGAAAAACAGGCCTTGATCCTCCGCGAATTCTACCGCATCTTCTGTTGGAACTGCCCTTTGGTCTACCAGATCAGCCTTGTTTCCAATCAACGTGATCACTATGGAATTATCAGCATGGGCCCGTAGTTCCTCTACCCATCTAGCCACATGATCAAAGGTTGGTCTCTTGGTGATGTCGTACACTAGCATTGCCCCCAATGCTCCTCTGTAATATGCACTTGTTACTGCTCGATACCTACACCGGTTTAGTTTTACTTTAATGTTTTAGCACTAGCAACTTGTCTCTGTTCTACTATGTTCATAGCTAAATCCCCAATAATGTCAAGAAACGTTAGAAATTATACTTTGAACTACATTATTTGATAGAGAATAGATTGCTTTATGATCAAAAATTCAAAAATCATTAAATTGAAATATCGAGGTCGCTTAAAGTTTGAAGAGAGTAAGAGGAAGATGAAGTAACTATTTACCTTTCTTGGCCAGCGGTATCCCAGATCTGGGCTTTAACCACTTTGCCTTTAATGTTCACAGTTCTAGTCTGGAACTCGACACCAATAGTGGACTTGGAATCAAAGCAGAACTCATTTTTAGTGAACCTTGACAGCAACTGAGTCTTACCCACTGCAGAATCTCCGATCACAACCACTTTAAACACATAATCTATTCTCTCTTCTACACTCTCGTGATGATGATTATCGAGATCAACACCGTTCATTTCTTGATTCATTTTTCACTTCTCAAAGCACTTCCCTTGTTCTTCTTGGCTTGTTTCGCCGCTATTTGAAATATCAAAATGGAATTATTGGCCTCTATAGTCTTGTTGCGGTAAGTGGGAGCAAGTAAAAAAAAAAGAAAAAGATTGAAAATGACGACCAGACAAGACCGGTTTCTTCTCAAAGGATTTTACTCTGCTCGCACTCTAAACAGTGAAAAGGAGGATGAAGTTAGAAATTCGGTCCCTCTTTAATTGATATATAGTGGACGCACTGTGCATTATTTATGTTGACTAAGTTTGATTGAGGAGAATTAATGTTTGCCATTGTTCTGTCAAAAACAATGTTTATTGTTCATGCTTAGTGGAATTGGGATAGTTGGGATTTGTTGCCGTAATTAAGTGCCCTTCTGGCCCACTCATGCCTCATTTCCTGCCATAATCTGCTGATTCAGCTTCATTTCTTTACTGTAGAGTTTTGATTCAATAATTACAGTTAACTGGACGTTAATAATTAATAAATACTGCTCCATTAAACGTTACATTGTAATGATTTGAAAATTCGATTTTACTCTACTCTTTTCGCAGTGATTTTCCCATAAATAGAATGAACTCCAGTTTGTTCACCATATATTATTTTAATTACTCTGGAAGTTATATATAACTCTTATGTTATCGACTTATCCATAATACCTGCTGCTATTAGAGTTTTGATTTTGATATAATAAAGAGAAGACATTCATTCTCGTTATTTCAGATAAACTTATTTTTCAAGTAATTAAAGTCTTAATTATCCAAATTGAAAGATTCCAGACGAAGAATACATGTAATGTAATGTAAAGTGCCACTTGCCAGAAAGAAAGACAGTGTGGACGCACCACCAACAAATTTTGTTGCTCTCATTTAATGCATCAAATCAAATCGTACAATTTCAGTCCTATGTAAATTGATTCATCTTTGAATTGCTTGGCTGCTGAAATTTACAGACCAGTGATTTTATCCGAGTTAAAATTTTTTGTATTGTTTGATAAATTGGATCTAGCTATTTGTGTAAAAAGGGTAGGTCCAATTTTTCTCTCCTACCCCTAACCAATATGCAGGAAACTTCTAAAATTGTATTTATGTTTACTGTTTAAAATCAAAGTGGACCTCCTTCTAATGTTTTGCTTTTGCACCGACAGAGTTTGCTACAGTTACATACCTAAGAATGACGATAAAGCCTCCACACCTCTCGAGGGAGCCAGTGATGGCTGATGGGCTTCAATCATCAATTATAACTACAAGAACTTCTGTACCGATCATAATTTACCGTTGCACTCTATTTCAGTTTTACGCAGTTACTATAATTTATCAATTATATACATTCTGTTAATTAATTCAAAATAAAAATAAAGTTGTTCATCACACTTATTAAAGTACCGTGTCTTGGCTAATAAAATTTGATTCCAAATTTTTATGTAGAAGATTTTCTTTTTGCCAGTAACAGTGATTATTATAAAGAAAACTAATATAATGATGATCAGGGTAGTTTAAAGCTTAAGCAACCTTTTGAATTTTAAGTTGTGAACATAATCATGCTACAAAAAAGCAAGCAATTAAAAAGCAAACGTGAATGAATGAAATTCACAAAGAATAAATAAATACAGTAACTAAAACGATAAAGAGAAAGCAAGGATTAGGAATGATAATAGAAGGGCCATTGCTACTTTAGACTGTAGTATTAATATGAATGTTGTCATGATAATGCATGTAAAAAATATTCAACTAACATTTGTTTAATTAACAAACGAGTGGAAAAGACTCTGTGTCCTTTAAGTGAGAGGTTCATTGTTCCATTATTGTGCAGAGAGAAAATCTCTGTTTGGAGTGCTGACACAGCGCGAATAACATTAAACTTAGTCCGATGAGTCTCGAACACACGTGGCATAAAAAAAAAAGACAAAAAAAAAAAAAATCTGTTTAACTACACTTATTGGAGCCCCATGGAGGCCTACATGGTGATGGTACTCGTTTGTCATGTTGGAAACGAATACCATAAGCTCATAGGCCGTAACAATTGTGGGCTTTTAGATGTTTGCCACTGATATAGCACAATCCTACTGGGCCTTGTGGCACTTGATAGCGTGTGAGTACAATTTTCACCAACATTAACCACAAATACCGTGTATTTAATTCGGTAAATTAAATATGCAAAAAGGAGCAGATAAAATAATTATTTAAATTTAAATTTTACAAATAAAATAATTTTTTTTTTTTTTTTTACCAAATAGAAATTCATTGAAAAAGTGAAAATAAAGTTTTATAACCAATATTTCTCCCTGATCCATGGTACTTGGAATGAGATATTAATACAGAAGGATAGATCCAAACTTTTCCTAGCTAGATTGTGGGCATCACTATTAAAATGCCTTCTAATAAACTTAAAAGAAACTAACGAAAACTGAATAGCTAGATAGAAAACATCATGTATTAAACTTTGAATATAAACCAAATGAGAAGACGTATTTGAACCTGCATCCATGACTATTTTTGAGTTTCTTTTAAAAATAACACTGTGAAAATGATGCCGTAAAGCCATTTTCACAGCTTGTCTAAGAGCCATTGCTTCCAAAATAATGGGATTGATTTGAAAAGGGATTTGCTTCATTGACCATGTTATAACCCTGTTCAAATGAGAACGTGTTATAATAGCAATGCAACCACAATTCATCTTGTTATTCACACTGAATCGAAATTGACTTTCACAACATTTGGAGGTGAATGAGTCCAGGGACCTATAGATTCGTTAAGGAATGGAGATGGTTGATCATTTGGATGATTCAAAAACCTGCAAGCATCATTTCTGATTTCCCGTCGAAGAACTTGCTTAAGCAATTCTTTCCCTTTAAAAATACTCTGCCATCCTCAAAATTTGATTAATACATAATTAATATTGATGATACATATCTAGATAGCAAATTAAGCCTTATTTCTTAAATTTATAAAATGCGAATGAAATATTATGATTTTTCATTTCTCGGAGCAACAAAACTAGAGAGGAGGTAATGGCTCTGATTAATTGGATTTCTTTTTTATTTTATATTATGGGGGAGTGATGTGGCTAAAATATATCCTCATTTCTATCCCACCAGAAAACAAAACTACAGCAAGCATCCGCCTAATTAGTCAAAACAGTATCAAACGCGCCTAAGCACCTGACCTCCGTCTCCATGGATGCCATAACCTCTGTTTCATCCCTCAAAGTCCCTGCCTTCAACTCGGCACCTCGCGAATTCCATCACGTCAAAACTTTCTCCACATACCATCAACTCTCTCCTCACGTTCCCAACTCATCAATCTCCAACAAAAGCACCGCCCAAGCCCCATATCTCAAAACTCTTGATTCTCCACATTCATCCGCCTCTCGAAGCTCATCCCTCAAGCCATCTCCCAGTTCCCACAGAAATCCAGCTAGCGGTTATGCTGCGGCGCTTCTAGACATAGCCCAACGCAACAATTCTCTTGAAATTGTCCAAAAGGACGTCCAAAGATGTTCGAAGCTGATCCAAAATAAGCAAATTCAAGCAATTTTGATTAATCCACTTGTGGATGAACAACAGAAGGGACAGTTAGTGATGGAAGTGGCAAAGAATGGGAAAGTCAGTAGGCTTTTGATGCGATTGTTGAAAATATTAATAGATAGCAATAGGATAATGATGGTGAACGAGGTGTTAATGGAGTTTGAGAGGATATTTGACGAGTTGAGTGGAACTAAAGTGGTTTTGATTTCGTCTAAGAAGAAAATGGCCGAAGATACTCTGTTTAGGATTGCTCAAAGCGTACAAAAGCTTAGTGGGGCTGTGAAAGTGAAGGTACGAAATTTGGTTGATGGCAAGTTACCATCATTTGCTGTGTAATTGTAGTTATACTCCAAGTCAATGTAAAAGTTTTTTTTTTTCCAATTCTGATGCAAAATTAAATTACCCCTGCAATTGATTGGATAATCCAATTTGACAAACCTGAAGACATTTTCCTGGATTAGATTTTATGATGATGAAATTCATTACTGTTGCAGTTGATATGAAAGTTTTGAATTTTGACCATCAAAGTAATAAAAGATGCCTCTTTCCTAAAGCGCTCAATGATAATTGCTTCCTGCATTTCAAAACGCTAGTCACTAGGTATTTGCTTGGAGCACTCGAAGAAAACAAAGCATAGAATTTCCTCTCGACGATGTTACGTTACGCTCACCGTCCTAAAATAACAACCGCCTCACTCCATTCAATCGCCTGCATACGCTCGCTTTCCGCCGCCAATCTCAACACCCCTCTTCCCGAATCCTACACAGTCACTCCTCCAATCAAGCCCTGGCCCCAACGCCTCTACCCCAAACGCCTCGTCTCCATGATCATTCGCCAGCAAAATTTAGACCTTGCACTCCAAATCTTCGATTACGCCGGTAAATATCACCCTGGTTTCTCCCACAATTACGACACCTACGATTCTATTATCTACAAACTCTCTCGAGCTCGCGCCTTTGGCCCTGTCGAAGTCTTGCTATCTGACTTACACAAAGCCCAAATCAAATGCGGCGAACATCTGTTCATCACTGTTATTCGCAACTACGGCCTCGCAGGTAAACCCGAATTGGCTCTCAAAATGTTTATCCGCATCCAGGAATTTAACACACAGCGTTCTGTTAGATCACTAAACACACTATTGAATGCTTTTGTTCAAAACAAAAGGTATGATTTAGTGCACGGTGTGTTCCAGAATTGCAAGAGCAAGTTCGGAGTTGTGCCTAATGTTTTCACTTATAATATTTTGATTAAGGGGCTCTGTAAGAAGAATGACGTTGAAGGTGCAATCAGGGTTTTAGACGAAATGCCCACCATGGGTATAATCCCAAATGTGGTAACTTATACAACGATTTTAGGCGGGTACGTCTCGCGTGGTGATATGGTTAATGCTAAAAAGGTTTTTGGTGACCTTTTTGATAGAGGATGGTTGCCAGATGCGACAACATATACTATTCTGATGGACGGTTATTGCCAGCAAGGAAGATTAGTTGATGCAATTAAACTTATGGATGATATGGAGGAGAACGGAGTTGAGCCAAATGATATTACTTATGGGGTTATGATTCAGGCTTTTTGCAAAGAAAAGAAAGCTGGTGAAGCACGTAACCTGCTCGATGATATGCTTAACAGAAAGTATGTACCCAGTTCCTCCCTTTGTTGCAAAGTTATTGATGTGTTATGTGAAGAAAGGAAGGTAGAAGAAGCTTGTGACTTGTGGAAGAGGATGTTAAAGAAGAATTGCACGCCGGATAATGCAATAACAAGCACACTCATATATTGGCTTTGTAAAGAAGGGAAGATATGGGAAGCGAGGAAGCTGTTTGGTGAGTTCGAGCGGGGTTCAATCCCGAGTCTTTTGACATATAATACACTCATCGCTGGGATGTGTGAGAGAGGAGAGTTAAACGAGGCAGGAAAGTTGTGGGATGATATGATGGAGAAAGGCTGCGAGCCTAATGCTTTTACATACAATATGCTGATTAAGGGGTTTTGTAAGATTGGAAGTGCCAAGGAGGGTATTAGGATTGTGCAAGAGATGTTGGATAAACGATGCATGCCTGATAAGTCGACTTACGCTATATTGATCGAGGAGTTGCGAGAAACGTCAATGGAAGCTGAGGTAGATAAGGTTGTTTCAATGGCCATGGCAAGTGGAGGAATTGATAGTGATTCATGGGACTACTTCTTAAACAAGCTTGTTGGCAATCTGGGTAGAGGGACGGATGCTCTTGATAGGTTGTTAGTAGAGAAGGCCGAGCAGAGACCTGCCTTGTGAACTTCAGATATGCGAAGGTATCTCTGTTTCCTGCATTGCGTTTTGACATCTCCGTGTAAAAGAATTAGCAGCATCAAGACATACGAGTTTCCCTCTAGATGGATGACTGGGCAACGACACAACAAAATCTACCCTATTCGATAGTCAGTACGAAAGCAGCCATTAATGGAAAAAAGAGAAGAAATATACAGTTGATGAGATGCCACAAGAATCAAGAGGATCCAATTGTTATTCACATAAGAAAACAATCACATGTTTCATGCCATGTGATTTGATTATGTCCCTTTTAAGTGTGGAAATATTACAGGTTTGATTAGCCCACAGTTCAATTTGAATGTTCCAAGTTCAAGTATGAAAACACCAAGCATGCTTTGACTGCCAATAAGGCGATAACCAAAAACATTGATTGTAGCCAGGGCCAGCAGAATCCGAACGAATCTGAAAATTTGAAAAATTGATCTTTTTTGGTCTCTGCAGGATTTTTGTTCATTATGAATGTCGATCTAACTCAGTGCTAACATTAGAAAACGTTAGGAAGTGAAAATCATGCCATTCGACAAATACATTTTCTCCAATAAATGTAAGAATTTTGTGATCTCAACAACCATTAATGATCAAGCATTTGTATTCTTTGCCAGTCAACATGACCCTTTCATTTGAAATCGGCGTATAATAGTAAAGATGCTTTTCTTTTTCCTTAATCGAGTTTAATTATTTCATTGAAGAGGACAACAGTCGTAATTTTTTCGTGATTCACTGTCTACCTCATAGTAGTAAGAAAAATCAAACTTGTAATATTAATATGATTGAAGACGTCAACATTATCATGTCAGTAAGTTCGTTAACGCAAGCTATTTGAACCCAGTCAAGTCATTACATGGAATGGTGTCGTTAAATTGGACATGATGATAGTTCGAGAGCATTAGCCTGGTGGTTGGCACCAGATGGACACACCAAGTGACAGCTGGCCCATAGGCATCGACAGTGAGTGGAAGGGCACGTGGTGGTAATCGGCGATACGAGCGCGAAGCGACCAGTTGAACATTCAAACTTGACCCTTTCAAATGTTCATCGTGCTTGACAAGATATTTAATATTAACTTTTTGGCCATCCGGTTTTGAATTTTATTTTCTAATAACTAATTATAAAGATTCAATAGATGGGAGGACGACAAAAACCCTGTTGTTTGTTATCATCCTACCAATAATAACACATACTAATATTTTTTTTCATTCTTTTTTAATACATTACATATACTTACATGCACGTTAGAATTCAATATTTCTTCTCACCATTTTTTAATTATGGAAAGAATTTATAATTAATGAATTTTAATAATTCCATTTCAAATATATTTCATAGTTTTTGAAGCGATTCAATGTAAAGCAACCAGCACAAATTTCTTATTGTGAGGCTAATGAAAAATTGTTTGTCTCGAAATTATTTTGGAGAAAAATTAACAAAAAAATATAGCTTTAAAGTCAAACTAGAAGACCGAAATTCTTTGAAATAGAGAAAAAGGAGGAAAAAAAAATAAAAAGAAAAGAAGTCTTGGTCTTAAATGGGGAGAAATGCAGGTGAAATGATTTTTGAGACCATTTCGATCAAAGAAAATATATAAAATACACTAAAGGAAAAGAAAATGAATACTCTATTTGTGCCCTCCGCACATATACTATATTTTACTGTATATTATTAATTATTTTATTTTTTTTGAAAGGATTAATTATTTTTATTTATATAATAACGTAATTGCAGGTTTGATATTTTATTTATAAATTTTACTTTTATTTCGGGTCCTTTTAGCACGGCTGCTCCATCGCGTATTTTCCCGCAAAATCTTTGCGCAATTTCCCGGAAAAGTTCCGCAAAAAACCAGTGGTTCTTTGCAACTTCACGACCAGTTAATCTCCCATCAGGTCGGTCTCTCTTTCTCTTTGATTATTGGAAGTTTGGTTTCACTGTGATTCAACGTTTTGAGTGCTTGTTGACTATTTTTTTTTTTTTTGGTCTTGCTTTACTTTGATTTTTGTTTTGCGTTCTATTTTCCTTGAATTGCATTTCGAGCTTTAAATTGAGGGACGAATCCAGCACTGAGATTTATCTTCATTTGTTTCCGTTTAATTTTGATTGAGATAGACATGTATGTTTATGCTCCGAAGTTGGTGATGAGTCTGTTAATTCTTGTTTGGTCGCTGATAAAATGTAGGAAAAGCAGTAATTATGCAGATACTAGAGAACTTAGATTTCTGGTTGTTGGTGGCCGGAGAAAGCAAACATACTTCAAATACCGGCACAATAATTGCGTGCAATCAAAGTTTATCCATACATTTTCTAGAGGGAAAAACTATGAAGTGTGTCGTAAAACACTTTTTCGATAACTGAAACTCATCTGCACGAACCTCAAAAAATTGATTAGGTGCTTAGTGGAAGCTTAAACACTAACTACATGAACGTCTGTTATTCAGTCTTTTCCCCACGTTTTTGGCAACCAAACAGAACTTTAACGTGTGATTGTTATTTTCTTCTTTACTTTTTATGGAATGTTTAGCAAATAAAGCAGGCTTAGTACCATTTGAATATTAACTATTTTGGTCACATCACATTGTTGACTATATTATCAATTTAGGATTTAAAAGTTTTACGTGGATGTTTCTTCTCAGATACTTATTTAAAAATGGAAATGCTTTTTTGTGGAGTAAACCTGGAGGATTGATATTGCCATGAAACCTGACCTATTTCGAAGTTTCCAGACGGTTGTCTCACAACCGTGTTTGTATCACATGGACCTAGAAGGTTTTACTTTTTAGCTTTTGTTGGGAGTTACAAGATGTCATTAGATGTGATTACTAGTGCTTCATCTCTTCCGGTTTCAGAATTCCTTACCCAGATTGTAGAGGGCATGATTGAGATTGCATATGCTGCCAATAATGTACTGATTAAGAAGGACAGCTTTAAAGAACTTGCCATCTACTTGGAAAGGATTGTACCTATTTTAAATGAATTAAACAAGAAAGAGCTGGGTCATTCTGAGAGCTTAAACAATGCACTCGAGATTCTCAATCGTGAAGTGAAAACTGCAAAGCAGCTAACCGTGGAATGTACTAAAAGAAATAAAGTATATCTCCTAATGAATTGTCGTACTATAGTTAAGCACTTAGAGGACACCACTAAGGAAATCAGCAGGGCTTTAGATCTCCTTCCTTTGGCTTCTCTAGATCTTTCATCTGGTATAATTGAAGAGATTGCAAAACTCCGCGATAGCATGCAGAGAGCTGAGTTCAAGGCCGCTATAGCAGAAGAAGAGATATTGGAAAAAATTGAGTCAGGAATACAGGAGAGGAAGGTTGATCGCTCTTATGCAAATAACTTACTGGCTTCCATAGCTGAGGCAGTTGGTATCTCAACTGAGAGGGCTGCATTAAAGAAAGAATTTGAGGAATTCAAGAGTGAGATTGAAAATGCCCAGCTAAGGAAGGATCAAGCTGAAGCTATACAAATGGCTCAGATAATTGCTTTGCTAGAAAGGGCGGATGCTGCTTCTTCTCCTAGAGAAAAGGAGATGAAGTATTTCACAAAGCGGAAGTCTTTGGGTAGTCAACCGTTGGAACCTCTCCAATCATTCTATTGCCCAATTACTCGTGACGTTATGGTGGATCCTGTGGAGACCTCTTCAGGACAAACATTTGAGCGAAGTGCAATAGAAAAATGGCTTGCAGATGGGAACAAAATGTGTCCTCTTACCATGACTCCTCTGAACTCATCTGTTTTACGGCCTAATAAAACTCTGAGGCAATCAATAGAAGAATGGAAGGATAGGAACACAATGATTACAATTGCTTCCATGAAATCAAAACTCATGTCTGAAGAAGAGGAAGTGCTTTGTTGCCTGGAACAGTTACAGGATCTCTGTGAACAAAGAGACCAGCATCGGGAATGGGTGATATTGGAGAATTATATACCAATCCTTATTCAACTTCTTGGTAATAGAAATCGTGAAATAAGGAATCATGCTCTAGTCATTCTTTGCATTCTGGCAAAAGATAGTGATCATGCCAAGGTACTCTTGACTTTTACTTGATACTTCTTAGTGTATTCAAATTTTTTTTTCTAACAAAGAATGGCAATTGCCTGGAATCATGGTGAAGCTGGGGTCTTTTCTTTTTTTCTTTCCCCTAAATATTGTGAAATGCAGCTGCATTTTGCATATGTTCAAGTTCAACTATATGAAATGGATTTAGATAATGAAAATATATTTTCTCAAGGCTTTATTGGGTAAACTGTGTATCAATTTGTTCATAGACACGCACAAGAAAAATAGTTTCAGCAATTATTGTTAGTGAATCTCTTTATGTAAATTTTAATATATTTTTTTTTTTTCCGTTTGATCTATGTGAATGTTTGCTGGGGTCGCTAATTTTTTTTTTTTTTTTTTTAAATTCTATTACCATCATTTTTACTTTTGATGGAGACTAAATGAAAAGGCAAATTACTGTCATTTTTTTTTGAATTAAATTCTGGAACACGTTTTATTACAATTATCCATCATATTGACTGTCATTTTTTTTCCTAATATCATTTAATTCTGTTTTCCATCCTATAGATAATCTGCATAAGCTGGATGGTTTATTTTCAATTTTAACTTTGACCAAAATTAAAAAATGTTGCAGGAAAGAATTGCAAATGTTGATAACGCAATTGAATTTATAGTTAGATCTCTTGGGCGTCGAATTGGGGAAAGGAAGTTAGCAGTGGCATTACTGTTGGAATTATCGAAATGCTCTGTTATAAAGGACGGTATTGGAAGGGTTCAGGGTTGCATTCTCCTATTGGCGACTATGTCAAGCAGTGATGACAGTCAAGCTTCTGCAGACGCAGAACAGATATTGGAGAATCTCTCCTTCTCTGATGAGAACGTCATCCAAATGGCAAAGGCGAATTACTTCAAACATTTACTGCAGCGTCTATCTTCAGGTGATTTTCCAGCATGTGACTACCTATTTTAGCTTCTTTGATGAATTTCATGCTGATTTAGTTTATCATTAGAATTTTCTTTTCTGGATATAAATGGTATTCAATCAGTCTGAAGTAGTTTCAATTCTTAGTAAACTAAGCAGCAATTGTCTAGTGAAGTAATCGAATTGAATTATTCTAGTTAGTTATGGTGAGACACGTGCAGCTCTCGCAAATGGTAATGTGTTTTACTAGTCTAATGATAAACTCTGGGTATCAAAGCAACATGTAACAAGATAATGTGTTACAACCTACTGCAATGCTATAAATCTCTTCAGTTGTCCAACAGAGTGCTTCAACAATTTAACCTGGGGTGTAAATTGGTTCTATCAACCACTTCAAATTGTAATTGCATCCATGTCACATGTTATAGAGTTGCAATCTTTGAGTAGGCATACTCATATTTTTAAAAGCACTTATCATTTGCTTTGTAGGGTCAGAAGATGTGAAAATGATCATGGCATCAACCTTAGCAGAGATGGAACTAACTGACCACAATAAAGCATCTTTATTTGAGGGAGGTGTGCTGGGTTCACTCCTTCACTTGGTCTTAGATGGTAATGCAGAGATGAAAAAGGTGGCCATCAGGGCTCTTCGGAACCTCTCAAGTTTACCAGCAAATGGTCTGCAGATGATCAGAGAAGGTGCAGTTCGCCCATTACTTGACCTTCTTTTCCGGCACATCTCATCTTCAGGTTTGCGTGAAGAAGTGGCAGCCACGATTAAGCACCTGGCTGAATCGACAGTGTCTCAAGGATCCAGCTTGACACCAATTTCATTGTTAGAATCTGATGAAGATGCTTTGATGCTCTTCTCTTTGATAAACTTGACAGGTCCTGATGTGCAACAAAACATTCTCGGGATCTTCTACGCCTTGTGCCAGTCCCCGTCAGCATCAAAAATCAAGACTAAATTGACTGAGGTATACAAGAGCTTGCACATGCTATGTTATCCATCTATAGGAAGTTAACCGATGCCTGTTCTCGTGTATAAAAACAGAAAATTGATGTTCTGCTCAACTGATAATTTACGTATGCCATTAATACGAAGGTTGTATAAGCTACAATAATACATGCCATAGGAATGTTCTAAAAATGTGAAAAAAGAATGTTTCGCTCAAGACATAGACTGACATGAAATATCTAAAATCAATATAGCATGTTGATAATGTTGGTGGCTTGAGATGATTCGGGATTTGCTAGTCTAATAAAACTCAACTTGAGAGAAGCAATGTTGTGTAGGTCATTGAGATTCTGATCCTATTTGAAGATTTCAAGGATTAGTAATGCGAAGTCATTCAACTATTAGAAAGTGAAATTTTGAGAAATAATGCCAATATAAGACCATATTCTTTAAGCTTGGACCACATCTGGCAAATTGTTTGCTGTAACTACATGGCAAATTACTTCTCTGCTTCTCAGCCCTGATGCTAATCTTTTGGAAATATTGAATGTAGGAATTCCTTGTTGTTTCTTATTTTAGGGAAAAGATCTTTTGTCCTCGTGTAATTGTCTTGATTCTGCCACTTCATCTGTCTCTAGATTTTGAATTTTCTGCATAAATTTGTTAGATATCATCATATGGATGCTAACTTGTTTAATCATGACCAGTGCTCAGCTGTGCAAGTTTTGGTCCAGTTGTGCGGGCATGAAAATCAAAATGTACGAGTAAATGCTGTTAAGCTTTTCCATTGCTTGGTAGAAGATGGTGATGAAGCCATCATCCTGGAGCATGTAGGTCAGGATTGCCTTAAGACCTTGCTTAGGATCATCCAATCTTCTAATGATATGGAAGAGATTGCTTCAGCAATCGGCATCATCGCTGACCTCCCAGAAAATCCCCAGATTACCCAGTGGCTTCTTGATGCAGGGGCACTTCCAGTAATTGTCAGATTTCTTCCCAATAGCAAGCAGAATGATCCCCATAAGAAACAATTAGTCGAAAATGCTGTTGGAGCCATGTGCCGCTTCACTGTCCCATCGAACTTGGAATGGCAAAAGAAAGCTGCAGAAGCTGGCATTATTCCTCTACTAGTCCAGCTGCTAGACTCTGGAACTACCTTGACAAAGAAAAATGCTGCTATTTCTCTTACTCATCTTTCAAAGAGTTCTCTGAAATTGAGTCGCACAGTACCAAAACGTAAGGGGTTCTGGTGTTTCTCTGTTCCACCAGAAACTGGCTGCAGGATTCATGGGGGAGTTTGTGCTATTGAATCATCATTTTGTCTTGTGGAGGCTGATGCAGTAAGACCTCTTGTGAGGGTTCTTGAAGATCCAGATCCTGAGGCGTGTGAGGCTTCTTTAGATGCACTACTGACTCTAATAGAAGCTGAAAGACTTCAAAGTGGCAGCAAGGTGCTTGCAGAAGCAAATGCTATACCACCAATAATAAAATTTCTTAGTTCTTCTTCTCCCACATTGCAGGAGAAGGCTCTAAATGCTTTAGAGAGGATATTCCGACTGCCAGAGTTCAAACTGAAGTATGGGTCCTCTGCTCAATTGCCTTTAGTTGACTTAACTCAGAGGGGAAACAGCAGCATGAAGTCTCTGTCAGCCAGAATACTTGCTCACTTGAATGTCCTTCACGATCAGTCTTCTTACTTTTAAAAGAAATGCAATAGCTCTGATGCTTTTATTTAGTCTCAAGGGACAGTGGCAGCTTGGTTATTCAAAAGATGGTTATCAGTTCAAGGACACTGTTTTGTGGATTTACACTTGCATTGACAAGGTAACGGCCATGCACGATTCTCATCTTAATGCTTTATGTCTGCGATAATGGTCAAACAGGTGCAAGGTCATTATGACCAAGAATGAGAATAAACATTCGTAACACAAGGGCAGAGCTGCAATATTGCACTCTGCCTCTTCTCCTAGAGAAAGCTGAAGAGTGGAGTCACCGGAGTTGAAGCTTTTTCTATCTTTGTTGCTGTAAAGAGAACTTTGCTAGAGAGAAGGGATTGTTGAAGTGGCTCATATTTAAATGCCACAGAAATTGCTCTGTACAGTTGTAGTCCAATCCGCTATTCATTTGACTAGGAGGAAAGAACAAAATCAGCGCGAATCACTATTATCAGACTAGGCATCCACACTTGGATTATATATGTTTTTTTTTTTTTTTTTTTTTTTTTTTTTTTTTTTTTTTTTATCTAGACTAGGCCATGCCCCCCACACTTGGATTATATATAGTTTTTATTTTTTTTTTTTTTTTTTTTTTTTTTTTTTTTTTTTAATGTATAGAATTGGTATTCTTTGGGTCCTATTCTTGAGAGCTTTCTGTACTTTCATGTGAATTAGACCTAAACGGAAGTGCAACATTTAGCAATGAAGTCAGATATATATTGTGTGTATATGGTATTATACATACGTATACCGATCTGGAGGTTTTTAAATTCCTTCTGGATTGTAGAAGTGTAAATTTTTAGTTTTCTTCCAACAAAGTGCAGTTCAAATGGAAAATAGAATTTGTGTCTTGTATTTTTCACTCTTTTACAGGATTTTTTTTTTTTTTTTTTTTTTTTTTTTTTTTTTTTTTTTTAATGTTAGAATTGTATTCTTTGGTCCTATTCTTGAAGCTTCTGTTACTTTCATGTGTTAGACTAAACGGAGTGCAACATTTAGCAATGAAGTCAGATATATATGTGTGTATATGTATATACATAACGGTATAATCTGGAGGTTTAATTCCTTTGGATTGTAGAGTGTAAAATTTTTAGTTCTTCCAGCAAAGTGCAGTTCATGAAATAGAATTTGTGTTTGTATTTTCACTCTTACAGGATTAAGGTTGTTTACTATCCTCGATGATTAAGAATATATATGTTTAATATTATAGGAATTATACAGGATTGGTTGATGGATGGTAAGATAATATGCACAAGTTTGATTAAACAAACTCTTCATTTAGACGAAGTAATTAGCTTGTTTAACTTTGGTTTAATTGAGTGGCTCTTTCGCCTGAACTCTTGGAAAAATCCATCTCATAACATAACCATTCACGTTTGAACTTGCTAATATATAGATTGACGCTGACGCTGAAGGTCGTGTAATGCCACAAAATACCAGTCTGATATGAACCGATTAAAACAAATTCACGCCTTTACCATTCGAAATGGTATAGACCACACTAAAACTCTCATAGTAGAAGCACTAAAAATCCCAAACATCTCTTACGCCCACAACCTTTTCAACCTTATTCCCAGCCCAACTGCCTTTCTCTACAACAAGCTCATTCAAGCCTACTCCTTTCAAAGCCAACCCTACCGATGCCTCTCTCTTTACTCCCAAATGCGCTTCAAAAACTGCCTTCCCAACGAGCACACCTTCACATTCCTCTTCGCTGCTTGTATCTGCTTTTCCTCCGACCTCCATGGCCAAATCCTTCACACCCATTTGTTAAAATCCGGTTTTAATTTTGATATCTTTGCCCTGACAGCTTTAGTTGACATGTACGCTAAGTTGGGCAAGTTACGGTCGGCCCGCCATGTGTTCGACGAAATAACTTTTAAAGATATACCCACTTGGAATGCGTTAATTGCAGGTTATTCAAGGTGTGGGAATATGGAGGAAGCTTTAGATTTGTTTAGACGGATGCCTTATAAGAATGTGGTTTCATGGACCGCAATGATATCTGGATACTCGCAGAATGGAGAGTATGCTAAGGCGTTAGAAATGTTTCTGAATATGGAGAAGGAGAAAGGTTTAGCGCCAAATGAAGTAACTATTGCAAGTGTGCTTCCAGCATGTGCAAATCTGGGGGCATTGGAAGTAGGAGAGAGGATTGAAGCGTATGCCAGAAAAAATGGACTATTAAGTAATATGTATGTCAGCAATGCCTTATTGGACATGTATGCAAGGTGTGGTAAAATCGATGTGGCCAGGCAAGTGTTTGACGAGATTATTGGCAAGAGGAAAAATTTGTGCTCTTGGAATTCAATGATCATGGGCTTGGCTATCCATGGAAGAAGTCATGATGCTCTGCAACTTTATAACCAAATGATGGTAAGAGCTTTGTTCTTTATTAGCCCTCTTGTTTATTTTAGCGAATGTCTTGATTCTGAAGCAAATTTTTGTCCTAACATTTTTTTGTATGGCATTCCCTTAATAATACAGAGAGAAGGAACTGCACCTGACGACGTCACATTTGTAGGACTTCTCTTAGCATGTACTCATGGAGGTATGGTTGTAAAAGGGCGGCAACTTTTTCAATCAATGGAAAGAAAGTTCAGGATTTCACCTAAATTGGAACACTATGGCTGCATGGTTGACCTCTTAGGGCGTGCTGGGGAACTGCAGGAAGCTTATGAAATTATAAAGAGTATGCCAATGAGACCAGATTCTGTAATATGGGGAGCATTACTAGGTGCTTGCAGTTTTCATAAAAATGTTGAACTAGCAGAAATAGCTGCAGAGTCTCTCTTTGAACTAGAGCCGTGGAATCCAGGAAACTATGTGATCCTTTCCAATATTTATGCAACAGCAGGCCGATGGGATGGAGTCGCAATGCTTAGAAAGCTGATGAAGGGTGGCCATATTACTAAAGCAGCAGGATATAGTTTTATTGAAGAAGAAGGTGAAATTCAAAAGTTCATTGTGGGAGATGTATCACACCCGAGGTGTGAGGAAATTTATAGGTTATTGAATGAATTTTCAGCTACCATGAAGCTACAAAGTGTAGCTAATTTTGAATCTGAACTTCAAGAACTATGTTTAATAGAGTAGACTTGATTAATTGTTTTCATTAACATTGTCAGCATAATGTGATGAAATGAAATGTATTTTAGCACATTCATTACATTAAAAATGTGATATCAGAAATGTGTTTAATTATATTACATAACATTACATTAGGGCTCACCAAATGTTGAGATTTTTTTACTATTATTGATGACTGAAAATCATTTACAGATAAGTATGGTCTTTGTACTATTGGGCTCACCGCAATACGAACAGACCCAATAGCAAACACTAAATGGACTCGTCTCTATTTATATTCAGACAGCCCACAACAGAAACAATAAACCCAATTTCAATGCAAGTGTTTATAGTTAGACTATGAATTCCTAAGATTATGCTGTCTTCTTCTTAGTTCTGTATCTTCTACTCCTTCCCACATATTTAAGAATCTCATCAATGAGAATCACAGGAGCTGAAAACAAGATGACTAGAAACCACTCATTGAGACTCAGTGGGACAATACCAAACACATTTGCCAGGAATGGAAGGTAGAGTATGAGGAAATGGAGTCCAAATGAAACTGACATAGCAACTAAAAGCCAAGGATTCCTCCAAGGTGGCATTATGACCAAGCTATTGTCTTCAGAAAGTGCATTCAGGGAATTGAACATCTCGATTGCTACCAATACAGAGAGGGAAAGAGACATCGCCTTCACTTTACCAATGGAGAAATAGTCACAAGGATCTAAAAAGGTGATCATCTGTCCTCCACCAACCGAGTAGGGAGTCGCAGTGAAATTTGACCATTTTGAGCAGTCCCCCCAATTGCGAAGCTGAGATAGTTCAATGAGCGTATGCCCGTCACTCACCAGATTGATACCCAGAAAAGAAGCACGAGTGTACCACAAAATGAAGATTCCAACTGTTGCAATGCCTACATAAGAACCAATAACCTGTATGGCAAGAAAATATAAACAATGAAATCATAGATAAAAAACATAAAACAGCTCAACATTTTTCCAAAGTTAGAGTTGAAAATACCAAATAACGGAAGAGAACCCAAGAATTTATAAGGGGATCATTGCTTTTTCGAGGCGGTTTATGCATTATATCAACATCAGCAGGGTTAAAACCAAGAGCTGTTGCAGGCGGGCCATCAGTAACCAAATTCACCCATAAAAGCTGCACAGGTATCAGACACTCTGGTATTCCCAGTGCAGCTGTTAGAAATATGGATATCACCTCTCCAACATTAGATGATATCATGTACCTACAGATCGAGAGGAACGTACAAGGATTTATAGTAAGCTAGCACTCACAGGGAACTGATGATTCACAAAGGAATATATCATACCTGATAAAAGCTTTCATGTTGTTATAAATTGAGCGTCCCTCTGCAACTGCTGAAACAATGGTACTAAAATTATCATCAGCTAAAACCATATCTGAAGCTTCCTTGGCGACCTGCAAAAGGAGAAGATAGAATGTATTGCCATGAGTTCTGAAAAGTTTTACCCTTAAACAAAAATGAACTTCTTAGATTGGTAAAGTATGCTTCTGCCGAAAGCTCATAAGGTTTGTGTGAAACTTCTCAATCTGTAAGCTTTTCTGCATATATCAAAGCAATTCGCAGCATATGCATCATGCATGGGCACAGACACACAAGTGAAAGTAAAGAAGATTAGATGAACCATATATTCCCGAAAAATGGGGGAAAAAGGTTTAACTAGCTTACCTCAGTCCCTGTCATACCCATGGCAATTCCAATGTCAGCAAGTTTGAGAGCAGGTGCATCATTCACTCCATCTCCAGTCATAGCAACAATCTCACCCATCTCCTTCAGCATCCGTACAATTTCTTGTTTATCCCTGGGCTCAGCACGCGAGAACACCTTTCCTCCAGGTTTAGACAAAATTTCCATTTGCTGTGAAGGGGTGAGAGCCGTAAACTCTTTACCAGTAAAACTTCTTCCCCTGAGATCTTCGTCTTGATAAAATAACTTGATCTCTTTACAGATTGCTTCAGCGGTAGACTTGTTATCTCCTGTTATCACCATGACTCTAATACCAGCACCTCTACAATCCTCAATTGCTTTATGAATTTCATCACGTGGCGGGTCCTGCTCAATAGCCAAATCTTTTTAGCTATATATTCTGATGGTTAGTTAATTTATGTGAACCCGAAACTTTGAAACATGCACTCACCCTCAGACCAACAACCCCTACAAAAATTAAATCCTTTTCAATGGAGGAGTAGCAAGCTGGATCAAGCAACTTCTTGTGGGCAGGGTGATTATCTGCATAGTAGTCTGAAAATTCTCCCAGGTCATCCTTATATGCCAGTCCCAAGCACCGCAATCCTTTGGAGCTCATCTCCAAGAGTCTCGTAAGCAATAGTTGCCTACAAGTTTCATCAATGGGAACAAGCGATCCATCTGCAAGCTGCACCTGTGAACTACGCTCCAGTAAGCCCTCAACAGCTCCCTGCAAATTCAACAAGGAATGCTAGGAACTAAAACCACTACGATAAAAGCACTGACCAATGTATTCACCTCATTGCAATTCGTGTTTCTGGACAATGATAAAACAGGATAGAAGATAATAGATCAAGTCTTCTATTTTTTCTTTTCATATAATAAGGCTGATTTCATTAAAGCTCTAATTAATGAGGATCACCATTGATTATCACCTTGACAAGAAGTCGATTACTCCCATTGGGCTCCCTGACGATGACACTCATCGACTTCCTAATGCGATCAAACTCCAGCGTCGCAATCCTTTTTGATCTCTTTGTCCACCATTCACAACTTCCTACACTAAGAAAAAGTTAATGAGACGGAAGGCTGAACAAAACTTCCAGCCATTGTGGGGAAAACAAGAATCCAGGTTTCTTCTCACCTAATTTTACTGTATTGCTGTCAATCAAATAGTTTGCAACAAGTTCAGCATCACGAATTTTATTTCCTGCCTTGACATCAGGGACTCCCATCTTCTCAACCAAAACCTTGAGTGCTGCCTCAGTGGGCAAACCAGTGGCTCGGAACAGACGTCCATCACAAAAGATCCCAGCATCATTGCAAAGAGCACATATTTCTGCCATGGCTTGTAAATTAGCGTCCATATTGTAGCAAGTCCAATCAACAATACCCCCATCCTTAGGATCATAAGTCGTTCCCTCAACATGAAAAATTCTAGAAGAGGTAGTTTTCCCACCCAAAGTGAAGAATTCTGACACAGACATCTGGTTTGTGGTTAAAGTCCCAGTTTTATCTGAACAAATCACAGTTGTACATCCCAAGGTTTCCACACTTGGAAGTTTTCTAACAATTGCATTCTTTTGTGCCATTTTCCTGGTGCCTAGAGCTAGACAAGTTGTGATTACTGCAGGAAGACCTTCAGGAATTGCAGCTACAGCTAGGGCAACAGCAATCTTGAAATAGTAAGTGCATTTCTCAAAAGAAAATCGGATATTTACAGGGTATCCATTCACAACATCCCATGAGAGGAAATTTTTGTAATTTATGATCCAAACAATAATGCAGACGAGCCCAATTGCAGTTGTAAGCCTGCCCCCAAATTCATCCAGCTTCTTCTTCAAAGGCGTATCACTTTCTTCTAAAGAAGCTTCATGTATTTGCTTCTGTATCTTTCCAATCTCAGTGTTCATCCCAGTGCTTATAACAATACAAACACAGATCCCATTCACAACAGTTGTGCCTGCAAAAACCATGTTTTCCTTGGCCTGCAATTCACAGTCGTCTATGAATATAAGAGAAGTGCCTTTCAAAACAGGCATAGCCTCCCCAGTCAATGAGCTCTGCTCAACCCTCAATGTTGATGTCTTTAGAGCTGCAACTCTCATGTCAGCAGGCACTTTATCCCCAGCTCGTAATTCCACAATATCTCCTGGTACAAGCTCCCGTGCTGGCAAATTCGGTACCCAATACCCATCCCTTAGAACCTTTCCGAATTCACATTGCATCTCCTTCAGTGCTTCAAGTGCTGTTTCAGCATTACTCTCTTGCCACACCCCAACAATGGCATTGAGGACTAAAATCAACACTATCACAAATGGTTCCACATAAGCTTCACATCCAGATTCCTCCCCAGTTTCACTTCCATGCAAGTAAGCTAAAATAAATGATATAATAGCCGCAACCAGCAGAATTTTCACAAGCATATCATCGAATTGTTCCAGTAAAAGACGCCACAAGGGCTTACCCTTTTCTTTTGCGAGTTCATTCCATCCATATCTCTCACGCCGCTTCTCAACATCATATGAACTTAAACCCTTATCCGGCTTCACATTGTACTGTTTCGAACATTGCTCAACAGACCATGACCATGCAGGGAACGGTATTTCTTCCATTGCAGTCAATTTGGAGTTCAAAATTCCACTCTAAACAGAAGATTTGGGTGAATCTCTTTCCAAATTATATCAGGAACCTATACGATAGTTAATTCACAGTCAACATGTGGGATGAAATTAAATAGAAGTAACAGAAAGCATGGATTTTTAGTTTTTTACGGTTTCTAATGACTCATAACACTGCTTACAGTAAATAGAAATACTCTTTTCTTAAAAGAAAAAAAAAAATTCTCTTAGAAAACAAATAATCCCAATTATTTCCAGAGGACTTTTATCTGTTTCTTCATGACCACTATAATTAATGTCGTAAGTCGTAACCAGAGGACAGACACAGAAAATGACAGAGAGAAGTTGATGAAAGTAACCGCATATCTCAGGTTTCAACCCACTACTGATAAGTGTGATATAACCTTAAAAAACCGACTCACAAAAATAGGATTAATTCTCATAATACAGCCCAACTAACCAAAACCAGATGAGAAAAAACCAGACGAGAACAAACAATTATACAGTTCGCATTAATTAAACCAAAGAGAAACTGAAACATCCTACAACAACCATAATCTTATCCATTGAAAGAAAAAATCATAACAGGAAGTCAGAACAAAATCCCATACTTACATTGGCATGAGAGGAAATAAAGTGGAAAAAGAGGACAGACACAGAAAATGACAGAGAGAAGTTGATGAAAGTAACCGCATATCTCAGGTTTCAACCCACTACTGATAAGTGTGATATAACCTTAAAAAACCGACTCACAAAAATAGGATTAATTCTCATAATACAGCCCAACTAACCAAAACCAGATGAGAAAAAACCAGACGAGAACAAACAATTATACAGTTCGCATTAATTAAACCAAAGAGAAACTGAAACATCCTACAACAACCATAATCTTATCCATTGAAAGAAAAAATCATAACAGGAAGTCAGAACAAAATCCCATACTTACATTGGCATGAGAGGAAATAAAGTGGAAAAAAAGTGAGCTTCTGAAAAGAAGTAGAAAATACTAATAGGCAACAAAGTTGGCTTGGAGACAAAGCAAACCCCAAAGAAAATTCTTTAGTTCTGTGGGAAAATAAAAAGCAAATCTTCTAAAATCAAGAAAAGAAGTTAAAGAATTGGATTTGGACTGGTCAGTCTTTGATCTTGTATGGCTCTGCTTTTTCTGAAGAAGCATGGCGTTGGTGCTTTTATTTTGGAATTTTTTAGATATCAAATTTCCGTCAGACGGTTAAAATTTTCAAATTTTGGACTTTTATTTACTAAAACACCCTGCGTATGGCGGATTACTTTTATGCCCTTGAGGCTTTGATATTTTTGCCTTACTTGTTTTTGACCGTACGCTCAACCAGAATGCATGAGTCATGAACTTGTTGTGCGTGGGACATTGTCTCGTACGCACAACAGCATAATAATACTGCTACCGAGATTATTTCCAAAAGTAATATATTTTCAGAATTACATTTTACCATAGTAATTTTTTTTATACGTGTAAAATACTTGAAATGAGATGAAAATAGTAGTAGTATAAAACAAATAAAAAGATAAATTTATCAATTAATTAATTAATTAATTATAATTAGAAATTCAAAAGGATGGATGGAGAGCACTCATGGACATACGCATTTTATATTATAAAAAGTGAAAGGAAAATGAAAATGTGTCTTTTGGCCCTGGAGGAGATATAATCATAAACAAAAACTGTTGGAATTGTTTAAACTTTAAACATAAAACGCATATTCCTCGAAGTTTCTCAAGTTACTGTCGGATGCCACTGGGCCTTCAGTTTGTTATCGCTTACTTATATATATATATATATATATATATGTGTGTGTGCGCCACTGGGCCTTCTAATTAATTATTAATTATAATACTCCTGGAAGAAAACTAATTTGGTGAGTAATTTCAGCAGAGCAACCTCATTTTAGAATTTATAATTGCTAAATTCTCTACTCGATCTTACAAAGAAGGCGGGCATTAATTAGCTAAGAGTAAAAGTAATACTATGAAATCATAAAAATAAGCAGTTGTAATAGTTTTGATAATTGTTTAAACAGAAAAGACACATTCCTGGAAGTTTCCAAATTACCAAATTCCCACTCTGTCAGATGTCATTAAGGCCTTCCTTTCTTTCGCTATTGCTTGCTTTGTTCGTTACGCACTTGCTTCTGCATTGACTTTAATTTTAATTATAATTAAAAAAAAGTAGTAGTATAAAATAAAGATTAGCGGCCACCAACTTTCCAGCTCCGCATGACTTTGTTCCTGGCTAGTGTTAATTTTCATTTTTTAAATATTGAAAAATGGAATGATAAAAATAATTAAATAATGAAACCAATAAATTAAGGAAAAATAAATGTTTAGTCCCTGAGATTTTATAAAATTATTCAATTCATACCTGTATTTTCATATATTATATATTTAATTTTCAAAATTTGATTCCGTCCAAAATCTGACCTTTTTCCGTTGAACAGGTATAAAAAGTCAAAAACACCAAAAAGCTAAAAGACAAAACTCTATAATTATGAGTCTACTTTACAGATTGAAATTCTATCTCTCGACTAATATTACTTACTGTGAAACATTATCTCCACCAACAACAAAAATAAAACAGGTAAAACCACATCAACAAAGAGAGATTGAGCACAGTTGCCTTTTCTTTATTTTGAGACTTTATTTCAGCAAATCTTGTTCTCTTAATATTCCTCAAACTCGCCTCATTCTCCACTAAGAAGAGCAACAACAACCCAAGAATGCTATTACCCACCATCGCCACCACCTCCGGCACGGCATAGAATGTCTCCGTTTTCCACATCTTTAGCATCAAATCTTAGAGAATCGAGGAAGATTAATAGGAAAAGACGAAGAGGAAATGAGGTGAAAATAGAAAAGCAGCTCATCAATCAAGAATATAAAATATGAAAAAAGAAAGTCCTCCTTTTTGCGGTCTAGTCATTACCCATGCCTTCAGTGGCCCTTACAATTGAGTGGTTACCGGATTGAAGAGAATTACTACAACTAGGGATGATTCTCGGTGCTCAGGCCTTTGAAAATGAGCTTAATTATCTCAGACTTGCCCAAGTTTAGCTTCTCCTTGATGACGCCGAGAACGATGCTTTCCACTATGATGATGATCGCTTTAATTTTTTGGAGGATCACAGTTTTGTTCACTGTGTGCCTGTTCTTCTTCTTTATCTCTTCTTTTTTTTTTTTTTTTTTTTTTTTCTTTAATCTCTTCTTTTTTTTTTTTTTTTTTTTTTATTATTTGTCTTCTTTCAATTTTTTCGTCCTTTCTTGAAAAGCCTAAATCCTTAGAATCATGTGATTGCCCCACCAATAGACACCAACGCTTCTCAGATCGGTTAAGTGTTTTTTTTTTTTTTTTTTTTTTTTATATTTGTCTTTCAATTTTTTCTCCTTTCTTGAAAAGCCTAATCCTTAGAATCATGGTGATTGCCCCACCATAGACACCAAGCTTCTCAGATCGTTAAGTGAGAGAACAAATATCGAAGGGAAAAAAAAAAAAAAGGAGAATAAAAATTTAATCCTTATAAACGGTAATTTTGTACTTTGATCTCATTAGGGGTAGCATTTGCCATTTAAAAATATATCTCTCTACTCTCTTCTGCCTTTTAACGGGAAAAAGCGCATTTGGACGAAATGATTATTTCACCTGATGCAATCAAATTTGGGAACAAGTTGAATAATTTTATAAAACTTCATGGACGAAAAAAATATTTTCCCATAAATTAAAGAAATGGTAAGACCAGATTGTTTCCTATCTATAATCGCGGTGGTATATAATACTCCACAACAATAATGATATATTTGGTTGACTAACAAAAGAAAATAAAAAAATAATGCTCCATTTGCTAACCTTTGATTGCATATTTGGTTCTGTTGCTTGAAAAAGACGTCGCAAAACAATCCTTTTGAGTGAAAGCTGGCCTTTGCTTGCTCTATGATTATGAATTGTAATAATAATATTATTTCTTTTCCCTTTACTGTATGCATTCCTACGCTGCATAATTCAATATATGTATATATAAATAATTGGAACTTATAATTTTGAGGGTGTCCCTTACTTGGAAGTTAATTAAAGTTCACTTATTTTTTTCAAATACAGTTGCCAAACCTGCCATCGGCGGGCCATTCTATAATTCCATCAACTTCTGCAAGAAAGAAAGCTTTTCTTGCTTGCAGGACGCGTTTTATTATTATTTTTTTAAATAGAAGAATATGATACAATTGCGCGTCAAAACTCGTAATTCCAAAACTAGTCGATTCAATTTGAAAGCAAATATTTGGCTCCTCTCATAATTGAAAAGTACTTTTTGTTCATTGGTTGTTCAGGCATTCCTAAATTACAAGGTAAAATGTATATCATTCTGGTTCTGCGAAATCACCCTTCTGTGGATTCTGGGCAAAACTGAAAAAAAAAAAAGAATATGAAGTTGAAGTGTTGAACACTTGACCATACCTATATTTAACAATCGCGGTGTTACACTTCAGATATAATTTGGGCTAGTTTCAAGGAGGAATTCACGAATCATGTGAGTTGATTTGTCAAAAAAAAAAAAAAAAGAAAAAAAAACCACATGATGATATTTTTCAAATATCAGTGGCCACAAAAACAAAGAAAGGGTTTCAGTTTCAAAGAGGAGAAAAATCTTCATCCAACATAAAAAAAAAAGTCCCTATTCGTTTGACGGACAAGGAAAATTTTTTGTCCGATAAACTTTTTATCTGTTTTCTGAAATTCCAAATTTCTAATGTCATTTCTGCAGATACCTAAACGACTCCACTTTCTTTCTTCTTTCTTCTTTTTTCCACAATGGCCCAATCTACATGCCCATTGGGCCCGTGCAGCGTTGTTGAATTGCGTATGAGCCTACATTTATCTGTCTTCTCAAATTTCCAACTTTTGATTGTGCGAAACCAAAACCATTCCACAAATAGCCCAATCCACAAGCTTTTTGGGCCCGTTTCAAAAGTCAATATTCTCAAAGTAATCCCAGGTCCAAGCAGCGTTGTTGAGTTACGAATCAGCCTATCCTCTACTTTGGAAAATAACCTCTAAAGGAATCCAACGCTCCAGATCCCGCAAGGCAAAATAAAGTCGTAATCGTACGCTTATAGGGGGTACCGGAGACAAACTAAGGGCTTAGTTTGGCTATATAAAAGGAATAATATCCTTTTGCTCAGAAAATTCTCAATTTCATCTAGGGTTTCTGCATTGTCAAAATCAACCGTGTAAGATATCGCTATTGAGTTCTTTTCCTCTATCTGTATGAATGACCAGAAAGTAAATCCTCTATTTATTTATTGACATATGGTTTTGATTTGATTTTGGTTATTTTTGGCCTTTTTAGGTTTTAGAGGAGGCAATCGATGGCGCTGCGGCCTGTGTTCGTCGGAAATTTTGAGTATGATACTCGCCAGTCTGACTTGGAACGTCTCTTCAGCAAGTACGGAAGGGTGGATCGAGTGGACATGAAATCTGGTATACTTAACTTTTTATTATTTGTTTGGTCATGAGATACCCCAGTCATCCTGTCCTGAACTAGTATTGTTTTACACGAGTTGATAGTATTGAACTGAAAGTATTATTATTATTCTTTTTCTGCAATGCTTCATATTTATTCAATCATGTTGGTTATGTAGGTTTATTTAAATGTTAATTAACAATTCATTGGAATTATCATTTGAACGTGTTTGTGTGGTTCGATATAATACAGTTATCAGTAGATTGGTGGTGTATCTTCGGGTAAAACTTAGTTGATAGTTCATACTTAATATAAAAATGTGACTATGGATTGTGACTATGGTTTTGTCGTTTGACGGCTCTTATGTCTCTGGTTAAGTCGTTTCTCCATGTATTGCGTATACTGGTTACCATGTCACTATTTATCTATTTATCATGGTTTGTGTATTTACTTTACTGATAAGCTTTTTAAATTTTAACGCGGATTTTTTATTTGAAAAATGAAGTATTTTGATTATTTGTGGGCATTTTGAACTCCAATATACCTCAGGATCATAATTAAATGACGAAGTATTTTGAGCTCTTCAAGAGATTGTTATTTTTTTTTCAACTGGCTCGGACTTTCTTGACTAGATAAGAATTCATGTGCTAAGAATTAAGAATGAATTTGTGGGATTCAGATATACACTGCTTGTAGTGGTGACTATATCTGATTACAATGTCCAGGAAGAAATACAATGGCAGCTGCAAAATTGCCATTTCTCTGGAGAACACCTCCATATTAAGTGTTTGTTTTGACGCAGGAACTCCTAAGGAAAATTGAGCTTCCATCTGGGCTCGCCATCTTCTCTGCAAAACATTTGTATTGGCTTGGAAAATTTCTTGCTTGCCTGCTCTCCTTCCACTCACAGATGGATTCATCCTGCATTTTCTTCACTCGACTATCAGTCACTTACCCACCAAACCGCCCAAAGTTGCCATTTCTCAAGAATGGTTGTGGCGGGATCAATCACTTTTTTATGCCATGTCAACCACCACTGATAATAGGAGGAACAATGAAATCTGTCTTGCCATGTCTTCCATTTCTGAACTTGTGCTGTCTGAATGGCGAAGCATGCTAAGCAATGACATCTCAGACCTGAAACTTTGGATTTAAAACTCTAATATGCCAACATGTTGATTTAGTTCATCATGCAACGCTTCTACATCCTAATGTGCATCAGCCCATCAAGTATATGCAGGTGTTGTATAATTTTAAGTTCTTACTAGGAAAAGAAATCATGATTTGGCTGATGTACCCAAGTTGAGTGGATATGCCTCCAAGGTTATGCGTAATCAATTCCATCTCTAATTTTAGTTGCATTCTTGCAGGTTTTGCTTTTGTTTATTTTGAGGATGAACGTGATGCTGCAGGTGCTATACGGGGACTTGACAATACACCATTCGGTTATGATAGGCGCAGGCTGTCAGTGGAATGGGCTAGGGTATGTGGTTGCTTTTTCTTTGCAATACAACCTTTTCTGATCTAGTGCCCTTCTACTCATGCTCTTTAAGTTGTAATTTTTGTTTTTGATGGTGGTTTTGAACGGCTAAAGATTGTTATTATGATTACTTTTTTTAGGGAGAACGGGGTCGACATCGTGATGGGTCCCGATCAATGGCAAATCAGAGGCCCACAAAGACTCTTTTTGTGATTAATTTTGATCCAATCCGGACCAGAGTTGAAGATATAAAGAGACATTTTGAACGATATGGAGAGGTTCTTCATGTCAGAATTCGTAGGAACTTTGCATTTGTACAGTTTGAGACGCAGGAAGATGCTACCAAGGCCCTCGAGTGCACACACATGAGGTAAGTAGATGTATTTGCCATGCTATTTGGATTAACCACAATTGCAGATTGATCAATGTGTTAAGAAACTATACGGTTGTGCTTTGGGCAGCAAAATATTGGACAGGGTGGTTTCTGTTGAGTATGCTTTGAGGGATGATGGTGAGAAGGGAGACAGATATGATAGCCCTAGAAGAGGAAGTTATTATGGGAGGTCTCCAAGTCCTGTGTATCGTAGGCGACCTAGTCCTGACTATGGTGGAGCTCGCAGCCCAGTGTATGATAAGTACAATGGCCCAGCTTATGACCGGAGAAGGAGTCCTGATTATGGTAGGAATCGAAGTCCTGAGTATGGTAGATATCGCAGGTAGGGAAAAAGGTTGATTCTTTCTCAAAATTATCTGGAACTTTTCTTCTTGGCAAGCATTCTTATAACTTATCTATTTTCTTGTCTTTTTCAACAGCCGATCACCTATTAGAAGATCAAGAACATGAGGGACATAAGAGAACTACTGAAGAAGTTCTAATGTGCAATTCTGTGTACTTGGTACTTACAACAGATTTAGAACAGTCATATGTAGAGAGTGCATCTTGGCGTATTACTTTAGTTCTGTAATATTGTATTAAGACTTGCTTCTAGTAACTTTAATTAATGGAACTTGTTAGCTTGCTATTTGATTCTATGATATTGATCCAATATATTTTTGTCTTGTCTTTGAAACATGGCAGGCATATTTGGGCCTCCCTAGTCAACTTTCAATGATGTAAATTTGTCCCAAACTCTCGATCCTTATGATGAATATCACGTATTCTGAGTGCCAGTTTAATAAAAATGTGGTCTTGATTAAAATTTTAAGGAGAATTATCGTTCCTTAGTGAAGTTACATGATTGAATTATGCATTTTCGCCGCTCAATTATTCTTTGGGCAGAGTTTTTAATCAATGCATGCAGGAGTTGGATCAGTGCTGACGGAGAAAAAGAACAGTCATTTGATGAAGAGAAAAAAAGCTTGGAAGTCGGTGGGGTTTTGAGATGGCTTGCGGGGACATCTGTTTATTTATTAATTATTTATATTGGTTAATTTGGCCCCACTTCAGGTTGGAGCTCAGCCCTGGAGACTGCCTATTCAGTGGTCGCTCCCCGCATGGTGAGGGCCAGTTAATTTTAAGAATTTACTGTAACAAATCTGCCACCTAGAGTTCCCTAAAAAGCTTGAAAGTGCAGATTGTCGGCGTCTCCAATTAATTGATTCGATTACTCTGATCAATTAAAATCTCCTTAAAATTTCATAATAAAAATACATGATTTTTCTCTTCTGAAGGAGTAGAGAGAAAGAAATTAAGATGAAAATTTCATCAACTCTTGATCGATTGCCTTGCCAAGCCAAGTTTCAGCATTCTCCATCATTTCAGGGCTAAGTCGCACCATGAGGATGCAAAATTCAGTTTCATTAAGCGCTCCATCGCCATCAAGATCTCCTTCTCTGACCATCCCCTCCGAATCTTCTTTGCTCATCCCCTCCATACCTAGAAATGCTGAATTTCTCCTCAGGCTCTCCGATGTTATCAACCCTTTTTCAGGATCGGCCAGAAGCCTAAATCCAGCACATAATTCAGACACAAACTCATCTACATCCAGCTTTTCTGCCATCACAGGTAACAAATCCTCGTACACTCTACGACTTGTATTGCCAATTTGATCCTTCTCCATTTCTCCTCGACGACTAAAGCACCTTACTATATTTACTGTATAGAGTTTAAATGAGTGTGGTACTTGTATTATAAAAGGTGATGGATATATATATAGGAGTTGGGAAGACTACATGACAATGAAAGGTGTCGTTTCTTTTTCTTGGACATTCATGGTGCTAAATAATAAGAAATCTGACTGCAAGAACCTATGTAAATGGACGGTTAGATTTAGGGTTAGGACACGTGCAGAGGTATATGATTGGGTATAACATTGAGGTTTATGATGCTGCTGCTTACATTTTAAACTATTGATTTGGTTTTGGACGTGATTGATTTTTTGTTTTATTTTATTCCCCAGTGGATGGTTTCTAGGAAGGTGCCTAAGGAGTAAGGAAGAGGGAAAGGGAGGGATCTCTTAGCTAGACCCAATCTATATTATTGATGACAAGAATAGCTTAAAGTTGGTTCTTTGAAGGTTCCTGTTCTCCTTCTCTATCAATTTGGTATTTTGGATTCTTCCATTTTTGATCTTTTTTTTTTTTCTTCAACTTATTAGACAAAACAAAGGAAAAAGATCAGGATGTTATAAAGCGGTAACTAGTTAGTTATTAGAGAATACGATTGCAGAAATTGAAATTTTATTTCCCAAATCTAAGTCCATTTCTAATATAGTACTAAACTAAATTATTAAGTATCATCATCGAGAAGCCTTTGTTTTTTAACTTTGGAGTCAAATAATATCTGAGCCTATAACCTCGTACTTTTGAAGTTTGAATTTAAAAATTTTGCAAATACGTACTTTTATAATGGTATGTTATGACTATGATATGGCATCATACAACAGCTTATGGAAGACAAATTACTAAAGTTCCACATTTAACAGTTAAAAGTTAGTAACTCTGCCCCGTATTCTAGGCACCAGATAAGTCCCAATATGTAATGACAAACCTGTACCTCTCTGCTTTAGTAAAAAAAGATTTCAAAAAGAAGATAGCATTTACATCTGATTGCATAAAAAAATAAAAAAGAAATCTCTAACGGGTGATGTTCTGGACGCAAAGATCTGAGCTTTAGTTCCTATCCATTTATCCAATTAACAAATTTGTTATATTTATAGTGTTAAAAATTATTCCCAACTTAAATAATTAATTGAAGAGTCCACAATCAATCTTGAATTTTACAATAACAAATTTGCCTTCCTGTGCTTGTGTTGTTCCTTATTACTTATTGGCTTTAATATGTTTCGAGCCCAACTTTTCTCCACTGTCGGAGCAGTAATTATTGTCTATTATGTCATTATGGAAGCTGACATGATTTCCACATTCGAAGTAGTACACTTGTGAGACAGCCAAATCTGCCATTGAAGATTTAGGGCTTAAGAAAATAAAAAGAAGGAGATGCCTGAATCTCCTGTCAATCTGAATTGCCAAAAATATTTTCAAATTTCCCTTTTAGGGTGACAATAAATGCCTTCAAGTTCTACGGGAAACTGAAAGAGAGATTTCTTTTTAGCTTATGGGTATCTAATGGCTCAGTCAGTACAACTGAAGCTGGTAGGTAATTGCAGGTGACAGCAACGTTGCCTTCAGAAACAAATTGGTAGGGTTTCTTTTTTGAACTGAACATAAAATTACAGTTTCTAATTATAAAACCTATAATTTCAATAGCCTGCAATTAGACTGGTTGTACATTTTTATCATACATCTTGGTAATGATGTGAAATACCAAGAGGAAGACAACTCAGATTGATGTAATCAGAGACGTCACGGCATATGCATTTACCAGAATCGTACTGCCGCCATGTGAACGACCTTCTGAGCCAGAAAACTACACCAATCTCACAGGAAACTACCTGGAAACTACTAAAAAAAACAATCTTTGACTTCTTTTGGATTAAAATCCATTTTAATTTTCCTTCCAATCCATATCAGTTTCCTGATCTCATTTGTAGCATTAAACAACTTTCAACTGCATTAATGCATTAATTTATGTACAATTAGGCTAATTATGAGTTCTAAACAATGAATTTAAGTAGTTTCGCCATATAAGAAGGACAAACTTGTTGCTCCTACCAATTTTCCTTGACAATCTTGAACTTCTCTAGTATGAATTTGCCCTCCTTATATTTTTGTGATTCTTCATAGGCTCTTTCGTATTTCCAACCAAGCAACTCGCTGCAATCGGAGCAGTAGACATCAGCAACGGTATGGAGACCGGTGATCAGGTGACGATCCTCTTTACTTCCTAGAGTAATGTTCATTGCATGGGAGAAGAGAAAGGCTCTGCCATTGTTTGCCTAAACAAATATCTCCGTATACATACTTAGCATAATCATGAGATTAGTTTTACAATTTTCAATTTTGACTAGACGAATCTACTTGATTCGATAAACAATTTTATTAAAATGATAGTAGCTATATACATTGAATTATTCCCAAAAACAGAAGAAAAGTTTACCTGGAAACCTTTAGAGATAATATCATCGTGACGGGAAACGACGTTTTGGCACTTATAGCAGCAGTATAGCCTTGGCCCAAGGGCATCCGCCATTAAAGAAAGTAATATTTACTGCTCCAATAAAGAAAGACAAATTTAAAAAGGAAATAACAAGCTTAGTATAAGTTAATCATAAAGGGTATATTCATCTCTTTGCAAGAACTCAAAATGATCATCGTTAAACTAAAACTAAAGATATTGCTTATGAATTAAACCATGCCATCAATGATTGAGAAATAGTACAATCAAAGGAATATAATTGAGTGAAGACACCAAACAAGAAAATATAATAAATTGAGTAAAGAAATGGGTTCGATAATGACGCCATCGACGCCTAATTATTAATCAGGGATGAACTAAAAAAAAAGAAATCAAAAGCAAAACCCGAGCACCGATACAGTGACAAAAGAAAGGTAAAAGAAGAAAAGCTCTCTCCATTGAAAATGCCTTTTAGGTTATTATATGATTTAACAAACATCAAGTTGCTTATTGCTTGAAGATTAAGTATACTTAATATCAATATTAAAAGAAGAAAAGCAATAAAAACACCATTGTTTTATATCTTTTTAACTTACCGAAAGATTTGTCAGCCTTCGATCGTTTTTTATGTGGTGTGTTTGTGTCAAAATGGGCTGCTAATGTTAGAATTTAAGGTCTCCTTGTTTGTGAGACCAAAATATGAATAGGGTTTTTGCGTTCCCTGATAAAAATTTTAAAAGAAGAATTCTTTTATAAATTAAAAATTTTATAGAAAAATGTTAAGCAATATTTATTTTCCATGAGATACTAAAAATATTTTTAGTTATTATTAAAAAAAAGTTAATATCATATATTTTTTAAGAACCGACTGGGTTTCAAATCTAGAGATTAATCATAATCTCCTAATGCATGGGATGTATTATTGGGATTATAAATTTGTATCATAAGTTCATCAAAAAGTAGTCAAGCAGCCCAAACCCACTAAGGGTAATAGAAAAATCCATTTAGATAAGGAATTGAGTTGCTTAATGATGGATCAAATAAATAAAAATATTAATTTTTATTAAAATAAAAGTGTTTCTTATTATACATTAAGGAAAAAAAGAAGAATAAAATATGAATTATTTTTTAAAATTAGCTGGCCTATGAGTCACGCTATAAACCTAATCTAAGCAAATATGATTATGATAGAAATTAAAATCGTTTAAGCAAGTACTTCCCTAAGGCATTATTCTTTGTCAATTGGACTGGACATTATTTTCAAATGATGAGCAAAAAAAATTGAATCCTGAATCTTAATACAAACAAATTACTAAATCCAGTATCTTAGAAAAGTTATTATTGTTTGAGATTTTCTTTTTTGATACATTTATTTAAAGTTAAATAAAAAAAACTAATTGCCATACCTAGAAAATCAGCTTGTAGGTAGGTAGGTTTATCTACTGCACAACCTCAATTGTAGGGAGGTCTCAAAAATTATATTTCTAAGTAAAGAAATGTATGTTCAATAATTGAGCGTTATCACATAGGAGTTGGAGTTTTTGTTTTTATTTATTAAATTTATGAGATATGAATCCTGAAATTCTGTTTCCTTTTTGGAAAATTTTAATCATATTGTAACATTTTGGTACGATTTGAAATATCTTTTTCATTTTAGATTTCTTAAATTAAATTTAACAATTGTAAAATTCAACGTGTTAAGCTATTGTTCTAAATTTTTATCAGTCACATGCAGGGTTAATTTTTAATTTGATTTTTCATACTGACCATAATTATAACATGCATATATGTTCAATTCATAATTTTTGATAATCAAAAAGAAAAAATTTAACGATCCAATTCTGAGATAATTATAGATTAAAGTTGATGGCTTTTATTTTTGTCATTAGCAATTGCTAAAATTCATTCCAGAAAAGAGAAAGGTAATCCAGGGATCATCTTCGTGGACTCGATTGAAAGTTATCCAAAAGATTGAGGTTAATTTTGCAATTGTACCGAAAAAGATATATTTTGCCAAAAAAGGTTCCGCGAAAGGAAATACAAATACTTAAGCCCTAATTAAGGGGTTTGACCAATAAAAAAATGCCACGTTTCAAAAGAAAATAAGGCAAGCGGTTTGATTAGATAATATGGAACCTGACCAGGACCGGACCTCATAGCCGGAGACGATCAGCGACTGAAACTAAAACACAGTAAGCATCTCAGATTAGGGTTTCTCTCTTGTTCAAATTAATTAATTAACAGGATTCCATCCTACTTCTTTCTGGGAGAATTTCCTGTTCTTGTATGTATATGACTATACTTAATTGCTGATTATCGCCTATAATACAGACCAAATTTATTTACTTCTTGATTGATGCAGAGAAAGATTTAAGAAAAGAATGGAATTTTGCCCAACTTGTGGAGTGTTGTTGCGATACGAGTTGCCAAACTTGGGTGAATCATCTAGATTCTATTGCCCCACGTGTCCGTACTTCTGTCCCGTGCAGAACAGGGTATTATTGGCGGCTACGCCTTTCATTTTATCTTTTACTATTATTTTTATGATTTTTGTTTTATACTCAAGAGTTTTGATATATTCGTTTTTGGATTGAGTGAATGTTCATGTCCGTTGATATCTATTTTCAGGTTAAAATCAAGAGAAAGCAGCGCCTGATCAAGAAAGAAATTGAGCCAGTTTTCACCCAAGATGACATGATGAAGGGGGGTTCGGAAACCGAAGGTGCGTTTCTTTCCAATTTTTTTTTTAATTTAATTTTTATGATTTTTTATATACTTGTTTCTGCAATGCTAATTGCTTCTTTTCTCCATTATAAAAACCTAAAAAGTTTATCAGTTTACGCAACTGAGAGTTTTGCACATATACGGTTGAATGCCTCTCTGAACATTTTTTTGATTATTTTTACTTATTTTTGCTTTGATAGTAACTGCCCTTATCAAGGGAAATTAGATTACAATAATGTATGTGCGAAGTGCATCATGCTAATAGTTCTTGTTCATGCATTCTATTGTTCAACTTGTAGAATTATATCATATAGAATGAAGTGAAATTGAACTTGTAACTGGTAATTGTTGGGTTCTCACAAAGAAATCGTAAATTTTGTTATGATACTTGAACACTTAACTCCTGACCAACATATAAGTTGGATTCAGTTTGATGAACATTAATAGTTGTACTAAATCAGGGGGCATTTGTCTCGAATTCAGAAAATTGAAATCATTGAAGATTACTGAGCAAGGACATGACATTGTTTGCCCCAAAATGATATGGGTGTCAGGAGTTGTTGACCCCAGACAACTGTGTTGGGATAATATATTTTATTGACAAGCTGCTGATTAGATGTCTGCCCAAGTTTTTGCAACTTGCAATGTAGAGTTTTAGAATGCCTGTGCTATGTTAAGTAAGTTGTTGGAGATTGGTTTTCTGCCAAATCCTCATTGTGATTGTGAAACATTGGACTTTGATAAGATATATTTAGATGCAAGAACTGAATGGTTCAAATTACACCATGACATTCGCAATTAAACATGGCGAGAGACTTCATTATTTTTTCTTAATGTAAAGGCTTTCCAAATATTTGGGTAGAATGAATGAGAAGCCATTTATTTGTTGACGAGTAGAAGCCATGATTCTAGTGCAGTTAGGTATTGAAGAACAAGGTTTTATGTGATGGACCACACTTTTACATTCCAAATATTTGGGTAGAATGAAGGAGAAGCCATTTATTTGTTGACGAGTAGAAGCCATGATTCTAGTGCAGTTAGGTATTGAAGAACAAGGTTTTATGTGATGGACCACACTTTTACATTCCAAATATTTGGGTAGAATGAAGGAGAAGCCATTTATTTGTTGACGAGTAGAAGCCATGATTCTAGTGCAGTTAGGTATTGAAGAACAAGGTTTTATGTGATGGACCACACTTTTACATTCCAAATATTTGGGTAGAATGAAGGAGAAGCCATTTATTTGTTGACGAGTAGAAGCCATGATTCTAGTGCAGTTAGGTATTGAAGAACAAGGTTTTATGTGATGGACCACACTTTTACATTCCAAATATTTGGGTAGAATGAAGGAGAAGCCATTTATTTGTTGACGAGTAGAAGCCATGATTCTAGTGCAGTTAGGTATTGAAGAACAAGGTTTTATGTGATGGACCACACTTTTACATTCCAAATATTTGGGTAGAATGAAGGAGAAGCCATTTATTTGTTGACGAGTAGAAGCCATGATTCTAGTGCAGTTAGGTATTGAAGAACAAGGTTTTATGTGATGGACCACACTTTTACATTCCAAATATTTGGGTAGAATGAAGGAGAAGCCATTTATTTGTTGACGAGTAGAAGCCATGATTCTAGTGCAGTTAGGTATTGAAGAACAAGGTTTTATGTGATGGACCACACTTTTACATTCCAAATATTTGGGTAGAATGAAGGAGAAGCCATTTATTTGTTGACGAGTAGAAACTGCTTTGTTGCAGTTCCTTTTTAAGGTTTTTATAGAATCATTCCTTGCAGCATTCTAAATTTCGGTCTTTTTTATTTTCGCAGTATCTCTTTCTTTAGGTACTATTTAACATATGCTTTTCCCTCTTGTGGCAGCAACATGTCCGCATTGCAACTTCGGAAGAGCCCGTTTCCAACAGATACAGATCCGGTCAGCTGACGAACCAGCGACTACATTTTATTTTTGCTTGAATGAGAAGTGCTCAAAGTTATGGCGTGAGGATTAAAATTTTTGACGAGGATATCTTTGCATGTTCCGTTTTCTGTTGGTCTCTTGAAATTTTATATGCTGGTCATTTTGCCATTCTGGTTGTAGTAGGCCGGCCTGTTCTCCAAACTTTGGTTCATGGTTGAATTCTGTAACGATGATATTATTAATAAGGGTAAATTTTAGGTTCTTTTCTCGAAGTTTCTCTTGGTCAATCTTCAGTTCCTTGCTGTTTCTCTGTGTGTGATCTTCATGGTTGTCTCGAATGGATAAAATTCCAATGCAAATAGGGGAAAAATAGCCGACTCATTCCACACCAGTTTCCAATTTCTAGTATATGGTAACTAGCTCATAAAGTTGATGATTAACAAAAATTAACAAGAAATTAATACTGGAAACGCAGAATTAAGTCTGGAAGGATCGTGGCTTTTGAAAAAAGAGCCATGATCACAACAGGAAGATTATTTGACAATGTTCCAAGCGTAAATACAAAAATTAGTCTACTTCATCAATAAAAGCACTGAAGATGAAGCAAATTGTCACCCTATAATTATGTTCATAAATTGATGGTGATTGAACAGTACCGAGCATAAAAGTGAGAATTTTCTGTAGAATTAAGTTCTTGATGAATGAACAGCTAACTTCTTCTTTTCTCCCCATCGCTTTCTGGTAGCCTCCAACGCCTCCTCCCTCATCTTAGTAAGCTCCTGAAACCAATTCTGATACTGTGCTTCAACGGCATCAAGCTCCCGCTTTAGTTCCATGTCCAAATATTTGCCAATTAGGTCTAGAGATGAAAAGCTGCTTGTCAAGTTCATATCATTGGATGCTCCACTTATCTTGGGAAATGACAACTCAGGATTCTTAGCAGATTTATTCACTGCAATGCTTTCTCCAATAATGCTGTCATTTCCTACCAATTTGTGATGAAAATATGAATTTCCAAGATCTTGTTCACAAACAAATCCATCGGTATTATAATCAGCAAGTTCAGATGCTTTGTCATTTTTAGATGAAGCAGAATCTTCGATCAGTATCTCTGAAATAACTGATGCTTGTGATTCTTCATCTTCCATGTTAGCCAAACTTGGAGAAGAATAATAGTCAAACTGGAAAATGTCACTTCCATTGTTATCACAGTGATTACCTTCATCAGCTTGTATGCTACCTTCTCGAGGAGTAAACATTGAATCCCAAGGGAAAGCCATTGATTTTTCTCCCGCTGATTCTGTGTAAGCACTTGTTACTTCACTTGAGGAATAATAGGATGAAGGCTTCCAACCAGGAAGGAGTTTCATTATCAAGTAATCGATGAACTCGGCTATGAAGGCCACATCATGATCTGCTAACTCTAGTTCTTCTATCATCTCACTAGCTACAGAGAGTGCAGTATCGCTATCAAGGTAGAAGAGGAAATGTATATTCCTAACCCGCCCTACAATTATAAAAAAAATAATAAAAAAAAAGGTTCAAGCCATTATGATCAGAAACAAAGAATAGACATCATCCTACATTCCTTTACCAGAAGCATCAGCAATTCGCAAAGTCAGTGATACAGAATGGTCGTCATTTTTTTTCCCCCTCAACCGAAATTCCTTGTCCTTATGTGTCTTCTGATACTCCAATTCTGGAAATTTTGTTTCTTCACAGTTGCTTCCAGTACATATGCTTAAAGAGTCAATCTCCATGGATGAAGGTCCTGACTTGGTTAAACTTGGCGATTTAGGATACTGGTTAGGTAAGGTTAAAGGATCACGGATTGGTTCTACTGGATCCTGAAGCTGAAGGAATGGGTCTTTAAGAAGTTCTTTAGCAGATAACCGTTCAGATGCTGGAACCAGACATTTCGTAATAAACTCCTTAGTTTGTGGATCAGTCACTTTATTAAGAGAAGCAGGCTTAATGCCCTGAAAAATGGTAAATACATATCATCATTATTCTAACATATAGAGAAAATAAACCTAAAAGAAATAGCAATGTATGATTTATCAACTTACAGAGATAACCTTCTTGTAAATTTGAGCTGGATTTTTGCATTCGCTGTATGGGTATTCGAAGGTAACCATTTCTAACATGCACATCCCAAAAGAATATACGTCAACGAGTTCAGTGTATTCCTCTTCATAAAGTTCTGGAGCCATAAATTCAGGAGTTCCTGGTACGAAAGAAGGGAAATAAGTATTCAGTTCTTCCAGTAAATTAAAGTCTGGCTTTAGAAAAAGGGTAGGAATTGAAAGCATTAATGCATCACCAATGACACTTCTTGCAGTAGGCTGCAGCATAACAATGGCCAATCCAAGATCTCCAATTTTAACTTCTCCATGATGTCCATTAACAAATACATTATCGCATTTTAAATCTCTGTGAATGATAGGTGGATTATGACCGTGGAGATAGACTAAACCTTGTAGAATTTGCCTTGCCCAATTCTTTATTGCTTTCTTGTCTACATTCTTATGCCTTCTACGATATCTGGTAATAGAAAAGTAAATAATCATTTCAAAGTGCAAATAATAAAGAGGAGAAATCAATGAGCCTGGATCTATGGAGTTTGAAACTAATCAAAGCTAAACCAAACAAAAATAAATAAATAAATAAATAAATAAGGAAAAAAAAGGATATATCCAGAGGTACATACTGCCTCAAATTCCCAGATGTAAAGAGCTCAGTAATCATGTTAACAGTTTTCTTCTTATCATCCACCCAAGAGTTGTAGAACTTTAAGATGTTTTCATGCTTCAATGATCTCAGTAGATGAACTTCAGAGTACAATTTTTCCAAGTCTTCTGGTGATTCCAAGACATCATCAATCTTCACTTGATTCCAGGCAACCTCTATTCCTTCTACTTCATCAAATGCCTTGTAACTGGAAAAAAAAAAATTAACTGAGAGAATCCAAGAATATTAAACTTGAAAAGAATATACAGTCTTCATATGTATGTGTACATATATAAACTCTTAAACAAGAGGAAGGTAAAATGTAAGCAGCATACACAGTTTTGAAAGCACCCCTGCCCAAGATCTCATCATACTGTTAACGAAAAGAAAAATGAAAATCAAATGCATGGTAAAGAAAAAGCGATTTTAATTAATGTGATTTTAATGAACGAAAATACCATAAATTAAGAGAGAGTACCCGAACATATCTACCGGTAGGATCTATTTCTACGAAATCAGCCTTTTCATGAGGAGGCTCCGTTGCAGAGTCGTTTCCATTATTAGATGCCAATTCGAGTGCTCCGATCCCAGCGCCAATAACACAGACTGCCATTGCAGCCAACGAGGACCAAACAGCAAGAAGTAAGAAGAAAACGGAAAAAAAGTACCTTCCTAATCTCAAGGTCAAAATTTTTTTGGTTTTTTCTGTTGCTTTAGTTCGAAGAATGCCTCGGAAGCCATCTTGAAGGAATCGAATGCCGATAATCGCAAGTGGATTCGGCATTCGACAACCACCACAGCAGCGGTGACGACGTCGTTTCTTTCTGGAGGAAATGAACTTCTACAATTCATAACCCCAAGTTCCATGCCCCCACCGATTCTTTTCATCATCAAACCAGTCCCAGAACCACCCACTCCTCCAATGACATCCTGGTATCAAAACCCAAAACCAAAAAAAAAAAAAAAAAAAAAAAAAGATTCTTTTCATCATCACACAGTCGCCCAGAACACCTCACCCACTGCTCAAATGACAATCCCTGGTATCCAAACCCGGCAAAACAAACAAACGACAAAAAAAAATAAAAATAAGAAAAAGAAAAAGGCTGGTTAACTTTTCTCCTCTGCGATGGTGTCACGGACTTTTGTTCTGGCAAGTGAGTGTGAAACGAAAAGATGAAATATACGGATGGGCATTTAGGCTAAAGAGGAGACGATGACTCACGGTCGTTGGAACTTGACAGGCCGCGCAAAAAAAAAGCTATGAACCACGAACACATGTCGGTAATGGCGACCCTGCTCGCCAGAGTACACTGCAGCTCTGGCTTTTCCCAACGGTAAACCTGAGATAGATCTTCCGGCTTTCGTTTTTCCGTTACTCTTTGAAGAGCTCTCGTCTTTCTAGATCGAACCTATTTTTTCATTATCTAGCCTTATTATAAGAAAAATCCGATTTATAATTAAACATGCTCCGCGAATTGTTTGGAGGAAATGGTTATTAAACATACAGTGAACAGACATCAGGATTCGTCGTCATTAAACGCTTCGAGAATCTTTGAGATCCATTTGGTCATGTAGCGGCTGTTTGTTGACAATAATTAATGTTTCTACTTTAAATATAATTGGAGACTGTCTTTAAATACTGTTTCTCTTATTGGATTATATGAAGTTAAATATTATATTAAGTGTTAATAATATTTTAATTAAACATAGCCAGTGGATTATTTATATGTATAATATAACTTGACAGTAATACACAAACAATGCTACATCATTTAAATTGATGAACTCATTGCGTGTGAATTGATTGTTCTTGTTATTTTTTTCAATGGATTGGAAGATTTCGTGATTTAATTTTTTAATGCTTTTTCTAATTAAAATTTTTATGTTATCTTTACATCAATGAAATTAATTGTTCGTCTGGATAAATAAAAATTGATGAATTGTGTGGAATTACTTTTTATATCTATCACTCTGCATTATAAATTCAAAGCTGTAAAATATGTTTTAATTTTAATTCGTATTAATTATAATTCAGAAAAAAAAATTTCACTTCATAATTAATAATGGCCTCTACTTCTTGTGGCTTGATCATTAATTATAACGATGAGTTTTTTTTTTTTTATCCTGTTGCTGTAAATAGTCTATACTTACGCCATCGCTACGGTAAAATAGATTTGTGCAAACCCAACCTAAATGGCAATATGGAAAAAAAAAAACACATTGTAATTGCACAAATAATCAAAAGATATTGGAAATGACTATTATAACCGAACAATAACCAGAATAAGATGGTCTAGATTGGTCTTGCTATTTTATATTTATGTGAATAGTGACGAGTTTTCAAGGTTCGATTTCTTTTTACTATAGTTTTTATCACGAATTTAGTGAACTAAATAATAAAATTACCCATATTCATAGGATAGCTCGTGTGTTATCTTCAGTCTATCATAAAGGCTTTCAGAAGATAAAAGAAATATTATTACAAAAGATGTTGCGTGGGCCAAGCCGATAGATTTCACCTTGCTATCAAAAGTATATTTCTTAATACTAAGATGCTCAAAATACAAATCAAATTGTGTCGTGGTGTCGTTGGTATCATTCGAGTCATATCGGACCACACTGAAGGTCTCGCCGTTTCGAGTCGCGGCGACGCCCTTTCGAAGTGTTTATTTTTAATTTACAATTTTTAAATCTTCTCGTTTATCTTGGCCATTTCTCGTATTGTAATTATCAGGTTCAATTCGTCTATGCATAGTTTTCTTCTCCTATGTCCTCGCCCACAGCCACTTACCATTTCTTACTCTGGTCGCTCACTTGCACCGACACACAACTCATTTCAAGCACTGCGAAGTTTAACTAGAAACGTCATACTTATGGAATCCAGAAGAGAGCGAAAAATTCTCTCGAATCCAAAATACAATGCGACTTAACTGCAATTCTCTCGAAATCATGGTACCATTTAAGGTTTTCTGGTGAGCACATCCCTCTAGAGTACTGGTCTCCGGTTCGAGTCCGGGCGACGCCATTCGAAGTGTTATTTTTTATTTACAATTTTAATCTTCTCGTTTATACATTGCATTTCGGTTATTGTAATTATCAGTCAATCGTCTTGCATAGTTTTCTTTCTCCTATGTCCTCGCCCACCAGCCACTTCCATTTCTTACTCTGTCCGCTCACTCCACCGACACACACTCATTTCCAAAGCCACTGCAAGTTTTACTAGAAACGTCATACTTATGGAATCCAGAAGAGAGCGAAAATTCTCTCGAACCAAATACAATGCAGACTTAACTGCAATTCTTCGAAAATCATGGTACCATTTAAGGTTATCTGTGAGACATCCCTCTAGAGTACCTACTTGGGACGCTATTGTCCTCACGGCTGCCAGCCCCGAGCAAGCCCAGCTATACGAGTGGCAGCTCAAGCGCGCCAAACGTATGGGCCGGATCGCCAGCTCCACTGTCTCTCTTGCCGTGCCTGATCCCAACGGCCAGCGGATTGGCTCTGGTGCCGCCACTCTCTATGCCATTTATGCCCTAGCTCGCCATTATCGGACGCTTGGTATCGATCTTGGCTCTGAGGTACTGTAATCACTAATTTGCTTTCCATGGAAGTTTGCTAAATCAAAAATTGTCTCTGCTAGTTCGTTTAATATGAAAAATTATTACTATAATGTAAGCATTTGATGATACTCTATGGCTGATCTTGTAATGTGGCTTCGGTGATTGCTGCCAATTGATCTGTGGCTCACTTGAAATGAACTAGCGGGATTTTGCGGTGTCAGTACAAGATTTTTGTAATTCTTAACATGGAAGACAAGGACAGGAGTATAAGCCATTAAGCCACTAGAAGATTAAGTTTAAGATTTTTTGCATATATGTTGAGTATTTTTCAACGGTTACTCCGTGTTTGACCTGCGAATCTTACTTGCTTTGAACATTTTTAACGTGTGATCTACTGGTAGCCTAAGCCTGGAATTTCTTCTGTAGAGGGCATCGATTGATAATCTTATCTTAGTTCTGAAACGTTTAGGGCATATTTGAGAATCAATGTTGCTATTGGTGAACTATATACTTCTAGGCTTGATTGGGTTATCTCTGATCAACAGGTGGCAAACACAGAAATTGGCAATTCTGGATCTTTTTTTCCAGATGAAGGATCTAATAAAGAAGATTATATCCTGCCAATGGTGAGATTTGTGGCCAAGAAGCATATTCTATTGCTTCATGCTGGAGGTGACTCTAAAAGGGTCCCATGGGCTAATCCTATGGGAAAAGTTTTCCTGCCACTTCCATATTTGGCAGCAGATGACCCTGATGGTCCAGTTCCGCTGCTTTTTGACCATATACTTGCAATTGCTTCTTGTGCAAGACAAGCTTTTAAGAATAAAGGTTGTTTGTCCTGTTCGTTACATTTGCAAACTGACTAATTCTTACGTTAAAATCATCCTTAATCAAGATTTACTGTTTTTTCAAGTAAATCGTATCTTCTCATTTATCTGTCTGTTTATTTATTTATTATTTATGGGGAAAAAAGGTAAATACAAAAATCATTCACGTTTCTTTGGTGTTATATTGCTACATGGCAGATAATGGTGTCCTTTTGTTCGTATACATAATTGAAAATCGTATGATTGATATTGAATAGTGCTTGCATTTAGACATTGCTGACATGCTGGATTTTAAATCTGTGTTTTTTTCATGGAAAAGATGGTATTGCTATTAACTTATGTAGCTAAAGATATTCACATACTATATGACTATCAGTTATGTATCTAACTGCAGATGAAAACATCATATTATCTGCAGGGAGCATTTCCTCATTATCTCGATTCAATTGTATTGCATGTGAATATGACTGAGAATACTTTACATAGTTAGATCACTAAAACAGCATTCTGTTAACCTGAAGTTCAAATTATTGATGACATTGTAATCTAGTGGTCATCATTTTCAAATCCTAAGGTCCTTGAATGCATGGATCAGAATTATTTCACGCCAAATTTTTGGTTATTTGAGAATTTGTAATTTTTGCAGGTGGGATATTGACAATGACTGGGGATGTTCTTTCATGTTTTGATGCCTCTGCTATGGTTATTCCAGAGGATGCATCTTGCATCATCACCGTCCCCATCACCCTTGATATTGCTTCTAACCATGGTGTTATTGTGGCATCTAAAAGTGGGATTCAAACTGAAAGTTATACAGTCAGCTTAGTTGATAATCTCCTACAAAAGCCAAGTGTTGAGGAACTTGTTAAGAATCAAGCATTATTGGACGATGGTAGAACATTGCTCGATACTGGAATAATAGCTGCTAGAGGCAAAGCATGGGCAGAGCTTGTCATGCTTGCATGCTCCTGCCAACCAATGATTACAGAGCTTCTGGAGAAAAGAAAAGAGGTCAGCCACTGATTTTTCTTTTTAATTGTTAATCTTTTTGTTATGTAAAACCAAATAAAAATAAACTGTTACAGAGTTGCTAGCACAGCTTTTTATTCCTTTTTTTTTTTTTTTTGGTATTTCGGATTTACTTCAGTCACTATGTTTTGGCAAACACTTGTGACTTAAAGATCCTAAGTTATCCAACACTAAATATTTTTCTTGTGAATTTTTGTATTTTGTTTACCATAATCATACTTATCTATCTCCCACACCCTTACTTATGGATGTTTGGCCTAAATTATATGCTACAAGGCACAACTTGCTTTACATCATACAAGCTTATGCTGCAGTGTAAAAGTATTCTCTGCTCTTTTTCTTTTTCACTACTTATATGAACATGTTTCAATGTAAGAAGATATTTAAGTTTCGATTTCTTTTTCTGTCATCTGCTATTTTCTATTTGTTTTTATTTTTATGTATAGTTTTTTTGCACCTATGTTTCACATTCTACCTTGGAATTGTTTGTTCCCAAACTCATCAAATCGAAACTGTCTCTGAGCCATAAATTCTTTTTGAGTTGTAAATTGCTAAAAGTAAAATGTATTTCCCACATTTATATTTCTCACAGATCACAAATTTCATTTTCTTTAACATTCACAAGTTGGTTACCAGCCAATCTGAAACCGTACTTTTTTGCATAGATGAGTTTATATGAAGATCTAGTAGCAGCTTGGGTACCTGCAAAACATGACTGGCTACAATTTCGACCTGTGGGCAAAGAACTCGTCAGAAGATTGGGCAAACAAAAGATGTTCAGCTATTGCGCTTGTATGTTGAAAACCATTTGAAAACCTGAGTAAAAGTCATTTTCATTGATTTTATCATTTGACTTACTGGTTATCATCTTTCCACTGTAATTACTTCAGATGACCTATCATTTCTGCATTTTGGAACCTCAAGCGAAGTTTTGGATCATTTAAGTGGGGCGAGTTCAGAACTTGTAGGCCGAAGACATTTATGTTCCATCCCAGCCACGACTGCTTCTGACATTGCAGCATCTGCTGTAATTCTTTCTAGCAAAATTGATCCTGGTGTCTCAGTTGGGGAAGATTCTCTTATATATGATTCATCCATTTCTGGCGGAATGCAAATTGGTTCCCAATCTGTTGTTGTTGGCATTAATGTCCCAGGAGACAGTGATAGGATTGCAGAACGTTCATTCAGATTCATGCTTCCAAGTTGTCATTGTCTTTGGGAGGTTCCTTTAGTCGAATGCACAGAAAGAGTCATAGTATACTGTGGACTCCATGATAACCCAAAAGATTCACCTTCCAAGGGTGGGACTTTCTGTGGGAAACCATGGAAGAAAGTCTTGAATGATTTAGGCATTCAAGAAAGTGACCTATGGAGCTCAGTAGGTTCTCAAGAGAAGTGCTTATGGAATGCTAAAATATTCCCTATCCTTTCGTATTTTGAGATGCTTAGTTTAGCCTCATGGTTGATGGGTTTGAGGGATCAAGAATCTGAAAGTTTTCACTCCTTGTGGAAAAATTCACGCCGTGTCAGTTTGGAGGAGTTGCATAGATCAATTGACTTTTCAAAAATGTGTACAGGCTCAAGTAATCATCAAGCTGAGCTTGCAGCTGGAATTGCTAAAGCTTGCATTAACTATGGTATGCTTGGACGAAACTTGTCTCAGCTGTGTCAAGAAATACTACAAAAGAAAGCTTCAGGAGTTGAAATATGTAAGGACTTCCTAGACCTATGTCCCGGACTTCAGGAGCAGAATTCTAAAATTCTTCCCAAAAGTCGAGCATACCAGGTGGAAGTTGATCTTCTTCGTGCATGCAGGGATGAAAAGACTGCCTGCTTATTAGAACATAAAGTTTGGGCTGCAGTTGCTGATGAAACTGCCTCAGCAGTCAGATATGGTTTTAAAGGTAATCACATTCTTGCAGCTTAAGCATTATGTTGAAAGTGAAAATTGTGCTGTGTGCCTCAAGAATGAATAGCAACCACAATGCATTACCATAGCTTCTCTAAACTTAGAATGAATGCATATCAATTTTGATTCTCCTTTTATTGTGATGATGATTTCCCAAACTTAATGTTATTCGACGCTTATTTGTTTTTTCATACTTTGTTTCATTGGAGTTCATATGTCTTCATTTTTGGTCATCTTAAATTAATCATGGTTTACAAACATTTCTTCTGGTCCACAGAGCATCTCCTGGAGTCTCCCAGCAGCGTGCCTGCTTCAGCAAATCAGAATAATCACATTACTGGTCATGTCAGTCGATATTTCTGTTCTAGAAGGGTAAAGGTTGAGTTACCAGTCCGTGTAGACTTTGTTGGGGGATGGAGTGACACTCCTCCATGGAGCTTAGAGCGTGCTGGTTGTGTGCTGAATATGGCAATAAGTTTGGAAGGTTGTCTTCCCATCGGCACCATCATAGAAACAACTGAAAAGATTGGAGTGTTGATTGATGATGATGCTGGAAACCAGTTATACATTGAGAATCTTAACTCTATTGCTCCTCCGTTTGATGGTGATGATCCATTCCGCCTTGTCAAATCTGCATTGCTTGTTACTGGTATAATTCATGAAAACATTCTTCAATCGATGGGCTTGCAAATCAGGACATGGGCAAATGTACCTCGTGGCAGTGGCCTGGGGACCTCTAGCATCCTAGCAGCTGCTGTTGTGAAAGGACTTCTTCAGATAACTGATGGAGATGAAAGTAACGAAAATGTTGCTAGACTGGTTTTGGTATTGGAACAACTCATGGGGACAGGAGGTGGGTGGCAGGATCAAATTGGAGGTTTGTACCCTGGTATTAAATTTACTAAAAGTTTTCCTGGAATACCATTGCGGCTCCAAGTTATCCCCTTATTGGCTTCCCCTCAGTTGATTTTGGAGCTGCAGCAGAGATTGCTTGTGGTGTTTACTGGTCAAGTAAGTCCTTTGTTTAATTTCCTGCCTTCTATATTTATTTACATTTGTATCTGGCATAAGAAAACTGGACCAAGGTGTAAACAATTTATGGTATTATGAACCATGGAGTGCTTAGTCCTCTGGACAGGCTTGTCTAGACTTAAAGGCACAGTCTTACTTAAGTTATTGCAGCTTGCTCCTTCTATAGGATTATGCCTGATTTGTTATATTGCGAAATGCAGTCGTAGTGAAACTAAAGGCAAGTTGTTTCAAGGTGAGCGCATAAAAGTACATGTAAAATACTACTATGCTAGTCTTAGCTTTCCCTGCAACCTGCTGTTCACTTGCCATAGCCTTTTACTCTATATATAGGATTGCACTAGAGTGAACCTCACCATTAGATGGGGAGGGTTAGAAGGTTGCAGGTGAGTGCTTTAATAATTTAATAGTCAAAAAGATTAGCAGCAAAAAAAATTGCTGGTAATGGCAAGAAATGTTGGAAGAAATCACATATATGGCAGGAAATGTAGCAGTGAAGTGTGAAATATGTATACAAGTGGTAGAACAATCATACGGTATCATTTAGGCATGAAATGTATAAAAATAAGAATTGTAAATATAAATTAATTCTATCTCAGGTCAATTCTGTTACACACTGGTCTTCTAATTTTCACTGAATTATTGAATGACAGAGGTTTAAGCAGGCGTAAAACTTTTGGCACGTTACATGTTTAATTAATGATCATAGACCTGGTAATTGGACTTTCCCAATTAATTGTCGCTCTATATTCTGCAATTTTTTTGCAGGTTCGACTTGCACATCAAGTTCTACAAAAGGTAGTTACTAGATATCTTCAGCGGGATAATCTTCTTGTATCCAGTGTTAAGCGCCTTGCTGAACTGGCAAAAATTGGGAGAGAAGCATTGATGAACTGCGAAGTCGATGAGCTAGGGGAGATAATTCAGGAGGCTTGGAGGTTGCATCAGGAACTTGACCCATACTGCAGCAATGAATTGGTTGATAAGCTTTTTGCATTTGCTGACCCATACTGCTGCGGCTACAAGCTTGTTGGCGCTGGTGGTGGAGGTTTTGCGTTGTTACTAGCCAAGGATGCGAACTCTGGAAAGGAATTGAGACATAAACTAGAAGAATGTTCAAACTTTAATGTGAAATTCTACAAGTGGAACGTCTTTTTAGACAATTAGACGTGGTGATATAATCAGAGAAACCTCATATTATTAGTACAATTGTTACTATTCTTCTTTACACAGATCTTGTTATTCTTATAGGTTTATACGATGATATGTATATAATAGATAACTGGGATGTCGGTTTTATATAAGTGTGTAATATTAAGAACAGATGATAGAATAATTGTGTTTATTTTAAAAGCTTAATGATCGAGTAAAAGACACACCAAATGCTCAAGTTCCTACCCCAAGGCATAACTTGCCAACAGGGCAAAGAATCCGAAGTCTTTGGCGTTGGGGACAGTTTTTTGGGCCAAGAAAAACGGTATCGCTTTTGCTTGGATAACCTTCCAGTGTAAACATGCGTAGATTAGTGCCTCAAATAACGAATCAGATTAATAATATAGGCGATTAACGAATCAGAAATATACTCAGAATTCCAGTTTTACCCTTGAGACTCGAGTGGATAAAAAGTCAATAGCAAAACGAAAGGGAGAATCAGCCATCATGATCGTCGCCTCCACCACCAATTATTATCAGGAGGACTGACGAAATACCCTTTGATGGCTACGTATTTTTTATCGTAAAAATGCACAAAAAAAGAAAAAGGGATTTATAACAAGGTAATTGGTAAAGGTTGTTGAGCAGATTCCTCAGGGCACCAATAATATTTTGCCACAAAATGTGTTTATGAGCTCACCTCATTGAAAGCGACTGACTTGTTGGCTTTAGAATTAGAAACGACCAGCGGTGCGATTTGCTGGTTAGTGAATTGTAGTGTAATTTACAAGTGACTCCGTAAAAGAGTCGAGCACCAGGAAAGAGAGAGCTTGAGAGAGGGAGAGATGGGTCTGCTCACCAACAGAGTGGAAAGAAGTGAAATCAAGCCAGGGGATCATATCTACACATACAGGGCTATCTTCGCTTACTCTCACCATGGTATTTCTTTCCCCTTTCCTTCTCTCTGTTTCTTTCTGTTTGTTGACTTGGGAAAATTTTTATTTTTTGGAATGTGAGTTTGTCCTGTAATTCTCATTACGTTGCATTTTTCTTGCGCTTCGATTTGGTTTTTTTTTCCCCCTGTTTGGCCTTCTGATTCTTTTTTTTTTTTTTTTTTTTTTTTTTTGAAATCAAGCCAGGGGATCATATCTACACATACAGGGCTATGCTTTCCTTACTCTCACGCATGGTATTTCTATTCCCCTTTCCCTTCTCTCTGTTTCTTTCTGTTGTTGACTTTGGGAAAATTTTTATTTTTTGGATGTGGAGTTGTCCCTGTAATTCTCATTACGTTGCATTTTCTTGCCTTCGATTTTGGTTTTTTTTTCCCCTGTTTGCCTTCTGATTCTTTTTTTTTTTTTTTTTTTTTTTTGGCCCATTTGTTGTAGTATTCCCATAAATCCTTTGTTAGTTAACTTCTTATGAATTTATTTTTTAAAATTTTTATTTTTTTTTTTTTTTTTTTTTTTTTTTGCCCATTGTTGTATATTCCCATATCCTTTGTTAGTTAACTTCTTATAGAATTTATTTTTTAAAATTTTAACTTCTGTGCTGGGATTATGCATTGGGTTGAATTTTGTTGATTTGAGACACCAGTTTTCTAATTTGCTTTAATTGCTTAAATTAACTAATTCTTGGGGAAACTGAGGTGTACAAGTTCGAAATTTCCTAACTTTCAAGGTTATGCTTGTGGATTGCTCAATAGATGTTTGTCAATGATCTAGGTACAAGTTCTCAGAACTTTTAAGTTATGAGATTCTTCATTTCCCTGCTCATCTTTCTTACCATTTTGCTGTGACATCATTGTTGGAAATAGATCTTTCTACACTTCAGAGGACTTCGAAGTAAATAGACCTTACCGGTTTAACTAAAGCAAAAGATTAATCAAAGAAAGAAAATAGAGGTATTGAAACATTCACATCTGGAGATTATATTGCAGAAGAAAGATTATGTGCGTTCAGTAATTTTGTTCAAAAGATATCGAGTGTTTGGTCAGAATATCCTGTGGATTTGTATTCATAGCATTATAGGCTCTATGCTAACCAACAATCATCTGTCTATGGTTACTGGAAAATGTTAACTATATTTTTCATCAATGGTGCTTGACCCTACAAGGGAGAAAATTTCAGTTTGTGGCCCCTTGAATTTGAGTGCTCTATGTATCCTGATGGCATTAGGAGAGGATATTGTCAGGATTCTATTATGTCTTTGGCCATTTGGCTTGGTAATTTCTTTGGTATGTATATTGGACTACTCCAGTTTATCCTCAAGATGCCTAGTCCATGATGTCCTGTCTTTGACATTTCCAAATTATTGTTGTTGGAATCTACTTTCAGAGTAGTTTAGAGCTATTGTGAGGATCTTTATGGCTAGCTGCTTGTTAGTTTTTGGAAACATGCCTAGTCCTGCCACTTTCTCCGTGGGTGTGCTTATATTCTTGAGTTACTTTGATTCTCTTTCAAGATATCTGCAATGCGATCTGTAAGCTTTTTACGAGCTACAATGCACAAACATTTACACCTGATAATTATTTAACCTACAAAGCTCATGCATCTTGTTGATTAAAAATGCATATCGTGGTAGTTGGCATTAGACCATTTTAATCTTCACATGTTTTAGGAGATAGAAATGCTAATTTTCTGGATTTATTCATTGCTAAATCAGCTCATAAGTTTGTTATGTGCTTATTTCTTAAATCTAACTTGGAAGAGCATGTGAATCTCTATACTGTTGTTTTGCTCACATACACTTTCACTGGGCTGAATTTCAAGTCAATATTAACCTGACAAATGCATTTTATCATGCTTTGGTATGAATAAGTTAAAAAATCTAAAGTAATCTAGCATGTGCGGCTTGTTGATGTTGGGACTATATGCAATTGTAATACTCTCCCTTAATTTTCATCAATTCTTTATAGGTACTAGCATTTATGGATTCGGCCTTTATTGTCTAATGAGCATGGCTCAAGAGTGCAAGTTTGATAGCTTTCCTTTAGCTTTTCTCTCATGCTGCATCTACTCTATCAATGACCAACCAGTGCATTTAATGGACAAGTTAGAACAACAGATGAAAGTCTTACTTGAATTTTTTTTTTTTTCCAACAATTGATTTTGTTGTTGTTGGAGTGGTTTATTTAAGGCTTGGTTGTTGTTGTATATTCTGCAGTTGAAATTATAGAACAAGCTATATTTGAAATCTGATTTTTCAGGTATATATGTTGGTGGAAGCAAGGTGGTCCATTTTACTCCCAGGAACAATGCGGATTCAGGCTCTGATACATCTGATCTCTATGACTCAATATCAAGCATTCCCACATCCTGTGAAATCTTTCCCGACTGTGGATTTAGGCAACCCAATAGCGGGGTAGTTCTCTCCTGCCTGGACTGCTTCCTTAGAAAAGGATCCCTTTACTGCTTTGAATATGGGGTACCTCCTGCTGTCTTTCTAGCAAAAGTACGGGGAGGCACATGTACAACTGCACCATCTGACCTACCAGAAACAGTTATTCACCGAGCAATGTACCTTCTTCAAAATGGATTTGGCAATTATGATGTTTTTAAGAACAACTGCGAGGATTTTGCTATGTACTGCAAAACAGGTCTTCTGATGATGGACAAGCAGGGGGTTGGACGAAGTGGTCAAGCTTCTTCAGTCATTGGTGCTCCATTAGCCGCGCTTCTTTCATCACCTTTAAAGTTGCTAATGCCAAGTCCTGTTGGTGTTGCTACAGTAACAGCTGGGATGTACTGTATGAGTAGATATGCTACAGATATAGGTGTTCGAACTGATGTGATCAAGGTTGCTGTTGAAGACCTGGCTGTGAATCTAGGATGGGTAGATCCTGAGGAGGAAGTCTCTGAGGATAATGAGCTTTCACACAGTCTGATTGCCAGATGACTTTAATTTCATCACCATTCCTGTGAAGCTAGTCACACATGCATTGCTACCATGGTATGAATTAATAAAAATTTGTTCATGTGGGAATTCATTTTTTTTCTTTATCTTCCATTGTAAGTATGTAGAACAGTTACCGTGTACTCAACTGCTGAATGATCATTCCTTGGAATGGTCTATTCTATTTTGTAACTGTATTACTGAAATTCAACTCGGTTTGATTTTATGGTATGGAATATGATGGATTTTTATCAGTTATACATGGCTATTTTTTTTTTTTTATTGTATTTCTTTATTATTAAGAATAAGAATTATTTTTTAATTTTTGCAAAGAGGTGACTTAAACTATAGTTACTGATGTAACATTTGCTGATGTTTCGAGCACAACACAGAATTTAATGGTAGAACACTCGAGAAAATTAAAAAGTTGGTGCTATGCTTTGTGTGGAGCAATTGCTCGAATTGAAGAGACCATAAATGACTAGGATATCCTATAACAACAAACGACAAAATCAAATTTTCGTGCAAACTGATAGTACCATGAACCAGATTTTCTTTAAACAAAGATTGCTTTCCTACTTTTTCTCTCTATTGTTTTTTTTTTTTTTTTTTTTACCAAAAGATTGCTTCTACTTTTTCTCTCTATTGTTTTTTTTTTTTTTACATGTCTGTACAGAACAATCTACTTATCATCCTTTTTTTTTTTTTTTTTTTTACATTGCTGTACAGAACAATCTACTTATCATCCATGCGAAAATAGAAACTTATGAGATTACGTTGAACTTTCTAATAATTACTATTTACTATTGTTAACTCCGACTCATACTTTTGGTGGGTTCTTCATCGTTTGATTATTATTGGGATTATTTTGATTGGCCTTTCCATTGGTAGTGACAGTCTTGAAGTCTGCTAGCCTCGCCAACTCATTAACAGCATCAACTATATCTTCCACTCTTGTTACAATTTCTAGTAGCAAAGATACTAATGTCACTAGTGGCAGAACGTCCATTACAGATGGTGGGCTTGTTTTTGCAGTAGGCTCAGTTTTACCACCTTCTGGGTTTGCAGCGAAGTGGTTAGGAATAGATTTAACCGAATTTTTAAGTTCTTGAGCTGCGAATTGCATTTCTGTGATAGATAACCCTATTTTTGATGATATTGTCATGGTTTTTACGGTATTTGCCAATTCTTTCAACACGGTTGAAGCATAGGAACTCAACGTCTCGCATGGATCACTCAGATGCTTCTTTAGATATTCAGGTGCCTGAATTTCTGTGTTAATGCAGCCATTTAGAGTCTCAATGCAATAAGCGCAGCTACGCAATGAGGCTCCAACATTGAGATACTGTTTCCAAGGATGCCGGAAGTTGAAACGACCGTGTGCAGGTTCCCATCTTGCAAAATTTGCCTATTTGTGTTTTCCAAGTTTGAAGTTACAAAGAATTAAAGAGATTCACAATTTATGAAACTAATTAAAAAGGTTTAGCAACTAATTACCATAGAATCTTCTGTTCCCTTGGAATTAAGCACACATCTGTACCCTTCCGTTTTCTTGCTAGGATCCTCGTCACTATTGCTTGCGAAATAACATTCCATAGATCCTGCAAATCATTCATGTAAAAAATTGGGATAATTACTTTCAACTCCCTGAAATTTATGTAAAAATGAAATGGATTATTTCAAATATAAATTGTATTAGGCTGAGGTAATTTGTACATACCATCTAAGGAATGAGCAAGTTTTTCGAGATTACGAATAATCAAATTGTGAAGCTCGCCGCCAGCCCAGATGGGACAGATAAGTATGCTTATCAAAATGCACAAAGAGGTTCCAACAACGATTGTGGAAAATCTATGTTGAGCCAAATCAAACAATTCATCAACTCTATAGCCAGAAACTGAAACTAAGCTGAAGGTGAGAATGAATATCATAGCACCATAATCAAATCTCGCTTTAACTATTGGTATAAACCGCGAGAAAGTTGCTGCTGAAGCTGCAACCAAGAAATGAGCATATTATTACCATTAAAAAATTTGTAGGGAAAAAAAAATATTTCTAAAAAATTACTAACCAAAAAGGAAAACTGAGAATCCAAGAATTACTGGCTGCAGTTTTGCTCCTGTCTGACTTGCAATCCAATTAACACCAAGACCAAGTGATCCAGCAAGAAAAGTGGCAATCGTTCTGTTAATACTTTTACTTAGTGTTGCACCTGCAATAAAATTATTAGTCTTATATAATTAAAGAAAATTAATTGGTTATTTGCAGAGTAACTAACCTGCTGTGTTTTCAAAAACTACAACAACTGTCATAACTGCCCACATAGCATTCCCACCAACACCTTCATACAAGGGTCTCATATAGTACAAAAGTGACACAACACAAAGTGCCACTCCTACCTTCACACCATGGATAACCTTTCTAGGATCAGCTACTCCCATCATCCAAGCCTTCTCTAAAAATTTCCAAACTTTCAAAATGATTAAATTCTTTAACCATACCCATATTTTTTTGACTACTGGCCCATCTGATTCTGCCACCAATTTCTCCGATGTCCCATCATCTACACTTATCCTCCATTCTAATTTGTTCGACGCTTCCTTTCCCATAACTAAATAACAAAGTTTAGGCTCTTGATAGGGCAAGTTTAAGGTTATTACTGTTTTTGAACCTTTGAGTAGAGAAACTAGTTCGGCTTTTGTTGTGTATTTACATATATGATCGGTTGTAATTAGTAAAGCCGTTATATATATAGTGGAGGCCGGAGGGTGGTAGAAGAAGCTTTTAAGTTCTTTGTTTTTTTGACAGATTAGAGGCCAAAGAAAGAGACGCAAGAGAGAGTATGACCTAATTTAAATAAATAAAGAAAAAAAAAAAAAAAAAAAAAAGAGAGAGTAAATGACCCTAATTTAAATAAAATAAAAGAAAAAAAAAAAAAAAAAAAAAAAAAAAAAAAAAAAAAAGGAGAAGATCGACTTTAGCTAGACTCCACTGCATTAATATGGGTTTTAAAATTTACAAAGTTTCAGAAGATATGCCGACGGTAATGTACTTTTGAGGAAGTGGATCTTTCACCTTTCAATATGCACATAGAGATATTATCTCAATATATTTAATTATTTGCCATTAAGCAATAAAATGCACTTCAATTGATTCATAATCGTTGTGTTGGTTGACATATCGATCAAATGTTTTTTGATTTAGGGATATCAATTTGAAGACTTTGAAATCTCCCTCCAGTAATATACCACATGCATACATGCATTTGGCCACGTCAACAGCCAGCAATTGCTTTTGTAAATTTAGTTTCCAAGTTCTAAGGCAACTGTCACAGATCCTGGAAGTTAAATCAACTTGTTAAGTATATGTGACCAGTGGAAGGAGAGTCAGAGACCTAACTTTAGGTGCAGTCACCACTTATTTAATTATTATTATTATTTTACTGTTTAGTGCGCTTGCCCTAATGTTATCTTGCAAATTCCAATATAGTATTTTACATTTTAATTAGTGCTACGGTTGTGCTTTCTTGTCACTATCATTATACTAGTTTATCTCTATTTGTTCCCGATATTCTTCTGGCTTCATTAATTTCCACATCAAATTTTAATTAATTAATTAATTATTCTAATTAATTAAAAAAGAAAAAAAAAGTAAATAATGCGCGTTTTGTTGGCAAAAAAATCAATTTTGAAAAGTGATCTTCTGAATTTTATATTATATTTCTAATAAAATCACAACTATCATAGTTTATTTGCAAAAACTTGAGTTATTTCTTAAATAATTACTGAAATTATTCTTCCTACCAGACATTCTGAAATTATTCAAATCAGTAATATTTTATTTTCAAAATTTAGTCTGACTAGCAATTAGCTCTTGCTTACTTAAAAATTTAAAAGTTAAAAATAGACCACAATCTAGCAAATAAATTTGATGAAATAATACATAATTATTTAAAAGAGAAAAAAAAAAGTAAAAAAGCAGTTCTGTCTGTCAAAGAAGTTATTCGTCTGGGCCCTCTCTATTTTTGTGGACCCACTTAGTGTCCATTCTAAAACTATAAGCCCAGTAAAATTGGATCTAAATTGACTTGTAGTTGGTTTTGTAAAGTATGTCAACAGTCAAAAAGAGCCTGAGTTAGTTTATTTAGTTGACTTCATAAATATACTGCAGTGCAGGATTGCAAGTTGTAGGGGAAGAAAATTCGTAAGCCTTAACTCATATCAACTGGACTCCTATCAATTTATCAATCAAACAAACAACGACCATATTTATATATGTGTGTTCACGTTGACCCGGAGCTCTCGAGGGTGGTCATTCCCCCCCAAATCAATGAGCTCCACTGTAATTTCAAAATTCATGATTTTTCTTTTTGAAATTTGTATATAATTTAAATTAAAGTTTATATAATTAATTATTTTAATATGTTTTAATTATTTTGACATAAGGGAAAGGAAATCATTTCTCTTATTAGGGGAGCTGCTTCCATCCCCTGTGTAAACCGGATTATATAACCAACTAATTATCTTAATTGTTGTACTTATGGGCAAATAACCCAAAAAAAAAAAAACAAGAACAAGAAAAATGGATATATTAGGACAAGTAACTCTTTTTATTTTGTAATAATGAGAAACAGATTAATTTAAATTCGTGAACTCCCAAGTTATATAAGATTAATTTAAATTCGTGAACTCCAAGTTTATAATATATATATATATATATATATATATATATATATATATATTATATATATATATATATATATATGATTAATATATATATATATATATTAAAAGAGGTTTAATTTTCTTTCATATATTAAAGAGGTTTAATTTCTTCGGACCGTAAAGATTATAGCAAAATGCTGTTTTCGGAATCTAATTTATATGCTCACCTTGCGATAATTGAGATTTTTAAAGTAATTTAATATTGTTGAATCAAAAATTATTAACATGTACAGAGTAATAAGTGGTGAATTGTTCGGTGAAATCATGTTTTCAACTGCTACCATCGTCGTGTGTTTGGCACTTTCCGATCTGAAAGAGGGTGGTTGATAAACGTAGGATTAAGTTTTATCAAATTACGTATGTTTGCATTTTGTCTATATAGAATTAGTCACCGATTAGCACCAGACACTTCCAGAAAGAAACTTACACCCAATTTACAATTGTCAACTTTGAATTGTTATATTACACAAAATGAAACATATATACTACAATCCTGCCAAAGGAAAATATAAACACGTATAAAATGTTTCATTTTAATATTTATAATTAACATTTGACACATCTTTCATAAAATCTGCATAAACAAGGAAAGAAGAAGAAGATCTTTCACGCTTCAAAATAACCAAAAAAACCCAGGAAAAACAAAAACAAAGAAAAGAATAATTCTCCTTTCTCAAGGGGGAAAACAAAGAAACCATATACTATGTGTCTCAAGTAATTAATTAAACTTTCAAAGGAGAGGGAACGCAAGAACACTTTCTCCATGTATTTTTATGAAACCCTAAAATTTCATTAGCTTTATTCTTGATCTTCGAATCACATCCACTTTGCACCACCATGAAAACCTTGGCCACACCGCCAACCTCCACGAATTCTTGTGCAACCTCACGACTCTTACAAAACTTCAAAACACACAACAACAAACTAATTGCTTTATCATTTCCAATATGAGAAACCTTCAAAATCTTTGACAAAACAGCTGCAATGCCGATTGGATGCGCAAGAAAAGCCGCCCGCCCTTCAGATTTCCTGCAAAGCTTTTCTAACACGGTCAACATCATCTCACAGTCCCTTCGTTGTATATTCTCAGCCAACAATTCTACAAGAACTGGAACACAACCTCCTCTAATTGCTTTCTCACTATTTTTTCCAAATGGTAAAACCTCCATTAAAATGGTTAAAACAGCCATGCTTCCATTTTTTGAATTTTGATCTTTTAATATCTCTGTAATACTCTCAAAGAACTCTAGTTTAAGTTCTGCCTTGTAAGTCTCATCTACAACTTTGAATATGGACTTTAGAAGAAGAGCAGCTTTTGTTCTTGCCTGGTTGTGTAAATATTTTGTCGTAATGTTACAAAGTGAAACGATCAAAACCCCATTTTCATTCCCTGACACTATCTTTAAAGTCTCATCAGATGGCTTTAAAAGACATAAAATAGACAGTGCTTCATCGATAATTATAGACGATGAGCCGTGACCTGGAGGTAACCCAGATTTCGCTACAAGCGAAGCTACGGAAGAAAATAAAACATCATCTCCTATGGATAAATTCATGTCACCATTATTTTCTTGGATTAGGGTTTTGATTTTTCCAAGAGACTTCACCTGTAAGTGAGGTTGTTTGATTTCTTCAAGAAGAAGACTAATATTAGAGACCGAGGCTTCCAGCTTTGTGTTCTGCGCTATAGATTTTGTTGATATATCATAGGGCAGATTTTGTAACTGCCATGACTGGATCAAGCGAAGAAGATTGGAGTTTGGGATAAGAGAGAAATCGGAGAGAGGTTCTTTTGTAATGGGACAAGTGATATGGTTATAAGAGAATAGCCATTTCTGAATGCTATCTTTATCAAAAGTCATGCCTGTGGAGATAGTAACAGGATCTTTCATGATTTGAAGAGAGATGGGGCAGATAAAGAAAGATGGTATATCAAGAGAATCCATATTATTGCTATATATTCTGGGAAAATGAAGATCATCAATAACAAAGAACTCAGATATTATTATTCATATATGAGCTGCATCAAAAAGCAGTGAACAAGTGGTTTGAATAATTAATGGCTTGTTAATTTGTAGTTGACATTTGAACGGTCAACAATAAACGGCCCAATCCGCAATGTAAAAGAGCAGAGCAGTGACACAAATTAAAATTAAAATTAAAGAGAAAGGGGTATTAAGGTGATTATACTTATAGCTCTATCTCTTACAAGTTGAATGGACCAGCATCCTTTTCTTTCACAAAACCGTTGACTACATCTTCACTTATAATTAACTTGTCAGAAACAAGAGACAGTAAGTTTTTGGTGGGATTTTTTTTATATAGTTTTGTTTTATATCTCAACCATAATAACCTTTGAATATTCTTTATTTTCTATTATAAGGGATTACTGTAGGATACATTAAACAAATTAAAAAAAAAAAAAGTAGTGCCGCGCACTCTTTATTTATATATTTATTTATTAATTAAAGTCGAGTCTTTTTTTTTTTTTTTTTTATTTCATTAATTAAAGTGAAGGTCTTTTTTTTTTTTTTTTTAATCCTTGTAAGATAATGATTGGATTGGGTAATATTTTTTTTTTTTTTTTTATTCCTTGTAAGATAATGATTGGAATTGGTAATATTTATATAAGTGCTAACTACATTTGTTTTTATATTTCTAATCAGGAGGCGTTTTATTTGTGTATATAGTAAAATTAGCGTTCGGATAATTTATTTAAGTCATATTGGATAATAGCATTTAACATTTTGATTAAGTCAAAAACTTTATTTTTGTTAATTGAATTATTCAATAATATATCTTTCATAATAACTTTAAAAAATTGATGAAATTTTTTATGAAACGTTAACTACTTTAGTATTTAGCGTTTTATGGAAATTAATTAAATTTTTTGACAATTATACCCATAACAATTAATAAAAATAGATACAAAAATAAGTAATATTACCAAGGAGGCCTTTAGTGTTTTTTAATTAATGAACAAAATCTCAATAATATAAAATATAAAATTCCTTCTCTCAGTATTATAAAATGGAATTTTTATTGAGAGACTTATGCCGTGTTATTATTATTATTATTATTTTATTTCTTCTGGATAGACGAAGGCATCAACTGAGATCCTCTATACGCTATCACTTTAAAAGGAGAACCCAAAAAAAAAAATAAAAAATCAAATAAACTAAGAGCTGATTAAGTTTGACCAGTCAGAACAGATAATGACAACTTTTGTTTTTTTAATAGATAGCGGTTTCTGTGTTTTGTTTTTCTATTTTTGAAACTTGACAGCGTTTCTTTTATTGCTTATATCTTTTCCTTTTTCATTTTTCATTTTGCTAGGGTTTGACAAACTGCTAATCTTGACGATTATGAAATTAAATATATATGTCAACATATACGAGATTGATTTGTTGTATAGAATAGGATCACAGTTACTTTTATAAATTAAACTAATGAAAGTAAAAATTATTATTTAAGTGATATTACAAATTCAATCTAAATAAATATTTGATCACTCGGCAAATTCAAGTGGTCCCTTCCTTAATTTCACTGTCTATAAAGTAACTACTTATTTATTTTTATAAGGCTTAGCCTAATAAAAAATAGTATATATTTTTCAGACTCAAGACTGAAAGAATACCATACTATATAATAAGGGTAGTATTCAAATTACTAGTAAAATTAATAAAAACTCTTTAGATCAAAAGTTTCAAACCCGAAACTTCTAACTCCTTATATAAATGAAAATATCAATTAACGTACATCTAATTGATTTGAACCTCATTTTTTATGATTTTGAATATTAATGGAATCATAATCTAAACAGATGGATTTAAAACCTCAAATGCCATCTATATATTTTTTTTTTTTTAAATCAATTATTGCTTGTAAGAATAACCAACCTTGACAATGAGACATTGCGCGGGGAATAAATTTATATTCAGAGTTTAATTTATACTATGTTTGGGAAGGAAAGGAAAATAAGAGAGAAAGGAAAATAAGAAGAAATTGTTACTATTCATTTATCTTCCTTATTTTCCATCCCATGTTTGGTTTGGAAGGAATATAAGAAATTTTTACTCCACTTCCATCACTCTCTCCCCAATTTGAAGAGATTGAAAAATTATGGGCTCGGAAGGAAAACATTAAAAATTTTCCTTCCTCTCAAATTTCCTCCCTTGTTCCAAACCAGGAAAAATGAGATTCACAATGCATTTTATACCTATATTTTCTTTCCTCCATAGAATCCCCCCTTCCCAAACATAGTGTAAATGAATTAATTTATACACCACGACAGCAAATGTGAAAAATAATAATAGTAATAATAAAAACAAGTAAATCCAAAAATGTATTTAGGATAATTATTATTATAAAATAATTAGATACTCCCTTTCTCTTATAAATTACTATCTTAGTTTGACTTGCACATAAATTAAAAAATTTTAGTTAATATAGTTAAACTTTATTTATTTTTCTAATATACCCTTGCATTAATATCTATTACTATTAAATTGTTCTTAAAATTAATTAAACATTTGAGTAAATAGCGTTTTCATTTTGATATTTTGATTTTATTTAAATCATGATTTAATTAATGATAATAGTCAGACTTGACTATTATAGTAGTATTTGTTAATAAAAAAATTATAGTGAATAAGGATAAAACAACAAACTTAAATAAAGAAACAAGAGAAAAATTTAGAATGGATGAGAAATAAAAATAGAACGAAAATTATAGGATGAGAATCACAGAGATAATCCTCATACTTAATTAATCATTTCTCTTAGCTTCAATTTAATCCTTATTATATATAATTTAAAATTCTCAATATATATGTTTTTGGTCTAAATAGAAATCTCCATTACCTCAATGAAGCTTGATCTGTATTTTAGTAAGTAAAAACAATGGAATCGTCATATTATTAGTTTATTACTGTTAGTTTATTGGTATGTTCGATAATTATCGTGATTTTGGCAATCGGGCATCTATAACGGTGCCGTTTAGTAAAGATATTTTTGTATTCCAGTCTGGTATCTGTCATCATCGCTAGTTAATGGATCAGTTGGAAAAGTTAACATTACGACCAAAAGGCAAACGCAATCTGGGTTTTTGGGTCTGTTTTAGGATTAGTTCATAAATCAGAATTCACCAGAGCCCTTAATTTTTTGTCCCAAAGAATTCATTTCGTCTACTTCTATCAAACCCAAATCATCAATATCATCACCAACCAGTAACCATATCTCATTGGATCATCATCCAGGAGAGATTGATTCGGACATACGAGAAAAAGAAAGTTATGGCTAATCTGTATGTAAAGGCGGTGCCACCGGCGGATCTTAACCGGAATACAGAGTGGTTCATGTATCCAGGGGTTTGGACCACCTATATACTCATCTTGTTCTTCTGTTGGCTCCTTGTTCTCTCCATATTTGGTTGCTCTCCTGGCATGGCCTGGACTATCGTCAATCTCGCCCACTTCTGTGTACGTTTTCTATTCTATTTCTCTCTATCTATTCTACCTCTGTATTTATATGGGTTGTGCTCTGGATTTGCTGTTGGGTTTTATCTGCTTTTTTTATTATTATTTATTTAGAAGACAGTATTGTGCTGATTAGGGTTTTGAATTTTTTTATTTGATTTTTATAAGCCGAAGAGAGAAATAATACTAATGGATTGAAGAGTTTATATGTGGGTCATTATGTTTTTGAGTACCCGAATTGGAGTCTCTGCTATGTGGGTCATTGTATTGTTAAATGCTGGAATTGGATTCTTCCCCTTTGGATTTTAGGTTTCCGAGTGTTTTGTGTTTGTTGGATTTTGTTATGTGGGTTCAGGAGAAATGCTCTTGTGGAGCTTCTACCTGACTATTGCGAGTCTTTGTTCTTGGAATTTTTTCCGGCATGTTTATTTTGCCCATTTATCTATTACTTTTTTTTTTTTTTGAAAGAGATTTATCTATTACTTTAGACAAGCTTAACATCAGCTTATTTGTAAAGTAAAAGCAAAATATTTAAATTATATGTTTCTTGTCTTCAGTGTCCTGTAAAGCTGAAATTTCTTTTCTTAAATTACCAAATTGATTTATCAATGCTTAGTAAAAAAATTTGGGTTTCCATTCCTCTAAAGTAAACATGTGCAGCTACATTATTTACCATGGCTAGTTTTCATATTTTGTAGATCTTGTAATAAACAGACAAGTGAGATTGGTGGAACTTGGTTGTGAGTTGTTGGATTCCAATGAATGCATCATTGTATTAGCTCCATGAATATGGATGTTTGGGTTTTAATTCCTCTTTTTTAGTTTTATACATCAAAACATCAGAAAAAAAGTCAGAATATCTATGCAGAGCCAGGACATTGAATCTCAACTTTCCATTTTTAACTCCTTACTGTGGCCAGATACATATTTTCTTGTTGAAGTCTCTATCTGCCCTTGTCATTCTTGGAACATCCCACCGTCCTTGTGGAGTTATCAACTTTAACTCACATATATACTTCTGCTTTCAACATTACGTAATGTTCCAATACATTTTCTTTCTAGTTTGCAAGTCTATACGAACTCAAATTCCCCCTTCTTCTTTTTTTTTTTTTTTTTTTTTGCTTTCATATCTTATTACGTTAATCTCTATATCTACTTTCTTAGTTTGGCAAGTCTATACGAACTCAATTCCCTTCTTCCATTTTTTTTTTTTTTTTTTTTGTATATACATTTGTGATATATCGGCTTGTTAATCGGCTTTTAATCTTTTTTTTTTTTTTTTATTGATACATTGTATCAAAGTTATTATAGTATTATATAAACTTTCCATGGATAAGTTAGGTTTTACCATTTGAGGAAGTTTGATTCACAAAGACCAGCTACTTGCCATAATTGTGTCCAAAATTTTTTGTAAATCCACATTGCAATGTTAACAGATTTTCCCGATAGGCTTATCGAGACAAACATTATCCACTCAGTGCTTAATAAATTACGCTTAAGGTGCAATAACCCTGGTTGTTTGTACTATCAGTTATCAACCCTTCTTGCTTGTGGGCTGGGGTAGGCTTCTGCTTATGTTGTGTAATGGCCGAGATATGCTGCTGCACCAAGATTGCATGTAAATCTGGTTGGTGCAACCTGTGAGGAGAAAAATTCAGAGTCTTAGAAGCTGAGTTATATTCTTTTTTATGGTTCATATTGGGAAAGTTTGTAAATCACTGTAAGTGTTAAGACTGTTTTCTCTATGTTACCCAGTGCCTTGGATCCAGATTCAAAGGTAGGAAAATTAGAAAATGGAATTTGAACTAGGTTATTGAGCTCTGAGATATGGGGATTAGACATCTGCGTTTACATATTTTTACCCATGCATTTCTATGAATTCCTGGATGTATATTCTCTTATAGTAGACCTAGTGGTTCTGTCATCACATCACAGTTTTTCACTGATGTCTTTAGCCATATAGTTATATTTCTGAAGTGCTTTGTGTTGTATTTCCTCAATATGGATGAACTTCAAGGAGGGGTATATACTTACTGCAGATTTGTTATTTGAGTTCAAAGTGATTATTATATGTCACGGTGTCTTCTGTTTGTTTAACTCAAGTAATTAGCAAATAAATTCTAATTGAATGATTTATCAAAGCTTTAATAGCTCTAAGCTACGACAGTGTTGATGCTGTTTAACAGGGCTTTATATTTCCAATTTTTGGCCGTTTAAATAACTTAACAGCAGTTTCTCTTTGGCTTAGCACTCTGTTAAAAGGAATGTCACTTAGATCAATTTCTCTTGTGTTCTTTTTTTCTGTTTCATATGCTTGTTTTCAAATACTAGCTTAAGTTGCTTTGTGGTTATATGGACAGTGATTGAGTAGAATATTGAGTAGAATGTTTCACCTTGTAGATCACATACCACTTCTTCCATTGGAAGAAAGGAACACCCTTTGCGGAAGACCAGGGGATCTATAATGGGCTAACTTGGTGGGAACAGATAGACAATGGAAAGCAGCTTACACGCAATAGGAAGTTTCTAACTGTAGTTCCTGTGGTGCTGTAAGTTCCCGCTTTTTTTTTTCCCAATGCATCTGTTTTTACTCTATTATTGTCCTTTTTTTTATTTCTTCTTTCTGTAAAGATATACTCATGGTTTGAATAAATATGCATGTTGAGTTATTTTTTTCTTAGTTGCTTTATTTTCTTTTTGTCATTATTGATGTTTGATACTGTATATATTAAATAGCTGATTGTATGAATATATGGAAGTCATAGTTAAGTCAGCTCTGGACCAAATGGGAAAATCATGTGATTTAATTGTGGTAATTTATTTTGATGATATGACAAGCTTCAAAATCTTATGCACATATTTGTGCAGGTATCTGTTATTTCTGGGTGATTGTCTTTTTTTTTTTTTTTTTTTTTTTTTTTTTTTTTTTTTTTTTTTTTTTTTTTTTTTCTCTCACTATTCCTCTGACCCTTATTGAAGGTAGCATCAAGCATCTCCACTCCTCTTTTAATTTAAGTTAACCATGCAGGAGCCATTATGCTTCAGAAAAGCATAAGCAATCTTTTTTTCCTCAACAACATATTCACAAGATTGTATTCTCATGAAGGTTTGAACTTTGCATATCATTGTTGAATCTGAGTAAATCTGAGTTAAGTGCACGTGCTTGTTAAGGGTAGTTAATAGTATTCTACATTTTTGCCCATAGTATGTAGACACTTAAGGATTGGAGTGCAATCATTGGGCAGCTATTGCATTGTTGAGACTACGAAATGTCTTTTATATATCTAATTTCCAATCTGGTTAATGTAGTAAACAAGATATAGTTTGTTGTGCATAGATAAATCTTTGAAAGGCAAGGTAGGCCATTTTTTAATGTTGCGGATATATTTTATTACCCCATACCTTATGGCAGTATGTAACATGTTACATGTCAATAATTCAGGCGCTTTCTTGAATGCTAATTATTGTGGGCTACACCAAAAGACATAGCCAAGCAACATTTATGCATGATATCAGTTGCATGCTCTGCCACCTGAATTTTGTTAGATACTTCATCTCGCATTAGCTTGTTCAAAGTTTGTACTTAAATTACCAAGTAGGAGTGGTTCTGGTGCACATGCAAGTAACTATAAGAATATTGGATTTTGGTGCCCAACCCCTTTTTCTTAAGTGCAAAAAGAAAGTCGAGTCATTTGATCATTTCACCTTGAGTTATACTGCAATGCTACACATTGACATTACGCTCAAATTTTCTTTCTTGCCAGGTATTTGATAGCCTCTCACACAACTGATTATCAATATCCAATGCTCTTCTTCAACACACTTGCAGTGCTAGTGCTTGTTGTTGCCAAGTTCCCGAACATGCACAAGGTTCGGATCTTTGGAATCAATGCAGACTCGTGAAGATGGGCTTCTGTTAAAAATGGTTGTTTTACTTGTTTAAAAAGCCACTGTCCATTGATCCATCTGCTACCCTGCTGAAAGGTTGTATCTTTGTATAGAAAGTCAGAACTGGAAGGATATTTGAATATGTAATACACTCTCGAGCAAGTTTTTTCAAGTTGTCTTTGTACAGTAGAGAACTGTTGTGTCCTTGGCTTATTACATAATTTTGACCGTGCTATTGTTGTCTCCTTTTTTTTTTTTTTTCCTGTCCTGTGCAACAGTTCTCAATTTTCATAAATACCTTTGAGTTTTTATCTTTGGTCTCTTTCAACCCCTTCATAAGAACAGGAACCAAAGACATTGTCCAAAAGGAAAGAAAGGAATATGGAGACTGGAGAATCAATAATTGAGCATATAGCCCCCGTGTTGTGCGGACCAAACATAATGTAACTAGGCACTTCAATTAATAGAGAGGAGCCCAGATTTATGTTCTACATACCTATTGCAGAGGGCCTAAAATTGGGAAGAAAATGACACCCATCATGGGTTGGGTTGCTGAATAAGCTTCTTTTCCACCCAAATTCACGTTCAACAAAATCTTTAAACTAACAGAAGAAAAATGAAAAATATAAAAATGGATCGTGTTATAATAAAGCACAGAGTATACAAAATTCACAAAATTAATTTTTTAAGTTGAAACATGTCTAGATTCTAATCATATACTGCTATTTTCACTTATATTTATATAGAATCTAATTAGGTGGAGGAGAAGATTATTTCTTCGCACGCTTGCCCAGGGGAATGTTTGAGGGTCCCTCTCAAGACTAAAGTGAGGGTGGACTTGTCAGATTTTAATTTCTTAGTCATTAAATATTAGTATATAGTTTTGAAAAGAGAGAGAGAGCTTAAATAACACGCGGTAATGATAATGATAATTCATGAAAATGAAATGACGATAGGGATTGTTCTCTAAATTGAGTGGATGGCTAAAAATTTATAATTAGGTAAGCTTTTAGTTGGAGCAGGTAAACTGGTTTTCCAATTACAATTTGCTTTGGTCGTTTAATTTGTTTAATTCAAATTTAATTGCAGAGATTTATTTGGGTTCTTACTAGTTAAGTATCTCATTGAAATAGAACCAAAAAAAAAAAAAAAAAAAAAGGAAAAAAAAAAAAAAAAAAAAAAAAAAAAAAAGGCTTGAATCGTAACTTTTTGGAAGGTGGGGCATGTCAAGCTCAAGTTGCTTTCTTCCTTCTTTATAGCCCCTATATTTACTTGGTCTATTGAGTGCATTCAAATTAATATTTTCTTTTCAGATTTTTTTTTTTAGTTTTTTCGCGACTTTCTTCAATAATTTTCAGATTTGTTCCATTCAGAAAACATTTGTGAATCTCATATTGAAATCGATTGATAAATTTTGAATATAAGTCTCTCATATTTATTTTTGTTGGTGGATTTTGAATGTATTTCTTTAGCGGGATTTTATCGTATTTTCACTGCTTTGACGGAGAATTTCCTCTTTGTTGATTAGTTTTTAATTTTCGTGTAATCGTTCAATACCAATTGTTGATTCCTTATAGATAGAAACTTTATTATGAGTAATGATCTTCTATATATTAATAAAGTCTAATCCTGTATTGACATTTGACGGATATAAACTCTTTTGTGTGTACCGAATGTAATAAGTACATGAAAGAATCAAGTTATAAATGTTTTTCTTATCAGTTCAATTCGAAAACGTACTATTTTCTAATATAAAAGGATAATTCTTTTGCTTAATCATCTCCAAACATAATATTTCAATTATATTTGAGAATGTTGTGATGAATTTATATTATCATTAACAATAAATTGCAATCTTATTTAAAAAGAAATTTTAATATCATCTTTTATTTAAAATGAAAAATAATTAATGAAAATGTCAAGAAATATTATTGTTTAGATGGATTATACGTGCAACGTTCAATAAGAATTTCCATAAAACTTCTTTTTTGTGATGCTATTTTGCAGGATATGTATAAGGTGCTTCCACATTAATGCAATTTTTAATATATTTTGAAGCTGCAGTTCAAGGCGAAAAAATGAAAAATAAAAAATAAAAGAGAGGAGGAAGAAGAAGAATTACAACATCAACAAACCCACAAAATCTCCATGATAGGTGAAAATTTATTAAGATAAAAATAATTAACTAGAGGAATAACACATTATTATAGTTGATTCAACGTCCATATTATAAATAATCTCCAAACCTAATGAAGTTTCGAATACTGCACACAGACAAATAATAAAATTGAGCCAACTCTTGAAACTTGAAACACCATCAACACTGCAAATAAGGTGCCCTAATTTGAGATAGAAGAATTTATGAATACAGTCCTAAAACCCAAACTTATATTCACGTCTTCTTCTATCTTTTCACACCATTATATATGTAATAAAGAAAGGGAAAAAAAAAAAAAAATAGAAACCCTTCTGCAGCCAAACCAAATGAGCTTCAATAATTTTTTTACACTGCTCAAAACAGTAATAATTAAAGAGAGAAAAAGAAGAATCCTATCTGTTAGTCATGAACAACTTTCAACAAGTGACCCCCCCCCCCCCCCAAAAAAACAAAGTGTGCCCCAAAAAAAAAAAAGTGTAAAAAGAAACAAGATAAAGTAGTTTCTTGGTCTGCTTGTCTGTCTTTACCATGATCCACCACCTCCACCAAACATTCCGTTCCAATATCCATTATTGGAAGAAGAAGAATTCTCTTGCCCTTTATTTTGATGATCAACTTCTGTTGTGCTTGAAATCTGTTTCAGCTCTCCAAAAGGAAACAAAATTCTTCCTCCTGCATTTTCTTGATTAACTCCAAATCTACTACTTCCTAGCCCTTCAACTGAAAAACTAAGTGTTGGTTTGAATTCTTGCACAGGAAACCCAGATGAAGAATATAGAGCGTTTGAATCTGCCATCGGTGTTGGAAGAAAAGAATTCAAGCCTCTTGAAGCAATTCCAGTTCTTAGCAGTTCCAGAGCTGAAGTATATGAAGAAGAAGGAGAAGAATTATGTTGGTTGTTGTTGCTGATGATGTTTTCGGTTTTGGGTATTTCAAGAAAATGAGAAATACCTTGATGATGACTTTCTTGTATAGCAGGGAACGCAAGATTTAGATCTTGACCTTCATTATTCTTATTAGCAAACTGTGACATACTTGGTGGGTTTAGATCAGGAAGCTTAGACGATGAAGCTGATGATGATGCTGCAGCTGAAGACGTGGATCTTTTGTTCTTTCTAGAACCTCCTCCAACAGGAACATTTCTAAGAGATCCTCCTTCTGTCCAGTACCTTCTACAAGTCTTGCAAAAGTATCTTGGTTGAGTCAGACTATAGTTGTTGTAATAACAAAACTTAGTGTTTGTTGAATTACATCTTGGACAGTTTAATTGTTCTTGCGGTCTTGCTTTTCTCTCCAACACTGGCCTTGTGCATGTATTTGGTGATGATGATATTTCTTCCATGGCCTTTATTCCTTTAATTTCCTGAAAACCCTAGAGTCACAAATTAATTGAAATCCATAACAGGACTGCTGTTATATGGAATGTTCAAGTAAACAAACAAATAAGAACAAACAACAGATCAAATCATCAAACAAAACAAACCAGGTTTTTTCTGTTTGCTGAAGAACGAGAAAAAGGAAATAAAAAGGGCCTAATAAAAGAACAAATGATAGTAACAAATTATACCTTTTTCCTATATATTCCTTTATGAGTTCATACACAAAGCAAAAAAGGCCAAGAAAGAAAAAAAGGTGCAGGTGCTTTAATGTTTCATGAACCAAAAGGAAAAAAGAATTAAAAGTTTAAAACTTTATCCTTTCAAAAATTAATTTACACTTTCTTTCCACATGAACATCTGAACAAGAGAAGGTATAAGTCGAAAAAAAAAAGCCACAACTTTCGATCTCTTACATAAGTTAACCCTAAAGCCCTAACCAAGAAAATTAACAAATAATAGAAAAATAAACTGGCCAAAAGAAAAAAGAAAACCCACCTGCGGCCAAGAAGCAGCATCCATAAATTCAGAAGAAAAGGAAAGAAAAGAAACTGATGACTTCAGAGAGAGAAAAGAAAAAAAGAAAGCAAGAAAGCAAGAGAGAGAGAGAGAGAGAGAGAGAGAGATATGCGAGAAGAAGAATTCACCTCCTTTGTCTGCAGCTGCTCTTAGTGCAAGAAAGAATGTTTTAGATTGTTGTGCGGTGGCTTTATGTGCTGGCTCACTTTCTGATGAAGATAGAAGAGAAAAAAAGAATTAAAAACAAAAAAAGAAGGTGTCTGTTTTGACTAAACACACAATATACTAGTATAGCACTATAACCAAATTTAAGTTGGCACATTTAATGTGGGAACTTTTGTCTGATTTTAATATACTCCATAGTGGATTAAATTTACTAATCTTTTTTCCTATATATGTATTTTATTGGCTGTGGGTGGAATTATGAGTGAGTGTACTGTGGTGGGTTTTCTACTTTTTGACCTTATAATGGACAAGTCTTGATTCTTGTTCTTCTCCTGTCACCTGTTTTTAGTGTTTTCCTCAGGACCACTCATGAACAAAGGTTGTGGTTTTCTGTTTGTTTGGTTTGGTTTATCAAACAAAAGATAAGATTTCATTACTTTCAACTCTCTGCAATTTGTCAAAAGATCCTCTTTCCACACGATTATATATATGCTCATCTTTTTCATGCTTTCGGAGGCAACTTCCTATGCCTTTGCTTCCACAATAATTAGTTATATGTTTTCATTTACTGTGTAAAGGAATTTTATATCGATCATCAGTTTACCTGACCTGATCATCACCATCATCTTATTCCTTCACAGCACATCCTTGCAGACGGAATTTCATCGTTCTTTTCAAATGCTTAACTTTCAACTTAAATACCATTAATTAATTAAAAATCAAAACTTTTAGTATTTTTCTTGTTTTATTACTCACAGATAAAAAGGTATACATATGTATAACAGATACTCCAGTATTTTTATTGTTCTTTGTTGAAATTTAAGTTTTTAGTCTCAATACAAATATATTAGAACCATATATTCCTTTTTAATACTGAAAAAGGCATTTTTCTTTTACTTGAAAAGCATAATAATAACAAACAAGAAAAAATCACTAAAAGAGAAATTATGTGAAAGCTATATATGACAAAGATATACTGATCTGATAGCACCATTATAATAATGACATGACAAATTAATATTCAGTGCCCAGAAACAATAAAATTTTAAAGTAAAAATCTTAAACCGCCTTAATAAAAGAAATTAATGGTAAATTTTTTAAAATTATCTTATTTAGACTCAAGAGCAATTTTTATCACATAATAAGCATAATTTTTATTTGGATTCAGTTAAATTAAAAGATTTATAATTTTTTTAGAAAATTAAGTGGCAAAATAAAAAGAAAATGCATTATATTAAATTTTAAATTATCTAATACTTATAATATTTAGTCCTTTTTTCATACACTTGGTTAAATATTCTAATTATTGTGAATTGGAAATAAATAATTTTTCCCTGAAAATAATTACCATTGAATTACACTATCGAGTTAAAAAAAAGGTAGAAAGATGAAAATGGAATTGAACGGCAGCAATTCAAAAATGAAAAGAACAGCCGACAGGAGCCGACAAAAGCAAAAGTGGTGGGTCCCAAATAATGCGCGGTAGGATGGACGAGAAATTCTTATGTTGGATGTCTTTTTTTTATGACAGTGACGACTTGAGGTTAAAATTATTTTCAATAGCCAATCGAACCGAATCTCACTACCGGTGCGACCCCTTCATCTTTCTTTTTATTTTTTTTTACACCAACCGCAGTTTCAACTAGTAATTTCTCCGTTCCTTACTAGAACTAGAATAATGCGTAATTTCTCTATTTTAAAAATAACTTTAATAGGTAGATGATCTGACAAAACCATTTTAATAATAAAAAAAATTAAAATTCATCCATTCATTATAAACTTTTTACTTAATCTGAACCTAAATTACAGTCTTTAACTGAAAGATAATAATTAATAATTAGCCCAATCAAAATTTGGCGCGGTTTTTTATAATACAGGGGGCGATTACGAAGAGCAATGATTTTTTAGAAAGATAATATAAGCAGATGCTTAGGGAAGAATGATTGCAGTCATTCTGGTAATTTCAAAAGAGGTAATTTTTATGAGTAAAGAATGAATGCAGTACACTTGATTGGTTAACCTTTTTGTTGACATAAAATCATCAATCAGGAAAAAAAAAAAAAAAATTTATATGAGTAAAGAAATGAAATGCAGTACACTTTGTATTGGTTAAACCTTTTTGTTGACATAAAAATCATCAATCAAGGAAAAAAAAAAAAAAATACTACTTTTTAAATAACATTGATCATACAATCCAATTAGTCCTAAAAAAAAAAAAAAAAAATACTACTTTTTAATACATTGATCATACAATCCAATTAGTCCTTTGACTCGTGGGAAAGCTGAAAACACACGGACTGGATGAATGGTGAATGGTGATGATGGACAATATTTTAATTATTTAAATTAAATTCCCTTTTTTTTTAAAAAAAAAAAAAAAAATTACAACGTCAAGGCTGATGGCTCTGCTTTTAACGTGAAAAACATGTCGACAACAACCGCTCACCTTAGCTTCTGAAATACACGTCCAGAAAGTTCCTCGCTCACTCTTTCATTTCTTAGTGAGAATCTTTTGGGTCTCTTAAAAACTAGGCCCAAATCTAAACATCAATTCTAACTCATTGAAATTGGGCCAACAAATTAAATGGCCTATTGGATGGGCTTGAAATGAAATAGGCTGGCTTCGCTTTATAATAAACCTATTTTCGGAATAACATTTCGACCAGGTGTATGAGGCCAACCCTTATATATCATTCAATTCAATAAATCGGCACAAACAAAAATATTGGTCTTTTCATTGAAAAAAAAAAGAATAAAATAATAAGAAAACCGTGATAGTTTCTCTTAAATGATAATTAGAATGACACAGGTGGGTAGGTAGAGAATACTTAGGAGCGCGAAACAATTCTCTCTAAAGAATTCAGCAAAATAGTCCTGTAACATCGGGAGAAGGAGTGCCTTCTCACAAAAGGGGTCTCAGTGACCAGACCTGGCCAAAGTGCTGATAAATCTTTACAGTATAGATTTTTATTTCATTCCTAAAAATCCCATCACTTAGGAAACTATTTCGCATCCATACCCAACACTCAAGATTTGAATGAACAAAGTGTGTGCATGACTCTTGAAGTTAAATCAGAGTTTTATTATATGTATAAATGATAGCCGACAACATAATTATGCATTTTGGGCCAACTTAGAACCAAAAGGAGCATAATGATGGTCTCTACGAAGAGCGTGACTTCGATGAGTGACCTAAAACTAAGCCTTTAATTTAGTATGATTTTAGTACTTTGATCTTTTGATTCCATTGTCTAACATCAAACTCATCATAGGGTTACCTCCTTTAAAGGCATAATCGATAAGTTCTGCATTTCTCTTTAGGCTGATTACATAAATTTACTGTTAATTTTTATTAGTTTAATTTTGCGGAGTTTTCAATTTATGTTTTGATTCATTAAATATTTTAATTTAAAAAATTAATCATATAAACACTTTAATTTCTAAAATCATTTTATTTAATACTGTAACTTAATTTAAATCAAATCAATCAAACACCTATAAATAGTTACAAATATAATAACTATCATGTATTTAAACTCGCAATTATTACCAACATTGTATACTTTTTCACACTTACAATATATAGCTTTGACTCTCAAATTCAGAGTGTGACCAGATTAAAATTTGTAAAATTAGAGGTAAATTATTATATATTTGACCCTCATCTCAGTGGTCCACATAAGCGCACCAGCAGCAGTTCTAGTACAAAGCTTGGTATAACTGCTTCACTGTATAGTTTCTCCTATATACATATCAATCCAATATCACCTTTGCATGTGTTATAAATTATTGAATATGACGAGTTTTAAAGCACTTCGGTTTAATTCTGAGATCAAAATATTCTTGACGTGCTACAATTTTCGTATAAGAAATATCTTCGAATAATTATTTTTATGCAAAATTCATAATTTATAATTTATAATGTAAACTTGAAAATACTCAAATTTTCGATAGAGTTTGTCATGTTGCAATCAATTTATATGTATTAGGGACGGCCCAATATGATTATATATAGAACATATGCACGAACTTATTTTTCCCAATTATTTGAAAAGATGACGAGCATTAATTTACGAAAATATACTCCAAAATTATACTCTTTAAAAGCACAAACAAAAAAAAAAAATGGTGGAGCCTTGTTGGCCATATTGCAAATCTCTCTCCCTCCGTGTAATGGCGTATCAATAGAATTGAGACCTTGTCCATCGCATGTACCTCTTGATCTTGCTGAGCAGAAGTTGCCAGTTCAACAATGAAAGGAACTAAGCAGAGAGTTATGGGCCGACTTGCCTTAGCATCTTCAAAGCCTGAATTCGATACTATGTATGCTGCCAGTTTCTTCGATCCATCGGTACTGTAATTGCACTCATATCCCTACATTGGCACGCTCAGCATTGTCCAAATATCTCGGTAGTTACCAACTACTTAGTACTTAATAAGGAACAAGGTTTAGTCACTTCAGTATTATACACATTTTGGCCTGGCATGTTTTGGGTATAATGCTGGTTGCATGAATCATTCGAGTTCAACCAAAAATGCATTTCAAGTGCTATCAAATAATTCAACAATGTATTTCGGAATACACCAGATTGACATGGAGAATACATCCTTAAAATTGTTCTAAAAATAATAAACTTCAATACATATATATTATTACCGATCCAAAAATATCTTCGTTCATAAATATGAAAAAAAAAATCAAACATTTTGAGAAGAGAATTATCATACATTATTCATTACTTTTGATCTGAAAAGATAAATATCCTTTTATAATGTTATATAAATTTAAATGTTAAGGTGGTTTAATGATTCTATATACCATTACTTTTGATCTGAAAGAATAAATACCTTTTATAATGTTAATATACAATTTAAATGTTAAGGTGGTTTTAAATGATTCTATATATAATATTTATATATTATATTTATATATATAATATATATAATTATTATATATAATATGATAATATGATTTGATTTGCATGCCAACCAATTAATGTGGAGAAGAAAGAATTAATGGGGTACAAAGAATATGTGCATGCACGTGGTCTTGTGGGTTATGCTATCTCTCTTTAGATGGTATCGCGAGAGACTCCTCACATACATAGCAATGGCAGTCTAATCACTGATTAATAATCTCCTTCCTATTGGCATTTCTCGAAAAGTTTCTCGCTATAGTTCCCCACTTCCCCACATGTTTGATCCCATCTTTTCATCGGCTCCTAATTTCTGACATGATGTTTAAAATAAATAGTAAATAAGTCTCGTCTCATTCGTGATGATTCAACAGAAAGTATTAATCGCCTCTCACGAGCAGCAAGTCTCTTAACCTTTTCTTCGTTAAACAGCGAAATATGGTAACACAGTGTACTATTATATGATTGCATATCGTGAATTAAATGAAAGACACATGTTAATTAATATAAATAGAAAGATGGCTAATTGAAAGCCACAAGTATTGGATAATAAGAATAATAATAGAGTCTTATTGGAGGAAATCATTCTTCGGCTAACATGAAAATCGAAGGCAGCCATTAAGCATGCGATATTATGTAGAAGACGGGTCCACGTGTTGCAATTCTTGAAATGATATTTACCTATTAATTCATTTTATAAGTGGCTAAAAAAAATAATTTCAAAAATCACATCATATGCTTTGTTTAGGATTTAAATATGATTTTTTATGTTGAGCTTAAATGAAAAATGGACAAATAATAGTGTCACTAGTATTATTTCAAAGTAATAAATAAGATAATAACATGGAAACTAAATTTTTGAGATAAACAAAGGAAATTTTTTTCTTATTTAATAGATATAAAATTTATAATTGACTATAATAATTAATCATATTTATTATTTTCTTATATTATAAGTTTGATTTAATGGTTATATTTTTTTTTCTCCACCCAATTCCAATCGTTAAACATGTTAATTTAATAAAAGATTTTTTATATGCACAATAAATACATGTCTATATATTAATTAAATTATTATATACGTATAATATGTGTGGATCCTACAAACTCCAACTACGATCATAGTCTAGTATATTAATTAACTGTCAAGTTTGATATTCAAAAATCAAAATGGATAGGCGGCCTATATAAATAATCAAATCACGAGCGACAATAATATAAGTTAAAAAAAAAAAAAAAAATCATGAGCGAAAATACTCAATTTTGCGATAATGACAGAATAAACTTATTAAATAAACTCATTAATTAGCATTAATTGGGCATTAAGTATAAGCAAATAATAAAGACAAACTGTATTTTTAATCATCTTCCGTTTTCAATTGATTCTGTCGGCTCAACTCAGAATGGTTTAATTCAGTTCCAGTAACCGGAGGTGTTTTATTCATTCTCAGTAAACGTATGAGTTGGTCCCATGTTTTGAATGTTTTCAATATATTATTAATTTAAAAAAAAATTCAATTCCCTTGGTTTATCGTCATCGATGACATATAGACATGCTTGCTTATGTATGGAAAGAAGAAACCAGATCAGATATATAGAGTGGATTTATCCTCTAGACTTTGAACTAGCCAGCTAACTTTTTTAATTTAATAAAGGTGAACAAAATCAGAAACACATAAAATGATGTCATGATGGGATACAAAATTAAAATAACATGCGACAATCACTGCAGGGATTAAGCCCCAAAAACATCGATCTGTTCTCAATTGAAAAATTCCCAAAAAAAATTAAAATATTAAGTAAATAAAGAGTCAATTTTGCGTTTTCTTTTCATTTTAGCATTACAGTTGTAAATATAGATATAATTATACAAATATAGAAATTAAATATGTTGAATTATAGATATAGATACGAGGAGCATAAATACTAATTTTTGAACTTTGATAAATATCTCGAAATGATCAATTAATTAAAATTTCTGCAAAATAAAAAAAAAAAGTAATATAAAATGAACTTTTAATATTTGATGATATTTACTTAAAATGGTTATATTTTTTAAGTCATAATTATTACAAATAAGTACTAGGTTTTATGCTTAAAAAAAAAAATCAATCAACAGAAATAAATTTGTTCTCAGTTTCCTTTATTTAGTAATATATAATTTTTTTTTTTTTGAATTGCTAAACATATATTTCAACTACTTGGTTAATGAAGAATGAAATAATCGTGGTTTAATTACTTAATATTAAAAATCAATTTTAATAATAATATTGCTTATAGCAACTCTTGTTACTTGTTAATGAAATAATTTTTAATTATTTTAATTTTAATTAATCAAATAATCAAATTGAAATATGCTGATTCAGTCAGACCGGACCATAAACATACTCAATTTTTGAGTTAATTAGTTTCTGTTAAAAAACTGTAGAGAATAATGTAGTTTGTTATTTTGCGGCGGAAAAATGCCATTCAACAGCAGACAATTCATAATTCATTACACGTTTAACGTGTATTTAGCATATCGCTGTCCGCATGGAGGAAGTGCTTTTTTTTTTTCTATATTATTGGTTTACATTAATGTAGGTTTATAAATTGTTTGAACTTGCTTGTGTTGTAGTATATGCTCAACTGCTTATGTACATAACAGGATGTTCAGAAAAATTTATATATATATATATATATATAAAGCTAAAAAAACGTATACCTTTTTTTAAATATAAGAAATTTTTAATCTTAATCCAAATATAGTATAGTGTAAACCTCTACTTGTTTATTCTTTTTATCAAGAAGAAAAAGGATTATAATTATGAATTAATATTTTAATTAAATTATATATTATCCTTTTTTATTTTCTTTTCATTTTTGTTATATAGTCGACGGTATTATTTCAGACTCTTAAAAATCTACCATGAATTAAAAAAATTATCATTTTCTTTTTGTTTGTCTTTGAATTGACTTGAACACGAGAGCTACGAATTGAACCCAAGCTTTGAGAATTGACAGAGTCAGTACAATCTCGTGCTTTTGACACAAGAATACTTGATGTTTGGATGCTGTAGTGTAGACCGTACGGCCACAAAAGCGTAGAGTACACGCACGCGCAGGCCAATTGGCGTAGCCGCCCGTTCAGTAGTATTCTTTTTGGTCGCAGCCGTCTAAATTGAAACTTTATACATATTTGAACTTTGAAATTAATCGGAATCCAATCGTTTTGTAGATAAAACAGAATCGGATCAAAATATTCAGTATAAAGTTTTAAACTGAAATCGGTGGTTCAAAGGTCAATTAAGATTCATGTGAATATTAAATTTTGAACCTGAATTGGCTCGGAATCAACGGTTTTAGTCCGGTTCGAATCAAATATTTTTTATTTTTACTTTTAAAATTATAATCACTTAGCCTATTTTATAAAATTTAGTATATAATTATATTGTTTAATACAAATAGGAGTTTAACATTTTTTCCTTTTAAATATTTTACTTAATTCAAAATGACATTGTTTGAAGTATTTTTAAAATTTTTCTAATAATTTATTTAATTAATAACAGTAGACAAAATAAAATGATAATTTATATTTAATTATTTTGTAAAATTAATTAATTTTATTGCTTATATGAGTATGATCTATTTAATTATTTTGTAAAATTAATTAATTTTATTGCTTATATGAGTATGATCATTCTAAAAGTTATTTAAAATAAATTTACTAATATTTTTTAAATTCACATTAATTTTTTAAAATAAAGACGTCTTAGAATTGAATTTTTATTTTTTTAGAAAAAATTAATACATATATCGCTGGAAACCGTGATCGGAACCGTCAGTTCATTGAAACCATATATATATAAGAAGTCTTTTAATTACGTTCTGTTTATCACACAATTAATCCAATTGGCCAGAGAATGGTTTTGTGATGATTTTCTTTTAAATTTATATTATTCCGCCTAAAAGTTTGTAATGTAATATTTAGTGCTTTATCTATAATTAAAATACCATATTTGTTATTTACATGTCTCAATCACGTAATATTTATATTAATATTAAAAAATCGAAGGATTAAAATATTATTTAATAACATTTACTTCAATGCTATTAGAACAATTAATAATATTAGAATAATTAATATTATTAAATATGAACATCATGAGTTTTTTTAATTAAAATGCTCCACGTGAGTTTGGTTCACATATGCCAATGGTTTTTTAATAGTTTTTTCATTAGAAGCAAAATATTATTTAGCAAATACCTATTAAAAATATTATAATAATTATAACAATTAACAACTATTAAAAAAAATTAATAACTATCAAAATAATTGATTTCGTTAAATAGAGCCACGAGAAACGTAGCTCCGGGGATTTCACCCTCTTCAAGTAAATGATAAGTTTTACTACTGTTCAAATCCTCACAACTTAATTATTGGTATGAATAATATTTGCCAGGTATTAATATTAATTGTTCATTGTTACAATTATTAGGTATTCATTTTAATTAGGTCAACTATAGTATTTAATTCACCAACTTATTTCCCATTTCGTTTAGATACGAAAGCGCGTATGTCTTTCTACTTATTTCAGTATCACTATAACATACTCAAGATTATAAACTGTTATTCTTAATTTTCTTTCCTTATAATTTAATATTTTTTTTAAAGGATTTAAAAATTAATATATAATTAATTGAAGCGAATCAATCTACGCTCACAAAATTTTAATTAAACCAGAAATTAATTAATACGTAATGTACTTATTTTCATAATGTAAAGAAATTTATTTTGTTTTATACAAATAAAAATGAAAGTAAAAATGGAAACCAGTGACGACCAGTAAGACAGGCAAAAAAACATTAGGCTACTGCGGTGCGTGGTTTAGCCACAACACGCTGCACGGTAAAATCAAACGCTACTAAGTTACAGAGAACAGAAAGCGGCAGCCAGCCACAAAAGACACTCAGCTCTCCGTTTCTCGTAATTCGGGCAACCCGTTTTCACTCCTCTCGAGATCTTCCTTTCTTTTTCGCTTTATTTTTAATCCGAGTTTATTATACTTTTGTTTGTTCTGCTGCATTTTTTTTTTTGGTTCGAAGTCTCTTTGGCAGACGGAGGAGGAGAGAGAGGAGGAGAGAGAGCTGGAAAATCCCCCATGGAGGATGAAGAACCACTGGTTTCTTCGTTGTTTTGACGGACTTTTCATCAAAAACATCAGGTGCTCAAACCCCCACACCTCGAAATCACTTTTTTGTTTGTTTGTTTGTTTGTTTGTTTACTTTCGACTTTTTGTTTATCCGGAAATATATATATATAATATTTCGTTATATAATTACATTCACTATATTTATCTATTCATAATAATCAGCCTTTTTGTTTTCTTTTGTTTCTTATTTTCCTGTATAGTATTATTGTTCATTTTTAGTGTACAATATTTGTTCAATTACTTCATCTTCATTTGCAGTGATCTGTGTGCATTTACTGTAGTTTTTGCGATTTTGGGTTTACTTCTATATCGTTTCTATCATTTTTTTCCCCACAGTTTTAGTTGTTGACCTTATCGGTGTTAGTGAATTAGGATTAGGATCTGCGTTTTTTGGTCTCAATTTTATGGTTTGATTTTTTTTTTTAATGTTTTTTTAATGATGGAATTTCAATATCTGACGGCCCTATGCTTGGTTAGGACACTCCCTAGGGTTTTCCTGAGATGATTTTGTACTTATAATGTGATGGGGTGAACGTTTGAATCGACCATGGGGAGTTTGAGTAGTGATGAGGATCTGTTCTTTGAAGCCCGGGAGGATATTTCCTCCGTATCCGATTCAAGCCCTGACTGCCCAGAAAATTTGGAGTCTGATCATGGGGTTGTTGTTTCCTCGCCTAGCGTTTTTAGTTATGAGGTTTGGATTAAGAACCTGGACAGCATTCATGAACGGCGCAATAAATTTCTCAAATTGATGGGTTTCAATGTGGATGAAACTGTCGCACATGACCCTGTTAATGCATGTTCACAGGAAGGAGAAGTTGAGACTGATAGAATGACAGAACATAGTGGTTCTGTTCTAAGGTCATCAAGCTTTGATGATAGGTTTTCATCAAGTCATTCTTCAATGTCGTGTTGGTCCAGCAATACCTTAGAGTTGTTAGATGGAGCACTGGAAGAGAATTTTGAATGCAGAATTAGGAATTTGGATAATGGGTCAGAGTTCATTGTGGATGAACTAGGGCAGGATGTCATGTCAGGGAGAATTCGTGAAGTGGGCTCAAACCGGTTGCTTACTGTTGCAGAGTTTGAGAGGAATCTTGGGTTATCACCTTTGGTTCAGCAAGCGATGCGGAGAAATGCTGAAGAGGCATCTGATCTCAGGACAGCAAGAAAGAAGGTAAAGAGGGGATGGTTGAGGAGATTGGGTGCCGTTGCTTGCATAGTTGATAGACAATTGTATGCTGAAGGTATCAATTATAATGGCCAGTATTCTCTTTCTAGGGCTAGGGCTCAAATGGTTCGAGTTCGTTCATATAAGAAACGGTTCAAGGAACTTTCAGCTCTTTATATGGGACAAGAAGTTGCAGCCCATGAAGGTTCAATTTTGACTATGAAATTCAGTCCTGATGGCCAGTACCTTGCAAGTGCAGGTGAAGATGGAATAGTGCGTGTTTGGCAGGTGATTGAGTCTGAGAGGTCAGATGAGTTTGGCAGACTTGATATTGATCCATCACATGTATACTTCACAGTTAATAGTCATTCTGAAGTAGTTCCACTTCATGCCGATAAAGAGAAAAACAGTAAGTTCAAGGATTTGCGAAAAAATTCACACTCAGCTTGTGTCATCTTGCCTCAGAAAATATTTCAGATATCAGAGAAACCAATCCATGAATTTTATGGTCACCGTGGAGAGGTCTTGGATCTCTCCTGGTCAAAGAACAAGGTCAGTAATTGCTCAGGAGCACTTCAGTTATTTTCAGGTACTTGCATTGAATGCGTTTCTGATTGACATTTTACTGTGCAGTATATTTTATCATCTTCTACTGATAAGACTGTTCGCTTGTGGCAAGTGGGATGTAACCGGTGCCTACAAGTCTTTTCCCACAATAACTATGGTGATAGTTCTTGCTTGATGGTCTTTATACTATCGCTGATTGATATGTTAAGGCATTTTAATTTCTATTCCTTCTAATTGATTCTCTTCACACTTCCTGTAATACAGTTACATGTGTTCAGTTTAATCCCATGGATGATGATTCATTCATCAGCGGTTCCATAGATGGGAAAGTTCGCATCTGGACAATTCCTGGTTGTCAAGTTATTGACTGGATTGATATAACCGAAATTGTTACTGCAGTTTGTTATCGCCCTGATGGAAAGGTTATATTTCAACTGTTAGTTTCTATAGGTGATTGGCAGCGACTGATTGTGAGGGATTCTGAGTGCATCTGTTTCTCATGCAGGGTCTAGTTGTTGGCTCAATGACTGGCAATTGTCGCTTCTATGATGCATCTGGTATGTCTTTGTTTCTTATTTCGACTCACACAATCAAATAGAATATTTAGCAGCATAGTAGCATCTTCCAGCATTCAAATCGTTCTCTGATTCTCAGTGTGTTATGTTTGTCTTATAGTGGTTGGAATATCTACAAAATTTTGAAAAATTTCCCAGAAATCATTCAGAAATTCTGAGCAGGGCTTTTGTAGATGTCAAATTGGTTCTCTCTCTCTTTTTTTCTTGGAGAAATTGTAGAACTATTTACAGTAAGCAATGAATTAGTTGAACTGCAGTCTTGCACTGTGTTCCGTACATCCTTAATACTTGTTGCACCTTGTATGTTTGGATAAGACTCTTACTTTTTATGGGGGCTTACCCAATCTTTTCACCCTTTGTCTTGTTAAATGTCACCACCCTCTGAGTCCTTGTTTTGTTGGTGATATGCTTCTACATTGAGATAGAGGGGATCAAAGTACTGGAAGGTTGCATATATTCTTATATTGGGACCTTTTTGTTGTGTTATGGATGAAATCAGAACAGACATATGTTTGCTTTTTCATGTGAATCGATGAGTAATGCTCAAGTTTTTAATATACTAACATCTTTAGAGGGGTAGATTAAGTGGTAATTACAGATCACCAACCCCAATTATTTTCTAACGAAACAAGTAGATGCACACTTGAAAGTTGATTTTAATGTTACACTATGATGCAGGAAGGTTGCTTTGGTGAACACTAACTGGTGTATTTTGCATGGATCAGATGGTCGTCTGCAGCTGCATGCCCAAAAGTGCTTACAGGGTAAGAAGAAGTCAGCATCCAAGAGGATAACTGGCTTTCAGGTGAAGGTCTCTTTGATCTGTTTAATCTTTTCTTTTTTGCTGTTGGTCCTAGTTTGTTGGCCTCGATGCTGCCCATGCAATCATCTTTTCTTTCTCTGTAAAATAAAATTCATAAAGTTGCTACTCTATCCAACAGTATTTCTCCAGTGATCCATCCAGATTAATGGTCACTTCTGCTGATTCAAAAGTCCGAATCCTTGATGGTGTTGATGTGATATGCAAATATCGAGGTGCAGTCTCTTTACCTTTCCTTTCTATTTTGTGAATCCGTCCTGGTATGCATTGGCTTATCACGCCCATTCAACTTCTAAAATTTGTGTTTTATAACTGCTGATTCTTCCTTTACATTTCTTGTCTTTTCTGTGCACAGGCATCCACAATGCAGGAAGCCAAATATCTGCATTGTTCACCTCAGGTGGGACACATATTATATCTGCAAGTGAGGATTCTAATATATATGTCTGGAACTATGCTATCAAGGATGGTCCTGTGCCTCGCGTAAAGACCAATTGGGCATGTGAGCATTTCTTCTCGAACAATGCATCAGTTGCTATACCTTGGCCTGGGTTGGCATGTGGGAACTCTGCATCTTCAGATATAATGAGAACAACATTGCCCTTTATGAACTCAGAGAGATGTAATGAAGAACAAATGTCGGTACACAAAGAGTTGGGTGAGAGTTCACAATGCAAATCGTCATTTTCTTCACCTGATCAATTTTCACTGAGCCATGGATTTTTCTCCGAGTCATTGCCAAAGGGTTCTGCAACCTGGCCAGAGGAAAATCTTCCTTCCTCATTAAGCATGTCGCCTAAAATGTTTAAATCCCAGTACAAGTTTTTGAGGACATCTTACCAGAGCGTCCATGGTTCACCTCATGCATGGAATTTGGCGATAGTAACCGCTGGATGGGATGGACGGATCAGATGGTTCCAGAATTATGGATTGCCAGTTCGCCTTTAGAAACTTTGGATTGTACAGACTATCAAGCAATAATTTCTATGGAAATTTGCCTTTATCTTTGGCGAGACTCATCTCTGGGGTCAGCAGGTGATGTGCTGTACGGTGGACATTCATGAGCTACGGTTGAGATGCTGAGCAATGTTGTCTGGTTGACCAAGATTTTTTAGGTGCAGAACAATTGAACACCGATGACCTTCTATATTTAGCTGGCTTTATCCAGTGTATATATCATTCTTTAATTTATATATTCAGCAGTATGGTGGCTGCATGCCCAGTCTGAAATGTGGGGCTCTGTCCAGTGTCGACCACCAAGGGAAGCCAAGGTATATTGGTATTTTTTGGAGTTCGATTTGTTGAAGGGCGCTGGGCAAAATTAGCATTGGCTGCAGGGAATTGGACGTGGCAGACGCGAAGGATTTTCAATTGATTTCATCATATGATTGCTGCTTTTGGATTTCTGATTTTACCATTTATTATCCCCGAGCTTCTAACTTGGGAGGGTTACTTGTCAGGAGCAGCTGGTATTTGGCTAATCTCAAGGCTCCAACCTTCTCAGTTCCCAGGAAAGCAGGGCCAATCAAAATCGGGTACAAGCTTTTGTATTTATTTATTTTTTTCTTTCTTGAAGTTACTTTTTGTCTTTGGTCGCTTTCCAACACAGTAATTCATTGCAAACAAAAAGAATATACATGTATTAGATATGGTATGTCATTCTAATTGTAATATATACATTTTGAAAAGAAATTTGTCATGTTCGTTACTTACGGTTGTGGTCTAAGCTAAGCATTTGCTCTGATGATACCATGCTCCGATGCTATGTGGTAGATGTAAGAGAAAATATTTTTAATTTTTTTGTTTCTTAATCATTTAAATATTATTCGATTTGAAGAAAATATTTTACATAATTCACAGATTCTGATATGAATCATGGAAAATGTTTACCTGAACCTTTTAATTTGAATAAATTATTTCAGGTAAACATTTTCAATGATTCATATCAGAATCTGTGAAATTTAATTAAATTTCCTGTTTTCGGTATCTTATGTTAAAAACTACTCACTTCAATTTCACGAATTTAATTATGTGGAATTAAATATTATTTTTTTTCACTCATTTCTCTTTCTTCCTTTACTACCTTCTCCCTGTCATTTTGGACCGTATCTCTCTTATTTTCATTTTTTTTCTCCATCTATTTTCAAGGAATTGAACTGAATTCTGAATTTTATCTCTAAAAAATAATTTAATTCAATTTTAAACAAAGTGTGTGAAATTCAATTATCATAAGCAATATTTAAATAAATTAATTATGGGCAGAATTTATTTATAAAATGAATCATGCATACCAAATGGTAATTTAAAAAGCTATAATAATACTACTACAATTATTGCATAACTCAAAATAATTAAAACAATGAATTAAATAATATAGGTGCCTTGAAGTAAATTCTTAAAAATTGATCCGTTTAGATGATATGAACCCGGTGGTATAATGAACCCACTTTCCATGTCAACACAAAACACTGTTCATATATTGGGTTTTGGGCTCAGATTGCAGTCGTATTAAATTTTTTAACAAGCCTAAAATAGGTCATGTCCCAGTGTGGGCTTAACCTAAGCGAAAAGCTTCGGCCTCTAGCTCCAGCTGCCATGTGAAGTAAACTAAGCATTTTTAAGTACAAACGAACACGTGAATTATAAATGATTAATTAGTTTTTCTTTTTCTTTTAAAAAAAATATAATAATATAACCACGTGTTTCTGGACTTCTATATGTATTATTTTAATTCAATATTATTATTATCACTATTATTGATATAATTGTAGTTTATTCTTAATTAAGCCCAAAGTTTTAGAATATTATTTATTCTCTCTTAAAATGGAAATAAATGAAAGACAACCACATAAATTTTCAAATCAAAATAATTTATCATTTTTTTTAATTTCAATAATTGGCTTCAAAGGAAAAGTCATTGTGATTTTGGTACCTATCATATACTTTAGCAAAATTTTTAGTGGACTTAAATATTTTGCAAAGATAAAAAAGACGTTAGTATAATGGTAGGCCGCCGCAAATTACGTAAGCCCAACAAAAGTTGTGGACCTTTACGTTTTGAGGTCCACAGAAACGCTTTTCAATTTTGGAGAAATATATTAGGTGAAATTTGTCACACCATTACTGCATTACACCCTCACTTGCCGGAGTAGGTGGAGGTGGCTGGTTCATTGATGACTGAAATCTGAAATTTATCCTTTTGATTTCAATTTTTACCAAAATTGGGCGAAATCTTAACTTTAGTCTAAACAATAAGGGTGCAATTTTCCTAATTGGACTCGTGAACCATAGATTTCAATTTGATTCAAAATTAGAGTTGTTGTTCCGTTTCTAGTTTGATGATATAATTAAAAAGTTATTATAATTATTAATTATTAATTATAATTCAAACTGATCATGACTTGAGAATTTTGGAAATAAATTTTTTATACTGAACTAAAAGAAATGCATGGATAGAAATAATCAAAATTTGTGATCACAGTGTTTGAGATTATAAAATGCAAAATATTATTTAAAAATAATTAAAAGTAGTATTTAGATTTAAAGTAGCGGAGTGATTTTTCTTTTTTTAGGGTGATTATTGATTCGAACCATATTATTTAGCACAATATACATGTGACGATTATTGTCATTTTTTTTTTTTTTTTTTATCATGAACCTTGAGAATTATTGGAAATATAAATTTCTATACCTCTGAACCTAAAACAGGAATGCATGGATAGAAATAATCAAAATTGTGATCACCAGTGTTTGAGATTATGAAAATGCAAAATATTATTTAAAAATACACTTTAAAAGTAGTATTTAGATTTAAAGTAGCGGAGTAATTTTTCTTTTTTTAGGGTGATTATTGATCTCGAACCACTATTACTTTATCACAATAAAACATGCTGACGATTACTTGTTCATTCTTTTTTTTTTTTTTGTGTTTGCGATTACAAGGAGCGACCCCAAAAGAAATAAAAATTCAATCCATTGAGCCATCTGCCTTAATGCCTCTTGTGTAAAACCCGCGTGACGTTTATTATTATTTTTTTTTCTAAAAAAAAAAATTAACAGCCATGTATCATTTCTCTTAATTAAAAAAATGCCGTGATGTGGCAAGCCTTGAACAGGGAAGAAAGACGATGTTTTTTTTTTTTTTTTTTGTTTTGGATACAAGGGACCCCAAAAGAAATAAAATTCAATCCATTAGCCATCTGCTTTGCCTCTGTGTAACGGTGACGTTTATATTATTTTTTTTTCTAAAAAAAAAAAAATTAACAGCCATGTATATTCTCTTAATTAAAAAATGGTGATTGGCAAGTTGAAAGGAAGAAGACGATCCAATTAATTAGCAGGAACAATTTTTTGTACATATCGACATGATGACTGGTTCAACTTATAAGTATAAAATAACAAAGGGTACAAGCTTAGAAGGACAGATATGAAGAAAGGTTGTTGAGGTGCATATGCATGCACACAATGCACGAACTTAACTGTCAATCATGCAAATTCTTTCTCAGCACTGTTCTTTCTTTACTTTATTGTATTTTTATCGCACTCCTTCTTCTATATATACATACACTTCCTCTATATATATACATCCATTTCCAAGAGCAAAGAAAAATAATTTTCATTTATATAAATATATATAATGGCACGAAATGGAAAAAAAATTTGCTATGAATTCTGGTGTGGTGTAGTTGAGAATTACAAGATTTGATAAAAGAAAAAGAAATGGGAAGAGCTCCTTGTTGTTCAAAAGTTGGGTTGCATAGAGGACCATGGACTCCTAGAGAAGACACATTGCTTATTAAATATATCCAAGCTCATGGAGAAGGCAATTGGAGGTCCTTGCCTAAAAAAGCTGGTAACTTTGCTTCATTTTCTTCAACTTATTTTTCTTCTTTCTCCTTATCTGGTAATCAGTAATGCCCAAATATTTAAAGAATCCATCAATTTGTATAAAACTGAAAAATGTAGTTAATTAACTTAATTCATTCATTTAAACTGTAATTAATTGTTAGCGATGAATATTAACAAATTTTGGGTGTTGATTAATGATTAATTAATACTTGACCTTTCTTCATTTATTTTTTTCTTAGTTTACTTTTGCATATGTTTCTTCTTTTATTAAAATTATATTCTTTAAAGGATAAAATATGTCGGTTAATAGGAAGAATTGAGTAATTTTTTATAATTCTTTTTCTATTCAGAATATAATAATTTTATAAAATAATATATATTTTTAGTCTCAAAAATATTCTCACATCCTTTAGATATAAAACAAGACTTGTTTGATCGAATTCTTGAATTTTTAAAAATTAAATTTGAGTATGGATTATTATTATTATTTTTTTGAAATCATCGTTACTAGAAGTCAAAATTAAAACTTGTACATGAAGTTTTTGGAAATTTATTCTATGTACATGAGTTGGTTACCACAGTTATGACAATTCAATGTTATCTGATATAATGAAATGGCAATTCATAAGAGGGTAGATTTATTATTATTATTATTATTGCTTAAAGATTTAAGTATTTCGTGTAAATGAAGGTCTCCTCAGATGTGGAAAAAGCTGCAGACTAAGATGGATGAATTATCTAAGACCAGACATTAAAAGAGGGAACATTACTCCTGATGAGGACGATCTTATTATTAGAATGCATTCTCTTCTTGGTAACCGATGGTCTTTAATTGCTGGAAGGCTTCCAGGTCGAACTGATAATGAGATCAAGAACTATTGGAACACCCATCTCAGCAAGAAACTTAGAAGCCAAGGTACTGACCCTCATACCCATAAAAAATTACCAGAGCCAATTCTTCAAGAAGGAACAAAAAAGAAGAAGAAAAACAATAATAACAACAAGAAAAACACGAAAAGCAAAGAAAAAATGGAGCCTGAAAAGCCAAAAATCCATCTGCCTATACCTGTTAGGTTTACTTGCTTATCTTTGCCAAGAAATGACAGTTTTGAGTGCAATAGTCTTTGTTCAAGCGCAGGAGGAGAAGGAGGTTCAAGCGCAGAAGCGGTTGTAGGCAATAATTGGTTTAATTTCAAAGAAAATGATGATCATGGGATTAGCTTCCTTGTTGGAGATGTTGGACATGAATTTGTTAACGGCACAGATCATGATGATCTTGCACCTACAGAAAGCGGCAACCTAGAGAAACTCTATGAAGAGTATTTGCTGCTTCTGAAGACTGATGATCGTGATCAAGTAAAACTGGACTCTTTTGCAGAGTCATTACTGCTGTGAAAAAAGAAAAGGAATTTTTTTTTCTCAATTTAATTACTAATTATAATTGCTGTAAATAAATAAAATTAAGTGAAGGAAATAAATGCATGCAGGTCAGAGATGTTGATGTTACGTGCATGGATAGAAATGGTTGGTGGGTTTGAATCTTAGATTCGCGTGCTTACCTTCCAGCCAATTTGGATTGGATTCATGGCCTCCATACATTATCTCGTCATGTTGATTATTGAAAAGGAAAAATTATTGTTTGGAAGATAAAAAATAGTAAGGACAGAGTATGGAAGAAGAATTCTCTCTTTTCGGAAATTATTGAAACAATCCGTATATGTATGAATATACCTGCCCATGCATATTAAATCAGCATATTTTTACACTAAAAAAAAAAATATGAGAGATCCTAATGATGAATTAATAATACGAGTGAAAGAAAAATAAGCGGAGGATTTATACAATATTAATAATATTCACGGCCAGCAGTTTATCACTTTCCACATCAACATTAAAATATCTACCAGAATGCCAATTTAAGACCCTCGAAGAAGGTAGCACATAATACCATAGTATCTCCAAGACCCAAACAAAAACCTCCATGCCAAATTTCCAAGCCGTTCCCCCATAACCCGCCTCCATATATGTCATATCATAATTATATATAATCAATATATTATTATATTTAAATTTTAAAAATTTGCCCCTTCAATTTTTAAAATTTTTAATTTGATCCTTTAAGATTGTAAATATTTTTAATTTTGCTCTTTTTAATTTTTTTTAAAATTTTCCGTTCCCATACATCTTCAATCTTGACTCTACGGCTAGTAATATATGTCAAACGAAATTAGTTTTGTTTTTCCTTTTTAAAGAGAATACTTAATAAGACTGTAAAGTGTTAATTAATTAGCCAAAATTGTACTTTTTGATATGTGTCATACACCAATCACATTTGATATATTGACGTTTTACTCATTGTTGAAGTAATTGTAATGGACCTTTCAAAAAAATATCTATATCTATATATATATGGAAAATTTAGTGGTGTCATTTGCTCTCATTCAAGTTTAAAAAATTTATTTATAATATATGTTTAAATTGATGAAAAAAATTTAAAAAGCGCAGATTTCAGAATTTTTAATTCTATTGATATTAATGAAAAATATTTCTATTTCCGTCGATATATATATATATATATATATACATGTTTTGTTAATTAATTTATTGCTGCTGTTTGCTAAAATTAATTTGGTCAGCAGTGGTTAGATAAGCTCGTGGCCAACTTCTGTTCGCGATTTTGGTGGATGAATTTCGGGAATGGCGAAATAAAAAATTTTCTAGCTTTTTCATCTAATTGGCAGTTACTAGCATTAACTATATCGGGGACGCCTAATCCCATTGGACATTTTTTTTAATGCCATTGTCATTGTCAAACTATTCACTTCATAATAACCCAGTAATTGAATTCACTTGCCAATTTATAATCTTAGGCTCCCTTTATTTCTACAAGAAAGGATATCTACAAACTTCTAGAGGTTAGGGTAATTTCTACATGAAAATTGATTGATCTTTTTGTTAGATCTTTAAAATGATATACTTTTAGATTTTGTTAATTTCTTGTGTTAATTTGGAAGGTTTGTTAAATGCTATCCGGGTTTGGTATCTATCACCCAAAGTCCAAAAATCTCATTGTCATCTTCCTTGTTTGGGTTCTTGTAGATATGATCGCTACCGATAGAAGTTTTATACAAATAAAACCAGTAATTTTCAATCTCTTCTATACCCTCCTGTTTTTCTTGGGAAAATTTTCTAGGAAGTTGAGGAGTGCTACACAGTCTGATTCTTGTAGTTATATATATAAATAAACTATCATTTTGCAGTTTGTTCCTTCAATTTTTTATGCTTCTCTTGTCTTCCTTCATGTTTCTACATCATTTCTGCCAACTTCTTTTACAGGTGCATCCTTTTCTCTTGCTAATGCAGCCTTTACTTGCATATCTTTTAGCAAATCTAGGGAGATATATAGAATTATAAGATCAAAGTAGCAAAGCTTCTATATAATCAAGTTCATTCAAGAAATTGTAACTCACAATTTACATATTATTATATCTTCTTGCACTAAGGAGTTTCAAGTTAATGGTAATGGAATCATCTCAGAATATGAATTGGAATTCCAGTCTAAGTGAGATGAATTTGAATATGGTTAAAATTTCTAACAGTCTCTTTGTTATTCAAGATCTTTTTAATTAACTTGCCTTGAGTTTCAACTTCTAGTCTGAGACCTTATTGTCCAGTTCTTGATCAATTCCAAAGGGAATATTAACATAAGTAGCTAAATACCACTGTGGCTTTGATGGAATCCTATCATGTCAAAGTTTTTGGAGGACCATTATTCTGTATTCAGAAAATAGCCAAATTGCTCATATATATATTATCTATGAGGAAAAAGAAAGTTCTGTCATGTTTTTCCCTTTAAGAAGGAAATCCTATTAATAAGGCTTTTTAAATATGATATAACAGTGAGCAAGAAAAAGAGAATACTCATGGTGTAGTAGATATGTAAATAACTACTACAGTACTAAAAAGAAGACAGGAGGAGATCTGCTGCTGGGATATTATATAAATTTGAAATCTGCATTAAACAACTCAAATCTAAAGCAATAGCAATTGATTTCTGCCAAGATGACGAAAATTGGCTTCCCTGAATAGCTTAGAGGCGTGGGACAATGCTCTTTTAGTACTTGTGTAAATTTTATGACATGTTAATATTGTCATATAGTATCTATGCTTCTTAACATACATTTTCTTCTTTGTCCAAAACCCAATAGTGTATATATTACCTTTAGTTGGTCATTATAATTTATATCTTGTCATTTTCATTATATATTTGATGGGTTTGCTTCTATTCTGCATTTGAGGGTGTTGTAATTTATTTGCAGAAACCATGTGGATTAGGGAGACAACCGATGTTTCATTGTTTATTTTGATAAATACACTGAAGTTTCATTGTTTCTATGGTTGCTTTATACATTCTTCTGGCTGCCATTGTCTTAAAATTTCTCATAGTTTCCATTCCCATTCTCTTATAATAATAGAAGTCATCTTGCTTTATTATTTTTTTGCTTCGTAGATGGATGACCAATCCATTCGTACTGCTTGTATGGGTGCAGCTGCAAGTACTATATCAATAAGTGGTGCAATGATATCAAAATATGATCAAGAATCTCAAATATCTAGAGTACCACGTTTAATGCCGTTTCGGAAAAAATATTATATACATAATTTTATTGCTTTTTGGACTAATGTTATTTTTATTGTTTATTGGACTATGTTTTAAGTATTATATATGATTTGAACTTTATGAAATTACAGTAAAATATTAGAAATGTTTTTTATTATAATAGAACTTAATTGAATTGTTTTGACTGAATTAATTTTGATCATTAAAAAAATAACCGACTTTAACTGAAATAAAAATTAACCAAAGTTATTAATCACTATTTAATCTAAATAAAAACTGAAATGTTTTAATTTTTAATTTTATTATCTATTTAATCAAAACCAAATAGTTTTGAAAAGTCAATTAATTTGATTAATTCGGTTAAATTAAGTTTTAACTAATTTTTTTTAATTGAACTTTTAACTGCATATTTATTCATGGAACTAAATTGGCCGAACCAAATGCCAACCTAGGCGGAAAGCATGGATTATACATGAATATTTCAAACTCTGTTTTGCAAATTGAAGATGAAATTATGTTTTTGGTTTCTTATTGCTTGGGAGGGGGTCCAAATGGCATGCAAGTCAAACCGGCCCGAAGGGCCCAAATAATCTATTCTTGGCCCATAACTGCAAGAAGCATCTAACCGTATAAGTATTGACGAGCAGTTCCCAAGACTTTCGGATATTACCATAATCCCACAGAAATGGAGAAGGATTAAAGTCGGAACAGCAGAAGAGCTGAAAAAACGAATGAAAGTGAAAACTATGGGCACAGTAAGCGCAACAACTCCATGGAAGCAGCTTCTGATAAGGGCATTAGAGTCCAATTCGCACCTGAAGCACTCATCCTTCTTCCAATTGGTGTGGTTCATATTAGTTACGTAAATATATCAACAATTGTACACTCACTTTTCGATGACTCTTCAAATTTGTTTCTGGTGGTTGTTGTTTTTGGCGGTTTCAGGCTACCGTTGGATCTGACGGGAGACCTTCCAATCGTACTGTGGTTTTCAGGTACTCTGTATATGGGCATCAGTCTTTTTAAATCTTTTTTAGGATGATTACAGGATTTATACCGTTTTGGTGGTTTTACAGAGGATTTGAAGAAAACAGCGATAAGATTCAAATCAATACAGATACCAGAACTCGTAAGGTTCGGTCGTTTTCTTTCATTTTTTTTTGTCTTCCAGATTAATACATAATGTAGTTATGACTTTTTACTGCTATATAATGGATAATGTTTTTTTGCATTTGATTTTTGGATTCGTTATGCAGGTTGAAGAACTCAAGCAATGTCCATTTGCTGAGGTGATAGACTTAAATGCTATTTATTTATTTATTTTTATTTCTTTGATCTAGTATTACATTCACTCTTTTGCTCAAGGTTATTTCAACTTGGTTATTACTTCCTTTTGGCTTCATGAATTGTGGAGTTGAATATCTTGACGCAGTGTTTGGAATAAATCTATCCAGAATATTTTGTTAACAAAAAATTTTTGTAAATGAATTCTCTTGTTTGGATTAACCATAGAATTCATTCTAAATATGTAGCTTTACTGTCTTGTACTTAGAATTCATTAGCTTTAATAGCTTGTACTCCTTTTAAGTTCAAAATTCATTTGCGAGTTCTATCAATTTTGGTAGAATTTTGGTCCAAGCATAATTTAAATCCATAGAATTAAAAATATGGAATTCCAAATGAATTTTCATTTGTACTAAACATGAAAATTTGAGTTGTAAGTCAATTCCACAAAATTTTATGGAATTAATTTATACCAAAAAAGCTCTGAACTTAAATTTTCTTTTTCTAGATATGTTGGTATTTCACTGACTCTTGGGAGCAATTCCGAATTAATGGAAGGGTTGATGTTATTGATGGATCGAATCTTGATTCTGTGAAGCTTCAGGTAGCGCTAACTACTTTAGGCATAATGCCTGCGTGTAATATGTTGTATTTGATCTAATGATTATCTCTATGAATGTCGTAGTGGCTTAACACTGCTATGCTTTAAAAATAATGATGTTAATGGATAAAACTTGGTACATTTTACAGCATTGGATTCGCAGTTTGCTTTAATGCCTTTGTAAACTGCTATGGCTTCTAACTGTCTTTCTAGAGTCTAGGAAAGGCTACAAAAGCCAATATTAGTTCGGCTTGTAACTAAAAATAGTTGTGAGGCAGATATTGATTGCATGAAAGTTAGACTTACATGATCTTTTAAGTTCAGAGAAGAGAGAGAGAGAGAGAGAGAGAGAGAGAGAGAGAGAGAGAGAGAGAGAGAGGAGAGAGAAGAGAGAGAGAGAGAGAGAGAGAGAGAGAGAGAGAGAGAGAGAGAGAGAGAGAGAGAGAGAGAGAGGATGGAGACATGAATGGGCTAACTATATCTGATTGTCAGATATTTATGGATAATGAAATAAATGTTCTGTATGGACTTTGACTTGTACAACCAAGTTTGCTAAAAGGGTTAAGACATAAGGATTTCAATTCCCTTACCTCATTTAAGTGTAATCTTCTCTAAATTGAGGCTTCAATGTGGCTGTCATCACATTAACTGGTGTAGAGATGGTTGAAAACTACATCACAACTAGATGGTTCTTTTTATCTGGACTTTACACACTGCTTTGTGTATGTATTGCATGCATTCTAGAAATGTGTCTATTGTTAATGCCAAATTAGTCCTTCTAATTCAAGCTTTCAGTCATCTTGAGCTACTTCAGGTTTTCCTCATTTCTTTATATCAATGATACAGCTACGAGAGAAATCTTGGTATGATAGTTCTATAAAGTCAAGGATGCAGTACCTTGGTCCTAATCCAGGGCTTCCTTGTCTAAATGAGCGACCTTCCAATGAATTCTTTCTGGATCCTTCTTCAGGCCCAGTTGCTCCATTTTGCCTGCTTATTGTAGATCCAGAGCAGGTTTGAAGCTTCTGCAGTCTTGAATTTATTGCGTGGTACTTTATGAATGCTTACTTGTAAGATTCATACAATTCACAGGTTGATTACTTGAATTTGAAAAGTAACCAGAGGATAATGTTTACCTTCACGCAAAATGCCAATGGAGAAAATTGCTGGAATTCAGTGAGGATCAATCCGTAAAGTCTGCACACAGAAATGCATTATGAAGTGGAAACAGGTGTTATTTGCAACTGAAAACAAAGAAATTAATAACCTAGTTCCCCTCTAAATAATTTTTACAAATCCATTCTCTTACTTTGTAAAATAGGACGGAGATGTATAAACCATGTTTACATATCTGCAATTATGTCTTTACTTTGATGAGGCACTTGGATTCATCATTGTTATTAGAACATGATCTTTATATCTATAAAAAACAGTTGTACTTACCACTTTGATGCCAAGTCATTGGTACCACTGCGACGTGGATGTTTTCCACCCTTCCATGCAAGGCATCTTGCCCAAATGAGTATCCATTTCTGCAAAAAAGTACTGAGAAAATGAAGGTGGAATACTCATTTGATACAATCTTAAGAGGGAACCTTTGTCTTTCCCTGTTGAGATTGTGGAATACTCATTTGAGCAAGAGGCCTTCCTATGGAAGGGATATTCCAATCTTTCCCTGCTACTCGGGGATGAAAGGTACCAGTCTTATATATTTTCTTTCTTTCGGTCTCATCCACCAGAATTGTATCTTGGTGCGGGAGGTGGTTGTACCAGCCCGAAAGGACAAGTGAATTTAATTTACTTTCCATATATGTCGTATAAATATGTTGGGCTGTTAGCTAGAACATGTTTGCTGACTGAGATATACTCTCCAATGCTTATTGTTCAATAAGAGCTTTCAGTTGATGCTCAGAAAATTGGTTGAATTGTTATTTACTGGTCCACCAGATACTGTTTCATTTAACAATATATTGGTCCACCAGATACTGTTTCATTTAACAATTATAATATAATATATATATATAATATAACATATAAGAAAGATTTATATATACATATAAGAAAGATTATTGTACTTCACTTGGTTTGTTGTACTACATCGGAGTATTACTTGTTCCATATAGAGAGTACGTTTTTCTTTATTCTAATTTACAATTATATGATAGTACAACCATTGTATGGTTTTTGTCTCCTATTTCAACACTTGTTCATTAAGAAAATAAAGATGGGTATCAACGTGACCATGTAATTCTCTATTACTCTCGTTTCTATTGGTTTTATTAGACAGATGATTGTGCCACAATCTCTGACAAACTTCTCTGTGTTAACAAAATCCTTAAAATGGTGCGCAGCTTTTGGATGACTATGCTCTTCGCTTCTGCTGATGATGTGAAGTTCGATGCAAATGGATTCAGCTGTTGGAAAGAAGAAAATGAATTCAAGGTACATCTGAATCCTGATAAAATCTATTCCCATCCTCAAATCTTGCAATTTGATATTTATAGGCACAATTGACCCCAAGATAGCGGGGTGCTATCCACCTTTCAACGGGTCTCAGTTGTGTTTATGTAGGATTAGGACCGTCTTAGTTCTTGACTTTCTGACGTGCTGTAGATAGTTGGTTGCATTATTCTGTATTCCCGTGAAATATCTATTACCTTATTTTATCAGTGCCCATCAGACATGTGCACTTAGTGTTATAAACAATTAAACATAGTTACCTGCTAATTAAGTGTTATGTTTGGAGACATACCAGGGTTAAGGTACCAAGTCCTCCACTATCGTAGTACATTAGGGATAGACTTCGTTGTTATGGCATTTTGATACTCGGTATGTGTATATTTAGATAGCTAGACTTCTCATTGCTAATAAATAATTTTATTTATTAGTATTGAGAAGAAAACTATTTATTATGTTATATGAAAGGGATTTTGTTCTTTTTCAGTGACATAGTTAAAAATAAGGTCTATAGATATCGTTTTAAGGGGTTTCAAAATATAAAATGAAAGATTGCTTTGCTTAACTAATGAAAATTAAGTTCTTAATAAAACATGAGCTGATTTTCTATGATATGCATAGTTAGAGAAAGACAAAATGATAAATAGCGTGACAATGAAAAAAAAAAAAAAAAGAAAAAAAGGCTTGTGACAAAATAGGGGGTGTGCAAATGGTAATTAATCGAACCAACTGAAACTGAAGTGAGAAGAAAAAGTAAAACTCAAGTCAAATCTTGTAAATATTAGTCTAATTGAATGGACATCAAATTTGATTTTGATTATTCGGATAATCTTACATATTTTGGAAAATGGAAATAATTAAAAAATTATTCTACGAAATTGGGAGAGGGCTATGATATTTGGTATATATATATATATATATATTATATATATATTATTATTAGCCCTTTTCCTAAAAAGGAAGACCAAAAAAAAAAAAAAAAAAAAAACATTTGGTGGAAAGGTCCACATTGGGCAAAAAAAAAAAAAAAAAAAACATTTGTGAAGGTCCACTGGCATTTGCTATGAACTTTTCCTTATATGATTACATACGCTCCGAAAGTTCGAAAATAAAAGTGATGTGAAACTTGGAGTTTTATTTTCAAATTTTCTTCTTTACACCCAAATTTGCCGTATGACAAAGAAATTAGCCACATAATACACACTTGCGCCAAGAGAATCCTACTCAGAACTTGACAACAACCTATTTAAATTTTGATCCACTTGTTGAAAAACGAAAATCCAAAGGTTCCCACTACTAGCACCGGGGCAGATCTGCTGGGGGATGTGGCAGTGTCTCCAAATGTCCTTTCCCATTTTTCACTATAAGCACCGTAGCTAATCCCCACGATTGATGTACATCAAAATGACAATGCATAAACCAAACCCCTATAACAGAAACAAATTAAATTTTATCAATTACTATCGCAATACTATAAAACTAATTTAAAAAATAATTTTTAATCACTTCAAAGACTTCATTACCTGGATTATCAGCCACAAAACGAATTGCTGCCCATCCCCCAACTGGAACTCCAATGGTGTTCATATATGGCGGATCCACTAAATTCAAATTTGCTCTTTGTGGATTATAGTTTCCAGTGCCATAGCCGACTACATAGAAGCTATAGCCGTGGAGGTGAATTGGGTGGTTTTCTGTTGTGATCGTTCCGGTGTCCTGCAAAATGATTTGAACCCTAGTTCCGTATTCAAGGACCTTAGTCCTAGTCCCATTCATTGAGTTTGTATCAACTGGGGCATTATTTGGTGCCCCATTGACGAAATCATAGAATCTAAGTGGTGCCTCAGGGAAGTCATCAGTGAAAAAGCCCTCGGTTCCCTTGTAATAGGCTTCCAAAATTGAAACAGTAGGCTTGACGAAACTCATATTGTTCATTGAAGCTGCCATGGTCCCATTATTTACGCCTTGACAATTGTTTCGTGGTGTTTTAGAGCGACACCTATTAACATTTATTCCAATGGTTACAAAGAGATTGGAATCAATCTCTTTTGGAACATTTGAAGTATTTAAACCTCTTAGACCATCCATCACAGTCTTAACAGCTAAATTATCATTAAAGTTTGGTAATCTAGCAGGTAATGAAAGGCTATTTGGGGTTGCACCCAAGTATTGGAGATAAGCAATTGATGATATGTTCTGGAATGCGACCCCCTGAGCTGACATGTAAGGTCCCATAGCCATTGAGTATTTTCCGATGGGCTGATCAGCAGTGACGAGGACATTCATCGTCTGTCCCGGTCCAAGCATTACACGGTCAGTAGTGAATGGTTTAGTGTACTCAGCATCAGCTTCTACTATTGTTAATTTGTGATTAGCAATTGCGAAAAAGTTTTCCATGTTTAAACCTGCGTTAATCAGCCGTAACAAATAGGTCTTCCCAGGGACCACGTCGATCTTATATACATCTGAAACAATAACTATTTATTAATACATACATATATATAATAAAAAAAATAGTAGCTGAGCAAATGAGACATGTTAAGGTTTGTTAATTATTCAATTGTTCTTTACGAAAATATATAGCGACTGCTCAACTGATATGATGCTTTTATATTCTCGCTGTAACATCTAACCAAAGTTAAATTTGTGTTTCAGTATTGTATATATATAATTAATGTGAAAATTTAATTTCAATAATGAAGTTGCTCCCGTTCTAATGACTAAGCTATTTATTAAGTATATTTTTTGATTGGAACCAATTTTTTTAAAGAAATGGAAAAATAAATAAATAAATAATAGATATATTGTTACCATTAGCAGAGCAATTGTAATTAGGACCAGGATGGCCATTGATGGTATAGGCATTTGACGGTGGTGGAGGTCCTCCGCTTGCTAGCACTTGCCTCTCCAGCTGTACAATATCTTGGAGCCAATACTCCCCTAATTAAACACATAATTAATCCAAATTAATTCCCAAAAAGTGGTTAATCCAATCAATTAACTAAATTAATGACTTACCAAGAATTACTATATGCTCTTCGTGGGGGAAAGGAAATGGATATGGGACGCCAGTCTTAGGATATACAACAATAGCACCATAAACGGTGCCTCTAAGCCAAGAAACGTGAGCATGCCATAAAAATGTGCCCTTTTGCTTCACCAACGTAAACTCGTACGTGAAGCTCTGCCCCGGTTGTATTGGACATTGGGTCACATAGGACGGTCCATCGTACCAACATGATAGTATTTGCCGGACACCGTGCCTTATTTATTTAAGAAATATCCTTAGATTAATAATGTTTATAAATTAAATATCTTTCTGGAAGTAAAAATTTTAGTTACCAGTGTATGGTGGCATTGTAAGGGGATTCGTTGGTGACTTTGACGATAATTCGATCGCCTTCTTGAGCATAAACAACCGGCCCTGGATACAGGTTATTAACAGCCACGATTTCCCTGGTGTTGCATAGTTTCTTCACGGTCATGGTATGAACCTAATCAATTAATACATGGCACCAAAGCATTAAACCATAAATATATAATTAAGCAGAAAAATGTAGGTTTGTGCATGCATATATAGAAGGAGAGAGTGGGGGAAACAGAAAAGAAAGTAAAGAGACCTTGAAATCGTAGAATCTGGTAGATCTGCCTGCAGGCCATTTGGCCACGGCATGAACAGTATAAGCATAGGACATAACTAAGCTTATGCATATCATAAAACAAATGGCTGAAGATTTGACCATTTTGAGACTTGAGAGAGAAAGAAAGAGAGAGCTGAAGAAGTGAAGAGTAGAGGGTGTGGATTTTAATAGAGAGTAGTATGGGGAGAGAATGAAGTGAAGGCAATCTATTAAATAAATTATTTAATTAAAAATGCAATTTATATATTTATGTATATGTCAGCTTTCATAATTTCCCTAACATGGATTGGTGATTATAAGGTGTTGGGGAAGTTATTATTCAATTTCACCCAATTGTGGGGTTTAGCGTTAGCTTTTCTAATTTCTTTCCCTTTCTTTGCTTTGTCTCTCTCTCTTCTCATTTTTTGGAATAAGAAAAAAAAAAATAGTAATAAGAGAGATTTTGTATCTTCTTTTTAATTGGTGAAGGCTTTATCAAAACCATTTTACAGTGAAATAATGGGAAAAGAGGCACACTTGCTTCTGGATATAGCATATGCATGTCTGAAGTGTAAACCCCACAGCCAAACCATCGCATCTTACTCTCTTTCTATTCTCTTTAGATTTTACATAAATTACTATTATTATTCTCACTAAAAGTTTGCCAGATAGCCTCTTTTAGTTGACTGCTCTGTATGTACAAATACAATGCCGTCCCAACAAGTCAAAGACAATATGAAAATTTTATACTTATTTTAAGTATGTTCTGTTCTTAAAGTGAGTTCATAAAAAGACAGTCTTCGACTAAAATATAATATAATTGTTGAAGAGCATTAAATCCCACCTTAATAATCACAGTATTAATCAAACATAAGATTTCCTTTTCCTTCACTTTTCCTTCTAATAAATAAAGGAGATTATTCTTTTATCTCTCTCTAAACTCAAACATGTAAAAGAAGATTACAGTACTTTGCCAGCACTCAAATGTAGCAAAAAAAAAAAAAAAAAAAGTACAGTACTTTGCCAGCACTCAACAATGTAGCAAAAAAAAAAAAAAAAAAAGGTAAAAAAAAAAAAAAAAAAAAAGGTAGGGTTCTTCGGTTGTGCTTTTTAAAGACATCTGTTTTATTCAAACATAAGCAGTGCTGGTGCACGCCTTCTCAACCCCACCCACATCTTCTTCCATGAGATCGTTGAAACCCCAATTCTACTATATATTATCATTGCTAGCCATTAGCTATCTTTTCCCAGTTCATTCACCATTTTAAATTCTCCTATACAATCTTTATTTTTAAGCGAATTCTTATATATCTAATATATAAGTAATCGATTCAATGAATATGTGCTTTGTGCTTCAACTCACTCATCATTCTATGATGATTAGACTGTGATTAATGGCCTCTAATTTCCACAATATCTAAAATTATAAACAAACCTAATATAACTCTGTGCATGATTTTGTTTTTTTAGTATCAAGAGAAGTGACTCGAATATAAATCTATTATACATGATTATTATATATTAGTTTCTATATTTAATATATATAGATGTACTCATAACCTAGACCCATTGCACGTAAATGTAATCTCGAGTTGTTTGGAAGCTTGAAAAAATTGTCAGCAGAAGTTTCCAAATGAAGAAAAAGTGTATTTTCGACCAAATTTGGGGTATTAGATGATTATGTCCATTGGCATGATATTGTCACGTTTCAGGCCTGAATGTGAAATTGTCAGGACTCAACACCTACTTCATCAATTCTCTTCTCAAATTTCACTGTTTTCCTTTTCCCTTTTTCTCCCTTTTACAATATTATTTCTTGAATTTCTTTACTTATAACAACTATGACCAAACACGTAATTTTATATAGATTACGCCTAAACAAGTACACGTACATGAAATACTTTACTAACTTTGTTAATTACTCCAATTAATAATAATTATTCCCTATCGACTAATTAATTTATATTTCTTTTTTGAAATAGATATTATGCTTGACTTAGGAAGTGTAATTGTTCGAAAAAAAAATAATAATAATAAACTCTTCAAAAAACAATAATAATTATAATAAGCAATCGTTATCTTTTTTCTTTAATTTTAAAATATTATATTAAAAATACATTTAATTACATTACATAGATAATACCCGTCATCTATCTATCATTTTCTTAAATCTCACGTGTCATGACTTGCATGCAATTATATGTATTTATTTATTAATAATGCATGGTTATATATAGAAAGATGTTTACCTTTTCACACACAGAATGATCACTACGAAGAAATTAATTATTTATTTATTCTAAAAATTAGTATCCAGGACCAGGGGATCGAATATAGTTAGTATATAACGAGACAAATCTTTAGTTCTAAAGAGTTGACCTCTCAATTTATTTAAACTAAACTCCAACTACAGCATAACTAACCTGTAACAAATTTTCAACAGTTGCGCAATATTTATTTATTTTATTTATTTTTATATAAGTACACAAATGCATCATGTCATCCATGAACTACTTTGAAAAGGGGATGGAAAAATATAATAAAATCAGTGTGTATTAGTTAATTAAAATGATCAGTAACTATAATTAATAAATGGAGTGGAGAAGAATCTCAAAATGATTGCATCATTGTTCATAAAACAATTTTAAATTTGCATTGTCCAACGGTGTATGTTAAAAAATATAGATAAAATTTGTTAAATATATATTAGTAATTTTTAAATTTATGTGAAACTAGAATAAACTTAATTTTATGGGAGGGGAAGAGGTACATTCGTCAAATATAATACGACGAGTCGTATATGAGAACAACTAATTATGTTGTTTGGTGTTGGAACAAATATTGTCATAATGAAACGACGTTAGGCCGTTTAATGTCAAGTCTCCTCTGTACTTGTACATATACGAGTCTTTAAGAACATGCAGCCTTGTCACTTGGCAGTCAATGTTTCAAATCAAGGTTATAATTATATCTCGTCAATCTACAAACTACAGGTCAGCGTTATATCGGGCGTCTACCAGCAAAGATAAGTTACCGTTAATTTTGGAAAAACGTTTTGCCCCAAAGCTTCTACCTTTTATTTACTAATTTAACCTTAAAACTTTTAAAAAATAACGGTAATTTATATGCAAACAATTCGTCTTAGTCTCATGGTTAATATATATTTAGAATAATAAATTTTATATTTTAAAATTATGTAGTAAATGTTTAAGTGATTTAATTTTATAAATTGATGTCATTAAATTTTAATTATGAATTAACATATATAATATATATATATTTTATATATTAAAAAATATTTAACAGGTGAAAGTAAAAATAGGAGGATTGTAAAATTTTAGTAAGTAGAAGAGTCAATTTGTTTTTTATTTATTAGATGGAAAAGTTTCTTTGTTAGAAAATTAAATGGAGAAATGTTTTTGTACTTTTGTTGTGATTTCACGGATTTCTAGGCCCTCTACAAACGACAGGTTGGCTGTAGAATTTATTTTGTCGTTCAGTGTATAAGGCAAGTTGTAAACAACACTCCTCGTTCAAAATCATCTCCAAAACATTATCCTTTTATCTCCCAGTATTAACCAATAAGTGCAAATAAACACTTCTTTCCTTCTACATTTGCTCTTTTTATTTAAAAAAAAAAAAAAAAAAAAAAAAAAAAAAAATAAGTGCAAATAACACTTCTTTCTTCTACATTTTGGCTATTTTTAAATTTAAAAAAAAAAAAAAAAAAAAAAAAAAAAAAAAAGAAAGAGCAAACATTTGCAAAAAAAAAAAAAAAAAAAAAAAAAAAAAAAGAAAGAGCAACATTTGCTCTTTCTATAAAAATTAAAAAAATAATTAAAAATAATTAATTTTTTAAAAATACATGTTAAAATGTTTAGATTGTCCTTCTTAAAATTAAATATGAAAATAAATGATACTCGATAAATATAGGTAAAATTAAAAAATAAAATAATATAGTTCAAAAAATAAGCACTTAGAGTGAATAAAAGCGAAATGTCTATTTGTTTGTTGTTAAAGTGGAAGAGAGAGGGAGTAAAATGAAAAAATAAAATTTAAAACAAAGAGAAAACAGGGGAAATTACGTCACTGTATTCCTGTGCGGAGGTTACAAGGCAGGCAGGAAGGCAGTGCCTCCAGAAACCGAAACCGTAAATTGGTTCGCTCAAAGACAAAATTTGCAACAAACTTTAGTAACATAAACATCGTTTGTCAGGAAAAAGGAAAACACAGTATTTATATCGTCATATAAGGAATTGGATAATCCATAATTAGCATCATCTTCCTTAATTAATATCTACAGTTGTTGTACAAAAGCTGAAGGGGATATAAAAACACAGTTGCCATGGGATTTCTGGCTTTTAGGCTGAGAAGACGAGTGAAAGTTGAGGCTCCCCATAGGATTCTCAAGGAGAAGCGAACGAGACTTTACATTATCAAACGATGTGTGCTGATGCTGGTTTGCTGGAGAGATCATGGAGATAAGTGACAGGATCTTCGAGACTTTATATTATATCTGTTAAGTGCTTTACCATATGACTTTTGATGCATTTCTCTCATTGTTTACCTGATATTCTGCAAGCAATTGAACCATGTCCACCATAAATCAATAGATTGCAATGCGTGTTTGCGCTCCATCAGCTCCAATCCTGTCATAAATCTACAGATCTGAATCTACCCGCGTTAAGCATGTCATTCATGTACATAGCAAAGCTACCTGTTTATCAAGTCTGTAAATGAACAAGAAGCTCAAAACCCCAAATAGAGAAACGGTAATAACCTTGAGAATCCAATCTATAAAAACTATCCTTAAACTAGCATATAGCATTATCATCTGATACTGTCTCAAATCGAATAATCCCAATTTCCTACTGTCTATACAATTGAAATGCATTAAGCAGCAGAATTACATCTAATAATAGTAACATTAGTAATATAATTATGACTCCAGAATGCATGGAGTCATTTACCAAACAATACAGAGTGTTGATCAAGAACAAGAGCTCCCTGCTGATGACACAAGAAACCTTTTGTTTATCAGTATAAAATCCAGGCAATGCTCGTTGTATACATTATGAACAATGGGAACCAGCAGAAGGCCTAACACTTTATACTTCATACTACATACTTCAAAGTAGTACTGGTGTGTACTGTACAACTAAAGGTGTGAGGACGGAGGAGTTAATTCCTTCAAAGCAACAACAGCACATTGTAACCTGCATGATAATTAATGACCAGAAATTCACGGCACACAAACAACTTCCATTCTTCCAAGAGAAAAATGGAAGCACCGGAACTAAACAGTCACCTTGTAGCTTAGCAACGACTCAGTTAATTGATAGAAATGATGGCACATGAATGGAAACAAAGCTAACTAAACGATGGCACCTTGTCATGAAGCAGGTGAAAATTATTTGGACTGCCACAATTAATAGAAGACTAAACTTAAATTCCAACTCTAATTATCACAGATCATCTAAATGCCGCACAAAATCAGTCAAGAACCATAATTTTCAATCTAAACCTGTGAAGGGGCAAATATGATTCCGCATTTGTACGCTTTCATCTACATGAATCTAGATTATATACATTCCATACATAGCATATGCTCCTGAAAATATGAAAAAGTCACTGACTATAAGGCACATAAGTTATTTAGCATAGCACATTTCAAATAGCTTAATACAGGAAATTAAATGGGAAAAGAGGTTTCTGATCATTTTCTGCAAACGAATTGAGAAATCCCTGGTAACAGGAGTAGCTTGAGAATATGACTATGGTGCTAGTGCAAATAAAACAATCGCAATCTATAACTAAAGTCCCCTCATAAAACCTCAGTCCCACAGAATTCCACTCCAAGTTCTTTGCAACAGAGAGGAACCAAATGCAACCAAACATAAATTCTTGAGAAATAACACGAATCACAATAGATCTGAGAGAAATATTTACATTACAAGCCTCAAATTTCTACAAAAGCGGTTGAATAATTGTTTAGTTCAAAACAACAAAATACAATCCAAGAAACATTCTTGCGATAACTCGACTTGCATATATAAAAGCACCACCAAAAAAAGAAAAAAACACGAACCCTATTTGATAGATAATCATTAATTATCATCATTAGAAGGCGGACTAATGGGCAGCCGTGGTGCCGGCCTGGGCGGCGGCGAGATAGTCTTCAGGATTGTCGCGGATAGTGGGCTTGCAGAGCATAAGAGGTCGATCCTTGGCCCCTTCATCGTCTTCGTCTTCGAGGTCGGCGGTGTTGAGGTTGATGCAGGAGCACCGTTCAAGGGAGGCGAAGAATGCGGAGGCCACGTTGCTTCCCACCCAATTGGCCACTCGATCAAGCTTATCGCATGAGATGAAGCCGCTGCTGCTGTTGTTGTTCTTATTCTCCATCTCTTATCTATCTGATTTGATTGAAGGATGGTATTTGGTTTAGGTTTGATAGTGTTATAGTAGATCTGGGAGACGATGAAACAGACAGGAAAGAAAGGGATGGTATTGATGTTGTATAAGGAGAGGGGAAAAGGGACAGAGATGGAACTATTCAATGGAATCTTTAGGTTTTGGGTTTGTTTTTCTTTTGTAAAGGACCGTTGTTATTTGTCCGTTTAATATGGACTGGCGGAGGGTTAAATGGTTATAAAATTTGACTCAGCGCTGAGTTTTAACGATTTCTCACCTAGTCACCGACTACCAGCTGGTCAGCCTATGCAGTACAAGTTTAAATGAACCGATATTTACGAGAGCGAGCTAACAAGATGGTGGAAGCCACGGCGGTCCCCTCCTCGTTTTGTCGTTGAAGCTGGTATGACTTATGGTGACACGTTAATGTGGAATTTGTCTTTATTTCCAAAATTAACTTTTTGTACTCATCTATGTATCATATATACTCCATCCTTCTTATCATTTTTATCCTAATTTGTTTTTCACATATACTAAAAAAAAATTTAATGTGATTAACATAAAAATTTTTACTTTGTTTTTTTAAATATATTATTATTTTAATTATTAGATTATCGTATTATTTTATTACCCTAAATTTATTCTATTTTAATTTTTGGAATATAAAGATCAAGGAATAAAAGTTAAGCTAATATTAGTGACCATGATAATATTTTTATTAACACAAATGCATAAATAGGGATAATATAATAAACTTAAAAAATTATCTTATTCTAAACTAGATAATAGGATTATAATTTATGACGAATAAAAAAATAAGTTAAGATTTGTCATAAGTTTCCCATGAAACAGAAGCCATAAGAAACACCGTACTCGTTGAGAAACTTTCAGGCTCCAAATCAGAGACCATAACTGACTCCTTTGTACCTCCCCTCCGCCTCGAACCATGCTATAAGCAGAGGAAACAGAGAACTACCAATAGGCGTACCCGATCAAGCAATGGTGTCTTGTATACTGGGATCTACCTCCAAAAAAATAGACTCCAAAATACCACAAATCGTAGTTGGTAAATAAGGCTGAATTAGCTGCCAGTTCCACGTATCCCCATTTCAATAACTAGCCACCGGCGTCTGCTCATAAGAGTCAGGTAAAGGGACCTGAACTAAATCTGTTAACGGAACCGGCATTGCCCAAATATCCGACCAGAAATCAGTATAGAAACCACTTCCTACCACCATCATAATGCCTTGCTTCAAAAGGACAAAAGTTGAGAGAAAAAAAAGGCAATTTACAGGAGATCGTGACTGTCATTTCGCTTTGGAAGTTTGGCATCGGGCTATGACTCCTGTTTCTTTTGCCCATTTTGTGCGAGTCCCGATTCAGGATTGGTTGTTTGCGTGTAAAGACTGGATTTTCACTCTGTTCGAGATAGTCCTTCATTGCAGGTTTTTACCTTAGTTCTTTGGAATATTTGGAAGTGGCGTGATGATAGAATTTTCAGTGGGAATGTGGATGAGCTGTCCGTTCGTGTGCAGGTCTTAAAACCCAGATGCTGTCCAATGATTTAGCTTCGACAAGTGTTAGGAGTTCAGGTTCAGTAGTGGCAGAATGTGTTGCTCGTGTTGCCCGGCAGCATCCTCCTTCCGAGTGGTTTAGCAGTTGGCGGTGGCGTTATTCGCAACACTTCTGGTTACTGGGTTACTGGTTTTTTGGTAAGGCTAGGAACTTGCTCTTCTTTAGCTGCTGAGCTCCAAGCATTGTTAGAAGGCCTTCGCTGTGCTTGGGATGCAGAATGTCGTAAGGTTGTTGTGGAGATGGACTCTTTGATGAGCATTCAAATGATAAAGGCTCCTGCCAATGATAATTTGAGATTTGCTGGTATTTTGCAGCAGTGCAGAGCTCTGCTCTCGAAGCCTTGTACTATAGTGTTTAAGTATATCTACCGTGATGGAAATAGGGTTGCTGACGCCTTGCTAATTTGGCAGTGCATTCACATGTTAAACGATGTATTTTGCAGCAACCTCATCCATCTGTTTTGAGTTTGTTAAATGAGGACATATGGGGTGTGGCTTTGCCACGTCTGGTTCCTCGATAACTTTTCACTTGCTTTTGTTTCTTTGGGTACGCCCCTCTTTAGTATCCAAAAAAAAAAAAAAAAAAAAAAAAAAAAAAAGATGGAAATAGGGGTATTGCTGACAGCTTGCTAATTTGGCAAGTGCATTCACATTTTACAACGATGTAATTTTGGCTTATAATATTCCTCCATCCATGTCTGTTTTGAGTTTGTTTAAATGAAGGAACATATGGGGTGTGGCTTTGCAACGTCTGGTTCCTCGATAACTTTTCCCACTTTGCTTTTGTTTTCTTGGATAACGGCCCCTCTTAGTATACTAAAAAGAAAAAAAAAAAAAAAAGAAAAAAAAGTTAAGATATCAAGAATATGGAATGAAATGAGAATAAAGTAAGAGAAAGCTCAGTTTAGAGCGTATTTTTTTTTCTGTTTTTTTCTTTAAGTGGATTTCCTCTTGGCTTTCTAACTTATTTATTAAGAGATACAAGAACTGGAATGGGCGTTTTCTAATTTCATTCTTTTCCATAAATTTATTGTCCTTAATTATGTTATTTCATTTCTTTTTTTCTTGAAAAACTAAATAAGCTCACTCATGTGTATTATTATATATTATATTTATATTATATATATTGTTAGATATATTATTTTCAAACATTAATAAGTGTAAGTATTTTTAATTAATCGTTTTGCTGTATATAATTGTAATGTTTAAGAAATGTAAGAGATTTTTTTCTTTAAATTATTAATAAATTTTAAATATTTTATTAAATATTTATTTATTAATTAGATTAATATTATTGCAGAAAAAAATTAAATTGCAAAATTTCGTTTTTTTTTTTTTTTTTTCTTTAAGTAAGATTTCCCTCTTGGCTTTCTAACTATTTATTAAAGATACCAAATGGAATGGCTTTCTAATTTCAATTCTCTTTTTCCATAAATTTATTTCCTTAATTATGTTATTCTCTTTCTTTTTTTTCTTGAAAAATAAATACTGTATTTAATAAATTTAATAAATTAATTTGGTAATATATTATTTTCACATTAATAATGTAAGTATTTTTATATCGTTTCTGTATATAATTGTAATGTTAAGATGTAAGAGATTTTTTCTTTAAATTATTAATAAATTTAAATATTTTATTAAATATTTATTTATTAATAGATTATATTATTGCAGAAAAATTAAATTGCAAATTTCGTTTACAGCCTTAAGATTATTTCTTATTAAGCAATGTACACTATAAATATGCAGTGGTTTTCGCGTTTGAAGCATTTTGATTTCACAATTGGGCACATAATTGTGAATCTTTGCTCAAATTCTAAAAATTTTGTGAACGCATATCGCCCCAGCGCATCTGGTGTAGTGGTATCATAGTACCCTCCCACGGTACTGACCGGGGTTCGATTCCCCGGATGCGCATGAACTATTCTTTTCGTCAACTGTTTTTTTCTGAAGTGCTTATTGAATCATATTGTGATTCGCTGTTCATATTATTAACTGTGAAGGTAATGTTAATTGAAAGTCCTAAATCTAAATGGCATCTCAGAGCAGAATATAATACAATTTGAGGGGATGTGACCATTGCCTAAAACTGATTGGATTCACATTTGCCATTCAAGGGAATAGAAGTTTGAGATTGTACCTCAAAATATTGTACAAATGAATCGCCGAATCATAAAAGCATAGTTGTCATCAGTTCAAAGAATGCCGGGGGTAGTTACTGCTGAGATCCCACCAATTATAGTTATTATATCTGCAGACACAATTCTGCTTCTGCAATTATGTTGACATCCCTCTTCCTAAAATTTTTTTATGTTAGTTTCTCTCAAAATGAGGCAGAGCGGGCTATCCTTGGTTTGGCTATCTTCTTGTCCTCTTCAAGAGAGATTATTAGAAGATTGGAAGGATTCTCTATCATCATTTTAGCAACCAAATAGCCAGAAATGCTCCAGGTTTGATATTTCCTGGCTTGCTTCCCAACATACCGGCCAGTCTTATCATCATAATACTCAGGCCACCCATCTTTGGATAGACGTTGCTCCAACAGTTCTACTGCTCGTTTTGCTATTTGTGGTCTTCCAACCTTGATACTTGCTGCTGCGAGTAGCCATACCAAAACTGCGTAGAGCACAATTCACTAAAATGTCAAGCGTATCAATACAATCATCAAAGAACAAAACATTATCAAAAGCACATACGATATACCATTTCAAAGCAACCACCAATAGGTGGAGGAGCCTAACAATTACCAGTATCACAGCAAGTCCTGTTATAGTTAAACAGTCGGACAATTTTAGATGGGCGTCTAGTTTAAGGCCAGTTTGATTCAGGTACGTAGGGCAAAGTAGGATTCTAATATCCAGCAGTTGACAGTGAATCTGAATCTCAGGAAATGTGAAGTTCTAAACTAGATAAAAATACAAAACAAATGGTATGAAAAGGCACAGGCAATACTTTGTGATATTCATTAGCAGAGCAAGCTCCTGATGCAAAAACTTAAATGCCATTCGAGTCTAGGCTTTATTTGCGAGTGACACTCACCTGGCCAAGACCCGCCATTATGGTAACTCCATCTCGTGTTCTTAGGATCACACCCAGTGACTATCCTCCATTCATGTCCTTCTAATGCTGGATATGTGATCTTCAAAGGCATCTCTCCAATCAAGTCCTCCCACCGCTCCTCAATCAGATCCATGATAGCTGATGCTTGTGCTGATGTTGCTAAGGAACTCAAAATCGCAATGCAGTTCCCAACCAAGAACCACCGAAAATCCATGCGAGCTGGACTGACATTGCCAATCAGATAACCGCCTCGCAAAGGCATGAAATCAAACACCCAGTCTGGGATGGACTCTGGGATGACATTAAATTTATTGACTGCAGTGCGGGAGTACTCCTCAGTTTTGTAGCGGTAAATGTTATTTAGTTGTGTGAAATCCAGCCAGTAGTATTTCTGGATGTGATAGCTAAGAGCTGTGATCCGTTTATCGATTCGCTCAAGTAATTCCTTGCCATCACGCTCTGGCTTTAGCATCTGCTGTGCACACCTCAGTGCAAAATAGAAAAGTGCTTGGATTTCAATTGGATAGCCATATATTCCCTGTTTCAAAATCAAATCTAAGTTGAAAGTCTCAAATTACAGTTCTATCTTAGGAGATTATGTAGTTTCCTGAACTAACTGGGAACCAAGGAGGGCCACTCCTAAAACAAATTCAATAGAGGCTTATACTCTTGATTAGAAACTATTTGTAATTCAGCATATCGTTATAAAAAATCAAACCAAGAGAGAATATAAAAGGCAAGGAGATATAATTTTATTTCAAGATCCACTCATTTTGTGCACATAGTTTCTGAATATGAAGACAAAGTACAGCAAGAGAGAAGTGGAACTCTTAAAGTCATCATTCGTCCTAAGAGGAAGGACCAGGTTTTGCCTGGATACGGCAGCAGAATAGAGCGATCGAGCCCTAAACGGCATTAGCTTAAAAAAGTGAAGGATTTCATGAAAATGGCTACAGGCTGAAGTGGGGTTGATCATAATTCATAACCACTTCAATATGAAATGTATATACAAAATTAACTCCTATCAAGAATTCAAGATCAAAGAATCTAAAAAAGAGAACACTCACCATCCTCCGGTCAATCATGCTACAGCCATCAGCACATAGAAGTGTTGGGAAAGTGTCAAAGCCGTCTGAGAGGCAAAGATTGAGTATCAATTTCATTCCTCTCTGTACCTCAGGGAGCTCCGCCAGTGCATAATCACGAGTGCTCTTGGTATAGGACCTAAGCAGTATAATCCACCAGAACCCTGAATCAACAGGCGCCACTCTCCCTATTGCACTGCCACCAAAGTCAGCAACCAGGATTTCCTTCTGGCGATGTGAGTCATAAAGAACCTTAAAGCTTGCAGGCATTACACCTTCTCCAAGAGTAAAGTTATCTATCCTCTTTTCCCAACCTTGAAGATGAAGAGTCTTTAGGAGAAAGTTTTTTACGATCTCAGGTTCAGAAGGATGCTTCATTAGGTATGCTAAGCCGCTGGGAACAAAATCTCTTACAAAAACCTGCGGATGTAGTAAACAGGTAAAAAGTACATAGAAATCCAAGAAAATGGAAGGAGGAACATGGACAAGTCTAGAATTGATCTGTTATCTGTTAATAACCTATTTTCAAGTGCAGAGAAGTCTAACTCCTAGGAAACACGAAAGTAACCTAATGGAGCAACATTGAATTCTTCCATTGGGACTAAAATAGAAATATTACTTCATCTCATCTGCAAATCCAGTCACCTGACCTGAATGCCGAATTGGGTGTTGCCATAGTTAAAAAAAAAATGTCCAAGTCAGTATGCAGATATATATATATACATATGTATATATGATCAAGGAAGAGGTCTAAATATTAAACAGAGCTTAAATTCTGCCTTTTCCGTGCCATCCAAAAACAAAAGGGGCACAAATAACAGAGATTTACGTAAAATAAGGACTATTAGAAAACCCAAAGTCGCGATATTAAAACTAGCTAATTAGAGAATAAAAGATAATATAAAGATGAGCACGTTGAGCTCAAGAGACGTCAAACTCAGAGCTATGTATTATAGAGTTACACAGCATAAACAAAATTAAAAGAAAAAACATAAGTGACACATGAAGAAATCGGGTGATAAAATATTATTCTTCAGGAGCACCAGGATGATGGAAGTAAACATAAGTAAACCTAATCTACGAGGCCTGAAAGGTCAAATTAATAATCTCGACTAAACTTCAATATCTTCTCAAAAAATAAACTTCTTCAGAGATATATATACAATTAATTGAAGAATTCAAGCATAGATTTTATTTGATGAAATCGTAAGAAAAAAAAAAACCTGATTGTAATTCAAAGCCTCAACACTGGGATCTATAGCAGCGAGAGTCCCTACAGGCTTTTCTTTGAAGTAGACGTAAGACTTCTTGAGCCTCTCCCACGCCTCCTCCACCATCGCGCCACTTTCCGCATTCACTTGATACCCACTGCTGTTCGATCTGACCCCAGGAGATACATTCAGATCGAAAACCTCCAGGTTATTGCCGACGCTTGGACACGATTTCAACGCAGTGAACTTAAACACTGTTTCCTTCGAGAGATGCATGGTATCGGACACAATCTCGTTGCCCTGCAGTCTTACAGTCTTTTTAGCCTTTTCCGGCCGCGAACCTCCGGTCATCTCAGGTGAAGAAGCAACGAAACATTGCTCAGACTTCGACGCTTCTCCTTTGCTCAGAGTCTGAAGACCTTTCTCAACAGATTTCCGCCGCTGTTCTTCCAAGGAACCTGAAGATTTCTCATCAGTTAACTTCAATGCTATTTTCTTAGCGAAATCTTGAGAAATATCACCTAATTTTGGAGAATCTTGGTCAGAAGAAAGCAACTTCTCGGCCGTTTTGAAACTCTCTGCGTATGAAGAAATCATAGTTTCAGCGAATGATTTGGAACCTTCAGAAATTCCAAGAGATTTCTCTGGCGCTTGAGATTTGATCGGAGACGTGGAAATGGCGCTTTGCTTAAGACCGAGCAAACGATCTGTCGCTGAGACCTCTTCATTGGCAGAGACGACGTACTTGACCGGTGACTCTTTTGCCTCCTCTTCCTTCGCCGAAGAGAGTTGTGTCTTCTCCTTCGCAACTTGTTCGTCAATAAGGCCTCCACCGGAAGAATAACCGACAACTGCTGGAAGTGAAGGTGGAGAAACCTCCGGTTGCTTTTTATCGTCCAGCTCCAAGCAATCTCGCACCGTCAAGTTCATTCTAGAGAGAATGGATGTAAATAGACAAATTAGAGAGGAGCACATTCTATACTCGCAATTTAGAGAAGGAAACTAAGGTAATAGATATACGTACCTTCACAGTTCTTCGGTTCTTACTGAGGAGAAAGAAAGCGAAACGGCTTAGTAAGAGAATGCAGAGAGAGAAGTCACGCCACTCAGATAGAAAGAGAGAGAGTTAGAGAGCGAGAGAGAGCATGTATATATAGGCGTTGAAGAGCGTGCGAGAGGCGTATTTCAGGTGAGCAGGAAGCCTGGTGTGTGTGCTCACTGTGTTTCTGTTTTGGCGGTTAGAGGGGGAATTCAAGAAGTTAGGGCGTCTTTGTTAATGAGTTAGGTCGTATTATTTGTTTTATTTACAATGATGCCATTACGCAATTGTGAAATGAAATATAGTGGCTTGCTCGAGTCATTGAATGAAGGACTGGTTGGATGTTTAGATATTATAGGAAGGGCATAGTGGGGATAGAGGGGTTTATCTTTCGAGGCGGGAAGATGGTGCTGGTTTGGTCCAGCTGGCTTTTAACGTGAAACTAACTCAGTTGCATTTAAAATAATAAAACTCTATTTGAATTTTCTCTACGGTTCCAATGTATGTACCGGAATAGGAAAACCATTACTTTCATAACACGTGTTCTCTTTAAAAGTTTAAAGCAACAATGTTAGCAAGATTCCTTGTGGACAAGATAGAGCACCAGCTCAATCAAATGTTCTGAATAAAATTAACCGCAATGCATATATACCATCTTTGAATGTTAACAAGTAACATATGTTCCCTGTTTTATTAGTCCCAGAGGTTTTCCTTTGAGCGACAATGCATTTTAGTTCTTGAAAATTAAAAAGTTGAGCTTAGAAAGTTAATTGTTGTTTTCTGATTAGAAGCTTATTTCATATAATAAGGGTATTGAGTAATAAAGTGCTTTGAAATAAAATACATTATTGATTGAAATAATAAACGGCTTCAATTCCTGTGAAAGTAAGAGCATAAATTCAACTTCAATTCCTACGAAAGTGAGAACATAAATTCAATCTTCAAAATGCGCATTTTATTGGAAAGGTATAAAATTTTTACGGTTTTCAGCCGAGAAGTTTACTCTTACTAGTTATAAAGAAAAAAAAAAAGCTTTCAAATAGCTAAAATATATATCTACTTTCATGAAAATCAAACTTAATTTAATTTAGAAAAGTGGGAATTGGATTAGAATAATGTTAGACAGATTATTTTATAATTTCCTCTTTTTTCATCACCTAGCAGATAAACACCTTAGAAAATCCATCCAAAAATCTCCACTAATTTTAGAATAATCTCCAATGTATATGAAAATGTTGAAACTACCAGTAACTGCAGTCTGCAGCAATTAAGCTCGATCACTGCTTCTATATGGGCTAAAGAACGCTAACATGGCCGATTCGATTCAGGAAAAATCATTCAAAAGTCTAACAGGTCTTTGGCAAATGAAAACAGCTGGGTAGTCTGTTAAAGATCAAGGATCAATGACAAACGACCACAAAGTCAAAGTCAGTCCATCTTAGCATCATTTTGAAATTACATAACAGAGCAACAACAAAGAATACACGGCAAAACTAAGAAAGCCACCATTCAGCAATTTGAAGTTTCTGGTTAAGAAGACATGACTATTTACATGATACATACAAAATTGTACAGAAAATCCTTATTTTTCCCAATTGGAAGGAGCACAAAGATTATACAATTCTTTTTTTTTCCATTTATGCACAAACAAATCACTTTGTCGGAACAAATCAATTACTTCAGTCACTAACATTAAAGCCAAACAAATGGATATGCTTGGAAAATAAAACTACAGAGATTAGGATGGGAAAGTAAACCAACATGGGTACAATGTCCAAACCCATAATATTCAATAACAGTTTCCCTAGCAACTTGGTTCCACCAAGTAGTTTTCCAAAATAACAAACGCCAGCAAATGAGAAAAAGAAAGCCGGAGTGGAACTCTACTTCCAATGCCATTCAGGTTCTATTTGTCAAACTCCCATATGACGCCTCCATCCTCTAAATACCAAACAAACATATTGACCATAAGGCATAAGTTTTGTTGAAATTGCAAATAAATAATAAGTTAGAGGAAAGATCACCAAATATCCAAAATATTTTGGTAAGATAAAACAAATAACTCTTAGAATGCTTCCTCAAAGTTAACAATATTTTCAAGTGTATTCTTTTTAACTGGAACAAGTCATATGAGAAGTGGATAACAGAACATTAGAAGGAAGGGGAATTATTAGGCAGCATAGTTGCATATTTCCCCAGAAGGGAAGTCATATAAGTAGGAGGAAGTATATTCCCGTCCTATCCAACTTCTCCAAAAAGAAAGTTACTTCCAACTTAAGATATCAAGATCCCAAAAACAAACATTGGTCACCAACCATCATTCCTATGACAGTCATTTCTGTATCATTCGTTCTAACAGTTCACATGAACTAGACAGAAGCTCCATTAAGTAACACGTAAGATCATTCTTAACTCTATTTCATTTCCTATTTCCATTTTCTCTGTGTCCAGGCAAGAAACATAAAATAATACCTTTAACTTTCTTGTTTATCCAGATCTCAAGCAGCATGCCAGCACCAATTCCACCGGCAATACATCCCCCATAGAATGCAATTGCAGAGGGTAGAGATCGTCGAGGAAGAAAATAATAGTCTGGAATTTGTCTAACCTTTTTTGGGAGCCGCTTCTTTATCACTGGCTTAGCACTGGCACTAGGGTCCTTCTGCAATTCACCACCTATGGCCTTCCAGTCAACACCCTTGAATGGATCTTTTGGCTCTTCAGTTCCCATGCCCAACACTGTCAACTTGACAGCTCGGTTCTGTAAATCCAAAGTTGCAAACTCTATTCAATGTAATCTAAGAAACTAGCCTGAAAACCCAACAGAAAAAAAATACAGATCACGGTGTTAACAGGAGAAACCAAACACAAGGACATGTATGAAACACTGCACACACAAAACAACAGTTTAATTTTACCAATTTCAAGTTCTCTCTTTTTTTTTTTCACAAAAAAGGGGGGAAAAAAACTCAATTTATAAATTGCCATTTTTATCAAGGATGGCACAAAATTTTTTCAGATTCCAAATCTGAATGTGAGTACTTTGTTTAATGGCAATCGAATGTGATGATATATAGCCAAAAAGAATTTCAGAAACTTGGCAGCAGATAATTACAATAGAAATATAGTAACTAGTATTTGTTACAATTTGATTCTAATTGCAATGGAAAATTATCCCGAAATCTAATCACTCTTGCAATCATACCCAACATTAATCTAAAATGGATGTTAGGATGATTGAGTTGATGAGTGAAATTATCCTTAACAGCTCTTAGGGGATAAAAATTCAGTGTTGGCATTTTGAAGGCTTTGGGTATAATGATGGTGAACACAAGAAGATTTTGGTGCGGGTGGCAGAGGAGAAATGATGATTTGGTTAGAATACTAGGATTCTCAATATGACAGCAGCAATGCTTGGCTACCAAGGTTATGGGTTGTTACATGGTGAATGATTAATAATAATGGTTTTCTCCTAATCTTTATCATCAGATACAGCTTCTAAACCATAATTATTCTAAAACCAAAAAATATTAATGCAAATTCTTCAAGTTCAAATTCAACCTCCCTTATTGTCCTGAAGAGAACACTCAATTCAAAAGTTACTCAGACTACCCAAAAAAAAAAAAAAAAAAAAAAAAAAAAAGAAAGATTTTTGGTGCGGGTGGCAAGAGGAGAAATGATGAATTTGGTTTTAGAATACTAAGGAAATTCTCAATATGACAGCAGCAATGCTTGGCTCAAGGTTATGGGTTTGTTACAGGTGGTGAATGATTAATAATAATGGTTTTTTCCTTCTAATCTTATCATCAGATACAGCTTTTAAACCATAATTATTCTAAAACACAAAAAATAATTAATGCAAATTTCTTCAAGTTCAATTCCAACCGCTCCTTATTGTCCCCTGAAGAGACACTGCAATTTCAAAAGTTTACTCCAGAACTACCCCACACAAAAAAAAAAAAAAAAAAAAAAAAAGAAAACTGAAAAACGTAGATGCCCATCTTCTCAAAAATAGTAAACATATGAAAAAAAAAAAAAAAAAAAAAAAAAAGAAAACTGAAAAACGTAGATCCATCTTCTCAAAAATAGTAAACATATGCGCATAAATCAATCTATCACACAGCAGCAATTAGAGTTGTATTTATATATCACTTTTTCATTTTACAGAAAATTAAATAAAATTCTACGAAGCAAGACTATCCAAGAAGAGGAAGAACCAAGAGAAAAGAGATTACCTCAGGAATCACCGTCACCGGAGGCACACAGCAGCAAATGAATAAACGAAATTGAAAGAGGACTTATGAATTCGAAAACGAAGATCTAAAACGCACCGTTTCCCCAAAACGTGCCGTTTTTTTAGACAGTGGCAAAATGGCAATATAAAAGAAAATTATGGACCGTGTAACATGGTATACGGACGTGGCTAGACGCAGCGACTGGACTGGAGCTGGTGTTGCTAAAGGACGAAGCAAACAGCGTGTTATTGTGAAAAAAAGAAAAGGTAAAACATGAGAAGAGTATAAAGGAAGAGAGTTCAAATAAAGAACAGAAGACCTCATGAAAGCTTGAGACTGTGTGCATTAATGGATTTTGTGTCTCTGTTTCTTCCGTTTTTCGTTCTCAAGCTTGTTATTAAATTAAAGTACCCTGATTCCTTAATAATTAGAAGTCTCTTCCACGCCACCATCATTCGCCACTACTACCACCATCATCACCATTGATCGAATCCTCTCTGTAACTTCTTTCTTCCCTATATTATGCTACAAATTGCTTCAATTCCTTCCCCAGGCTTCAATTTTGTTTTCTCTAGTTTTAGATTTCCATAATTCTGTAACCAAAATTTTCTTTTTGTTTGTAATTTTAATTATATCTGGTCCCTTCTTCACTGTCAAGTGTCAGAGAAACCCATTTGATTTTGCTACGTTTATCTTGTAGTTGGCGATTCTGAGCTCTGGATTCTACAAATATATAAAATCTTGAAACTGTTGAGTTTTGAGTATTATCCAGCTTGCAACAATGCCAGGCTTAGTCTCAGCAAAAAGCCCAGCCAATGCAACGCCGTTACAAGATTTACTCCGCCAAAGCGACAGTAAAACGCCATCTCCGCTCCTAAAGCGAACGCCGCCACCCTCCTCCAACCTAAGAGCCATACTCTCCAAAAAGACTCCAGAGAAGCTAACCGTCGATGAATCCTCTTTCGACAATCCGGATCTGGGTCCCTTTCTGTTAAAGCTCGCCAGAGATACCATTTCTTCCGGTGACAACCCGGATAAGGCCTTGGATTATGCATTTCGTGCATCCATGTCATTTGAAAGGTGTTCGGGTTCGGGTCTGGAGCTGTCCATGAGCCTACACGTGCTAGCAGCGATTTATTGCAGTTTGGGCCGGTTCGAGGAAGCGGTTCCGGTTCTAAAGCGTTCCATTGAGGTTCCGAATGTTGCTAACGGGTTGGACCATGCGTTAACGAAGTTTGCCGGGTACATGCAGCTTGGTGACACGTATTCTATGCTGGGACAGCTAGACATATCCATCTCGTGTTACGAATCGGGTTTGAAGATACAGATTGAGGCTCTCGGGGATTTGGATCCCAGAGTTGCAGAAACATACAGGTAATTTTTTTTTTTTTTAATAATTTGTTAATAATTTAGCCCTGTCCTTATAATTATCAACCTCTGTTAATTACGAGTCCGTTTGAGTTGTTATTGAAAATAGCACAACAACCTAACTAAAATAAAACCTGTGTGCCTCTATCACTAGGATAATGGACCCGCGTGTTTCATGCATGATTGAATGTAATTTGGCCGTTGCATTCGAATTTATCAAGAAGTTGGAGATTCTCTGCATCATCTTGATTTTTGCTTTAATAATTCAACAATTATACGGCTAACGATATCAAAAAAGAGAAAAAAAAAATTGTATTACTAAACTAGTTAATTGGCTGTATTTTTGTTCTCCTGTAAGTCTTTAATCATGGCAAACGATACAGAGAATCAGGCCTCTATTTTATATACCCTCCATTATTGTTCAGTTGAAGCCCTTAGTAACATAATCTCTCATGTCTATTTTTTTATTTCGTTCTCTCTCTTCTCTCCCACGGCATACAATTATGAATTAAATAACTTTTTGACTTAAGAAATTGGTATTGATAATATCTTCAACATATCCTTCTCTATTCATCTACTTTAGAAACCAGTCCATTCAAATGCAAACCTTTTATGTAGTTTTCAGTAACTTACAATCACTATTTTCTGTTGCCTTTTCAGAAATTACTTGTACGTATTTTGGAAACGTGAAAACCTTGCAACTGCTGACTGTGAAAATGACAGGTACTTAGCTGAGGCCCATATTCAAGCAATGCAGTTTGATGAGGCACATAGACTCTGTGTAAAGCTCCTCGAAATTCACAGGAAGCATAGTGCACCAGCATCCCTTGAAGAAGCAGCTGATCGACGACTTACAGCTCTTGTCTGTGAAGCAAAAGGAGACTTTGAATCTGCCTTAGAGCATTTTGTCCTTGCCAGCATGGCAATGATCGCTGCTGGTCAGGAGAATGAGGTTGCTGCTATTGATATTTCCATTGGCAACATTTATGTATCCCTTTGTCGCTTTGATGAAGCCATTTTTTCTTACCAAAAAGCCCTAACAGTCTTCAAATCTACCAAGGGTGACGATCATCCTACTGTAGCATCAGTCTTTGTTCGTCTAGCGGATTTGTATTATAAGACAGGCAAGCTAAGGGAGTCTAAGTCCTACTGTGAGAATGCCTTGAGAATACATGCAAGACCTGCCCTCGGAACTGCAACCGAGGAGATTGCTAGCAGTTTGACAGAAATTGCTGCCATCTATGAAGCTCTGAATGAGCCTGATGAGGCATTGAAGCTCTTGAACAAGGCAATGAAGTTGCTGGAAGACAGGCCAGGACAGCGTAGCACAATTGCAGGAATAGAAGCACAGATGGGGGTCATGTTTTACATGATTGGAAGGTATGGGGAGGCTCGGACCTCTTTTGAGAGTGCCGTTGCAAAGCTTCGGGCCAGTGGGGAGAGTAAATCAGCCTTCTTTGGAATTGTCTTGAACCAGCTGGGATTGGTCAATGTCCAACTGTACAAGATAGACAAGGCAGCTGAATTGTTTGAAGAAGCAAGGGAGATTTTAGAGCAGGAGTGTGGCTCATGTCACTTGGAAACTCTTGGAGTGTATAGCAACCTTGCAGCAACGTATGACGCAGTGGGGAGGTGAAAATTTTCACGTGCTCATGCCAATAGTTGCTTTACTTTCATATTTATTTTTTCTTTTTGCTAATTGCCGTGCTCACTCTTTGGTTCTATCATAATGTCACTCATAACAAGAAGCCAGTGATGTTATATATCATGCACATATGCTGACATTTTAATTGAAACAAAATAGCCTTTAAACCCACAAGAATGACAAACACCATCCTTGGACTTCATATCCTCCTGGGAAAAATCAAACTTTTTTCTGAAAGTTCTATTCAATTTTTAACAATTTCAGGACCTGTATGTGATTTTGGTGTTCTCTTACTGTTAATTTTAGGTGTAAACCAATTATTTCTTCATCTTGCATGTCAGAAACTTGAAACCATTGTGTATTTTCTCATATTATAAAACATTGCAGAAGTGCCAGTAGGTCAGTGACACAAGTTTGGTTTTATCATGTATATATCCTTGTATAGTAAGGTTAGCACTTTTTATAGTTGAAGCTTTTACCATGAACAGGGAATAATGGTGGTTTTTACAGGGTTGGTGATGCAATTGAGATATTAGAGTATATCCTTAAAGTAAGAGAAGAAAAGCTTGGAACAGCAAATCCTGATTTTGATGATGAGAAGAAAAGGCTAGCTGAGCTCTTGAAGGAAGCGGGAAGGGCTAGAATCAGAAAAGGAAAATCTCTTGAGAATCTCCTAGATTCCAATTCTGAGAGGAGGAAGAAAGGAGTTACGAAGAGGAGATCTGGATTTAGTATTAGAAATTGACTAAAGGATCTGGGCCTTTAGTGTTACACTTATTTGCCATTTACGATGAACTAAAGCACTTGGTAGGTAGTTTTATGTAATCCCCTTCAGGACGGCAATAAAAACTTTTACTTTATTTTCTCCGTCTTCGGATGTTTGTAACCTCTACATGCCAAACGAAAGAGCTTGCTTGAAATCAATATAAAGTTAAGCAGTAACACAACGTTCTTCTCCATATTTGGCCAGGAAGAACGATTTGGATTCATTGCTCTTGAAGATTTAGATTATAGAATTAGCCGTTGCAACGCGATATATAGTTACAGCGGTTGACTACGGCCATGAGGAGAATGAAATGGAGTGACTACCTGCTTCCGTGGCTCGTAACTTTAACGCGCAATACATCATTACAGCGGTTCTCTGCATGCATAACGTAATCGATTGAACTTGACGACCTGTCGTTTACCGACCTCGTTTGTGATTTGTGAAGGTCTTTTGCTATGTTGACCGATACGTTTTGTCTCGAACCAAACAAACAATCGCCTCCTTTAACACGCCGCAACCCGTTTGAAAGGACCCTTCTATGCCGCGAATGATGAGATGGAGCCATAATTGTATCTTTGAGAATGAATGATGCATGAGGGCTATATGGCTTAAAAGAGAAATGTAGGCTTCATGTTTGCTAATGTCTGAAGTATTCTTCATTCTCCTCTGGGTTTCGTGTGCACTAATTAACGCTCAGTATATCCAATATTCTGGGGACTTTGTCGTCCAAGATCTTCATAGCCATTATGATGTAAAATTATAACGAAGAGAAACAAAATTATACATTTTGTTGAAAATTTTCTCTGTTGAATTAGGATGCAATTGAATATGGGAAACAAAAGGAATTCTAAACTTGTTTTTTTAAATACTGGAGAGGTGATTTAAATTCGGATTTATTGATAGACTGTATATGCATTATCATTAAACTAAACCTTGGTGTAAAGAAATCCTAAATTTTTAAATTTTCTTCTTATTTAACTAGTATTCTTTCATCTCTCTTTAAAATTGAGTTATTGTGGTGGAAAAATTTAAAATAAAAAAAGTACAATTTAATCTTTCAATTTAGGCATAGTATCTGAAATAAAATTTCTATTTAACTAGTTATATCTAATAGGGAAATTACCGTCATAGAGATAGTTTGGTTAAAACGAGTTGGCTAAATTAAATTTCTTAATTTTTAAAATATTATTCATAAAAGTTCTAAAAAAAATATTATCCATAAATTAATATATTTTATGACGACTAATGACTTCCTCTCCTAATGCTCAGCCCAGTTTATGAGTTATGGTACGACAGTTACATATATGCATATATCCTCTATGCTGTTTACATTGGCGCTCACAGCCAAAGCAAAATGCCCGAAACGAGCTATTCTAGCCAAAACTCGACCTCCACTACTGACCCTACTGATCATCTTCCTCTCTCTATCTTTAGATCCGACATCATCCCACCCGCACCAACTTCATCCCAATCCACCATAGACTGGCTACCAGACTTTGCCGGTTACGCATGGATCGGATATGGAGCCTCCTCTCTCTTAGTGATTTCGCACTTGCCATCCTCCCTCTCTTCCGACGAATTTCTCAGTGGCCCCATTCTCCGCCAAGTTTTCGAGCTTTCTGGCAATCATTCATCCCACGTCACTGCCGTTTCATGGTCCCCAGTAACGCCGTCGATAGGAGAGCTCGCTGCTGCGTCAGGCAACTGCATATATGTGTTCTCACATGATTCCGCTAGCTTCAAAGGTAATGAAGTTAGAGTTACTGTTTTACACTTACTTTATAATTCCAAATTAAATGAAACTTATATACGAGAAAATGATTTGAAGAGTTGAATCGGGAATGAAGCCTTTTGCTTAATTTGTATGAATGGGCGTTTGTTTAAATATAGATACTACTCCTTGTTATATTTGATCAGTAAGGGCCATATCTATGTTTTAATTGTTGGATGTCTCAAAATTCAATTTTCTTTCACTCATATTCAGGTTCTTTTGTTTGGAGCCAGAATGCAGTGCTTTTACAATCGACAAAGGTGGAAGCAGTCAAATGGACTGGCTCTGGGGACGGGATAATTGCTGGTGGAATTGATGTGATTTTGTGGAGAAGGAAAGACAAGTCATGGGAAATAGCTTGGAAATTTAAAAGAGATGAGCCTCAAAATCTGGTTTCTGCAACCTGGTCAATTAAGGGACATGTGGCAACTGCTGCTTATCCGAGTAAATTGGATATTAAAGGATCTAGCAATATGAGTAAGTGCGTGTTTGTGTCTTATTGTGATAGCATATCTGAATATGCAAAATTTGAGCTGCGCCATCCACAGCCTGTCTCAATGATTCAATGGAGGCCATCAACAGGAAGACAATCACAGGGAGATGCAAATTATCCGCCAAGACACATTCTACTAACTTGCTGCCTTGATGGAACTGCTAGGCTATGGACAGAGGTAGATAATGGAAAGGTTAGAAAGTTAGCCAAGGACAATAGTGATCGCAAAGCAACAAGGAGGTCTTTTTGTGTTGCTGCTGTAATTGAGATAAATCAGGTGTTGAAAGGAAGTTTGGGCATGGATATATTTTTGAACTGGGCGGCAGAAAGTAGTGGTATATATAGAACTGGAGAGGGAACTAAGCAGTTCTTATCCCCTGAAACATATGGTCATAATAGAGTTGGCAAATGCGAGTGGTTAATTGGCTTTGGTCCAGGAACAACAATTACTTTCTGGGCCATTCACTGTCTTGATGACATCTCGCCCATGAGGTTCCCTCGTGTTACACTATGTAAGAGAAAAGAATTGCAGGACCTTGAAGGGGGGCATCTTCATGGATCTGCATTTTCAAACTTTAAAGATTCATTACTTCTTAGTAAGGTTGTTATCTCGAGGAATTGCTCGTCTGGCCCTCCTGATATATGCTCTTTGGTTCATTTATTACCTTCTAATTCCTTTATCTGGTCTCTGTTACATACTGAAAGATCTGGTAATATTGAGACCACATCCTTGAACAATTTAGAAATATGCAAGTACTTTTCACGTTCTGCTAATGGAGTTTTAGATGGACGACATGCTGGAAAAATCTTACAAGTTGCTGTACATCCTTGTATTTATGAACTTGGATTGGCTGCTTCTTTGGATTCTAACGGATTGCTTCTATTTTGGTCTGTTTCAAATGTTTCAAACCATAATTTTGGCCTTTCAACGTTGGTTCCAACATGGAAGCTTTGTGGAAGCTTTCAAACTAATTATTCGTGTTCTAAGTATACAAGCCTGAAGTGGGCACCTTCTACGTTAGATGAAGACTATATACTTCTTATGGGACATGCCAGAGGAATAGATTGCTTTGTAGTTAAGGTTCCTCAAATTGGAGGAGGAGGAGACATAATATGCCACTTTATCTCCACCATACCTCTAATTAGAGATGGTACTTATGAGGATGGTCCCCCTAATATCTTTGTGATACCTCTTCCTTCTACCTGTAACAAGACATTCAAGTACAATAAATTTATGCTTTTGGGGGTGTGGATGGAGCACTTTCAGGCTCTTTCATGGGAAGTAACTTTACACTCCTATGATTTACCGGAAGCTTCCTGTGACTGTAATTTTGATGATCAAAATAGTACTATGCTCTGGAAATGGAAATTTGAAAGTTCTTTTGCTGATAAAAGATATTGTCTTGGTGTCAACCCTTGCTCGTCTCAATTGCCAGATACTTACTCTGATGAGCAGATTACTAGTTTTTCTGTGGTAGGTCCAGGTAATTCGATTCCTATGCATGGAAGTCTAGGTGGCACTAACATTTGCTGTAGTGTTCCAGCCTATGTTATGGCTACAGGCTGCTCTGATGGTAGCCTGAAACTGTGGAGAAGTAACTCTTCTAAAATGTCTACTCCTTATATACTGTGGGAACTTGTAGGCAAATTAGTTGCTCATCAAGGCACTGTTCGTGCTCTGTGTTTGACTGATTGTGGTCGGAAGATTGCTACCATCTCTGCAGGGAGTGATGGCACTAGCAAGCTTCACGTATGGGACAGTGTACACCTTATAGGAGCTGGAAGTTTTGTGTTAGAGGATATATTATGTATTGACAGAGAAGTTGTTTCTTTAAATTGGCTGGCTTTAGGCAATGGTCAGTTACTTCTTGGGGTTTGCACGCAGAATATGTTGCAGGTATATGCTCAGAAGCATTCTGGTGGTCAGACATTCTCGAACATTGGAGAATCTTTGAACCTGCAAAATTGGTTATGCATTGCAGTTTTTCATACTTCCCCTGCTATTCGGTACTTCCTTTGGGGCCCCCAGGCTGCAGCCATCATTGTTCATGATAATTACTTTAGTCTACTTAGTCAATGGTTGTTTCTTGTAGATAATAGAGAACGAAAAGATAAAGACATTCTTTCTTCAATATTCACTGATTTTGCTGCTGACGTTAGTGATCTTGGAGAACCATCAGTTCCTGTGAAGACTAATGGAAAAAAGGATTGCCTATCTAGCAATGTTTTTGAGGCCAAGTCTCAATTAAAACATGGTTTGTGTAACGTGGTTGGTTTTTGGAGCCTGGTTGAAGTAGCAGAGAAGTTGAAGGGAATGATACCTGTTTACCATCCTGAGGCGCTACTTATGAATATGTACTCAGGTACTTTAGAATAGTAATTTACCTGTCCTACACAATGTTCTTTGCAAGTTTTATGAGACAATTACAATTTCATTAAGTATTACTCGTCAGTTTACTCTTTTTCTTTGTGTTCCTGTTAAACAACCACATATATTTTTAATTCATGTTATCATCTCATGTGTTTAGGCAATTGGAAACGTGCTTATGCATCTGTGAGGCATCTTGTTCAATGTCTTCATTCTGGTTATTATTCTGAGAAAAGGTGCTGCTCTGGAAAGAATAGTCATGTTGCTCCACAGATTCTTTTGTCAAATTATTTTGAAGGAGTTCTCTTTAAAGATTCAATGGATAAGAGATTTCAGTGGGGTGCTGATGCAAGATTACCAGCCTCATCTTCGCAGTTTTCTCTGTATGACGCCAAGTCTGATGCTTCCAGTGATGTATTTATTTCATCTACAACGATATCTGAACTTCGTGGTTTTCTAGAGCCTCTTGAGAAAATGTATGATTTGGCAGCTGTATCCAATGCTGAGAAGTTGCAAATTCTTGCAATTGTAGACCTTCTTGCTGAAATTCAGCAATCTGCTTCTGCCTATGGAAATCTCGATGAACCTGGGCGAAGGTACTTATAAGTTTGGTCGGTTAACTAGTTTAGATTATGCTTCTTGTAAGATTTACCTTACCTAATAATTTCTGAGGTTTGGGTGGTAAAGATTGGTATGTTTCTTGGGTTCAAATCTTGCCTGCAAGAGAGAAAAGTTTCTTTCACGGATGTTTAAATATCAAGATCCGAGAATATTGCTAGGAAAACCACATGCCTCAGAAATATATCCACAGTTCCTGGTCTAGAGATCTAAGTACTGGTGTATGAAGTGCTACTCAATTTATCATTCTATATACTAAAGGATTATGAATCACAAACGTGCATCAAGTAGGGTGGATAAATACAAATGCTTGACATGCCTACGAGACGCATCAGATACGCAAACCCTATGTCCAACAGAAGGAGAGAAATAAAAAAAGAAGAATGAGAAGAAGAAAGTTTTGGCTTGTGGGACTTTCTTCAAAATAAATAGTTTTCTGTTATGCACTATCTTATTTTTTTAAATTTTCACATTTTCATGCCGATATATGAGGAATTTATTGAAGATTACCCAATCAGTGAAGATTGGAGCACTACATAAACAGAAAATGGTCTTTAAATATGCTACTTTTAAGCAGTTACTAATAAAATGATATTGGCCTATCATTCATACTGTTTGTAAAGCTTTTGGTGGAGTTCTCATACTGATCCAGATCTTTTTGTATCTTTCAAGGTTTTGGGTTGCATTAAGGTTTCAGCAGCTACATTTTTCTAGAAGCTTTGGCAAATTATCATCTGTAGAAGAATTGATTGTTGACACTAGTCTAATGTGCTGGGCCTTCCACTCTGACTGCCAGGAAATTTTGTTGAGTTCTTTTCTTCCAAATGAACCATCATGGAAAGAAATGCAGACTCTTGGTGTTGGATTCTGGTTTACCAATGTTGCGCAACTACGCACAAGGGTAATACTTTCAGATATCTTTCTCTTTAATTTCTATATTAGGAGAAAACTTTTTCTGGCTTTTTCTTTGTAAGAGAAGGTCACATCCTCTCCCTGTTGAAGCATTGTCTGGCTCTTAAGTTGGTTACGACAAATGCAACTATCTATTCTAAAGCATTTACACCTTTAAAATACCATGTTACTTTTTAATATTTCAAGAGTAGTTGGAAGCATGTATGATGTTTGTCCTGACATTAATGGTGAATTTCATTATAATCTATCATTGGAAAGTGATGTGAACGCTTTTTGGTTAATTGGAATAAAATTATGTAGGACTCTACCTATTGCGCCACCCAATACATCATGGGACTGTATAAGCAAAAACATGCAGTATTAGCAATGTGGGTAGGTTTAACCAATTAGCCTACTAATGTTTTTGCTGTGGGAAAATTTCAAGTGTTTGATGGGTTTTAGGTTTAAATGTTAGGGAAGAGGGTAATTTAGAATTAGGAAATTGAATTACTTATTAGAGTGACAAATGAAAAGCAAAGAAAAGAAATTAGTGACTGTGAGCAGGAACTGAGGAACTGTAGCAATAGGAATAGCAATGGGGTAGGTCTCATCCCTGATCCACCTTACTCTGCCGAACACCTCCCCTGACCCTTTCCTGTACCAGGAAGGCCATAAGATTCTTTACCCATCCCTGCCCCACCAAGAAACAAAAATCCCCAATCTGGTGTTGCCCTGCTTTACCTTTTCCTGCAGTGATGCTCTTTAATTTTTTTTTCCCTACTTTCTTTTTCTTCGCTTATTTATTTGCAACCTGATGCAAAATCAAGCATAACCATTTAATAAAGTAAGTTAAACAATAGAAATTAGCAATCACCAATCATTTGCCTTTAGTGATGGCTGTTTTCTGTTAATAAAACCCAAACTCCTTATTCTTTTAGAAGTCTTTCTGTTTTCCTTTATACTTATGCTGGTTGGTTTACTGCAGGTGGAGAAATTAGCAAGAATGCAGTATCTGAAAAACAGAGATCCCAAAGATTGTGCCCTTTTATACATTGCATTGAATAGACTTCAAGTCTTGGCTGGTCTTTTCAAAATCAGCAAAGATGACAAAGACAAACCCTTGGTGGGGTTCCTTTCTCGCAATTTTCAGGTATCTCTGGAGTTATGGACTCCAAAGCTAATGGTTTACTTGCTAGAGTCAATAAAATTCACTGTGAATGACAAAAAAGGGTTATGAGACATATTTTGGATCACCAGCTTGCAACAGTTTCCCTGTTGGCTGTTGCAATTGCCTGTCAATTTGGATAAACAATTTGTTAATCTGTCTCAACCAATATTCAGTTGCAGAAACACATAGCTATTCTCACACAGAAATACATTGATAGATTCATTTTCTTTCAGTTGCCATTTCAGTTTTTTCTTGGAAGTCTCAGCCCACTGATTCTTTTTTACTTCTATGTGCATTTCAGTTCCTTTGCACTAGAAAAAGGTTACAAATTATTTTTAGTTTTAATTATTGTTACAGGAGGAGAAAAATAAAGCAGCTGCTTTAAAAAATGCTTATGTCTTGATGGGAAGACATCAGCTGGAGCTTGCTATTGCTTTCTTTCTACTTGGAGGAGATAATTATTCTGCAATCACAGTTTGTGCAAAGAATCTTGGAGACGAACAACTTGCACTAGTAATTTGTCGGCTCATTGAGGGTCGTGGTGGACCATTGGAACATCACTTAATTACAAAGTTTATACTTCCATCTGCAGCTGAGAGAGGAGATTACTGGCTTGCAAGCCTGCTTGAGGTTCCTAGTTTTGAATATTTGACCATGATCTTTTCCTCTCTCTCTTCTGTTTTTCCCTTTTCCAGATAGGATCTATCATATGGAGTTGCACGCATGACATTTTTGTAATTCTTCAGATTTTATAACTTAAAGTTAGCTCTTTGGTTGCAGTGGGAATTGGGCAATTACTATCAATCTTTTCTCTGCATGCTTGGTTTCCAGAGAAGTTCTTTAACTGAAAGATCTGCTCTTTCATCTAATCATGCTGCTTTTATGAACCCCCATATTGGTCTATATTGCCTCAAATTAGCAAGCAACAATTGCATGCGAAATGCCACAGGGGACCAAAATGCTGCAATTCTTAGTAGGTGGGCAACATTTATGGCAGCCACTGCCTTCAACAGAAGTGGGCTTCCTGTGAGTTTGCTTGACATTTCATGTTATATGTATATATTGCTTAGTTTACAAAGTTTGAACATATCACACTTTTCTTATTCCTATTCACTACTTTAACAATGGGTACAAGGAATTAGTGGTTGCCTTTATGTCATTTTAATTGCAGTCATTTAGTGATTTATAACATGATTCATGGACTCTTCGTGAGTAGGGTCAGATTGCAATTTATAATATGTATTTTCCATTTTGCTTCTATAAATGTGATTGATATTTCTTAATATCAGTTTGAAGCTTTAGAGTGCCTTTCATCTTCCTTGGTCACTTTTGAGAGTGAGGATCAAGAAAGGATATCGGATGTTAACCATTCTCAAATTCTACATGGAATCTTGAAGCCATCTGCCAATGATTCCCATAATTGGCTATCGAACAATGTGGCTTTGCAGCTGGAGTCCAGTGCTAAATTAGAGTTGGCTCTTCAGTATTTCTCTAAATTGATGGGGGAGCATCCTAGTTGGCCTGATGCTACCTTAGGATCTGTTCAACCCAGTACTCGATTCAAGGAGGGTGAAATTTATCAATACGACAAATTACTAGAAAATTTTCAAGACAAGTTATATACAGGACTGTCAAAGTTTGAGCAGAAGTTTTCAGTGGCTTCTTCTTGCTTGATTAAAATGGTATGTAGTATATTGACCATAACGATTGTCTTGTAGTTAACCTCATCTTGTCCTATCCCCATTTTTTCTTGTCCAATAACATATTATTTTTATTTCTGTTTACAGATTTTGGTATGGTTGTGCAATAATGGGCTGTTGTTTATTGGATATGATCTATTACTTAACTATATTTCTCGAGATCGCTTGCAAGATGACAGTCATCTTTTTGGCGATTTAGTACTGTATCCTCTTCTCTGTAAGGCGCTCCTAAAAGCTATTAAAGATTTTTCCCTTTTTCTTTCACGGTTTATTGTCGCCTCTAGCATAACATGCCTCCAACCAAAGTCATGTTATATTGAGAACGATACATCTGTTGAAGTTAAATCCACATGGTCAGATACTCAGGGGCATTATTTTCAAGGTATCATGCCAACATTGTGGAGTTTAAGAACTGCTATAAGGATCAGTTCTGGCTTCTTATCTGAGGATATGACTACAAGATTCTTTGTTATTATTGATTTATATGAATTTTCTGTACATTTTGCATCTGCTTGGCTTCGGCGAAACTCTAAAGGTCTGTTGTTGATGGTGCAACCACTCTTGATTGCATTTACCGATGGGCATAACCCTTGTGAAGTTGATATGGCAAATCTCAAGAACATTCTTAACCACATTGCAGAGTTGTTGGCTAGCAATATTTCAGTGGATGATGCACGATTAGGGCTGAATGTTACTGAATTCATGCCATTCAAGTTAGATGGAGAAACAGTGAATTTATTTTCAGAAGTTGAAAAATGGCATATCATAGGGGCTTGTTTGTGGCAGCATATGGCCAGACTAATGAAACATAAGCTGGATTTGTTATCCATTAATGTTGATCATAGTTCCTTCTCTGGAGTTTCCCATTGCCCAGCATCTAGTTCAATGAATTTTGCATATGATAACAACATGACAGAACAAATTGCATCGCTCTCATTGATATTGGCCAAGTTACTGAAGAATACAATTTTACATGTTTCATCTTATCATGTAAAAGTATTTGGATCATTGCTGCAGTTGAAAGTAGAGAATGGATTGCACATACCGACTCTTGCATGGCTACAAGAATCAAATCTGTATCAAGCCAAAGTCAACAATCAGGATGCAAGTGCTGATATAATAAACAGCAAAGATGAATTATCAACTTTCAATATATTGTGGGACACCTGTGCTGACCCTAACATAATATCCAAAGGTTTTGCAGAAGAAAAAATAAACTGGTCACAATTTGTCCATCATAGATCCTCTCATGGCTGGAACGAGTTATATGAGAGCATCAGAGAAGAGCATAAAACCAAGGAAGTTTTGGATCATGAAGTTAGATTAAGCGATAATCATTCCAGTGGTGAAGTTAGATCAAGCACCAAGGGTCTACTTAAGAATGGGCGCTCATTTCTAACTTCTTGGCAGAAGGATGCAACTATTACCAAGGAGGTGCCACATTTCCAGAATGCTAAAGAAATATACAAGAGAGATGGAGAGCTGTTGGAGGTAGTTTTTCTGCATCATAGTTTTAACTGATTAGTAGGTTTTGAAAGTGAATGTCACCAAAATTTTTAGATATATTTGAGAGTTGTTAATGCTTCAACTTTGAGCAGGCACTCTGTGTTAACTCCATTAATGAAGGGCAAGCTGCAATTGCTAGCAATAGAAAGGTTAGTCTCATATGATTTAACTGCTCCCTTTGATTTCTGGAGTCATTGATTTTCCAATTTCATTTATGGGACGCCATTTTGCTTTTTTAGATTGATAATAGTTTACTAAATTATTTATCAGACACACATCATGATCATGACAATGTAGCAAGATTTTCAGGAGAGCATTGGAAGGCCTAGAATGAACTTTAAAAGAGTAGCAGAGATCGTCCATGTGAGCTAGATGAGGGCTTTCAGTATTCAGTTGGAAAATCTAATGTTCAATTTCTGTCTTGATACAGGGCATAATTTTCTTTAGCTGGGATGGTGGGATACCTTTTGACGATCAATCAGAATATACCTGGTCCAATGCTGATTGGCCAACAAATGGGTGGGCAGGTATTGAATCAAGACCAGTTCCAACATGTGTTTCTCCTGGTGCTGGTCTTGTAAGAAAGAAAGGGGCACACCTTGGATTGAGCAGGGAAACCCTTGGCATGGGTTCTTTAGCAAGACCAAGGAAAGACTTAAGAGGTGGTGGAGCATTTGGTATTCCAGGTTATGAGGGTACGGGTGCCTCTGGCTTGGGTTGGAAAGTTCAAGAGGATTTTGAGGAGTTTGTTGACCCACCAGCGACAGTGGAAAATATAAGTACAAGGGCTTTCTCTAGTCACCCCTCAAGACCCTTCTTCTTGGTTGGTTCCAGCAACACACACATATACTTATGGGAGGTACATAACTTTGACCATGAGAGGATTGGTGCTGTTTTTGTTAGGCAGTTGCACTTGAATCTATTTTCTTCCCATGGGTTTTCCCCCTTTAGATCAATTTTTACTCACTGTAGCAACAAAACAAATTCTTTCTGTTTCTTCTTTTAAGAGGAAAACGAACTTGTCACTTCTAATTTCATTCAATCTAGTGATTTAATCAAACTGATAATATGAAATGTTATATGTGCAGTTTGGTAAGGACAAAGCCACTGCAACTTATGGTGTGCTCCCTGCTGCAAATGTTCCTCCACCGTATGCTCTTGCATCAATATCTGCTTTGCAGTTTGACCACTGTGGACACAGGTTTGCTACAGCTGCATTGGATGGTACTGTATCCACATGGCAGCTGGAGGTTGGAGGAAGGAGCAACATCCGCCCAACAGAATCATCTCTCTGCTTTAGTGGTCATGCATTGTAAGTATTCCTTTGTTTGTACTCTATATAGCAATTCTGATAATTCTTTTCCTTGGCTGGACTTGGAAAAACTGAAGAAGATGTTGATACTAGTTTCAAAATTCTACTTGGTGAAAAATATGCTTTTATTCTCAAAATGATGGAAAGAAACATTTTTAAGTTTTGCTAGGAGTTTTCTACATAGAATTGATATTTGCTTCTATCAAATCTCCGACTCTGTAGTTGTTACAAAAATGTAAAAAGGAGGATGTCAACTAGGCAGACCAGCAGTTAGCCGTTTCGGTTGTTTTGTTAAGAAAAAAATGCACATGTAGGTCATCAATGTAATCTGACACATGCTTCAGGAACTTTACTTTGTTAAAGATAAATGCATTTCTACGTAGTGGTTAATATGGTGAATTTGCAGGGATGTCACATATGTTACTTCAAGTGGATCAGTTGTTGCTGCAGCTGGACATAGCTCCAATGGCGTTAATGTAGTTGTCTGGGACACATTGGCTCCACCCACGACCTCGCGAGCTTCAATTACTTGTCATGAAGGTTTTCTTCTAGTTCTCAAAGTGCATTAGATGAAATTTCATGCATGATTGATGATTGATTGTCTTCTAATACATGATAGCAAATGAAACATGGCTGGCCAGTTTCTGCTCAATGTTGTAGTCTGGTTTCTCTCTCGTAAAAAAAAGGGGTTAGATTTTATTGATGGAACAATCAGCACCACAAAAAAATGGATAAAAAATCAAACTCCCATTCTTCCATCAGTTGCAATGCCAGTCTTGCAATGACCAATCACTGTAAGGTTGTGCCAAGTTTTCTAACAAAAGTAATTCTAGTGATGAAGGTTAATACTTTGTTGATCATATAATATCCCAGTCTTGCTCATGAATTGTGCATCCAGCTACTACATACTCCATATATAGTGACCCAACCTTGTGTGCATGTGTGAAGGTGGTGCCCGCTCCATTTCTGTGTTTGATAATGACATTGGAAGTGGTTCCATATCTCCCCTTATTGTAACTGGTGGTAAAGGTGGTGATGTTGGACTTCATGACTTCCGGTACATAGCAACAGGAAAGACTAAAAGGAATAAGCATTTTGATAATGGTGATGGAAGTAACAATATGCCTTCTAATGCTGAAATGCAAGCAGGAGTTGGTAACAAAGTTGGTGATCAGAATCAGAATGGGATGCTTTGGTATATACCCAAGGCTCACTTAGGTATGTATTTGTCTCTCTATGCGAATTCTACCTGCATATAGTTTATCTACCTATTGATCTGACAGCTTTAAGTGAATAATCTGAGTGAAGGAAGCGTCACCAAGATATGCACCATACCTAATACCAGCTTATTCTTAACTGGAAGCAAGGATGGAGATGTTAAACTCTGGGATGCCAAAGTAGCCAAGCTGGTTTACCAATGGCCCAAATTGCACGAAAGGCGCACCTTTTTGCAACCAAGCACGCGAGGTTTTGGCGGAGTTGTCAGGGTAACAATTTCTACTTAGTATTTTGGTGGACAATAAGACAAGATTTGTTCTCATTTGAACTAGTAAATAATCTTAGATGTTTGGGTTTGCTGAAGTAAAATCACATTGAACTGTGTTACAGGCTGCAGTAACAGATATTCAAGTTGTTTCTCATGGTTTTCTTTCTTGTGGTGGGGATGGCTCTGTAAAGTTGGTTCAGCTCAAAGATTACCCGCATGAGAAATTGTAGTTTCCTATGAAATTCAAAGACATCTTCAAATCTATGAATCAAATTCAGAGATGGCTCTTTGCCGGAGCTTGGTGCTTTTTTCCCAGCTCTGACATTGTTGTCTAAATCACCAATATACCAAAATCTATGGAAGACAATTAAAACTTGATGAATTTGCATTGAACAGAAAATTCAGGTCTTATCAGTTGATCCTTGATCAAGAATTATTCGCTCTCATGAAGTGCGAGTAGGTTCAGAACACTGCGGTATTCCATCCGCAGCAACCTCTTTCTTTATTCACCGAGTGTTCTATTGAATTCATAACAAGTCCCGCGTTTCTGAATGGGATGAAAAGGGAAAGATTGACGTCAGCTGTCTTTCATGTGCGTACAGATTTTCGTCATGCTTCATTTTCTGTAGTCGTCAGCATTGTATCATATTTTGAGGTGGTTATTGTATTTCCCATGATGTTAAATTGTCTATTTTATTCTATTGTTCTTAGTGTATATTTTCCTCCCCTTGATTATTTTCAATGTACATTTGTGTATTTTTCCTGTTGAAAGGTAGTCGATGTAAATTACTAAACTCAGCATTTTTTTTAGGGTAATGACTTTGCAGAGTTACAAAGTAAAATGAAGACTTTTATTTCAAAAGGATCTTATTTCTTACTTTTTAGACATATATCAGAAAGAGAAGGTATAGCACTCATTGTAGTTTAGCGATAAACATCCAGCGTTCGATTATGAATATTGTAGGTAATTAGCGATGGCTAACTCGATTCAAATCCAAATAAAAAAAAACACAATTATATCAATTTTAGAATTGAACTATGATCACTGACCAATAACGCAGATCTTTCATCTTTGTATTACACGTAAACAAAGTCAATGCAGAGTGCAGCCGAAAAAGTTGAATAAAATTCTAAATCCACGTGTCATCCGAAATCTTTATGCTCACGCTTCGCTTCCTTGTACTCTACCAGTACAAAATAGTATAGTAGGTCGGAAAAATACAGCAATAAATTTTCAAGCACATTGAATTATCTTATCTTCAAAATTTCACTCAATTATTTCTCATTTCTGCTGTCTCTTACTTTTAATTCTCTCTTGTCGGAGCTCTTTAACTTGTAGCTGACGTTCTTTTACATTCTTTTCCTAATTAATTCGGAATTTCTCTAGCTTCCATCAATCATAAACTGACACGTCTACATCACTGCTTCTATTGGCAGTAATCGGACCTTTTAGCCTATATTACGTTAATGAATGAAAAAGTGAAAACACAACTGAAATCTATGGGTTAAATCCCACAGCTTTCTTTAATGGCATCCTTCGTACTATATTGCCTAAAAACTCTGTGTGCTGCTCTTAATTATACTCCTACTTTCTACCAAGAACCAATTATTTTGTGGAAGAGTAAATAAATAAAAAAGAATAAGAATTATATAGTGGTAAACTTAATGTTATTTTCTAAATTGGACACTACATGAGTGGGTCCACTGTAAACCTAATTTTCTTTATATTTTACAAAAATGCCGATTTTCGTTTCTATTTGATTGTATTCATCTCATATCTTTATTCTTTGCCTTTGGAGAAGCCGAAACGGTACTTGGATTGGGACCTACGATTTTCCTACGTGGCCTATCACAAATGGTCCTCCGATTAAAGATTGGAGATCTTATCTTCTAAATGGACCTGGTACCGCGCCGACCCTCCCTTCTCTAATCAACTGCCTCGTGTGCAAACATGAAACATGCGAGGGAAAAGCCATAATAATCATAATAATAGTATAATACTGCTAGGCTCTCTTTGTTAAGTAACCCCAGAAAACGTAAACGCGGACCACATTGTTGAAACTGAAAGGGAAAGGGACAAGGCATATACTGTGTCGTTTTGAATGGAATCTATTACCCAATTTTTTCGCTGTGGTAGATTTTATGTTTGGTAAAACAGGAAAGGGTATGGGACTGTGGACTGTGTAAAGCGACATAACAATGATAAATTGATAAAGCTAAACTAAAGCCTGCGTCTCTTCTATCTGTGGATCTTCTGGAGATTCATTTTTTTTTTTTGTTTGGTAAATGAAAAAACTCTCATAAAATCAAAATGAAACGATTCCGTTTCGGTTGGATATTGCTTTCAATGGATTCAATCAGATCTGCACAATAATACAGTACATATAACCACTTGCCTATTCCTGTCCGATTTTGCACGAATCCAATCCATATCCTCTTTTTGGTTTGTACTCTTTCTTCTCTTGTTCTTGTTGTTTTAATTTTTTTCTCGCTGATTCTTTATCTTACACAAGAAGGAATTCTGTTCTGTTCTCTATCTTTGTATGCTCGATGGAATCTTTTTGCTTATGATTTTTCCTGATTTTTATTATGTGGTTCAAATTGGTGTGTTTGCTTTATTTAACTATGAATGGTTTATAATTCTGTATGTTTTTTTCCTTTTTGTCTCCCGTTGTTGTTGATTATTGCAGGGTTTTCTCTGGTTTCTGATCAATTTGGGTATGATTCTCCCTTTAATGGACCTCATTTGACAATATCTCTTACCCTCCCTCTGATAAGTTTTTGCAGTTGGGCACAGGAAATACTGGTTTCCAATTTTTTTTCTTTGCTTGTGCTTGATCTTATACTTTCAATTTTAGTCGTTGATGAACTTCAGTTCATTGTGCACATGATCCACTTATCACACAGCACTATTTGTGATGATCCACTTATCAGTTATTACACTGCAGTTTGCAGAATCTTGTTTGATTTCCTAGTTGACTTGATGGCATTTTACTTGTAAAGGTAAATATTGCATGAAAGATGCCTTTTTATGCTTGTTAAAGAGATGTTTTGGTGCCAAATTAACCAGCATTTAACTCGATTTTCCTGATAAGATGCCTTTATATCCAGTTTTATACTAAAATTGTGTACTTCGGATGTGCATGCTTCCAAAAGTAAATTTGTTTTGTCTTTTTAAGGATGATACGCATTAAATGCTTAATGTGCCTTTGGATTTTAGTGCTTAGGCATTTGGGTCCTTTATGGTAAGATGTTTTGCGAAGTTCATTTATGTTTGCTTATTTTGGATGATGTTGAAATAATTTGTGGCTTCTTTTCATCTTCATAGCATGTAACTCTAATCTACTTTTTATGTATAAAGTTAACTTTCAGTTTAACAGTTGTAATTATCTCAATCTTACGAAGAAAATTTATATTGTGCAGTCCTCATTGTACTCTGATTGCATAAAAAGTTCTACAATCTTTGGGTTAGGCTGTCAAATTGATATGTAGTAGTCTTGGTTATGACTTCCGTCGTTTGCAATGATGACTAGAATTTCTGAATCCTCTACCAGCTTGTCCTGCTCACTTCGTAATTAGTGGATTTTTGGGGAATTCCTTTTACTTCAATCTTTTCTTAATCAAATATAATCATTTTGAAACTGCTAATTGTAGTGTTGTTTTATAATCAAGCATTATTGAACACTTTAATGCCTATGTTTTCCCCAGGCTTGTTTTTGTCTGTGAATGGTATCTTGTTTCAGCATGTACTGTGAAATAGGGTGTGCAAGCCACCATTCATATAACAACAAGATGTTTGTATTCTAGAACTTCAAAGTACAGTTTTCTTGTGGTATTATCAGTCATTTCATTTTTATCGTAAACAAGTTCAAGCCAATATGAACTCTAATCTGCTGAAAAAATTATCGACAAATTTCACATCATCAAATTTTAGGAATGCGTATGTTCTAATGAGAGTTTAAAGTGTTACATTTACATGCTTTCTCATCGTCGCAAACTATGAAGATATAGACAAGTCTAACAGTCTGTCTTCAATTTTTTCTCGTTTCTTTTTAACCCTTTTGGGTTTCCAGTGCCTGTCAATGATAACCAAAGATTATCCACAGCAGATGTGTCAGATAAAAGAAGGCTGATGGCAGTAGCAGAAGCAAGAGCTGTGTGGCAAAGAGTAGCTAATCGTTGTTTTGTCCAAGAAGATGCGAAAAGGGCTCCCAAGTTAGCTTGCTGCCAATCATCATCTTCATCATCCAGACAGATTGATGGGGGATCAACAGATGCAGCAGACATGACAGATAATCCAGGGGTAGGTTTCATGCCTCTCCACAGGAACCCCTCGTATTCCAATCTACCTCCTGATACAAGATGGTGGCTTCAGCTGCAACCTAACTATGGATATCAAAAGGGTTTAACATATGAACAGTTAAATGCCTTGGAGGCTGAGATGGAAAGCCTTAGAGCTGAAATTGCAGACTCAACCTCTAAAATTGGTGAGGTTTGCCCAGATGATGATAGATGCAGATGCTTTGATGGAAGCAAGAATAGTGAATCTTCCTTTGATGCACATTGGAAGACTGCAGCTGATTGTATGAAGAAAGATCTGGAAGTTAAAAGGCAAGAGACAATTGGCCTATATGATAAGAATGCCCCAGAATCTATTGAACTTAAGGACACAAGAGTAAACTCCAACTGGATGGATATGGATCCAATTGAATGCTGCGGACCTCAAAAGACCAATGAGTATTGTTTTGATCCTGAATCACCTTGGATTGAGGATGAAAAGACTGTGCCATGGTGGCGCACAACAGATAAAGATGACTTGGTCTCCTTGGTTGCACAGAAGTCTCTTGACTATTTCCAGAATTGCGACCTTCCCCCACCTCAGAAGATGCACGTTAGGAGATACCCAAGTGTGCGTGTTGGATCATCTGATCATGATGATACAGTACCTTCATGTTTGAATTGGAAGCCACAAAGTGGTTATATCTCAAGCCCAATAGTTAAAGCGCATGGCTGTCCCAGTTCTGAAAGCATGCATGGAAGACACAGGACTTCAACTGAAGGTCACTTACAAAGCGGTTCTAACAAGCCATTCAGGTATCTAAATTAGATTATTTCTTCTGGTTGTTGTGCTTGAATATTTACTTCTGACATCTAACAGAATGCATGAGTATGTTGGCCAAATACACATATTGCTGTGTGTCAGAATATTCTGTTTCCTTGCTAATATTGCACAATTTTCAGTATATAATTAATGGAATTTTTTTTTTTGGTGCATATATACATTATTTTTATAGATTCACACACAAGTTATATTTGTATCCCAAACCTTAAATTTCTATGGATCTGCAACCTAAATGTAGTTATACCAAAACCAGCAAAGATACAATAGAATTTGGACAAGTTCCTGAGTGCGATCCCTGCAAGGCCCAGCTACTGGAAGCACTCCGGCATTCTCAAACGCGAGCTAGGGAAGCTGAGAAGGTGGCAAAGCAAGCCTGTGAGGAGAAGGAGCACATCATTAAGCTCTTCTTCAAACAAGCCTCACAGCTTTTTGCCTATAAGCAGTGGTTCCAACTGTTGCAACTTGAAAGCCTTTACTACCAGGTTAAAAATAGTGACCAGCCTGTGTCTACTTTGTTCCCTGTAGCTCTTCCATGGATGCCACGAAAAGGCAGGAAACTGCGGAAGGGCTTGCAAAAGACGACAAGAGGGAAACGAGGCAAGCATGGACGCCAAAGTCATGATATTAGCAAGTATGCAATTGCATTTGCATTGGGGTTGAGTCTTGTTGGTGCAGGCTTGCTACTAGGATGGACCGTAGGGTGGATGTTGCCTTTATGAGGTTCAACAAATCTCCTGCTTAACAAATTTTATTTATGAGAGAAACCGGTTCGATTGTTTGTATTTTCGTATGTATGTATGCATGTATTTTATTTTTCTTAGATGTTCCCCCACTTTTTTCTGTGTGTTCTGCTTTATTTATGTAAATTTTGTACAAATTATGAGGGTTGGTTAGATGTGCATATGGGGAGTAGATGTTCTGTCAATTTGGAATCTCGTCAAAGGTCTCTTTTGGTGATCTGTACATTTGATTTAATCTTAGCAGTGTATTATGGAAAACTACACATCTAGCTGGGCGTTGTAAATTAAATTTGGGAAATTGATACTTTGACAGGAGCGTGCCCATGGCTAATTGGCTATGCCTTTGTTTTTTATTATCTTAAACAGATTTTAATGCTTGAACAATTTCTTTTCCCCATAATTCAATTTCATCATTTTGGTCCAATTAATTTTTTTGGGTAACAACCGGAGAGCAAAGCTCTAAGTAAACATTGAAAGTTTAGAATAAGAAACCTCTATATTATCATGAAGAAGTCATTCTGCCATTTCAAGGGGCGGTTGCATGAGAAGAGGAATCTCTAATGGATAGTTTCTTGCACATCTAAAAAGGTGATCCGTGTAATGGTTCATTTCTTTATAAATATGTTTGATCACACAACTTTAGAATCGTGGGATCAACAGCTGAATAGCAAGCACCAGCTGCTTAATTGCTCTTGATTAACTTTCTCTTTGAAGAATTGCTTCCAGCTCACTTTTCAGCTCAACCTCCAAATTAAGAAGGAATGGATTGATTCTTAATTCCAAAGCCTGCTGAATACCTGCAAGATGGGATAAAAGAATTTTTTTTCTATTTGAAAACATTTCCAAATACGTTAGTTTTCCAGATAGACAAGCATTGAGAAAAATTAGCAATATTATCAGAGAAGGAAGTAGAATTCTTCAAAACCGAAGCTGCAAAAGGATTAAAGTCCACATGAGTGAGCCATGCAGCTTGGAAGCGGAAGGGCGATCTGCTGTTATCTCTAGTAAAACCATCCGTGATGTTGTCTAAGATAGGCCTGTGATCAGACGATATTCGGGCAAGGTGAATAACTGCGTAATCTGGAAACCTAAGATTCCAAGCTTCATTGCAAAGTGCCCTATCAAGCCTCTCCAAAAGCATGCCCCTTTTCCATGTAAACCGAGCACCCCTGTAACCCATGTCCACCAAATTAGACTGTAAAAACCATTGTGAAAATTTTTTATCTATACCAGACCGGCGTTGAGATCCCCCAAACCGTTCTTCCCTACTCCTTATAGCATTAAAATCACCAATAAGGAGCCATCGGTTGTTAATAAAAGTCATGAGCTGCTCTAATTCGTTCCAGATAGAATTTCTTTTCTGGGAGTGAGGACTTGCATATATAGCAGTAGCTTCCATCAAACAATTGTGAAATATACCCCTATGAATCCACTGACTGTTGTTACCAAGAATGTCTACACTCCACCCATTATTCCAAAAAATCCAAATACCACCTGAAAAGCCAGTGGCTTCTACTCTATGCGAATGAGTATATCCTATTTTTTTCATAACCTTATCAGCCTTCTCTCCACTGATTCTAGGTTCCAACAAAATAACAATGATAGGCTTGTGAACCTGCAAAAAAGTCTTAAGGGTACGAAGGAAAGAGGAGCTGCCTGCTCCTTGGCAATTCCAAGAGAAAATAGACATGGTAGGAAAAATAATAAAACAAACCCAAACAGACATATAAAACTGTACCATCAGATTAGTCTATTAAATATGGGTCCTTTGTCTCTCTTTCAAAAAGAGCATCATCATCATCCTCATCACTTTCAACTGATCCCTCTGCATCCAACATATCATCCTCAGACTTGGTACCCTCATGTTCCTGACTCTCCTCATCACTAATGATTAATGGCATGTCAGGTGTAGGGATATAATTGTTTCCTGGGTCAGGAGGAAGCTTTGTAAAATGATTTATCTGAGTTCTCGATTTTTCTATGGTGGGAAGGTCTTTTGAAAGTTCTCCAGTGCTGGTATTCACGTTGGTTCCACTAATCCTGACAACTGAATTATGATTTCGGTCAAGGGTGGTGTGCATTGGGATAAAATTTACATTATTGGGCTGTTTATTTTTAAAAGCAAAAAAATCCCCTAAAGTCACTGACTTGGGCCCAGAATTGGGCTTAGAATTCATATTAGAAGAGGGCCTAGGAATATATTTATTACCCGATTTATTTTGCCTTTTTTCAAATAAAACACCTTCTTTCTCTTTGTTGACGTTACGTGAAGATCCAGCATGCTCTTAGGCACTTACCATGCATAGAATTATTCCTTCATCAGTGGGACTGTCTTGGCCAATATCCTCGACAAAATTAGTTCCAAGGATATCAAAACGAGATTTCCCATTGACCTGACCGTTGCGAGAAATTCGCCTATCGTCCTGCTGTCTCGGGTTCCGTCTAGCTTTCCGGCTAACCACCATCCAAGGGCCGTACTCCGGTGTCGAAACTGGTATCTCTTCTGCCATTTTCTGCAGCGTGATCTCTTCTTCATCTTTCCCATTGTTTTCATTATGTGGACAATTTGTAATTCTATGGCCAGCTCTACCACACTCAAAAACAAATTTCAGGGATGCTCTCATATTCCACCATCTGTAGCCTCCCATTAATCCGAAGCTTTGACACAAGAGGAGACCGCAGGTCCACCATTACTGCAATTCTGGCAAATTTTCCACGGAGTATATCTTCTGTATTATAATCAACACGGATAACCCTCCCAACCACATCACCAATAGCTCTAAGCACTTTTTTATGGTAGAGATGCAATGGTAAGCCTGGTAACCTTATCCAAACTACAACTGAATCAATGGAAAAGCTTTGGATATCAAAGTTAGGAGACCAAAGTTTTACTACGAGGTAGTTTCCTCCTTCAATCCACAGACCATCAAGAACAGCCTTGTGAAAATACTTAACCAAGAAAAAATTGTTTCGTAGGTCCGAAACTTGATAGCTATTAGGATTCCATAAAGTTTGGATCTTGGAAAATACGACTTTATACCCTATTCTCCTTCCTCACAGATGAACAATCATAACCTTTGACCATTTTTTAACGAGATTAGTATGAAGATTCACCGAAATGGTTATCTCCAAAACTGAACCTGATTTGTCAATATGGATATCATCTGACGACAGGACAAAGTTAGGATCATCCGAAGGGTCACTTTCCATCTCTACTTCCATACCATGTAACACTTTATCCCTAAATGAAAGACCAGGTCCCTGTTGAATCTGATCATGTCCATGGTTAGGATCACCTACTCCCTTCTCTCTATGTTTTATTTACTTTGTGACTCGATCTTCCTCAGTTGTATTTTCATTAGGGTTCTCTCTTTCAGAGAGTTTTCTCTGCATGGCTCTCTTGTCCAATTAATTTTAATGAGACTTGATCCAATTAAAAAAAGTTTAATTACTTATTTTAAAGACAATACTACTAATATAATATAATATAAATATATATTCTCATTAATATTGCAAAACACAAACCACAAGCATTCAAAAAGGAAATGCAGATTGCGATAAATTTCTTATCCTTGGTATTTGATGGCAATAAAAACGAACGCCCTCCTGTTCCCGAGTATCAGCATCAGCTTGGATATTTCATGAATTTCATAGACCATGTGAAAGTTTCCGGGGCGGAAAATTTTTGTTGTTGCGATAGTTTGAAGGCCCAACCCATCCAAAAAGAGTTCGCAAGTGCAACGCCTATCTGGCTTGGATTGGGCCAAACTGGGCCCGCCTTCTTTAGGGAGAGACGGTTCCAACTCGAAAGGAGAACTCAATTCGTCGGATCCTCGAAAAGATTCAGCCGAAGAACATCACCAGAAAATTTGAAGACAGGTTACAGAGGAAGATGGCAATCATGGAGAAGCTTAAAATTTTTGTCGTTCAAGAGCCAGTCGTTGCAGCTTCTTGCCTTATCGCTGGAGTTGGTGCGTCTTTAGCATCCTCTTTATCTCATTTATATTTCACTGCTTCTAGGCATTCTCTCTCAGATTATCATTATTTTTTGCTTGATATAATCAGTTATTAGCTAATAGGTTATTCTTAATTCCGTCAAATATTTTTTTTTCTTTTTTTTTTTCCGTATCTGAAAGATATATTACGACTGCTACCAATTTGGGTGTTTTGGATTTTCTTTCGACTTTAGCTTCAAAAGTCCCTATTTTGAGTTTCAGGCTGTAATTAATTGTTGATTTTCCTTTGTTAGGGTTAGATAAGAGTAGGAGAAGCACAATCAGGTGTTTATTTTTCTGTTTTTCGTTAGGGATAAATTCCGTGTGAACCTGTGCAACTGATATTGGCAGTTCTAGGGATTTCAGTTTATAAATCAAATTAGCACAGCAGCTCTGGTTATGTAATGGAGATATTCAAATTAATCGATGATTGATAACATGCTCTCACATCACAAACCCATGCAGTTTGGCTTTTTTTGACTGGATAATTTGGTCTTGTTTTCCTATTCCAGTAATATGCTTAATCACAAATAGAATGTCTTGTAACATCTAACTAAGATGCGATTTCTTGATAAGTTTGAAATTGCAAATTTATAATTGGTAATAGCAACACCTCCCCAATATGACCCTTATGTTTACAATCTTGTTCACCGTTCATCTTGAATATCAAGATTACTTTTGCCATTTGCACTAGATCTATGTGTGCGTGATTGTTCTTCAGTTTGTGTGCAATGGTCTACATATATACTATTTATTTATGTGACCATGGTTTTTAATTATACTAACAGAAAAGAATATTAACATCATGTCTCGAAAATTTCAGGTCTTTTCCTTCCAGCTGTGGTGAGGCCTATTCTTGATTCCCTTGAAACAAGCAAGCAAGTCCCTCAACCTGCTTTAAGTGATGTGAGTATTTTTGCAAGATGATTAGCTATGTTTCCTGAATTAGAATCTTATCCTTTCATCATGCATCATGTAATTGGTATACTTTAATCCTTTGGCCTGTTCTTCACAAGTTGGGTTTATAGTTGAATTTTGAGGGTTAAAAATTTAGTATGATTTGAATCCCATCGAGAATAGTAGCATTCATGTAATAGTGTCAGGTTTCTTTTGTAATTAACATGGTATATAACACGCATTACTCCTTGTTCTATATCGATGAAAGTTGAGATTAACTTGTTATCGTTTGATGCAGAAACTTTCGATGCCTATTTCCTCCATTTAAATGGGCATCTTTTATGCAGCATTAGATATTTCAAATAAAATAAATAAATAAAAGTTGTAAAAGAAAAATTATTACTGGTCTTGGTTGATTGGAGCCTCTAGGTTATTAGCATATTTGAATCAAAAGTGGCCTGATTGTGATTTATTATCATCCTTTTTTTTTTTAATCTCAAAGGAGTGACCTTAATATGAGTGTATTAAGTCCATGATCCCAACAAGAATAAATGTTTTATCTACAAACTTTATCACAGTTGGTTTGGTTTTGTTGAACAGCTTTTGTCGAGCTTAATATGATTTTAGATGAAAAATGAAGAAAATTGTTGAAATGGATCATGGTTAGATTTTCAAAGTGAACTTGAACTGGTCTGGAGTTATATACTTAAATCTATTAATAGTTGATCGTGAACATGGTGAGCTAAGCATAATTGTACTTTGTTGGACCTTTAACATTAGAGATTGGTTGTGCCCAGTCTGGGAGAGTGGAAGTTACTGCATGCAAGAATGTTTTCAGTTTAAATTAAAATTTTGAACACTGGTGCTCTTTTTGCTGTTTTTCGATATTGATGTCTTGTATTTTATGCAGGTGGTTGCAGGTGTGCGTAAAAAGCAGGGATAATTATTCTCCCAACTCTGTTCAGTTTTTCTCCTTTTTCTCGTCTGTTTTTTACCGCCTCCATTCTAAGCAGCATGAAATAAGCTTTTCCTTTTTAATTAGTTGAGCACTGAGATGTGAGAAGAATTGCTCATTGAACATCATCCTGTTTTGTCAAGTATATGAATATTTTCTTGCTATGCTGAGTTAACTCTTATAAATTGTCGGTAGTTCATTCCATTCAAAATCCACTGTTTTTCCTTTCCTTATCATGATCAGTTTTATCATCATCATTATTATTATTATTATTACTATTATGATGTTTATTTAGCTACTTTCACACGTTTCATTCTTATTGGCTAGCAAGATGTGAATTTCCTTAGGATTTGTTCAAGCATTAAAGTTGAGTGCCTAATAATGTTTGTAGTGACTTGTAACCAAAATATCAATTGCGTTTGTTACTTTGTAACAGTTTAAGTTACTATGCGTTGCAAATTGGTAGATGTAGGGAGGATGGTGCTTGAAATTGTTTAATGCGGCCAATCTAGCCTCTTCTTTTGTTTGTGCAAACAATATCTTAAATTTACTGCAACATTTTAGTTGAATTCATAGAAGGTAGAAACATTCAAAATTTTGGCACTTATAGTAACTATAGAACAATTGCATTCAGAATTACCATATCCTGTGTGAAATAGACTATAACATATATGTATGGTTTCACCACTCATGACTATACTTAATTGCTGCACTGACTAACCACATGGCTGCAATCCAATATTGCTTTCCCATAAATTGCACTCTGAGAAAACGATGCAGCAGCAACAAAAACCGTTGGATTACACAGGGATAGGAAGATGACGACTGTGAGAGCAAAAGCCAAGTAAACGTCAATCTCATTGAAAGAGAAATACCAAAGTGGATAGGACCATAGCGGTTTCCAGGTAATTTAATGACCATGTTCTTTTGTTGTGCCTTTTCAATAGGCATCAAATCGCAAACCCATCCTTTAGTTTTTTACTTCTCCATGGAACCACTTGCTTTAAGCCTTCATAAATAGCCGCCTGTAACCAAAAAAAAAAAAGAAAAAAAGGAAGAAAATGTAAACAAACTGTTTCTTGAGTGATAGTGATCAAATTGGCTAAAATCAAAACCTGGTTTAAACTTTAGCATATAAGAGGTTTAACAGCTTGATCCGATCACATTTGGAAAAAGCCTTCTACCCAATAATTTCATTTACCAGAACAAGTAAAGGCTTCATTTTGCTCTTTCCCTTACATATAAAATCATTAGATCAAATAAAAGAAAAGAAAATTCATATTTATGATTTTTTTTCGTTTCTCGATGAATAGATTGTAAGGTCGATAAAAAAAAAAAAAAAGCTAGCTACTGCAACATATATATATGAAATTTAAGAAACCAAATGAGTAGAGAACTAACCCAGAAATGAGACCTTGCACGAGAGGAAATGCTGCCTGATCTTCTGATCCTAGTAATTGTAACATTGTTCTTGCAACTTTTATTTTCTTCTTCTTCTTCATCTTCCTCTTGTCCAAAGTAAATTTCCTCTCTATCCATAGAAGAAGGAAATACATAGCTTGCCCCACCAACGTTCTCTCTTGTACCCGTAAAAGCCCTTCTTCCCCAACGCCAAGAACCCAAAAACCTTTTACTATCATTTATTCCTCTCTTGCTGAGGACCATAGTACTAAGCTGCCTTCTTTCAGGACTAAAACTCCTGCGAAACGACCCATAACACTCCTTTCTTATCATTCTAAACGACGACGACTGAAATCTTGGCTTACCCATATAAGGTTCTTCCAAAACTGTAGTGGGCAAGGAAAGCTTACTGACATTATTACCATCTAACAAGAACAATCTTGGAGGTAATTCCAAACACTTTGGCCCAAAGTCAATAGGGTTAGAAAGAGCAGTAGAGCTTCTAGGCTTTCCTGGCTCTTCCTCCCACCGGAATGGGACGGCGGCGGAGGCGTAAAGTGGTGGCGTTGTCGTCCCTGACCTTTGCGGTGACCGCATATAGCAGCCATGTGCTTGTGGATTCCAGAATAACGCTAATTTTGGTGTAGAGATTGCCTCTGGTTCTGCTTCAGATCCCATTACTCTTTTACACTCTTTCTTTCTCTCTCTTTTTCTTTTGCTTTCCTTTTCTCTCTGTATTTTTAGCGGGTTTGTACTATATGGTATTATCTCTGCTTTTAAGTACCAAGGGAGACAATAGGGAAGACGAGAGAAAGAAATCCAAATGGCTAGTCTTTTTCTTTTGTTTTTTATTTTTTTTATTCTATTTTTTGGATTGAAGAGCTGAGCTATGTAATAAGTGCATTTCTATATCCTTGTCATGAGCACTGAATTTGCACTATTATTAGTTCACCTGCTTTCATAAGTAGGTTTAATGAAATTAGAGTACAGTGAGCTAATGATCATTACCTTTCTAATCAATGAAGTGTTTGACAACTTATAATATTTAATTTTGATAAATTAAGTGTTTTCATTAATTTTTTTCATTTATGCGGGAAACTGCAGCATAATCTACAAAATATAGTCAAATTGCATAAATTATTAAATAAATGCTAAGCAGCTTTTGGTTACAAGAAAAAAAAAAAAAAAAAGGGAAAATAGCGGCCCATTATATAGCTAGCAAAAGCAATAAAGTAAAAAGATACATTAAAATTTCAATTATGTATTGTTACCTACTCTTTCATTTTTAAATTGAAAGCAAACAAAATGGGACAACAAGAATAAAACAGTGAAAGCAATAAAGCAACAAAAATAATTTTCTTCTGGTTCATGGTAAAACGAGAAAAGTCTGTTTGGAGAGTGACCTTATCTTTGTTAAAGCGTTTCATGATTTTACTTTCACATCCTTTGAAAAATAAAGAAACGTGAAAGAGATTGATTTCAAATATTAGAAACCAACAACAGACACACGCCACCTGATCTATTCTAAGCTTTTGATCAAGAGCAGAGAAAGCATTGGATGCCACACTTGTGATGAAGAAGAAGAATCTGTCCTTTCCAAGGGTTTGGACGACTTGTTAGACTTTTGCAATATCACTAAAATGCCCTTTTCAGACAAGTCATTTCTCGCTGCCACCAAACAAAGCTGTCTTTAGAATCATCCATTTGCTTTGGCTATTTCTGTAACAACTTTACCCAAGTTGGGAAGACCGATGAGAGAGATAAATGGAAATATGAAAGAAAATAATGTAAGAATGAACCTAGCAAGCAAGTAGAAGTACGTTTGAGAGTCATTTTCAAAAGTAGTAAAAGAGAAGGCAATCAATGCCATACTCTTTAAATATTGTATTGATCTTTCCTTTTGACTTTTGGCCTACTTCCCACTTGCCCCCTCCACCTCTTATTTTCACCATAAAAAAGGTAGGGTCAATACCACAATCTTAACGCAATTAGCATTTCCAAATATTTGTATTTTGTAGAGATAATCGAGATATTAAGTCAATTAATTATTAACTCTCCTTACTATTTCTAAATTTCAATTCAATCTTTAAAATCATTAACTATTTTTTTTCAAAATAGCTCATTTTTTTTTATTCTTCTATAATCACCAATATTTGAAAATTCACTGACTACATCATGTTCAAATATTGTATTGCATGTATAGATAATTAGTAAGAATCATGTCCAAAATGTATATGGAGACGGAGTGGATTGAAAAACGTGGTAGACTGTTTGGATAAAAGAAAAAAAAATAAAAATAAATAAAAGGCAAATATTTTACAGCTCAATCTTAGACTTTGGACTCTTCTTAGGTCAGCAGAGGTGGGTCTACCTCTGATTATTGCTTCTGCTTTGTCTTTTTCGAGCCCAAAATCTAACCTTATTCATTATAAAATTAAGCGTAATCAAGGTGTTGAAGATTTTCTAATCATGTCTTTATCGACAAACAGAACACTTTAAAACTGAGGCCAAAATTTGATTTCTACTACTGATCATTTTAGAACGAGCTAATTTGCTAGTGCGAAAGTACTAGGCCCAATGTCTCGGCTTTTTGGGCCCCAATTAGTGTTGTCTTTGATCCTCATGAAGAACAAATATGTGGACCAAGCCCATTATAGATTGGGCATGGTTTTGAAGCTCCGTATGTGAAGCCTGGTTAACTGGTAAAAATATTGGACCAAGTCCATTGATTACCTCAGGCTTATTTTTATGGGCCGTATAGGGCCTGCTTTGCGTTGGCTTTGGTCTGCCCAAAGTCGGTAACGACAAACCTCCAATTAAAAAAGCTTAATTTTGGAAGAATTCAGTTTAAAAATGTCTATTTTTTCAATTTTTATGTTTTCAAATGAGATAATTAAAAGTATTCAAAATCGCGTCACTTTCAGTTTCTCATAATCAAATTACACAAGTATCAGTTAAGCAATATGTATATTCTGAAGTTGTAATTTACTAATAGTTTTTACATAAATATATAAAATTGATAAAAACATAATTTACTAATTGTTCTTCCCTCCCAGACGATTACCGGAGGAAAATGCAATAGAGACATGGAGTCAGGAGTGGGCTGACAGGTGAAAAAACAGGACCTATTTTATTTCTCGACATTCGAGTCACATTATTTGTTACCATCAGTCTGCAACCTACTGAATACTGATGCATCGCTTTCTCATCTTATTCTTTAACCTTACCCAAAAATAATTTACTTTTTGTTTTAACTCTTTTTTTTTTTTTTTATACCACAGATTTCCCTTATTTGTTAGTTGAATCTAAATATACTTTTTACTGTGTGAAACCTTTAAGAGGAAGACACCCGCAATAGATATTTTTCTTTATCCACGAAAATTCACCACTCAATATCTTACTTTTTAATTTTAGAGGTTATATTATTTGGAGTTGTGAATAATATTAAAAAATTGCATATTTCTTTTTAATTTGGTGATACTGAAATTATTTTCATGAAATGATGTATGAAGAAATAGCCTAAGAGCAAGAATGTTATAATGTAAGGCTGAATCCTGGTCCTGCTTCCAGGAATGAGGAATCCAGGTGTTGTAAGTAGGACTCAGAAACAGCAAAGCAATTTTTTTTTTTTTTTTTTTTAAAGAAAAATTATTATTACTAAAAAGTTGACCAAAGACTTTTAGCAACTTTCAAGATGGAAAATTTGTTGGCTGCAATCCACCGTCTAACCACTTGCCTGACTGACATATTAAAGACTTGTCGTATAAATTTAATTTTTGATGCAGTTTGAAAAGAAATCAAGCTTAGGAAATGGCTTACCTTATCTCATATAAATATATACATATATATATAGAGAGAGAGTTCAGTTCTTTATCTAGCTATTAAATAAAATATCCGTTGGAGTAAAAGACAAAGAAGAAAAATAAGTTTACAGGTTCCCTGAACTAATTTGAAAATTAAGATTTTTTTTGCTAATTTTGCTGCTCCTAAGCTTCATGTAATCTAAAGTAGAACAAAAGAGTTGAAAGCGGAAACTTTCAAATGAGAGACGATAACCATATCTTGTATGTCGTTTTCAAATGGATTTTACAACTTTTTAAAGCTTTTATTTCCTTTTTATCGCCAAAGTCACCACTCCAAACAACACCAAGTAATCTCCATGAAAACAACTCTTGCCTCCATTTTTTAGAACAACCTCAAAAGCCGAAAAGAGACAACCTACTCTCTCTGTCAGGATCCCACCATAACCATTATGTTTGAGTCATACAACTTGGACCTAAAAGACATTTCTCACCTCCATAAAACTTTCCCACTTAAAAATTACACCCAAGGAATTTCATATGATCGTCTTTTTCAAAGGCTTATATTATTACACAGGACGAGTGGAAGAAATAAAATAGAATAATAAGAGAGGTGACGTGCGCCTTATCCTTTTAAGTCCCAACAACACGTAACCCTTAATCCATTTCTCTGAGAAGAAACAGGATGTCTGTCCCCTAAGAGAAAAAGAAAAATGGTTTCTGAACATGCAAAGTATGCGAGTAAAACAGCCTTTGAAATATGGCTTTTTAGGATTATGTACGATCCGAGAGAAACTGAAGGCCCAACATGTCGTGTTTCTGGGACCAGCACCAGAGACAATTATGAAGCCCTGAAAATTTAATGGAGTGTATACCCAATGGCCCCAGACAAAAAGAGGGTGCACAGAGCTATTGAGATGGTCCCTAAATATCATCGGTCCAGAGGAGAGAGTTGAAGCTAAGAAACTATGTCTATGAGGGCATCTTCTTCTGTTGCCTTTCCCCGAGGCAAGTATGTAATATGATAATGGTAAAAGCTACGAGTCCCTTCGCAAGAAACCAAGAACTAACTGCCACCAAAAAAACCAAAAAGCATTACATATATAATTTTTACAGGGTGATTCAATTTAAGTCCATACCAACCCATAAACAAGGTATACACAAATTTCCATTTCTAACCCTGGCTTCTCTAAGTTTCCCCACCGTTTTTGACAGTCTTTTCCTGCTACATCCTTTGTCAAAGAACCAAGACCAAGATTACGCTTATCCTTCACTCTACTTCCATCCACTGCAAGCTCAAAAAAAACTGAGCAAACTGAACCACCAATAAAGGCTCCTTCCTTCCACCATCCAAACAAAATAAAATTAAAACAAAAAGGGTTTCCAAACTTTCATTTATCCGACTTGTGCTCTGACTCCAAGCTTGCCACTGTCACTTCATCCTCTAGAGATGATGCAAGAAACTTGCTGCTAGTACTCATTTTCTTCACTTCCTCACTTGAATATATTAAGATCTTCCTAACCATCTTACAGAACTCCCTGCAATTACAAGTTAAGATTTCAAAAACCCATTAAATAACAGTGTTAAAAAAAGAGAATAAACTGGTGGGAAATTTTGTATAAGCTACTTACGGCCACGGATCATCACCCACAAGCATCATATCACCCTCATCATCAGTAAACACAACGGCCCATTTGTCGCGAGTGGAAAGCTCTCCTTTGATTTCAAACATTTCCTCCAGCTCTTTTATAAGATCTCCGTACCCTTTCAGCACTGTCAGATCAACAGCACGACCAACAGCAACTCCTTGCATTTGCACCTTCTCAGAATTAAACAAATTTTATTCATCAGAATTTAATGCCAAGACGACAGATGGCAAACCAATTAAAATCCACAAACAACAATAAATTTTACCTTTGTACGAGTTCTTGTGGAAGAAGTGGAACCTAGCTTGCTGTGTGTCTCTCTTGGCACTACTTCTGATGCACCTTGCTTCTGATCTTTTAAGGGATTTGAAACATCCATATTTTGAGCCTTGTCAGAATCACTTGAAGCTGGAGCAGGTCCTTCAGTGCCATGGGAGTCAACAGTTGGACACAAAGCCTCCTTCTCTGGAGTAGCAGCAGCATTGGAATTGCTTGTTATATCAATTCCAAATAAACGGCAGCCTACAGAATTTTCATATTTTTTCCCCTTCTCCACCTGGTCATGGATCAGGTTATTGATTTGCCTTGATGGAATAGGAGAGGCATATCCAGAAATAACGGGCTGTGTTGTTATAGTTCTGTTGTCTTCAGTTGAATCAGGGAAAAGGCTGAGAGAGACATTCATGTGAGGAGAAGAAGGCCAGATACTCTCTGGTTGGACCCTCGAGTTACCACAGCTGTTACTATTGAGAAGATTGCTATCAATTTCCTTCTGTCTCATAGACCAAAAAACTTGGCTTTCACAGCTTTGTGTTTCAGCCACACTGCCTAGTTGGTTAAACTCATGGGACTGGGTTGATCCATGGTACCAGAAAGGCGAAGCAGCTGAATTGGTAGTGATTTCTGCATTTCCAATTAATGCACAAAGTTCAAATAGAAATACAAGCAAGAATTCATTGAAATACCTAGCAATAATAATTGCTGATAATCAAACCCGATGTTGGAGTATCCACAGGTCTGGGCCTTTTACTCTTTACCACTGTTTGAGGAATATTTATAGAAGCAGAAGCTGCAAAAGGCTCTATCTCCCATGAAGAAACTCTCTCTGGCCTTTGAATTGTTGCTGGCTCATCCCATTGTATCTGTTAAGTAGATTATAAAGGGTGAATTTATCAAAAACAATAAAAAATGAATAAGTCAGCATTCAATGAGATTTTCAAAACTGTCATCAACCCTCAATGACCGCCATTTAGAGCCTGACCACTGTGGAGAAATATCTCCAACTCCGACTATAGTTCCTGTAAACCTAATCAAACAGTTCAAGCAGGAATTAAAGTTCATCTAAAAGACAAAAATACCGCAAGACAACTGAGAAACATTAGGTAAAGATACCTCCTCTCAGGAGATTCTTCTCCCTCAAATCTCATCTTGAAGCGCATGCCAACAGAAAACCCATGGTTTACGGCAGCCAAATATTTGTTCAACCCAATAATAAACTGGCTTGTCCTGAAGAACATGAAAAAACACAGTAAAGGTACACCAAACTGGATGAAAAATTACTATGTCCCACCTAGGTTTACAAAAACATGGGAAAATTAATGAAACCTCGGTTTGTAGTACACAACAAAGAGTGTCTGAGTAGTAACAGCATGAGATGCAGTAGCAAGCACTCCTAAATGCATGCTCTGGCTGGATATCACAGATGAAGGCATGGGGCTTTGCTGACGAGCAAGACGCCTAACCCCAACCCGCAATTCCCCATTATCACCCCTGTTCAAGCAGAGCAGAACATATAGACATTAGACAACAAGTGTAGAGGGAAAACAAACAGCAACAGAACATTAGCAGAGCTGAATTTGAATAACAAAAGGAAGTTAAATTATTAGTGTCCAACTACCTCAGAAAAACAAAAGCATCTCCGGCGACCAGTCTCTTAGATGTGACAAATGTACTCCACCCTGTTGTGAGTAAGTGTCTCCTTGGTTGGCCTAATTACACAAATGAGTAACACCACCACACATTCAGCTTCTAATTCTCAACAATTCTCTTTCCAGTTCCTTAAGCTGCTCTGATTTTTCAGTGAACTAGAAACAGCAATATCACAGAGAATAAAACAGCAGTTGTACAAAACATTTACCTCTAAATATGTGTTTAAATCGCCACTCATACCCATGAAGATCTTTAGCAGCCAATTCCTGTGTTGGAGTTGATTGGTTCATGTCCTAATTTAAATGGAACAATGGTTAATAATAAACTTTAAGTCAGTTTCCAACTATGAATAAAGTTGATGCATGGTTACCAATGGAGGCAAACATTCAGTGGCGTGCTTTCGGAGAACGGAGAACCCTCCATGGGTGCTAGTATCAGAAGCTGTTAGAATTTTGCAAAAAGAATGAACTGTTTGCCTTTGTGGTTCGGGTAGGCACGAGTCTGGGCTTGTAGGCTCTGTTTGCTGTAATCGCCGTATTTAAAAAGAAAAAGAAAATACAACACATTTAGTTCAAAATGTCCATCTCTAATTTGGAAGTAACCCTTTTGGTAACCCCGAAAGAAAAGGTTAAAGGGAAAAATCGAAAGTAAACACACTATCAATAATTGCAATTAAAAGCTCATCTCGTCTAAACAGTAGGCAAAAATTAACTTTGACCCAATTTCTGATTTTACAAAATACACAAGTAAAAAGAAAATTCCAAATGGAACATATTCACTCACGTCTGGTTCTGGGTGCAAGGTGATCTGAGCATAGACTTCATCTGTCTCTTGCTCTGCCTGTAAATTGGAAGAAACAAAAACAGAAAAAAAGAAAAATTAAAAGGCATCGCGATCAAAACAGGAAGAGGACAATAGCAAATAAGATAAGCAAAAGTAGCAAACCAGTAGTTGAATGTGAACAACTCGGCAGAGGATCTTAGAAGGAAGATTAAACCGCGGGATTTGTTGAGTTAGCTCCTGATTTGTTGATGCTTCCAGCTGGAGATAATCAAACCACGTAAAATTGAGACTTCGAAACCCCACCCTCCGATAGAGAGAGCGGATTTCGATCCACAGATAATCATGAAAACGGAAAGAGGAAGCAAATTTTCGAAATAAAAACCACGTACTTGTTCCATGTGGCCTTGAGGGAAGTAGAAAACCCTCTCCCCTGGCCGTGGGACCTCCACCAATGGACCTGCACATGCCTTCCATAGCTCCGTATACAGATCATCTCCTCCTACACCCAGAAAGCTCAAAACAAATCAAAACGCAGGACAGGAGATTAAAATTTTCTTCAAAAAATAAATGGGTTTAATTAAACTCTATTTGGTTGCCAAGAGAATCCAGGAAAAGAGAGGAAACTGCAACTTCTGAGCAATAGAGTTAAGTAACTCCTTAACCCTTTAGAAAGCAGAAACCTTCTCTCACAGACTCAAATAAGCGCCGGAACGCAGATGCAGTAGACCGAAATCAACAGAACGATTCAAAATTCCATTTTCCTTTCTTCATTCTCCTTTCTGGGCAACTAAACAGAGCAGTAAAACCCATTTATTTTCCTTTATTTGCGACCCATCAAACAGAGTCTCTGAAACCACAAACAAAACCAAATTTCCGATCCTCACCTCTTTCCCCATGAGAAATGGAACCACCTCTAGGATTACTCTCAACATGAGCCATCAAAACGACCACAAAACAACGTCGTAACAGAGAAACAGAACAAAAAAGACAACAACAATAATATTTCTTGAAGCAGTAAAAACTACCCCATTAATGGCCAGAGCAAGAAAAAGATAGCAAAAGAAGGTCAGCAGAGGCGACGGTTATGTAAGCATTGAATTGATAATTAGTATAGAGTAGGTGGGTTTTTATCATCTTGTTTGGGTCTGTTTCGGTTACAACACCGCTTTGTGCTTTTGTGCTCTTGAGTCACACAAAAACCGCTGTTTTTCTTGGCAACACTTTTGAGAGAGCAGAGTAGTTTGTTGTTGCTGTTGCGATTTCTCTCTGAAGACTTTGAATCGACGTTGCCAAAGAAAATTACCAAATCCCTAAAACAGCTTTCTCAGACTCATAACATAACATTGCAGTGAGCTCTCTCTCTCTCTCTCTCTCTCTCTCTCTCTCTCCAGTCACTCATAAGTTTCCACCACTCTATGCTTTCTCTTTCTACTCTCAAGTCCTTTTCCTGGGTCTGGTCCCTGTAAATTTCTTCTCTCCAAAATCCAAATTACTCTTAATAGGTAAAGCACTATACACTTTCCTTACCACTACTAAGCCAGTATCAAATCAAAACACAGATTATTTATTTTTATGATTTCTTCTTTTTCATTATAAAACAGAAAGATAACAAATTCTTTGTATCATTAAAAATATTTTCTTTTCCCTTTTTTTGACAAATATGGGTGTAATTTATTACTACTGTTATTTATTGGGTCTCTGTAATCCAAATTTTAAGATTATGTTTAATTATAGTATTTGATTACAGCCTTTAGTTAAAGGATTTTGGACAATAATGTATGAATTTCAGGATTTTCAATTTCTTTATCACGTCCAAAAATAGGTATTAGTAATCAATCTCTATTATTTGAGATTGACCATTGCTTTTCCTGACATTAAATCCTTTTTTTTTTTCATGCATTTTATAATTACTATCTTAAGTAATGATATTTTCAAAAAAGTCCAATTCTAGTAGATAAATCTTTTACATTATAACTTATGAAACCAACACTTCAAAGTGAAACTATTTGTTAAATCAATAAATTCATGGGAAAGGCTTCAAAATGATAGCATATTTATAAACATATCAACCTATAAACTGTGAAATTTCTTATTTTATAATTTTCTTTGAGCTTTATTCTCCTTTTATACAAATAAATAATTTATTATTCTTTATTATCATTATCACCTTCTAACATTGTAACTTGGTAATAAAGATGTTATACTAAAAATTTTTAATATAAATTTAAGGCTTATTTTAATATAATTATTTCATAAAATTTGAAATAAAATTGATATTACCTTCTTACTCCACCAACTATAATTAGATACGCAGCAATCATAAATTTTCAACTATTGATTTAACTATTCATACTTAAATCCATTAAATTTTCATTATTTATATAGATACCATTTAAACTGACAGGGTATTAAAATATTATTTTTACTATTAATAAGTATGATAAATAGCAAATAATTAAACAATTAAGAGTCCGTTTAGTTTAGCTATTCAAACCAATTAATAGCTTACGGCTATTAGCCTATTAGGATATTAATATTAGTGTTTGATAAAGTTTTGGTAGCAGTTGTTAAAATATTAAATGACCATTAAAATATACTTGTTTTTTTATATATTATGGTGAATAATGTATTTTTTTATTTTTAAGACAAACATATGCTTTTATCTTAATGTGCTATATAAATAAAAAAATATTTGTTAAAATTTTTATATAATATTTAATAGAAATTTTTATTTTGAATAGTTATAATAAAATTAATGGTTAAAAATACTAATTTTAAAATATATTTTATTAATAATTATTTTTAAAAGAATAATAAAGTTTAAATAAAATATTAGTATAAATTAGCTACGAAAATACGAAAAAGGTTCAAAACAGAGTTGACAGAATCAGTAACTATTTTGTAAGTTCCATAGTTGCTGACTAAAATCCTTATCAGACGCCTACAACACCAATCGCGAATCATTTATCAGCTCAACCACCAAACGCTCTCTCAATTTGTCAGATGGCTATATATATAGAGAGAGCATAGGTCATACACGTTGAAGAGGATTGGATATATTGTGATAAATAGATTCAAGACTGAGGCTCTTGAAATCAACATGAGCTAAACCCTATAGGATCGACGTGAGCAGCCGCGGAGCTAGACACAAAATTAAAAGGGGCTAATTTTTTTTTTTTAAATATCCAAACAATTAATAAAAATTAATGCCACTTCATCCTTGCATGAAGCAAATCAGAGTTGATTTCAATAAATGTTAATTTAGGTTAACATATAAGAATAATTAAATAGAACAGTACTTAAGACAGATAATCGAGTTAGATCTATATATCCTCACAGAGTCATTTCAAGCGAAACCAATATAATGAACATTTTTATCTATTAGATTTGAATTTAATAGTTTTAGCTATTTGCCCGTTATTAATTGATTTGTTTATTGCTTTGATACTGAAGAAAAAATGTTTTATTCATTGCGACGGCTTTGGGCATTATTCACGAAAATATTTATTATAAAGTGCAATAAATATTTTTATTATGTAAATTCATATTATACTTTAAAAAATTAATTTCAATCCCAAATTATTAAATAGTCTCCATACATCCAAATAAGTTGTAATAGTATCACTACCCTGACCCTAGTTACGTGGTGAGTAGGGATCACGAGTCTACCGTACGGCCCTGAGGAAAGCGAACGGTAGCCGTCTGATAAAGGCGGCGGGGGAGCAATTGCGTGATTACACGTCACGTTCAGACGGTTCTGGAGTATAGCTCCGTTCCATCCCGTTATTTTTGCCGCCGTTACGGGTTTATTTCTATCTTTTGCCGTCTCTCTCTTTGTCTGCATCGTGGCAGGCAAACGTGTTGGCTCGTGTAAACCCGGCAGAGAATTTTTGGTTTTTATTTTTCAATTTTATTTCTTCTTTTTTCTGAAGCGTCTTACGGTATTTTGCTTGGTTAGTTTTTAACATTGTGAGAATTATTAATTTACACATGTTGCCCCTATATCTATATGAACGCATGGGAAGTGTGTTGGCTTTCGATGTGTCAGCTTCGTTTAAATTCAGCCATGCGCTCCCTTCATCTCATGGGGAACACGCGCGCCAAAGTTTTCGTCTTGTCCTCTTCTTTTTGGTTATTTAATTAAATTTCAATTATGATCCAAAGGCCAGCTAAAAACAATTAACAATTTTTTCAGGAAAAGTTTTAATAAATTAATATAATGCGTAAATTTTAATTTATAATATTATTTTAACACTAAATTAAAAAATATTAAAAGATATGCTTTTTATTTATACAATAATTTCACATATAAATGAAGCTTTGTTTGAAAAGAGAAATCTTTTCTTAGCAAAGGAAATATTCAAAAATAATTTTCACATAAAATTAGAATCTCTCCAAATTAAAAGAAAATGAAGAATTAATTGAGAAATTTATATTATTTAATAAGATGACGTATAATTTTTTTTTCTTTTTACTCATTTATATATTCAACCTATTGATATACACGGATAACACCATTTTATTTAAATTGTTATTTTCGTCTAAATTTTGATTTTTTTTATACAATAATAGAAGTACATACATGATTAACATGTAAATTTCACTTTATTAATTAAGTGTAATGTCTTTTTTTTTTTTTTTTTACTTTCCACATGAATAAAATCAAAAGATTTCTAATTCATATTTTCTAAACGAGGACTATTTTATATTTCAACAATTTATTAGAAACTTATAGTATGAGTAAGATCTATATATAGTCCGCCTTTGATAAATAAAAAAAAAAAAATCTTTTTATAATGAAAATTGTTGATTTTTTTTTTATTTTATGACAAGCTTGAATACCTTTTAAGAATTTCTTTTTCTCTATCTTTTTTTTTTTTTTTAGAATAAGAAGTAACCATTTCAAAATTCCTGGAAAGCTAACAAAATCATTATTTTATTTTATTTTATTTTATATTATTATCGAGGCAACATAAATATATATATAGTATGTTAAAAGTGGTTATCAACAGTATTTATAATTATTCATTTTTAAAATTGACGTCACTAATTTTATTTTTCTAACCGATTTAGCATTATTTTATTTTTCCTGTCTTTTTTAACAGTGGATATTTTATGTATATAAAAAATTATGATTCACCAGTATTTGTGGTATCACATCATGTGTGGCACGATAAGTTTGATATAGAAAGTGTCGAGACACAGGCAGCACTGCCTTTAAAAAATTACCTATCATTTTTGTCTAATTGAGCAACATCAACAAACTTTGTACCTAGTCTCATTTGTGTTTCTTTTTCCTCAAGGGCAAAAGTAAAATTTTCCTTTTAAATAGCAAATATGAGCTAAATTACTCATAAATTATTAAATATTTAAATTTGATACAATACCATTTTCAATAGTTTGAGTAATGAGTTGAATTTAAGTATTATAATCCCTAATTTAAATTACTCGTAAAGTTAATTTTGTAAATTTTGAATATAAATTTATATTTAAATAATAATTATGAATTTTTAAACTCAAAATCAAATTCAAATTCCTTTTATATTGATGTATTTGCTATACAATATGAATGCAGAAGCAGGTGGATTAAATTTCATATTAAAAACATATAAGACGGGTAAATGTCATATAATGACAAATGTGATTAATAAATATGGCTTAAATCATTTTGTGTTTAGATAAATCAATTCATCGTAGCCTCAACTATTAAATAAAATTATCAATAAATTTAGTTAATTGCTAATATGACTCAAATTTAATATAATACTAAGATTTAAATATGTATTTTGCGATGGAAGTTTTCGAGTATATATAAACATGTGGGATTAATCTGATATTGAAAAATATACAATAAATAAGCATATATAATGAGAAAAGGCGAAACAATGATAAAACAATTGATTCGAGTCTAATTTTTAAATAAAATTATTAATAAATTGGATTGATTGCTGTGGGCCCAGATTTAACTATGAATATGTTACTTAAATGGAAAGATTAGGCAGATAGATATAAATTAACACATAACACAAAAAGGAATAGAAAAATCGAAAAGAAAAATAAATTGATATTGGGGGCGTGCGATACACATTCTATAGAAGGGCGTGGGATCTATTATCCACGGTAAAACCTAGAATTGAGACCATTCCGATCTGTTAGGTGGTCCCGAATCACACGTCAGAATGCCTACCCCATTAAGCTCGGCCACGTGGTTTGGTCGTTTTCATAACCACGCGTCATTACCTGACTAGTCTCCCCTTCTTCAATACGGGACATTCTGCTTCCATTTTCTTAAACAGAGTGAAACGTCTTTTTAACCCTCATTGCGGGTAATTGTAAAAAGTAAAAAGAATGTATTTACAGCCAGATATTAAGCAAAGCAAGGGTGAGGATATTAGAAATAAAAACTCGTGGGAAAGATGATATTATTAACGGGGAAGGTGTTAAAACATAAAAATAAAAGAAAA